ACCAATAAATACCATGAACATATTTTAAAGTTACCATACTAAATCCATGAGGCTAGAAATATGGAAGTTAATATATCTATTACACTAGAGTCAGTGTATTAAAGCTCAATAGCTGTATATGTTATCAATATATTATGGTTGTTTATCTTTTCTAGATGTCGTTAAAAGTGCCGATACAGAATGAAACGGACACTTACTTAGACGAAAATAAAAATGAACTACCATCGACATCCACAATCCAAAAGCCCACTTATTCTCATGAATTATCCAATCGTCCAAACAGACCAGTTTTTTCTTTGGGTTGAATGGCCCTTATATTGCAGAATCAAGTGTTTAGGGGTTGAAATCTTACCACAGACACACAGCTAGGATCCGGCCAAGTCGTGTGAAGATAATCTGGGGACTCCGACCATGTCCTGTTAATAGTTCCATCTTTTCGTGTTCTTTCAAAATACTGGTTAAATCAAACGAACGACTAATTAATGCACCAGTGCCAAGATTGATCTCTGAATGGAAAAGGTTATCTCCAGTCTATTCCCACCATCTCTTTGTTCAAAAGTAAAATCAAAAACAAATCTTTGTTCGACCTATTTTCACCTATGAAGCCTTGCTATTTTTTCTTGCTTTTTTCATGAATTCATAGGTAATTATATTGCCTATAGTTAACCATTCACAAAATATCGAAATTCGCTCCGTTTCCTACCTTTTCCTGACATTTTGTCAATTTTGGCCTCTTTGTCTCACGAAGGGATCGTATTCTAGCACACGAACGGACCATATCATACGGAGCGGGATGTGGACCGTGTGGATTGTTTGCCCACTAGTTTGAAATGGTTGTAATCATGACATAATTTCACATATACGACCACATGTATATATTGAACCGAGCCCTCATTTTTCATTGTTCTTTCTTTGAAAATGTCAATTATACATTTCAATATATTTAATGTTTAGTATATAATTATAGATCAAATTGTGGAGCCTTGTTATTATCTTATTTTATAAGGCCGGATTCAAGTTTGGAAAGTCTAGACCCCTACGAGTAAATCGTCGTCGGTTTTCTGGCAATTTTCTAAGAAATGGAGTCTCGTTTTTCAATAAATTCGGAGAGTTCTAATTACTAAATCGTCAATATACTTCCATATTTGATCGGATCTCTCATCGAAGATAATGCAATTTTAGGATTTCAAGATTATTGGAATCCTTGCTTCTGACATTTTACAGTTCTCTGTTATTTGCTGTGTCTTCAAAGTATTGACGGAACAATGACTTTCATTATTATTAGTGATTGTTAAAATTGTTATTAGTGATTGTTAAAATTGTTATTAGTGATTGTTGAAATTGTTATTAGTGATTTTTAAAATTAGATTGTAATTAATGTTTTATTTGTTATCTGCTTTATTGGACTTTTTTTTATCTCGATGTACATTAGATGTTCAAGAGACCAATGAACTTAATAATTGAAATTAATTATTCACTGTTCCCTAACTATAACTACTAAGTTTGAGTTAGGTAAGAGTATTTTTTGTTTTTCTCGACTTAACCCTAAAGTCTGCAACCTTTTTTTATAACACTAAGTCGCAAGATTCGAATAGTTTTGTTGTGAGTTTTGGAATTTTTCGTTTAGAAATAAGACCAGAATTCACGATTCAAATGTTGAAGTGAACAAAATGGCGGCTGTTTGAATTCGAATTGTGAATCACGACATGTCCATATATGGGACAGAATATCGACCTTGCACTCTGGGAGCCAATCCTCCTTGGACGAAAATGTACTTAATCAATGTAACACAATCACAAAGCGAAGGAATAAATAGGAATTGCGGCTTTATTTGAAAACATATTCTTGGTAAACTCTCTTGAGCCAAATAATGATCTGCAACTTGACTTATAAGTAGGTATCGAGAAAACAAAAAATCTTACCGAACTCGAACACTGCCAATTCATCAATTTTGTTACTTTGACGTCACGTGAACAGTGATAATTGGGGCATAGTGTATAAGGCTAATTCCAATTGAATTAGGTTGTTGTTAAGTTGTCTTTTTACGACCCTTAAAGGCGCATTGTCTTAGAGATCTACGAAACATAAAGCAGTGTGTCAACATCTAAAACAATAAAGGCATCTTTAAAGGAGCCATGAAGAGTATATTCCTAGCTTGTACAAACTATTATACTTGCTAATGATGATTACAAACTGAGACAAGAACGGGATACGGGTGGATTCCAATAAACAGTAGATGTAAAAGTAAGCTATGCCTATAAAATAATAATAAAAAAGTGAGGCTCACAGGTGTTTTAGCGCATTGCAAAACATAACATGCAATATTTCATGCACGATATATCATGAAAGATATACAACAATAAGTCAATATACTTACACCCCCAGTTTTCAATCACACGGGGAGTTCAGATGGTACAATTTGCTCACAGGTTTAAGAGATAAAGATTGATTGTGTAGTTTCTTTATGTAGGGTGGCGAATTTTGGGATACTTTTAAACAAATTAAAACAAAAAATGCAATTTTGATTCATGTGAATCCGTAGAGCAAATCCACAAAACAGTAAAGACTCGTCATTATGGCAGCCTACGAAGCATCTTAAATACTAAAAATATTCAAATTAAAAAAATCCATAAATATATCAGTCAAAATATTGGAAATAATTTACATGGGCTACAAGAGGTGGCGTCAAAAAATTAAAGGAATGGGTAGGAAAAAATTACAAAACAATATAGAAGGGTTACCCATAAAAGTACTTAATTAAGAAACCAACACTGGATCCATCGATATATCCGGTAAAATAACAGCACCAAATGAAACGTTCCAAACTGCTGTTTGTATGGGGTATGTATGGAAATGCATGGAATAGAACTTACAAAATATCGGAAATATAAGCACATTTTACCTAAAAAGCCCATCATGAAATCAAAAAATGAATTTGTTCAATATAACATCACTAATTAAACTTATGTTTGTATGGTGGTTCATATGAGAATGTGTCAAAAATCTAAAGAGATGCGGGGGTGTATAGATATGAATATAATGATAATCTTAGACATCCATAAAGCATATAGGCCAAGTAAGATTTTCGCTCATAGATTCTTTCACCTGACTTATTAACTTTCGAGTTGATGAAGCGGCTAACTGAGATTGAAGGGGTTTAAGAAAACTGCAAGACAAAATCTTTCATTTGTTAAATAAATGCTTTCATTTACGTCTTTTCCTACCTTTTACATGGCTAATATTTCAATAATTGAGCGCTTTTGACAGAACGCTGGAATTGTATTGACAGTTGGTGGAGAATTTTAATGCTCTTAAAATCCGAAATACCATGTCCGTTTGAGGCAATCAAAGCCTGGCATAAAGAGATTTACGTGTAATATTTCTAATCATAAAAATGTACTTATCAATTTTTCAATTCAGTCCCTCTTTAGCATCACAAACATCGTTCCATAATACTTTCTGTCATCTGGCATTAACTTGAAGACTACTTAAGATAGGAACTCAAATACACAAGAGGATGGCTTTTGATTCTTAAGGTAATTTCCGAAAGTCGTTAAAACAATTATGGCACAACCAAGATCTCACTCAAATACTCTCATTAACAAAATCGGGTTGCGCAAATAACTTGAAAATTATTCCGAATAATATAGCTTCAGTGACTTCATGGATGACGCATGTAAATTGCCCCTTTGGGGTGAGTATTGTACAGTGGTGAAGATATGACACACACTTAAGGTAGACAGACAGGTGAATATTGGATTCTTAAGGAGAGTACAGTACTGAAGATTTGAAATTCAATGCGGGTATAGTGGCATGTAAGATTCAAATCTTATATACGTACATGGTATGGAAGATTCTTAGGTGGGAAAAGTTGTTCACTCGTATTTGAAACGAGGGTGTGAGTAGTGGTGAAGATTTGAACCTTAATAGAGATGAAGATTTCAAACTCAAAGTGTGCATATTGAATCTGTATTATGTAAAACTAGCCAAAGTATTTAATCGATCATCCTAATAAGTATGAGTTCTCTAAGGTATCAATAACTTAGGATGGTCTACTTATCTTAAAGATAACAATGCTCTAATAGGCAAGCCAATGTATTATTTAAGACGCCCTGGCTCATAGGGAGTGGTTCTAAAGAACAGTAAACGTTCACGGGACCTTCTCTGTTGGAATTAAATGATCTCTAATATGATACATGATGGGGTATTGTTGAAACGATCTCATGTGTAGTAAAAATAGAAGTCCCTTCGGAAACAAGGTCCGGGCTTCAATGCTAAGTAATTCATGGATGCGACGTCTAACTTTAACTCTTGAAAATGTGTCGATATTTTAAGTGGTGACAATGTGAGTCATCACGTCCTTTTCCCATTAGTTTCCATTAAATTCAAGGCAGAGGTAGGCTCTTAATTGTACGTAACGACGACCTGATAATGTTCTTGAACTTATGAAGAATTCGCGATTTGGTGAAAAGTGAATAGGGTTTTAAAATGTTAGCATTCAAAAGTCTTTTTAATAACAATAGGCTACTTTCGGGTTATTATCTATTATCTAGTGAATCCAAAAAATGATGGTTGTTGTTCTGCTTTTGTTTTTTGTTGTTGGCAATTAGTATTCCCCAAAGTCTATTTAGTTATACTTTTCTTGTGCAGTGCTTTGAATTGTTATTTGTTCTTCGATTCCATTTATAAGAATTGAATCTTCGATTGACTTGTGTTTATAAAATTCCAGAATTTGAAAATGTAATGGATACAAAAGACTCAAATGTTCTTTAGACAATGCTAATGTAGTGTATTTAGTTATCAAGGGATATAACACAATCAATTTCATCTATGTTCAACCAGCGTGTTTGCGACGGAAACAAGAGCTCTGCAAGTACAAGAAGTTGTGGACCTCAAAGATATTGATTCTTGTCGGTAAATACGTCATATTGTGATATAGTTACAAGGCAGTAGAAAGTTTTAATAAGTCACTCTATTAGTTATCGGTCCTTACTGCTAACAGGTTAGTGGTTCGTCAGTGTGCAGAGCGGGTAGAAGGAAGGTGAGAGCGCGCAGTATCCAACGAAGAATAAGTTGTTTATTTTAACACTAGAAAGCATTCTAAATATTCTGAGTTGTTTGCAATAAAGGTATTTCATTTTACTTTTCAGATTAAAGATTGGTGATGGTGTCGTGTTACACGATCGAGATGCTCCTGGTTTGTTGGGTAATGACTTTGCTACACGCGGCTGTGGTCGCGAAGGACACTAAAGCAATAGCGAAAGAACATACAAACAATAAAGCAAGTGAAAGGACTTCTTTAAAAGACAAATTAGATACAATTGAGGAATATCTCAAAGAGAAATCAGACTCATATCAGGATAGCATCGAAGAGAATAGCGATAAAAGAGCATCATTTGCACCGTGGGGTGGAAAACGTGCTTCGTTTGCGCCATGGGGAGGGAAACGCGCTTCATTTGCTCCTTGGGGTGGAAAACGAGCTTCATTCGCCCCTTGGGGTGGAAAACGAGCTTCATTTGCTCCTTGGGGTGGCAAAAGGAATGATGAATCTTTGACAGACGAAGAGAAAAGAGCTTCATTCGCTCCTTGGGGCGGAAAACGAGCTTCATTTGCTCCTTGGGGTGGAAAACGAGCTTCGTTCGCTCCTTGGGGTGGAAAACGAGCTTCGTTTGCTCCATGGGGTGGCAAAAGAGCTTCGTTTGCTCCATGGGGAGGCAAGAGAGCGGATAACAGTGAAACCGAAAATGATAAAAGGGCAGCATTTGCTCCGTGGGGAGGCAAACGCACAAGTGATGTTTCTGAGAGTGAACTAGAAGAAGAGAAAAGAGCGTCATTCGCGCCTTGGGGTGGAAAGCGGGCTGCTTTTGCACCATGGGGCGGCAAGAGAGCATCATTCGCACCATGGGGAGGGAAACGAAGTGCAGATAACACCGTTGAGGAAGATGACGATATCAAAAGAGCAGCGTTTGCGCCATGGGGTGGAAAACGAGCATCGTTCGCCCCGTGGGGAGGCAAACGCGCATCGTTCGCACCCTGGGGTGGCAAAAGAGCTTCATTTGCGCCATGGGGTGGAAAGAGAGATGGAGACAATGACATCGATTACATGGACATGACAAATGAAGACGACATGTCCGGTGCAGTAAACGATCTCTAATCCAAAGTAAGTACTCATAATATCTCATGAATCATGAACAACATCATGAAATAGTATTATGTAATGGTAAACAAAATAAAATCATATCCTAAAAGTTTAGTGAGTAAAACTGAGATGATTCTGGATTTTCGTATAACTATAAGGCTATAGTTATACGAAATCACCCGAATTATCACCAGTAGAAGTTTAAAGAGTTTAATTACTGTAAGGTTGTATATCCCGAGTGTGCAGTGGAGGTTGACCAAATGGAAACATATAATTTTAACAGTCAATCGAATGGAGAGGTCTATGATTTTTCCCCAAAGAAACTGTAAAGTCGGACAAACTGAAATAAGAAATTAAGGCAATTTGCGATACTTTTGACCGGTAATGTATTGTATATAGCCTTGCCAAAATCGGTATTTTTTTACTTATTCTGATCTTGAATAATAGAAATCAAGATAAGTAAAAGAGACCGACTTGGGCAAGGCTATGTATTGTACGATCAATTCAAAACTACTGACTTTTTAAGATAGAAAATATGATAGGCATATTTCGTTTTTACAAGACATTTTAAACGGGATTTTAACACAATTTTCACGCTTATTCACAAACAAAATGAATCAGCACATGATGCAATGACATTGTCGATTCATGCTTATGCACGAAATTCGTTGGAAGTCTTGTATGATCTAATACGAAGTTGCTGTTAGTATTGCAAAAGGGGCGAACGTCTTACACTCAGGAATGATCGTTTTTCATTATACGATTAAAACATTTCTAAAGGAGGATCCTAATAACAAAGTGTCCAGGTGATCCTTTTGTCAATGTCAGCAAAAGCAAAATGATTTCATTAGATTGAAAAATAGCAATTGGCAATTTAAAGGCAGAATCTGATCTATAGGGGGTGACAAAATTACAAGCGACATGTATATTTGACCTACCTATTCCTTACAATATCAAATACAATATCTCCCAAAAGATTCACAATATGTTATAAATTGGTGAAGTTATTAATGATTCAAAGTGCAAAAATGAGTGAAAAATGTTTAAATTCTCCCAAATAATAAGAATGGTTTACCATTCTTATAGAAAAATAATACATTATTGTAAAAATCTTTAGTTTTCCTGGAATAAAGTATGCATTTTTGTGATTTTTAGAAAATAGACATGACAAGGAATGACATGAGCAAAAAGTATTCTAAAATTGAAACAATATTTTGTTTAGCCTGCTCGCTATATCCGATTCTCTCTTTAAAGCATGTGGGCCATTTATAAACTAAACAAGATGGTTTGATGACAAAATGTAAGGAAATCGGTCAAAAAACATTTTTTCATTTTTTTTATTTGAGGCGTTCCCAAGACTTTTTCTCTTTCGCCAGACGAGCACATAGTTCTTTTTCTTCTAGTCTTCTTCTCAGCAACATAAACGAAATTCCCGGGGATGGATCACATTTGGACGTCCACGTATCCTTAGCTAGTTGGCACGTCATTTCTTTCATGCATAGCGTTTGCGTTATTTTATTATATAACTCACTAATACTAGATGGTAGAGTTTTAGGTCTTTATGTGTGAACATTCTCATAGAACACTTCATTATCTTCAAGAGAAGTCACGGCCCTCTATTAAATGTCCTTTTGTAGTTTTTTAGTGAAAAACAAAAAGATCTGATGAGTATCGGCCGGATATCAGAACAGAATGCTATTATTAAGTTCAATAGAATTATTGTAAGTAAAACCATGGGCTCTCAACACTCATGCACGCGAATCTTAACATTATACAATTATATGATTGTATGAAACAGCCTTATGAAACAGTGATATATGAATCGATCGTGGGCCTATAAACTATATATATAATGATAGATACTCATTGCCGACTTGTTAAGTAACTTTAATTAATGAAAACATGCCTTGGTCATTATTAATTTAAATTCGAATCTATTTCTGGAACTTCATTGTCTTTATATTGACTCTGAGAGACGCTCAGTAATATACTTGTAGTAGTCAAACTTTCGTCCTGTCAAGACTTCAAATATGTTAATTGAATCATTAAATGACCAAATTGAATAAATACCAGAAATCATATAATAATGTCGTGAAAAGTCCTTATAAATGTAAGTTGTAAACTACTAAACTTTGATTTGTTTTGATTCGTGTGTCTCAAGGACCTTAGTTCTTTCTTCCGCTAACCCCTGGGCTTTGAGATTTGTATTTGCGAGAGCATCGTCAAGCTATTAATTTTTGCAAATCTGCATCAAGTCAATAGTTTTGGTTTGCAATAATTAATAAAGCAATATTGAATAAAAAATATCGGCTACTTTGTTGTCTATTTTTAACAATCAATTTTAAAGGAACGTTGCGGCATATAATTGTACCAGTTGACCTCGGGAGCGGTCTACAGCTGTACTCTGTAGTCTGTATTAACAAGTACATAGAAACTACTATTTAAAGTCATTAATATTTCCAGAAACCCGATGCAAGTATTTGGCAATTGTTAGCTGCTGGTTAATTAGTACACACGTTCACACTGAACGGTTTCCCCGGAGAAAGGAAGATCCAAGCCATTGGAATCCCCGGGGCTGGGACGATACAAGCCTATAGATGACTATCCATTCGAATTACCAATAGCCTCACGTACGTTATTTTCTACAAGGATTACCACCGAATAATTAATTTACTTAAAAACAGCCCAAGAGTAATACCCAAAATACTGTGTTTAATTTAATTGGACAAATTAATACAAATAGCTGTAAAAGGGATACGATCGGGTCCTACAGGAGTTGGTTCTTTGCACGGAGAACCAGTTTCCTCCAAAGGGAGCAAATGACATTTCTGAAACATTTAGGATTGGTTTGTGTGGCGATGGATTGTTTGTTCATCTGGAGATGAATCATCTAAACGCAGCGATCCAGAATTCATGAGTTTAAAGGACTTGAAAGCATTTGTTCCCAGGACTTTAGGGTGACAACAAACAAAACAGACGAGCTGAGTATTTCCTCTATGTACATGTACCATATCATAGCTATTTTCCGAAATGTCCAATTGTTCAGACTTTACTTTATGATAATACTTTTCAAGCCCTTATATGGGAATCATTATAAAATGTAACTACTTGTATTCGCGAATGCAACTTTCGGCTGTCCGCTACCGGACTAACCTACTATTTTATGACCAACTCATTTAATTATGAATGGAGTGGTGGTAGGTACTATTCATATTTAAATGAGTTGCACATAAAATACTAGGTTAATCCGGTAGCCGACAGTCGAAACTTGCATTCGAGTATACATGCTTTGCGTCTCCTTTTCAATTCTAATGGATTCGGATATTTCTGCATCTTAAGTCTTTAATAACTTTTATGTTTTTGACAAGATATCTCAATTCTTCCCTTGGATAATAAAATAAGCATTGTAAGGGAGACATCGACATGCTTTTATAAAAGATTGCATCCGTACTCGAGGCCCAGAATTTCAGTAATAAAACTCTCGTGCATTTAGTACACATTTTACTATCGTTTCCCTTACTAGTATAATGAATTATTGGCTTACATACTTGCCCTACAGGTAACTTTGTGTACGTATACAGTTAGTGGCTATCTAAATCCCAAGAATTCGTGAAATTCTAGGAAATACTAAATCATATTTTACTCGGTTAAATACTTTTTGGTAAAGTTTTATTATAGACTCTCAGAATAAGTGATATTAATTCATTGGCCTCGGGTTTATTGGCTTTAAAAGGTCGGCATCCTGATCCTTATTATCGCAAAATGTTTTTAATTCATAATCATTTTTAATCTGTGCCATCGATAGACTATATCAGTTATTTTCTGTAAATAGCGAAGCTCAAAAATTGCTCGGATTTTAAGTGAATCAACAAAGAGACTACTTCCAATTTGGACCTATTTTTGACAAGGAGATTCTGCTAAAGTCTATCGATGGTAAACTATTACAGATGGATTCAAGAAAAGAAATTCAGAAGTGCTTTTATGCTTCTTTGTCAAGATTTCAGTTTTCCTAATGCGTATACCTTGTGTTGGAGATTAATTTAATGAAGCCGAGATCAGAATTGAAATAGCCTCACCATTGAAATGTATTACTTTTTAAATATTTGACCTAACCAATGTGGGATCTTACTAACCACAAAATGATTAACAAAACAAACATACGTGGTACTTATTTCAATAAATGTGCCCATTCTACACATTATAGTACAATTACTGTGCCGTAAAATCATCTCAAATATATAAAAATACACTGTACAAATAAACAGCCTACAAAAAGCCAAAAATCTAGTTGGTAGCTAAAAATATATTGATTTGTATGTAACGTATCTACACTCCCCTCAAGGAGTATGACATATGGAAATCCCCTTTAATTTGGACACATCTTCTCAAAGCCTGCTTATGTTTGAATATTAATTTTCCCTCAATTACACGAGGTCCGGAATATGACAACTGTATATTGTTAAACTATAGGATAAAGCAGTTATGCACGGTCGGTTTGGATATTGGGTTCATCAAATACCACCCTCCGAACACAGGCCTCCAGAACTCTCATCTCCTTCTTTGTTTGGAAGAAGGAAGGGACATAGTGGATGATCGATGTCTGGAGCCCTGCGTTCGGAAAATGACCAAATAGTTAACATTTCATCCGAAGGCCTTTCGGTGACCAAACTTATGAAGGGGAGTGTATTTATTCAATTGGTAGTATTTGAAGAACGCAATGATATCAGGATGTAGTCTAGCTAGAACCCCTATGACCCTCCTCCCATTATACTGTAGGACTACACAGATATGAAAACGTCTCACATCTCTGCGGGGAGGTATGTAGTAGCGGGGGGGGGGCACAAAGGCGTGTAGCTAGACTAGCGATGATGAGACTATCAATTTATCCTTACTTAGCAGTGTTACAGGTAAATGACATGCAGGAAATAATTAATATCTGAGGTGAGCGGGGGATATATAATATCTCCCGGTGTATCTTCTGTTCCGCAATTCCCAGGAATTTCGTCTGTGCATTTTCGTGTATTGGATCATACAAACGCTGTAAACAGTATAGGATAAATCGGATACAGGGTATAAACCTCGAAAAATAAATTTATCCTATGCCAAGTAGAGTTTTAGGGAGATAAGTTGGTAAGATATATCCCGTATTCTGATTTTGAGGTTTCCATATCCAGAACCTCCATCTCCCGCTTCGGTGCATATCTTCCCGCTTCGGTGCATATCTTCCCGCTTCCGGTAATTTCACTGAACACTCTACTTGGTATAGGATAAAGCAGTTATGCACGGTCGGTTTGGATATTGGGTTCATCCCTCGTGAGATATGCACATCTACATTCGGTCCCTACGGTCCCTCAGGTAGATATGCATATCTCCCTCTGGATAAACCCAATTTCCAAAACCTCCCAGTACATAACCCTTATATATCTATCCTCGGTCCCTCGAGTTGATATATTGTAATTCCACCAGGATATATCAACTCATCCATGCATAAAAGTGGTTTAACATATTTACAAAAGATTTACATAGAAAAATGTTTTTGCATTTTTCAAATACCTTTGCACCCTAAATGACATCATGCTGACATCAATATGCTAAAACATTTATGTTGCACACTAGATATGAGATTTTATTATTGAAATTGGATGTCATTTTTCAATCTTCACATTGGTATCAAAACGATAATGTGTTTTTTTACTGTAAAGTGGAATATTTGATGATTAAAAAATCTTTTATTTGAAAAATGGAGGGAAATTAAAAGCTGACAATTCTTTTTCAAAATTCTCTTAACTGACTTTTAAATCTATGAAAAGTAGTAAATGAGTGATAAAAGCATATTTCCAAACCTTACACGGGGCCTTTATCATTATTATCACGCGTGTCTATGTTAAAATTGTTCTATAATTTATATCTGTTGAGTTTCCAATTTTTCTTTAAAATTGGAAATATGGGAGTCTAACCTCGCATCTTGATGTACCTAAGATGCAGTGCTTGTCTAAATTACGAACTTTACATGGGGCCTTTATCATTACCCTCCGACTTCAATAAATTATTCAATAGTATTGCTGCTGATAAGAACTTAATCAAGTCAAACGTACCTTTTGTGGTATTTATGAGATTTTGAAAGTAAATCTCAGCTACTTGTAGGTTTAGTGACCTGGTTTTCGGCATTTTCATTTTGGATATAACAGTGTATAAGCCAGAAGAGGCAAGTCAGGTTATCTACAGATTGTTAAATGAAGGATTTGCAGATAGATAAAGTTTTTTCCAACCCTGAGACCCATTGGCTAATAGGAATCATTACTCCCTGAGCTGACAATTTTACAGTTCTGATAAGATCTCGATGTTCCAAAAAGTAGCCGCCATGTGGTTTAATTATTGGAGTATGGCAATGATAAGTGCCAGATACAACAAGAGCAATTTTCATCTATATGATCTGACTGGGTATTAAAGCAAATCAAAATACAGGGTGAGCCAAAAAGGTAACCCAAACAAATGTTAATAACTCAGTCATAACATAAAGCACGGGTTTAAAATCATGTTTTGGTACAAATTAAACTTTGTTAATGCTCTTACATTCCACCAAGTTTCATGAGTCTGTTTTTTGATTTTATGGCTCTTTAAAAAAACTCAAAATCCAAGTGTTGTCTCTGGAGGCACTGGGTGAAATTGCTCTGACTACACGCTCACAGATATCTTATGTAAAGGCTCTAATCATCCTTCTTATCTCTTGTTTCAACTATTTGATGCTTCTACAGAGGTATAACCAGGATTTACCAAGGGGGCTTCCATTTTTCTCCGGTCGGTTTGTTTTTTTAACGGAAGGGGGGGGATGGTGACATGACGAAAACGCTTTCAACAAACCAATCAGATTACAGAACATAAGACAAACGTCAACAACTAGATAGTATAAATGTGTGATTCATTGCTCATGCATACTCAAAAAGTGGAGATGAGGCTATTTTAAAAGTGAAACAAAATTATTAAAAAGGGCAAGGTTTTCAATACATGTTTAAATAAACATATATATGGAGTGCCACAACTTAAAAAATGTTCGAACGCAAACCTGAAAATGACAGATCCTACTCAGAGGGTCGTTTGTAAATTAATGGCCTCAGGGTACAATTATCTATACAATAATCTGTACAATGTTTTTGTTTAAACCTGCCATTAACAAGGTTAACATGGACTTGGCAAATTCTTTCATGAGTTAGGTAAATATCATTATTTTATAGCAACAAACTAAATGAATGCAGATTTGTATTGTTTCATTGTACCATTCAAGACCAACACATCTAATGTCCATCATCAAAAAACAATCCGTGCAAGAAGGTAATCATATAGATATCATAATAAAAATCTATGTCATGTTGGACAATATACAATTAGTTTATGAGATGATTAAAAGACATAAAACTGGGGAGTTTAAATGATTAAATGCATTAGAATAGGTGGGAATGCAGTAATCGCCTAATGGAATACGACAACTCTCACGCTTTTGTCCAACACTGCCATGAATACCTTTATAGAATAATAGGCCCTAATACTATTAACAAAATGTAAAAATCTAGGAAGGAGGAGGGTAAAATTACATTACAAACACACTGGACTAATTGTGAACATAAATGTGTTGGATTAATTGAATCTACTTTGGGTTTTTCAATTACAAATATATTGAAATCTTACCCCCAGTATGAATACTTGAGAAAAACAGCAACACCGCAGAGTAGCAAATCCCACAACACAAAACACACTTTATCAAATCACCCCGAATTAATCATTGCAATATGATCGAAATAAGTAGACTGGCCAAAAAAATTCTTTCAAAATCATGCAGTTTTTCACAATTCTTAGCACTTTTCGCATGATTTCTTTGTCAAAACTGTCAAAAAGCTCCCACTTTGTAAAACCACTCCCCTTGGTAAAACCGATCCACCCTTGGTAAAATCGCCCCCTCCTCTCTTGATAAAGCTGGCTACGGGTCTTCATATAACACAGCAAAATTCGTAGAATTTCGTGTAATATAAAACATAAATGATATTGTTGGTATTTGAGTTATTGCCGGTGTAAAAGGGTAAAAGGTCCTATTAATTTATGGTCTTACTCTCGATTGATTTATATGGTGACCTCTTTGTGCTCTTTCCCTTATTATCTTATACACAATCAGGGCCAGTAAGGGCCTTTAAAAGGGGGGACCATAATTTCTTTCACACCTGTGTAAATTTTGGTCCTACTCTCTATTGATTTATATGGTGACCTAATTACAGTTATTTTCCTTATTATTTATACACAGTCAGGGCCAGTAAGGGCCGTAAGGAAAGGGGATCATAATCCCCAGGGGACCATAATTTCTTTTACACAGGGATGGATCTGACTTGAAGTTTTGTACCAGATATACTTATTGGAATCCAAGTTTTCACACAAAGAAAGGACTGAGCAGACTATGAACAACTTCTCTATATTCCTCCTAAAAATCAGTTTTGGTGGAATAGTATGTATATTCAGTCTAGTGTAGTATTTCTTCAACTCGATGTGCATACAATAAATGAATACATTTGAGTATATATTATAAGACCATATACAATTAATATTAGACAATACATTTCATAAAAACAAATGTATTTATTAGTTTTCAAGTATGTCAAAAAATAAAGCATTGATAAAAAGATCATTGGGAACACTAATATATTCATTTAAATGCATTAGTATTGACAAAACAAATTACTTAAACCAAAAACAAAAATCAAGCATATCAAGTTGCCATTTTTGATGAACTGCAACACAAGTTATTAATGGAATATTGATATCATGTATCCCAGCCTAGGATAAAAACGTCATATTTCTGGTTACCCTTTCCTAAAGTTTTATTCTACATCTGCACTCTTTACATAAGTGATATACATGTACAGTAAAATCTGTGTATATTGAACATTTTTTTGCCAAGAAAAAACGTTCATTGTTGGTAGGTGTTGACTACAGACAGGGTAATCTTATACAGAAGTCGATAGAAGAGTATGTGCAGAGGAAGGGTATCCACCAGGGAGAGGTGTTCACTAGAGAGTGAGGTGTTCACAAGAGAGAGGTGTCTCCTAAAGAGAGGTGTTCACTAGAGAGGTGTCCACTAGAGACAGTTGTTCACTAGCTTTAGAGAGAGGTGTCTACTAGAGATAGTTGTTCATTCGAGAGAGATCTCCAGTAGACACAGTTGTTCACAAGAGAGGTGTCCACTAGAAATATGTGTTCACTAGAGAGGTGTTCGCTATAACAGGTTCTACTGTTGTATTCTATATGATTAGAATTTCAGTAACAGTCCCTCACATTTTGATATTCTAACTTTTATGACAACGGAAAGATGTATCAAGCAAAAACCTAGTCCTGTTATAAGGCATTCTATAGACATCATCACATATAAACTACATTTTCTGAGCATTCTCACATATAAGATTATACAGTAAAATCTATCAAATCCGAACGCCACCTGTACCAGTTAAAAGCATTGTTTAGATTTCAAGGTAGCATTAGCAAGATTTTGAAGAAATATTAATGTATTCTCAATGAATATTAATATTGCTATTGACAACATAGCTTTCCGAAATCCAAAATGTGATTCAAATGAATTAAATCATGCTCGAAAGACCGATTATGATTGAGGCCATTTGATGTTTTTTCAAAAGATATCATAACAAATCAGTGTTGAACTGAAAATATTTGAGCAATTTTGTAATAAATATACGATATTGTGTAAAAAGTGTTCACTGTTTGAATTAGGGGGTGTTCAGCTTACAAGTCCTTTTTAACATGGGAGTCAATGGGAGGATAAATGGTCAAACTGGAAGGTGTTCGAAATAGCCAGGTGTTTGGATTTACAGGTTTTACTGCACAGTGGTAAAATGAATCAATATACAAAAAACAATATTTTTTTTTGATTTAACATTAACTTTATTTGTGGTCCTGCCACATAACATATAAAATAAATAAACATTTAATTTCTCACAAGTAAATGAAATGTGTTGTCAGGTTGTTTGAACAAGGTGAATAACTGACCTACAGTGCCAATCTTTAACAGCACTGTTCAGCCTTTTCATCAGACAGTGCTGTTCCCGTGCTGTTCCGAACAGCAGATCAGGGGGAGGTGTAATGATTATCATGCGATATATATGAATAATAAATATTTATCTAAGAGACATGATCAACATATCAATGCACACCCACATACATAATTAATCATTTTTTAGGGAGGGGGTAAAAGTTTGATTTGATATGTTTCGCTCACTCATATTGTTATTTAATATCAACTTGGCAATTAAAATGATATTATCACATGTACATTCTGTATCTATGTAATGGGTTCCACATTGAAATATTGACCAGATCTCTGAAGCACTACAATTGCCTGCTTTCATGGAAAATATACATAAATAATGATCATTTTTATCAGGTAATAATACAACGAGTACAACAGCTATAAAATACAATATTCACAATACATACCAAAACAACTTTATTCATTTCTTCAGAGAATTTTTTTATCAGATCAAGGCTTTTGACTTGTATCCTCGAGTCTTTTTCAAGATTTGATTTTCAAGACTCGAGGATACAAGTCGAAAGCCTTGATCTAATAAAAAATTCTCTGAAGAAATGAATAAAGTTGTGTTAGTATACTACATAAACCAGAGAGATGAACTTACATAAAAAACATTCACAATGTTATGATTAATTGTATAATTGTGTATTACTATACTATATCCAAACAGATCGGAAGTTTCATATTTTTGGACGGACACAATAGTGTTCATAAATTTCACACTCAGAATGAGGATTCTCCCTTGTTTTTTCAATAATGTAAAATTTCCAATTTTCCTACTTTGTCAAAAAATGTCAAAAGACGGTTGAGATTTTCATTTTATATAAATTATTCATTATTTTCGAAGGAGGGCAAACTGTTTGTAAACTGAGTGCATGGACATTTTCAAAGTGTCATTTGAGTGCAGGACTAAACTGATTCACTATTTGGAGGATACTGAGTGCAAATCATAAATTCAACATGACATGTGATTACAGGTTGATGAGGAAATTAGAATTCTTCCACTGGCACTTACACATTATACATTTAACGAGAAAGTACTGTTTGACAGTGAGTATCTAAAATGTTATCAAGGCATATTAAAGAATGACAATGGCAAGTTCACTGCCCTAGGCAGAGGCCTAAATGACAGTGCCCTACAAAAATAAAACACAATTTCTAAAAAATGAACCCAGTTAATTTATCCAAAATTCTACAAAATCTTATTCCACACAATTTGAAACCTAGCCTCTCCTCAAGTCCACAAGTGACAATGGAATTTCTAGTTATATATAGCATAGAAAATGATACCTCAGACAGACAACATATAACACTAACATATAAAAACAAATATACGCCATCAATATTTGCTGCAGCTTGTCAAAGCTTAGAAAGTTATTGTTGTATAAATGCAGGTTACTTCAGAAGAGTGATAGGATTTATTCCTAAATACAATCATTTCCTAGCGAGTATTAAGGCCTGAGAAAATGGTGCTATTTTTCATTAACACATTTTTATCACACTTTGAAAAAGTGCTATATTGTTTCATATGTTATTATGTCTTACATTAACAAATTGATTGATTGTTCTGAATCAAAATTGGATAAAAGTAATAAGTTAAAGATTTCATTATAGACATTTCATCTGTTTCAAATTGCACATTTATCCCACACCTAGGATTACATCTTTTTAATTCCTTGAAAATTATTTTCCATCCAATCACCCATGGTATAAACGATATTTATTCCAGGGTACGCTGTTATATTTACAACATAACCTGAAATAAATTCTATACCCACTAGGATATCAGTAAATTAAGCAAGAAATAGTACCATGGGTACTGGACTCGCATGGGAAGGAATGGCCGCCATTTTGAAACAAGTTCCCTTAAGCACACACAAGCCCACTGCTCCTCCATTCTTGTACTGTCTGTCCCCGGGTGTCTGTCATAGCCACCATCTATTAAGTTTGGATCATCTTTTTTCAGGTGAGGATCATTCAAAATTTATACTTGCCAAATATTGCAAAGATTCTACAATTTGATTAACGTATTTTGCCAAAACCATATGACTTACACTGCCAATTTTATGGAAACTTAGTCTATTTTTGCAATTTTGAAAAACCCGTGAAGAGTTTATTTTTTAAACAAAATGTAGGTCAGAATTGTTCAGTTGAAGGTCATTCCACAGGCAGTTTTGAATAAAAAATACTCAGTCGGCTGGCCGATGAATCGTAGCAAATGTGACTCAGATATTACATAGAACAATCTACACCAAGGTAATGTCTATCTTACATAGGTGTTCTTTTTAGTATACACTTGTACTGCCCTCTATCACCTCTTGTACAATTATGGTAGCAAAGTCCAGTATGTCATCTGTTGGTACTTTGGAGATCTTTGATAGTTCTTCTACCACCTGGTGGAAAAATACATGTAGATGTTTACAAAGATACTTTTATTTGGTGACCTTTTAAATGACCTTGAGATCTTAGTTTGGGATCCTTAGTATGCCAATTGCATATATTGACATTTGACTTTTAGTTGCCCTTTGAACATGACTTTGACCTACCAAAAAAGTTGACTAAAATCACCAAAAATATGAATCACATTGATTTTTAACTTTGATTTACTACTCAGTACCTTGAATGATGGTAAAGCCATACTTTGAAGATATCTCAGAGTAATTTCCTGCATTTAGACAGCATTTTACGATTTTACAAGGGATGAAAAAATGATACCATATCTACACTTTTTCTAATATACCTTTAATTTGAGTATAATAAGCTATACCTCAGAGGAATATCAATATTTATGAAAATTCCAGTGTTTAGACCACCAATTTGGATTTTAAAAAACAAGAATAGAACACCTTTCTATACAGTATGTATAACAAAGTCAGAAATGTTAATACATATGTATTATCAAATATTCATGCAGTAATAATGTGCTATGTCTTACTTTAATTTGAAATGAAAAAAGAAAAACCCACCATTTTCGAAGTGGCCGCCATTATGAAGAAATATGAGGAAAAATGGTCCACTGGTAGTTTTATGCTCTGGATGGACATACAGAAAGACAAACAGACAGATGTTTCAAGGTCTTCATTATGTCTTTATCAAACTATATTTGACGGATTAATAAATTGTATCTAACATTTTAGCAAGTTCATAATAGTATTGTATGAAGATCATCTTTATGAGGCATTTTGTGTTTATTAAAAGGCTCGTTGTTATGAATACTAATGATAGCTAATGATGTCAGAGAATGGAAGATGAAGTGTAAAAATATTAAAAACAATTCACTTCTTATGTTTTCTGTTTGATTTATCAATGTTCATAATCGATCAACTTGACACAGAGAATGCTTGAATAATAGATTTGGAGCATTATTACAAAAAAACTTTTTAATAAAATGCGGTGTACAAAGCATTAAGTTACTTCCAAGTTGAAGACAAAAGATTGGGGAAGTATCCTTATTAACATTAAATTGAAATGCTGTCATAAAAATGCGAAAAACATTGACTGACATATTTAAAATTATTTGGGTGGCAAATAAATTAAATGTACATCAGTGTAGCATTATTCCATACAATCCCTAAAACACAGTTTAGATATACAAGGCATTAACATGCAAAATATCACCACCTATCATTTACAGGGTGACCGGAAAAAAAGGAGACCATTGAAATAGGCAATATCTCCTAAAATAGACTAGTGACATCAATGAAATTTTGCATACATCAGGACAGTTCTATGGAAATTTGTTCCTGAAAGTCTCAATACAAGCAGTCAACTGGTTCAGGAGCTATGATCATTTACATAACATGCTCCAAATAGGCGCAATTGAGACCAACGCAGAGCTGGATACATTTGGCAAATACCCTTACATATTCCGACCTTGTTATGGCATTACATTTAGTATTACAGATGTCATTTGTTACAAACCACGTCAAACACCATCCCTGGGCTTTCAATTGCAGGGGGCGAGTGTCCAAAATCGCCGTTTGTTTTCGATAATCCGCCGTTTGTTAGAAGTCAAATAGTCTTTCCAGTGGGTGTAAAATTGTGTTAATCAGTTAAAGGCCACATATAAAGTTTAAACCACTTTGGCTTATATTGTTGTCTTATCCAATGTTATCAAAGTGTGAAATGTGAAACTTTTCAATAATTTCAAAAATGTTTTTGAAGGACTTTTTGTTCAAAATATCGTGAATTTATTCAAAACTAGCTTTAAGAGGTCACACATATCCTTTGAAGTGATAATTCACACCGATGCATAGCAATCATCATCACTTGTTTTTTTGCCGACAAAATCAAGAAAATTGGTTGATAGATGAGCGAGCAATGAACTCATCCATGCATGAAAGTGGTTCAGGGAAAGATGCATTTCAAAATTTTAATTCTCATAGAAACCAATGGGAAAATAATATTAAAAAGATAATATATTCATCCTTTTAACCTGGTAAGACAGTCAAAATTGGTTTATTTTTTAAGTTTAGCATATTAAGAAAAGATTGACATTGAAAAATGTTGCCACCTAAGTGATGTCACGATGTGGTCACTTAGGTTGAACATATTTTCGAGATGCTAAATCATTGAATTGGCACATTAGATATAACATTTTTAACATAGTGTGTCCGTTTTTCAATCTTTATATTGGTGTTATAAAGATATAGAGGTTCTTATATGAGTACCTGTGCAAGATCGTCCATTCTTGATGAGCTTTGATAATTCTTCTTTATCAAAGCGACTGTCGGATAAATTATGAATGTAGTTTCGCACAGGTGTCTACGGAACCAAACAGTGAACCCCGCTTTCCCGAACCCGAGTTTCCAGGATTCGCCTCGCATGCCTTCGACTCTTTCTCAAGATTTGGGCCCCGCTTTCCCGAACCCAAGTTTCCATGATTCGCCCCGCATGCCTTCGACTCTTTCTCAAGATTTGGGCCCTATATTGTACCCCTACCTTATCATCCTGGTGTCTCGTTTATAACACCCTTGTATTGTATTTTGTTTACCACCAATGAAGGTGAGCAATACCTCTTAGGTATATCCCGTATATATTATACGGTCGTAATTTACGTAATTAACCTGGAAGATAGACCCAGAAATCCCTCCTTGAAGTGAGATGTCATGGTTTATCATGATGGCTTTCTTCGAGAATACATAATGCGGGCCCGGGAATGCGGGGTGCCACATAAATTGCAACACACCTTGCAACAATGTCTTATGAGGGTAATTTCTTATATTGAGAAGTTTATCATCTATTGAAATTGAATACTTGTAGCTACAAAAAGCGAATTTGTTTGAGCAGTCCTAGCTCAATATATTATAAAGAAAACAATATTTACAACATGGTATCCTTAGTAGACTGTTCAATTTGGAATTTCGAAGCTAGCCAAACATCAGCATTATAGCAAAGATCATCAAAAAAGGATTTTATCAAAGTCTTCCATGTAAATGAAGGTGCGAATTCACATTACCCCCCTATCACACCAAACTCGTTCTTTCCCGTTCTTGCCAGTCCTACGAAAACGTCGTAAAACGGGCTCAATCTGGCTGTGGTCGGGAAATATGTCTGAAATAATTAGCTTCTTCGTTCTTAAACAGTCTTCAATACGTCCTTCTCGTTCGCAGTTCGTTCAGGTCGCACCACGTCGGTGTGCAACGTAGTAGAACGCGTCCCTTAGTCTAGAAGGTCAACATGACCTGATTACAGAACGTTATGGTCGCCATCGAACTTTGAATCGATTCAAAATTCTAAAATCACATTCCCGTCTGAGAACGATCATAAAGTTCGTAAATAGACCTTAGAAAGTTGCAGCTACGTTCATTCCGTTCGCAAACAGTTTTGAAGAACGCAGTGGCAACTTGTTTGGTGTGATAGCTATATTTTTGCTAACTCGTTCATAAGCAGTGTTAAATACGTTCTCAATCAGTTTCAACCCGTTTGCAATTAGTTCTACCTCGTTCTCAACACGTCCTCAGACAATTCAACTCGTTGTTAAAACGTCCCTAGTAGGATTGAAGTACGACAGTTCCGTTCGTAGTACGTCCAGCTCGTCGTTAGTACGTTGTCACTCGTTCTAATTGTAGAACGTGACGACCACGAGAACATTTTGAGCATTGTCTAAGATCTAGAGGACATATCCGTTCGAGTACGTTCGATGAAGTTTGTAAATAGATCCCAAACGGTTCTTAGTAGGTCCAGTCCGTTCGTACACAGTTGAAGCCCGTTTTTGAGAACGTAGTGAGAACTAGTTTGGTGTGATAGTAGGGTAAACAAATTAAGATAAGATCCACAATATGTTATCAAATGGTTAAATGCGCAAAATGTGTAGATATGTTTTCCTTAATAATGTGTGAGGAGGCCTTTCAGGCAATTTTCGAAAGCGTAGTGAGAACAAGTTTGGTGTAGATCGGAGGGGGATATCTCCCACCTCGGTCTCTCTCTAATGCCTAGGCCACATATGCACCGGGCGCTGGCCGATGAGTGGTCATCGGCCGATTTCTAAATCAGTTTCGACAAAAATCATGTAATTCGGCAATTTTAGTTACAAAACATGAAGGTACATTATGTAAAATTTTGAAGACAATTGGTGTATATTTAACAAAATACCAGCACCAGTCCTGTTACTTTTGGAACACCCTGGACCCTCTGGATGTGTTAAAAAACTAAAATGAATCTGATATACACATAATCACAAGTGAATCATCTATTAATACATCACTCATTTTAATAATGACAATTCTAGATTTTGATTTATATCAAAAGTGTTCAATTCAACAGGTGCATTTGGATTTGTGAAATGCAACCTGTGTAAGGGTAAGTTATTTTATAAAAGGTAAATGGCATTCTATATAAGTTGCCCTAGTCATTCCACAGTTCCAGGCGTTATTTTGTGGAGCCCATGTCTTGCCACATCACACGTGGAAATGACTTTGACAAACCTTGGACATCTTTCTTTCAGTCCATGGACTCTTAAATAACACAGTAACAAGAATTTGCATTGTCGGGAGCGTAAAATTGGTTAATTTGAATGCCGCCTCTTGTATTTTTCATCTGCCTCTTGTACACAAAGTTACTGAAACCACTGCATCCATAAAAAAGTTGGAGACTAACAATATATCAACACTTGGTGGTGGTTACATAAAAATGAAACATACATTAAAGCAAACTAGGTGCACCACCAATAGACTTTGATACCAACCTTCTTGTTTGTAAATATCACAGTATAGTTTGAACAAAATGATTCAAGAAGTAATCATGGGTTTTCAAGAAAATAGTATTCAAAATGAGCAGTGCCATGTTTCCCTTTTTGATAATATTTCAGTTTTAGATAAATGTATATGTTTTAGTATTATCTTGAAGAAATGAATATGATTAAAGCATAAAACATGTTTAACCTCATTCAAAAGTACACAAAAAAGACTGATAAGAAAAAGAGGAATCAAAATGTTCTCTTCGAATATAGAGTGTCAGAGATAGAAAGCGATGCCTTTAAACAGAGGCATTATCACATATTATATTGTAAATATATATATTATATGGTGGGTAGGTACGAAAAATTTCGAACGGAATGTGTGACATATATGTAATTCGCGTGAAAAGTCAGAACGGAATGCGTACATTTTTTCCCGCGTTCGTATTTTTGCTGTGTAGACGATCTTTTTTAGAAAATTTTTCTACAGAATTATTTTTGCTTGACAATTAGCAGGTAAAATGCGTATTTGCGTGACATTTTTTGTCACGCAAAAATAATTGGCGTGACTTCAAATTCTTCAGCAAATGCGTGACAAATACGCAAATTGCGGGACAGTTGACAGGCCTGGTGAGGACCTGTACAAATAGTTAAAAAAAGCTCGTTACAGTTGATGAATACCTTGTCAGTGTTTGATTGGTCCACAATATATGTTGCTGCAGCAATGGCAGATGTGCCCAATAGCATCATGTCCCCTTCAACTGAGGCGAATCTCTTTCTGAAATATTGAGTAACTTCATTAATCAACAGTCAGTGTCTTACAAGGACCTTCAGGCTTGATCTTTCATGTGAATTATATCAGACAGTATAGTAAAAATATAAATTTCAATTATCAATGGATCATCTTTCACTGAATTAATATTGGAGAGTGATGAAAAATCTATAGGCTTAAAATGTTCTTCTGTGGACTTTTTAAAACCAGAATTTAACAAGGCATTAATATATGACAAAATGTCATCACCAAGTTGCTCACAATATTATCAGTTCAACCGTAAGTCAGATTTGAATTTCTGAGAATTTTGAAGATGATTTTGAAAAAATTGGTCAATTTGAAGCAAAAAGACCTTATTGACCTTGAGAAGGTCATTGAAGGTCAAATATTTTTTTACCTTGAGAATGTCATTGAAGGTCAAAGCTATAGCCAGATTTTAACTTTTGAGAACTTGTAGATGATTTTGAAAAAAATTGGTCAATTTGAAGCAAGTTGAAAAATTGACCTTAAGAAGGTCAAATCATAAATCTAAAGTCGAATTTGCACTTCTGATAACTTTTAGATGACTTTGTTGTTGTATTTTGTTTACCACCAATGAAGGTGAGCAAAACTTTGAAAAAAATGAAATTCAGTCTAAATAATGTTTGTTAAGTTATTGGAAGTTTTAAGAATTTGTTACAGATGCCAACTGCCAATCGCCAACCACCAACCACCGATCGCAACACCACAAAAATGGAAACCATAACAATATGTCAACACTTTTTGGTGGTGACATAACAAATACATGGACTGATTAGCTAACACAGAATGTGACTTCACATTTAATGCAACTACATGAACTAATGGATATCACAGGCTGAATGGCTTGGGGTACCATGATTTATATTCAGGGCTTTATAACAATGATAAAGACCTTGGGGAACTTTTTATACATTTATATATTTGAATAAAAATTATAAATCAGAAAACAAACAAAATAAACCAGAATATAAAATCTTTACAATAAATAAACCCCATTTGATAAAATAATCGATTTTTGAAATATATATTCAAAATATGGAATTTGGTCTACCTTTTAGCTGGGTCGTCCAGTGGTTGTCCTGTAGCTACAAAGTATAGCTTATCATAAAACATCTGCCTGTTCATATAGACCAAATCTAACACCTTAGTACAGACATCATGGTATACCTTCACTTCAACATCTTGGTCACTGTGTCCTGGAAATAGCAATACAGGGCATTGTCTTATATGTTTCTTACTAAATTCTACACAATAATAACTTTCGCTTAGCAGGCAGATAGTTCAGGAACTGTTTTGTTAACTAAATGGTATTTGCTTTACTCACAAGGGTGGCCGGAATGGTGGGTAGTTGGTACTGCAGGTAAAAATATGAAAGACCTTCGAAACAAAATCTCAATTTTATTTCAATGAACAACTGGTCACCTATCCAATAAAACAAAAACAATACACAAACTAAAATTGAAATAAAAATTACAAGGTAAAATATCATAACCTGCCATTTGTTACAGATGCTGATCACCAAACACCTACCAATGATTGCTGAACATCGTCCACAAAATAGTTGGAGATACAATACATCACCACTTGTGGTAGGGACATAATAAAAAAAATAGAAGGACATGTAGCTTACCTAATATTTCCAGTAGAGTTTCCACAAAAAGCAAGGGAGAGGGTACCATCACCCTGTATTCTAATGTCTTTAGAACTCGCAGCTCTGATTGAAGGATACTTTCTGCGCTGAACTTGTGGCCAATGTTTTGTAAGACTAGTCTAGCTTTGGTACAGGTTATAACCTAAAAATAACATTCAAAATTACAGGGTGGTCCAAAAAACTGAAACCAAATGGAATAACATATAGTCTACCAAGATGTAGTATTTGCAGTACTAGTATGGTCCATTGGAGATATCTAGAATAATTGTGTTGCACAAAATCTTGGAGACCCTACTTAGCATGTGATTTGAATTTACTCTAAAAATGACACCATTTCTTAGAAACAGCCATACCTTGGCATGTGATGTGAGTTTACTGCACAGTTGTATACATGATACCAATTTTAAAATCAGCCGTACCTTGGCATGTGATATGAGTTTACTGCACAGTTGTATACATGACACCAATTTTAAAAAACAGCCCTACCTTGGCAAGTGATGTGAGTTTACTGCACAGTTGTATACATGACACCAATTTTAAAATCAGCCGTACCTTGGCATGTGATATGAGTTTACTACACATTTGTATACATGACACCAATTTTAAAAACAGCCCTACCTTGGCAAGTGATGTGAGTTTACTGCACAGTTGTATACATGACACCAATTTTAAAAACAGCCCTACCTTGGCAAGTGATGTGAGTTTACTGCACAGTTGTATACATGACACCAATTTTAAAAACAGCCGTACCTTGGCATGTGATGTGAGTTTACTGCACAGTTGTATACATGACACCATTCTGAGAGTCATCTGATTCCTGATCCGTTCTTGTATGGCTTGCCATTCCTTTTCTCTTTTCTCACTCTCCATATTCACAACATAATCCCAAAGGTCTTCTATGTGTTTACTCATAAACCTGTACAATAAAGGTCAATGTAAAAATAGATCCATGTACAACACTGATGAAAATTAAGTTCATATAATTAACTAATGATAAAAAAAGCTGAATTGTGAAACTAGACACAGAGAAGCAGAAGCTCCACATTCTGATTTATCAGAGTCCCTCTTTACCTAACGCTTTTGAGAGACTCTGATATATCGTGAGGCAGAACATGTTCCTAGCCAGTGCATTCTCCAAGTAAATCAGTGTATATGGAGGAATAAATTAGTGCCTAAGAATGCACCGTTTTGTTTTCCCCTTTGTAAACTTTAATTCAATGAATTCATTATGTGGAAAACTTTTATTTATCTTGATGGTTCTTGTTTTTATATTGAAAATTAATAACTATGATAATGTTGACATACTTCTTTTTTCTTATTATTTTCAAATTTAGAATTTTAAACAAGAATTATCATGCAAATGTCAACACTTGGATTATTTGGGAGGGAATTGTGTTTGGTCACACTCATTAGGCTTTGTCTGATTATGTAATCATGCAACTGCAGGTAATGCCTTCCCATGATACTCATGGTCAATAGAACTCTGTAAATAATTTGATTGGTCCGTACATTTCAGGGTTAAAGGAAACATTTATTACAGTCAGTATCCCACAGTCTGAACTATTCCAAAAGGATAGTAAAGGCTGTGGATCCCACAATGGAAGCTCCATGGATTGAGTATTTGTCATCAACTGGAAACACTAACGAGGACAGAGGGACAAACTAACAGTTTCTCTATATTATAAATCACAAGTTGAAATCGCTTTGACTAAATTTTTTAATAATTTTATATTGAAAATCAAATCAATTGTCAAACCTTAAAAATGGCCTCCTTGGTACAAAAAAAAGAATCAAATAAAGAATTAATTAAAAGACAACAGAAGTTTGCTTAATATTGCTCCCTCAAATACCCTCCCTACCATGGAAAACAAACAAACAAACAAGCAAACAAATAAACAAACCTATCAAAGAGCTCAGCAGAAAGGAATCTTGAATGTATTGGTTGTTTAAGTCTCTCTGCCATCAGAAGCACACTTTCAGTAACCAGTCCACATTTGAAGAGGCTCTGAAATTGCATTGCATTATGTTCACAATCAACTAGAAAAACATAAAAATAACTACATAACAACAAAGCCAAGGTGTAGCAAATCGCATTGAGCAACAATGGCAATCATTTTTCAAAATGGCCACTTAGTAGCAAAATAGACTTGATGCAAAAAGGAATAATCTTGATTGGCATCATAAAAAAATCAAAATTCATATCATATTCACTGGCGGATCCAGGTGGCTCAGGGGATGGGCCCAGAAAATTTTGCAGGGCTTCAAAAAAAAGGCTTTTTGAGGGATAACTTGGCCTTTATCAGGCCAATTTACAAAAAATTGGCCTTAAATTTTCAAAATGTGGGTCCAGTTTTTGCGTCCACCACGGAAATATTTTTCCTGACTTGAAATGACAGCCCCCTTGCTTGTTGATGTTAGCTTCCGGATCCGACCAGTGATATTTTAATTCTACATGTAAAATTTCATAACACAACCAGGCTAGAATGCCATGATCAACTGAGAGATTGTGCAAGACATTTAGTGTTCTGAGAATGGAAAATGCCTTTTATTTTCTGCGACTTCTGAGATTCGTAATATAAAGTGAAGAGTGTGAGACAAAATTGATCACTCTTGCAAAGGATGATTGCTGAATTTGGAATTAATTTAAATACACATAATAATTCAATTCTTTACCTTCCTCTGACTACACTGTTTCATATGTTCTGCATTCTCAGTTGCTAATATACTAAGCCAATCTTGTAGGAGTTCTGTTGACATCCCTTGTGGTCTCATGTTGAACAATGGTTCTTTGGGAGTTCCAAAAATTCTCAGCTCACCTCGTCTTGTCCCCATGGTAGGTATTATGTCTAGCTAGCTAAAACCAAGAAAGATAATATTAAATACAGTAAAAGTGGGCCCAGAAAAAAAATTGGGCCCTAAAAAACTTTGGGCCAAAAAAGGCCTTATGTCTCCAAAATGTGCACCATTTTGGCCGTTACTGGACCTTTTAAGGCCTTATTTTTTAATTTTAGGCCAAAATTTAAAGAAAATGTGCCTTAAATTTTCAAAGGAGTGGTATCGATATGGAGAAATTTTTGAACACATGGTTCTCTTAAACCAGTCATAAAAAAAATCTAAAAATTTTACACATCGTCAATTTAATGGTCGTCTTTTGAATGGTAACAATATAATTTGAAAAATATATAAACTTTCATCTATATTGTTTTAGAAAACACATCAAACACTTGTTTTGTTCTTAGTATCATGTTTCCAGAGTGAAATGAAACATCTTTCCGAACCTCATTGAAACAAAATGACATAAACACAACATGTTTAGGTCTCTCAATATTGTAATTGTACAATGGATTGATTTAAAAAAAGTATCTTGTTAATGAAATAAAAGGTTTATCTTGATTTTTATCTATTGTTTTAATTTTTTGAATAGATCTACTTTTTTAAAATCAACCAAAAATTCCTTTGTATAACTTTAATATTGAGAGGTCTAAAAACATGTTTTATATGCTATTTTGTCCCAACAAGGTTCGGAAAGACATTATATTTCATTCTCAAGAATTGGTAGAAACTAAAAATATATATCTATAATTCTGGAAGAAGGATAGTCCTGTATAATACAGATCTTTTTATGTATTATTTTCATGTCATGTTAAGGGGGGGGGGGGGGGGGGGGCATTGTTTAATTGCTCACTGGACATGGGTTAGTTGTGGTGAAGATATTTCTGTCTCATCAGGTGCTTATCAATTCCATTCTTGAATTGATTTATATCTGTGGTGTCTATTACAGATTGTAGGGAAGATTATGAATTATGAAGATAGAAAAAAGGGATGGCCTAAGGCATGTCCCTTGAGGGATACCTGATACAACAGGGGCCCATTAAATGTTAATGTTAACAAAAATGTTAATGTTAATGTTAGCAAAAACAGTTATATAAAATATTTATAAATTATTTTCGCATTAAATTGTTGTCAATCAATCAGTCAACATTACATGAAATACCGTGTTTTTTTCAGAATGTTTTCAATGATAAGAGAAAAATATTGTTGAATTCAGTTCTCCATATCGATACCACTCCTTTTGGTTTTAGGGGCCCAATTTTTTTTTATCAGACCAAAATTTGGCCCCCCACTTGTTGGTTCCCAGATCCGGCCCTGAATCTTGATCTGAAGGTTACCTGTATTTTACAGGTGGGCAGGTGACCCAGGCTTTTATTTGTTTCATAGGGGTGGTAGGATCAAAAAGACATTCCAAAATTAATTTATTGGCTATCTTTGAGATTATGTTGTCATTTTTCAAGATGGCTGCCATGTGTTTCTTAAATCTACATGTCTAGCTTTATTAACGTCCTATAAAACTTTTTTACATTTAAAACACAATGCAATTACAGTTCTATATACTGTACCTAAATAATTGTAAAATCGGCACTAAAATGGCCGCCATTTTGAAACGAGCGGCCATTTTGAAAATTGGCTTTCGAGCAGAACTTCTACCCGCATAGTGCACATGTGTATGAAATATAAACAAAACAGTATTTGAGTTATTGCCCGGACAGACGGACGTACGGACATCCGGAAGGACGGAGGCGTTCCCTATATCACTCCGAACTTTGTTCGATGGGATAACAAATGGGTGCTATCTTGTGAAGAGCAAGAAAAAACGAACCTCGCGCATGCAGATTGGCCTGATTCCTTCCAATTACACATCCCAACCTTGCTTCAGTAAACACGATTTCTTATTTTCAACGACAATTTGGTTACTTTTAATTCGGTAAGGAACTTTTTCCAATTGTGGTTAGCAATATAGTTACACGACGACAGAATCTCAAAGATAATCATGCAATAAAATAATTTTGGAATGTGTTTTTGATCCTACCACCCCTATGAAAAAAATAAAAGCGCCTGCCTGGGTCGCCTGCCCGTCTGTAAAACGCACCCTCCACTTTGACAATGACTAGCTGGTTACGCCCCTGACTTACCTATATTATATAGAAGGTTGAATTGCTTTAGGAATGTCCAGAATACAATACTTCTTCTTCAGTTTTTTAAATACAACAGAAAGAACGAAAAAATGAACTCAGCAAAAATAAAAGACAAACTATTAATGCGCATGCAATTTTGCGCACAATGACGTCACGATTCAAGATGGTGGTCCAGGTTAGACTTTGAACTAAAACCAGGTACGTTTTTAAATATTGCTTGCATATGATTGATTCAGCTTATAGCTTTGACTGTTTAATTGATACATGAAGTAAAACAGCTCATTTTGGCACTATATGTTTTTCGAATTAATGAATATATCCTACTAAATTGATACCATAGCCAGTCCAGCAGAATGAAATTTCAGGAAAAGGCTAACAAATAACATGAAAACAAATTATTTCAAAATCCAATGTCTAAAAAAGATCGAGTCGAGTTCCCTAAGAGATTAGGTGTCCCGGGGGAGGTTCACTGTATATAAACCTTGATGGGCATATGCTGATGGGGATCCTCGTATACTAGACTCTATAGATCTATTCTATTTAGTCTGAATAATCTATATTCAGACTATAATATACTAGGGATCCTTGGCTCATGTGGGGAATCACATGCAATGTCAATGGACCCACATTTTAGGTTCTGGTATGAGAATGAACGCCAAATTATGACTTTTGATATGTGGCAATCAGCGCTTGCATTAGGTTAGAAAATTTGTGAGTCCCAAGGATGCAATTTTTTTTTAAAAAGTGTGTCCCTTATTTTTCAGTTTTTGATTTCTTGCCGCAAATTTAAAACGGAAGTAAACGTTAAGTACGGACTGAATAAATGCATGTTCGTTCATTCGACAATGAATACATTTTCTTTCATGAATAACCTAATATTTGTTTCTGAATAGGAAAAGCTGTGGCGTGTCATGGTTTCAAATCTAAAAATAAACAAAGTCGAAAAAGTTTGAGAGAATCATGATTATTTGTAAATATTCAACATGTTGAGCCTTATTTATGATTCAAATAAAGGTGAGAGATCATAATTATTTGTTTTTGTTAGGTATCGTTGTAAACACATTGTAGTATTAACCTAAAAAAAATTTGCGTCCTCCAAATTATTTTTGAGTCCTTAACATGTACGGGACACCGTTAATGCAAGCCCTGGGCAATGGTCAGATTTTTCCACTCTGGTATGAGAATGTTCGTGAAAAATATGTTACCTCTCACTTGTATGGCATTTGTCTAGTAGTTACAGCCCATTTCATTGTGTTATTTTGTCAGTAAATCTTAAAAATAAGAAATTAAAAGATCAGTGTGCAATAATATATGGAAAAATATATTCCTATTTTACATGATGTGGACGCAAATTTCGATTAATTACATTATAATTTCCACTGATACCAGAGAAGATAAATCAATAATTTAAATGATTGCCAGTAGAATGTAGCTAGAATCTATGAAAAGCCATTCAGAAGTTTCGGATTTTCCTTTACACAAACAAGAAGCGATGCAATTAATTTTCAAAATAAGCTTTTGCAGTTTGTATGGATATACAAAGGGAAGATATGTTGTCATTTTAGTTTAGGGAAGGACAGGTAGTGATTTGCACAACTTAGCCCAACATTTTAGTAGTTATTTGGTAGAAATTGTCAGTGATTCACTACTAGAACAACAATACTGAGGTTGAATGCTGATGATTAACACATTTTCTCATTTTCAAGTACGGATGCAAATGAATTTCAGGTGGGTGCAAGCCTTTTTCTAAAACTTCAGTGGGTGCTGTGCCCACTTGCATTAATGCTGGGGAGATCATTGAAGAGATAAGTAATGAAAATGGATGGGGCTTAAAATGGGCTTATTTACCCTTATCCGTCCCAAAGAAGTTGAAATTATCTCTGGGAGAGTATACCTCCATATCTCAAGATTTATCAGAATTAAACTTCACAAAATGATGTCTTATTTTTTTAATTGAATCATCTTAATTTAAAAAAATATGATTATTACCATGAACTGTATCACCCTTTTATTATATTCAGTTAGATATTTCTAGAGATTTTTTGAGTGATTTCGGGAGCTTCTTTTCAAACCTCTTCGAAAGCCTTTGTGAGAACATGTTTATAATATTATCTTAACTACTATACATTAATAGATGTGTTAAGATCTTAGACAATACCTGTTGAAATGTAAAGAAAAAATTGAAATACTTTTGAATTGAATCTCAAAAAAAGATCTCAAAAAGTCATGGTCAGATTTACTTGAAGAAACTTGGTACCACATGTTTTGATAGCCACAGTTCTTCATCAGTTTGACTTGATTTGACCTTACTCATTAAAATTGACATCTTGTTTATCAATAGATCATAAATGTCAATACAAACACAATGGAAGCTTACTTAATGACAGCTTACAATTCCTGATTATATATTTTATTTACTTAAACTGTATGTCAAATGTTACTCTGTTATCCTCAGGATAACAATATTCAACTTTTGCAGTACACTGTTGACCTCTAGCCCTCTTGGAATTAAACTTGAAAGAAGAAATATGCGTATTATATTTCAATATACAGGGCGTCAAATAAGTCTGTTCTCCCCCCTTAATTTTCTAAATTCAGAGATAACATAGGGTTGGTATATATCATCTTAAAGGGAATTTAATTTGCTGATCACACACCAAATTTCAGAGTGATTGGTTAAATTCCAAATTTTTTAGAATATTTTTAGTGATGTCCATATTTCACTTTTTTAATAGTCTGTATGTCTCCCCCAGCAGCCCGGATGGCCTCAATTCTACGAGGATATGATCCTGTATAAATCATTCAGGACGTTTAATTTAGGTGTTATCAACTATTTTGTGATGAAAGATGCCCCTGCTTAAAAGGCTCCCCTGAATGTAACACATTTTTCTCTGTAATGATATTGAGAAACATCGGAATCACTCAATGTTGGCATTGTCACTGCAGTATCAACTTTTCACTTTTCATTCACTATACCTGGTAATTTTACTTGTTTTGACATAATCAAAGGTCAACTACAACCTTACAAGAAACATTGTAGGAATTTCATTAAGAATATTTCATTATTGATTTTTTGAGGGTGATCAGCATTTTCCATGAGCATCAAAATGATATATGGGAAAGTATGATAAATTAAAGATAAAAAAGTTAAGGGGGGAGAACAGACTTATTTGACACCCTGTACATTTGTAAATAAAATGAAATTGGCCTCTAATGATTTTAGCTCAGTTCAAGGTTTTTGACCCTATAGTGTCATGAAATAAATCATGCACCAAAAACTGACACTTCATTGAATTTAAACATTTATTGTTTTGTGGAATTGCTTTTACCTCTAGAATCCCATTCTCTAAAATTAGTTTGAAACCAGAGACTTTTTCATTTTTGTCGGCTTTTGACATTTTTTTGTTTCATGCATATATAACGGGTAAGGTCATTTTAGTAAAATTAGTGGCAGAGATCATTTCTACACATTAATTTCAAATATTTTTTTGTAAATTGAATGAAAATTGTCCAAATAAAGCAATATTAGTCAATAATTTTGTGACATATTATCTCGTCACTCTAGGTTTCAAGGTCATTTGGTCAGGTGACTCTGGGTAGTCAAGAGGTTAATAACTGCATTCATAGTAGCTGCATTCCCTGCAAAAGACAAAAACAATGATAAAATTAAGGTTTAATACTTTATTTATGTATTTTATTCATGTTTTGATAAAAAGATGGCATTCTTTCAGTCTATTGAAAGTCTATTGGAAATGGGTTCAACACTTTTCTCGTATTGTCTGGTCAGCAAATTTTATTTTTTCATGCATATCTTTCTCATTTATCAGTATGCCCTATTCACAGTTTACAATTTACAGGGGGCTGTATAATGGGTTTAATACAAAAGTCAAATAAATGCCAAATCAAATCTGTGATGTGATGCGATTAGAATGAAGTGTATGTTTAAGATGAAACCAAGCTTTTTTCTGTTAGTATTTTGAGTAATACCCTTTTTTGAAAACTTCCCAAAATTCCAAGATATGTAAAAGAGGAAACATATTCAAGTTTTGAGTTGCCACATTGAATATAGAAAATGTTTTATTTTCTGTGTAAGGGATTTTTCACCTTTCAAGTAATGTTATTTTGAATTTATAAGACATCCATGTTGAATGAATAATATTACGACTCGCATAAACATAGTTGCCCCTCTGAACTTAAAGTTACTCTCCTCAATATTCCAGGGTAAATGAATTGGAGGCTTGTGAAACTGGTTGGTTAAAGAGTTAAAACATTTAAAGGCAAAGAAACGGGGTGAGTTAAGTTTATTTTTATATTTCTCATTTCAGGTACCTGACCTATGAATCGGAGCAGTATTCTTCCTATGAGACACATGTATGGAAGGACCACAGAAACTCATTGGTTTAAGTATTGCAGCACGAATGTGGGAACAAATGAAGACCAAAAATTTTATGATCATGGTGCTTTTTGTAATAGCGACCAGTATTTCAATATGGTTGCTAGGGAGTCCGACACCTCATTTAAAGACATTTGTGTCAAAGACTCAACAAAAAATAACTGATATAAGGAACAATATGAAATCATTGCCAAGTGGACCTGACTTTAGCGTTTTGGATCAGACTTACTTGGAACAACTAGGGTTTTATTCTGGTAGTAAAATATACCCTAATACCACAGAGCCAAATATGGAGCTACCCATGATTGCAACAGCAGTATCATCATCCTCAGATTCAGTGATGTTAAAGTTAAACAAGTTGTTAGACTCCGTTCATAAATATTTTCCATCTGCGATGGTGACAGTTTTTGACTTACACCTTGATCCCTGGGACCTTAAAACGGTAAGAGTTTTAATATAATTTCCAAAAAGTAAATATATAAGTTTTTAATGTAAAAAACAACATAGGTACCTCAATGTAAAATATCTGGGCCATTAAAACTTAGTTAATGAATCTGTATTTGTTTTTCTTCGAGTTGAATAGAATTTGGAAAAGAGGGGGCAGTGATAGTCCAAGAAATGAATTAAGTAGGCAATGTGCCCACATGATTAAACTTGGTATAACAACCAATTGAGGATTTGAAGATCACCTTGAAAACCCATTCATGAAAACCCATTCACACCCTTTTAAGAATTTGAAACATGAAAAAGAGAAACAACTGTTGGACACATAACACAGCAACTGCTTTTTCATTTGCTACTTTATCTTTCAGTTAGAGAAACACTGCAACGCTTCAACTCAATGTATAGTAAAGACATTTGAATTTGACAAGTATCCAAGCATAGTAGGAACACTTGGAAATATGGCATATAAACCTATAGCTATACAGGTAAGAGTTTGGATTTCACGCACATGTAAATTCATAAAATACACAGATTGGGTCATACAGCACCCTAGATTTTGAAATATCAAAAAAGAAATTTAAAGCTAATAGTATGTGTAAGTTAAGAAAAATGAATAAATTAAATTGATGTCAAATAAAAAATAAAGAAGTCACATCCTATGTTGTTCCAGATATTTACTTTCGGTTAATTTATCCGCTTCAAAATTAGTTTCATGTTCATTTCAGCTAATTCTCAAAGAATATGGCGCTGTTATATGGGCCGATTTGTCGGAATATTTTCTCAACAATAATATAAAGAACATTATAAAAATTGCGAAAACATCAGGCCTCGCTGCTTGGACAATTAAAGGAAACTACCCAACCACCACATTGACTCACCAAAAAATGTTTAGCTTTTTCAAAACAAAAGCTGAACTTTACAAGTTTCATAATATGATAGATAGTGACCATTTAATAATATATAACACTTACAGGATGCATAAGAAAGTCATGTTACCATGGGCTGAGTGTGCGATGACTGAGGATTGTATAAGCCCAATGGGAGCGCAAAATGTGGGTTGCGATTTTAATAAGAAACCAAAATATAAGTACTCTAATTGTCATCGATATGCTACTTCAGCCTTAAACGTCATCTTAGGACCTGTCTTTGACTACCAGCTTGTACACTATAAAGTAGATGATAAAATATTTGGAATCTTAAAGGAATCTCTCAATTCAACAGTGAAATCTAGCTCTGAAGCAAAGAATGCTGGTTCCTCTTGAAGAGCCTGAATATCTTTGTTTAAACATCCAAGTTGATTCTAGTCTGTGAGATGTAGTCAATTAAAACTTACATTAAAATACAGGGTTGATTAGTTTGAAAGAATTATTGTACTAGTTTGAAAGAATAATTGTACATGCACACTTGACTGATGCCTGTCATATTTGATCTACGGCATCCGTACAGTGGTTGCAGCTTCCCAAAATCGAGAGAATATGCAACATAAAATATATAGCTGTAGTGGTAAGCAGTACAATGTAGATTTTCTATATCGCCATAGAGCAAATGTGACTGAGGCTTTAACCTCTTGAATACCCAGAATGACGGATATATCTGTCACAAATAAAATCCATTTGGAACCCAGAGCGACAGATATATCTGTCACAGAATTTTTCACTAAAACTGCTCTAACTTTGGCATTTTTATCCAATCTTCACAACTTATGTTTTAGAATGTATGTAATGGGTCTATGCTTACTATTCTTATGAAATCAAATATCAAACATAGTGTTTTTGGATGTAAATATCCAGAAAACTAGCAGAAAAAGAAAAATGCTCTGGTTTCAAACCCTTTTTAGAGGCTGGTATTCAAGAGGTTAAAGGACATCTTTGCAAAAATGTTTTGGAACCCTAGCCATGGCAAGACATCTTGAAGAGTAAAAACATCTAACAAAGCGACTGTAAATCAATTGGTTTTAGCTAAAGGTCTTACTCAGGTTTTAAATGTATCATTAAGAACAAATACAGCATTCAAAGCAGAAAAAACATCTTCGTTTTGGCAGATCTTTCTTCCATGTTCCTTGTATAAGCCACAAGCCTTGCCATATGTCTCATGTTTCTTTTACAATATAATTTCTTTGATCAGTATGTATTTTTAAATATTTATTTTTCTTAAAAAAGGGGAAATGGATTGCCATCCCTTTAAACTTTGACTTCCTAGCCCCTTGGCCAGTGCTAAACTGATGGTTATCTCATTTTTAATTGAGATCTACCTCCTCCAAGATGTCATGGAAAAACAAGTCTAGAGTAAACTCAAGTATTTTTTGTAAGACATCTTAAAAAGAGTAATGTGAACTCGCTGGAATTTTTGAAAGACCTCTTAGCATAGATGTCTTGGAATGCTTTGGTGTAACCAAGGTTACAATATCTACCTTTCATTAGGAAAATAAAATTACGAATGAATGTTGGATGTTTTTTCTCCTTTTGTATTTTATCATAGACAACACAAAAAGAGAGGTGGAAAACCTGTGGCCATTTGTTTCATTTATAATGTTCATTGTTTGAATGTGAAATAGATGTCAGCTACATAAAAAGCTTGAATTTTTTCTAAATCATCTGTAAGTTGCCAGGGTTTCATATATTTGACCTTAGATTTAAGATTTGATCTTTTGTTCACCTTCAAAAGATCAAAAAATAAGTTTTAGATCAAGGGTTAATGCCATCAAACTGTGTCTCAAATGATGTTATCTAAGTTTCTAAGAGTTGGGGACAGGGGACAGCGAACAATGAAAAACTCATCTCAGATTTTGACATTCAGTGACCTTCAGCTGGTGAAACAGTTGGTTTTTCATATTGTTTATTTCGATTTGAATTTAGGTCAAATAGGTCAAAAAAATTAGAGGGCGCAAGAAATTTTGAAGTCAGCTGATGTCAAGTTCATTGAATTAAGTCACAAAAACAGTTCTTCAGTTTTGATACTACAGGGATATACATTCCTATAAAGGTTGACTTTTTGACCGTCTATAAAGATTTAGCATGAGTTTTGTTTGTTTTGATCCTCATTCCTCAGTTCACACTCATATTATGTATATTTGGTCTTTTGTAAAAAACAGGCTGATTTCATATTCAGATATGTAGCCTGAGGATGCAATAATTAGGCCAGACAAAATTAAGCCAAATAGGATGCGATACATCTTTGGGCATTATTTTCATAGTTTTACTCAAAAAATGTTTAAAATACATATTCAATAAAATTTGCCCAACCCACAAATTTAAAGAGCTACTGGTAGTTATCCCAACGAACGAAGTTCGGTAGGGATATAGTGAAGCCCTCCGTCCGTCAGTCCGTCCGTCCGTCAGTCGGTCCGTCCGTCCGTCTGTCTGTCCGTCCGGAAGATAACTCAAATATTAGTTGACGGATTTTCTTCATATTTAGTGGAAAGATGTATATTGGTGAATAGTTTTACGCAAAAAAAAATTTTTTCAAGATGGCTGCCGCTTTAAAAATGATGGGACTTTTTTGCAAAAATCATATATTTTTCATTCTAAACCAAAGTAATTAATATTATTGTTTGAAATTTTGGTAGTATATTCGCAACATCTATCTATTTCACATATATTCCGTGTTTCATCCTGACCCCCAGGGGCCGTATATGGGGGGTCAGGAAAACAGAAATTTTCGCTTATTTTTCGATTTTTCTGAAGTATAGCTTTATTATACTCAAATTAAAGGCAATTGAGAGTAGATTGCAAATATTGTATCTTTTTTTCTGATTCGAGCCTCGTGAAATTCAAAATGGCTGTCTAATGTACGATTTCGCAATAATTTTTCGATCCCTTCAAAGTATGGCTATATTATACTCAAATTGAAGGAATTTTGGAGTAGATCACAATTATGGTATTATTTTTCAGATTTGTACCTCAGAAAATTCAAAATGGCTGCAGGAATTCGCAATTCTAAAATCTAAATTTTTCAATTTTAACCAAAGTAATGAGTATAATTGATTGGAATTCGGTAATTGATATTTTGTTCGTTGGGATTTGCTACTCCGCAGAGTTGCCGTTATCTAGTTTGATTTCTCATGGCATGGGTGGCCAAAACATTTGGTGGCCATATCATTTACATTATGAAATGTAAATTATAAAATGCATAATGTTTTATAGCATGTATGTCATCTATGAATGATCCTTTGTTGCCAAATTGAGATGCTAGGGGGGGGGGCTATTTTGGGTCCTTGAATTTTTTATCCTCCCTCCAGCATTCCTCATTCATGTAAATGTTTTAAAGATTGTGTACTTTATGTACATTATCTTAATGAGCTCACATGTACAGTAAAAGCTGTGTTGTGGAACATTTCCAATTATAAGGGGAACACCATTGACTTAATTTTGATTGAACCTCTTTAAGTGAAACACCTTCTGAGTCGAACACTGTAGCTGAACCAAGAGTGTTCCACTTAAACAGACTTTACTGTACCATTATTAAGATACACAAATAAAGACTACACTCTATGTATAGTCATTATGTCACCACCAGAAGTGGTGACATATTGTTATGGTCTCCAACTTTTTTGTTGTTGACAGCAGTCGGCGTTTGGTGTTCGGGGCTCTGCACTCTGCACAAATTGCATGTGGTGACATGTTAATGTTCTTGTTATATCACCACCACAAGTGGTGACATGTCTCCAACTTTTTTGTGGGTGGTGTTAGGCATCTGGCAGTCTGCATTCAGAGTTTGGTGTATGTAACAAATGGTAGGTGGTGACATTTTGCATGTTAATGCCTTGTAAATAGTTGATAGTAGGATCTACACAATTACATGTTTTATGAATCATTCCATTTGTTACATTTTAAAATGCTATAAAGATGTAAAATATACTATACTTGTTCCCACCAAATGAATCAAATATTAAGACTTGTGTAGAGCCAAAATATTTAGATTTCATTATTAGGTGATATAATGTAACTTGTGTAAGAAATGATTGTACTATAGATTATTTTATATTGTTACTTATATGCTTAAGAATGGCAGAAAATGTTCAATAATCATTGACTGTATAACAGTTAAGGCTGTAATTTGATTTAATAAAATTATAAACATAAAAAGGTATTTTTATGAACCTATCAGAAGAGGTAAAAGTGACATCACCATATACAGTAAAACCTGTCTTAGTGAACATCTCTCTCTAGTGAACACCTGTCTCAAGTGGAGACACACATAACCCTCTCTATAGTGAACACCTACCAACAATTACATAAAATAAGTTCATAGTCTGGTCATATTAAATCCATTTATTAGTTTTCAATTTAAATTAAGTGATCATGAATGCAGTTTGCATTCAAAACGTCTAAAACAAAAAATTGTAATAAAGTCTTTGACAATGAACACAAATAAATGAACCTACCAACAATATTTTTTCTTGGCAAAAAATGTTCAATATACACAGGTTTTACTGTATCGTTATAGTCACTATTTTTGTGACCAACATTTGGCATTGGTATTTGATATGTGTAGCATGTTGTTACATATTTGTAACTGTATGCAATAGCATATGGGGTGGTGACATGTTTGCCATTTTGCTGCCTTAATTATCCCAACGAACGAAGTTCGGTAGGGATATAGTGAAGCCCTCCGTCCGTCTGTCCGTCAGTCAGTCAGCCAGTCCATCCGTCTGTCCGGAAGATAACTCAAATACTGGTAGATGGATTTTCTTCATATTTAGTGGAAAGATGTATATCGGTGAATAGTTTTACGCAAAAAAAAAAATTTTCAAGATGGTCGCCGCTTTAAAAATGACGGGACTTTTTCGCAAAAATCATAACTTTTTCATTCTAAACCAAAGTAATTAATATTATTGTTTGAAATTTTGGTAGTATATTCACAACATTTATCTATTTCACATATATTCCGTGTTTTTCATCCTGACCCCCAGGGGCCGTGTATGGGGGGGGACAGGAAAACAGAAATTTTCGCTAATTTTTAGATCTTTCTGAAGTATAGCTTTATTATACTCAAATGAAAGGCAATTAAGAGTAGATTGCAGATATAATATCTTTTTTCTGATTCGAGCCTCGTAAAATTTAAAATGGCTGTCTAATGTACGATTTCGCAATAATTTTTCGACCCCTTCAAAGTATGGCTATATTATACTCAAATTGAAGGAATTTTGGAGTGGATCACAATTATGGTATTATTTTTCAGATTTGTATCTCCGAAAATTCAAAATGGCTGCTTTGCAGGAATTCGCAATTCTAAAATCTAATTTTTTCAATTTTAACTTTTAAGTAATGAGTATAATTGATTGGATAGGTAATTGATATTTTGTTCGTTGGGATTTGCTACTCCGCGGAGTTGCCGTTATCTAGTTATTCTCTTTTGCTAATGTCATACATTGTAAATGAAGTGAAAAAATGTAATTTAATTGACAATGTTATATCAGATATGATCACTCCACAATGAGGATTCAATTTAATTGATATCACAAAGACAGATGCCATATACTGGTGTAGTTCATGAACACATCAATATATTGATTTATAATAGGAAATATGTAAAAAGTATAGCAGCAGGAGTAGGTAGAGTTCACATTCATTTGGTTGTGAAATTTAAAATATGAGATAATATCTGGTACTTTGGGTAACTCCTCATCAAATACTTTCAATTTGAAACCAGGAGGAGTTGGACTGCTGTTTAAGCATTGCCAATTATAGCCGGAACTTTTGGAAGATTTATGATGTTTTGAAATCACCAATATTTTACATTCAATTTTACCTTGGGACCTGAGATCTGATCTTGCTTGCTGGCTTTAGTTTGAAATATTTCAACATTTAATATTTTTTGGCTGTCAAAAATACATAAGTGATGAAAAAGGCAAAATAAAGACTAGAGACAAGAAGACATTTTTAACAATTGGTCAACATTTCCAAATATTTTGTTCACAACATGTTCTATATCATGCATCTTTCTAAAGCCCACAAGATTTCATTTCATTGGGCAGCATACTACATCCTCAGTTTGAACAATTTCAAATATTATACCCATTGGACCAAGCATGTTAAATTATGTAAAGATTTCATTGTTATTATGTTTATATTATATTAGTATCCATTAATTTCATTTGTTTTTGAAATAATGTACCTTTAATAGAATAAGCATGATGAAGTATGACCATGATCACAAAGATAATTTGACCATGATCACAAAGATAATTTGACCATGATCACAAAGATAATTTGACCATGATCACAAAGATAATTTGACCATGATCACAAAGATAATTTGACCATGATCACAAAGATAATTTGACCATGATCACAAAGATAATTTGATCGTTATGCTTAATGTATTAGAGGTGGTCATTTTGAATATAATCTAGCTTAAAAAATGTTTCTATTATTCTGTAAATTCAAAATGAAAGAAATGCCACAAAGAACTAGTGGGATGTTAATTGAAATGGTATTATCAGTGCATGTCTTTTTGAATTTTGCCAGAAATATTTACATGACTGTATTGAATACATGGTCTCAGTCCAAGGTTGAAACTGACAATGACATTGACACTGGAATTTATAAATGTACAATTGTTTGAAAGGATCTGAAACTGTCAATACATCAGTCACTCTTTTATCAATACATGAACTATGGTTTCAATTGGAATCTAATTACTAAATCAACTGAAGGTATTTGAAACAATCAATAATTCATAGATCAATAATACACTCTACATTATCATGTAATGTTTAGTATTGTTTTTCCATGTTATTGTTGAACACATGTTTTCTTTGATGTTAGGCAAACAGTTCTGCATTATAAGACATTCAGATTGTACTCAAGAGCCTTCAAATACTAAGACAATTTTTTGATGATTTGAATTTTTGATGACTATTTAATCATGAGATCTCTTTAAGAAGACTCTCTATTCTTCACGTACCTGTGCATACTGCACATTTTCAGAAAATATTCTGATTAGGAATTGTTAGTTTGGCATAATGTATCCTTGGTACTGCTCATTATTGTATTACTAGAGGGGGTTATCATATCACTTTAATTGCCTGCGATATTGCAGACATGCTAGTCAAAATCAATCTCGTAGTATTCGAGTGATGCCTAGGTCACATTTGCTCCGATTCATCTGCCGGCGCCCGTCCGATTGCAGTATTTTGTTCAAAAGTGATTTCAACTTCCTTCAAATTGACCAAAGTTTTTTAAAATCATGTACAAGTTCCCAGGAGTTCACATCGGACCTCAAATTTGAGATTTGATCTTCAGTTTTGAATAAACTACTCAATCTGTCGGGTGCTGGCCGATGAATCGGAGCAAATGTGACCTCGGCATTACTGCTGATGAATTGTCTGATATTTACATTTGTAATAAAAATTGTTAATTCGATTCCACCACAAATATTCATTAATTTTTCCAAGATGGTATATACATACAAAATAAAGCCTAAAGGATGGGGTTGTCGGGAAGTCATGCGATTCTTTTGTTTACAATACTGACCATGCGAAAGAGAGAGATTGCTGAACCATATTTTACAATTATGTAATGTTTCATAAGTTATAAAGATAACAGTCTCCCCTACTGTGAGTAATGATGCTTATGTACATGTACATGTATTGATAAACTATATTATTAGTTTATTTTGCTAAAGGCAGTTTCAATCGAGACTGATTACTTTTTTTCATACTAAAATAAATGATATCAATCAAAATCATAAAATTGCAAACATGTGACATGTTAGTTTGCTTATATTAGAGCTAGTTAAGGCCATAGAAAGTTTATTTATGTTTTACATGCAACAAAAAATCAAAATGTGCATGTATCTGTTTTCTAGGAAACATTCAGGAAATACTATAATTTCTTTATCATACATAACTGCAACATGGTCAGATATATAAGTCAAAACTTGGTTCTCTCAATCTAATAAAAATGCCTTATCTTTCTTGAAACTCTAGTACCCCCCCATATACCTCACCTTATCTCCATAACAAGGGGGAGTATATATAGGGAGGGGTCCAGAGACTTAATGCAGGAGAAAAAATTTTCTAAACTGAAATGGAAAGATTACATGGTTTACAGCCTGTTGCTGTAATATTAATTTGCAACCATGTATCCATTAGATGAAATTCATATGCCATGTATTTGATGGAAGAACCGATAATGATCAACGTGAATGGGAAATAGTGTGAAAGTAGACATAACTTTTTATGAATTGTGACTTGTATTTCAAAACTCCATAAACTAAATGTGATATTTAATATGGCATATTACATGTGCTTCTACATTCCCAGCTCCATGAAACATAACATTAATATCCTTTGGCCTTATTTAATTTGAAATGACACACAGCCAATAAGTAAATGCTTAGATCAGGAATATTGCCAATCATTAAAGTACATATGCAGTTAAATTGCATGAGGTACATGTATATCTATATGTATTTTGTAAATCTCTTTTTACAGTGAACCAGTTTCAAGCCAAAGCTTATTCTACTGAGACACATTGAGGTAAGTAATGTTTATGCATTCTCATAAAATCTTAAAAATCGATTTTAATATAAACTGTGTATTGAAAGTAGCATGCATATTGGTCTCAAATTCTATGGGAAATAAGAACCAATTGTAAAGATAAATATATGTTTTTGAAACCAAATGAATTGGTGTTCATGTGCTTAGCACTTGTGTTAATAAAACCATACATTTAAAGGTCGATATAACCCAATTCTTTTATAAATGACTACCTTAAAAAAACTTACTGTGATTTGGTGAATGGGTCTTACTATTAATGCTTTAATACATTCATATGTGTTATAAAGTTATGCTATACATTTAATAGCTATGCAATAGATGGTAATATTTTAGTTCATTAAAAGCCAAATTCAGGGATTAAACATTCAGACATTTGGATCTTGGTGAGTTTTACAGTTAATTGTTCAATCCACAGGGTTGAAAATGGATTTTAAGGTACATGTTCTACTATACAAAATATTTTTGAACAAATCACTATACCTGCACATGTTGTTCATTTTTCAAGAACAAAATGGAGTAAGAAAACATGGGTGTGCCTTTCTTTTTTTCTTCCTTGTGTTTAGTGACTTAGAAATGAATTGTAGGCAATTCAGTGTTGTTGAGAAACTTGGAGAAGAAATTCAGAAAATTGTATTTTGAATGTTTTCTCTTGAATTATTAGCATTTCTTGGAGTTGGCATTCACCTCTTACCAGGTTTCCTATTAAAAGAAGACATTGAATTGATACTTTTTTGAAAAAAGCAAGAAAATACACACATGCCTCAATACTTTATTTTGCACCAGGAAAAAATATGGGCTGGTAGAGCAACCATCACCTAAAGCAATGATGAAGAAATAACCAATGAAGTCCAAGGTGTGCCATTTTATTACCAATACAGATTACATTTTGTATTCAGCTTGTGGGTTCCTTCACAGTCAATATAAACATGCTTTTTTCTTGATTTTTTAGACTTGGACTGTGTGACAAAAACATCATGAACGTCATTCCTCTTCATGTTAAAGATGCTCGTATAATCGATATCCAGAGGTTCAAGGACCATCGTGGTTTTCTAGAAGAGCTCTATAACTGCCAAAAGTACCCAGAAGACATTACTAGTGAATTCGAAGTCAAACAAAATACATGCTCCCGTTCTCATCAGGTATTGTATAAATTTAGCAATATAAATAGGGTGTTTGTTTGATTTTTAGCCCCCCTCGCCTACCTAGTTGGATCCATATACCTGCCATGCAATGCAGGGTCTGATTTTTAATAAATGTTGTATTAGTCAAATATGGTTATCATTAATTTTAAAAACGACATTTCCCATGTTATTTTACCGGCCGGATCGAGGGAAAACTCATGCTATCCATTGTTTTCAGCATAATTTTGGTCATCAGAAATTGATATCTTCAAAACTAGACATTCAATCCAATTCTACTTTCAAGAAGTCTTGTATCCCTTGTATTGAATAATCTTTTCATGCAATACAAATCAAAAAGGGAGGGTAATCTTCTGAGTAAATAGGTTTAACATTTTGAAAAAAATGTCGACATATTCTTTTTTTTTTGAATTGTTCGATAGATATTTTTATAATTTTTGAGAATTTAATTGAACAATAATATATTGTGATAATAAGACATGTCATATTTAAATTGATAAAGTGCTCATGGTGAAAGATATGATCTTACAATATCACTTGCCAAGTTGCCATACTAAACCTGGTCCTTTTACACTTTGGTTGACTGAGTATAATAATGCACTACAGGCTATAAGTAGACATAGTTAAAGCATATTATATAATACATGAAACACATACAAATATATATAAATACAAATGTAGTACATGTCATGGTATATAGTCATTCCTGCTGCTATTTGTATACAGTAGTTCTTAATGGATTTCTGCATGAAAAAGTTTAAAGGCATTATGAGTGTATGATGATTGATAAGCTTCAAACCCAGTCATCTTTATACTGTAATTTTATTTGTAATGACGAATATTATTGTAAAATTGATTTTGATTTTATAGCATATTTTAAGTTTATAATCTATAATTTTGATTCGAACATGCCTTCTTTAAACTGTGAACAAAGTCAATATTTCACCAAGTGTATATTTGTCAACACACCACCTGTAAATATGAGTAATGTGTGACGTCATTGAGGCGAGCTGTAGTAATGGCTCACCATAACGAATATTCGAAATTTTTTGGTTAGTTTTCATGTTCGAATCGTAAAATATACCTCAAAGCAGGTGATATATCGATGAATACATGTACATACCTTAGGGTAAGCACAGGAGCTTTCGAACCCTTCACTCTCTTCAGTCATTCGGGTATGTGCCTAACCCTGTGGTATTTAAAAAAAAATTAAATTCTATTTGTGCAATTTTCAGATTTATTACAATAATATCTGGGATAAAAAGGCATACATTGGTATAATTTGTGTGATATCTTCCCCAGGGTATACATCCCTCTCCATGAATAATCCTCTATTCATTATCCTAATTCTAGAATGTGATAAGGGGCCTCCACATATCCCCCTATGCAAAACTTCTCACATGCATCCAAGGCGCTGTCTACGATGTTGTAGTTGATCTCAGACCAGAATCTCCCTCGTATATGCAATGGGCAGCAGCAATCCTCACAGAAGATAATCTACGCCAACTCTACATTCCACCAAACTGCGGCCATGGGTTCCTCTCTCTCAAAGAAAATAGCACCGTGGTGTACTGCCAGGTAACAAACTTGAATTTCTTATTTATTTTGAACAATCATAAAAACTAGTGTTTGCATACAAGGAAAACTGCAAAGCTTCTGTTTTTTAAATTACTCTGACTGTGTGGAAAGGGTGGCAAATTTGCCCAATTAAGAGATTTAAAGTTGCTAAATAAATGGGTCTCACTTTAAATGTTATATTTTACTATATGCAAATGTAAGTTTTTTGCTTTTTTATTTGAAACTACTTTGTTAACAACAAATTAAAATTTTGTCATAATTGAAAATTGTCAAATTGTCAAATCACATCACCATTAAAGGGGCAATAAGGCTTGTAGAGAGAAAATAGGAAAATTTTAACTTTTTCTGAGCTATCAAGGCAACAGTTGGCTCAACATCTTCTTCGACATACCTATTTTCTTAAAATGTATGGATAAACTATCAATTTCGGCATTAAAAGTGTAAATTCAGTTCAAAGCTTCAAAAAGGGGACGTCCACTTTTATATTTTTAAGATCCACCATGTTTCAAGAGGAATATAAGCTGAAATAATGATTATCTAGGGGGTTTCTTTGTAGAAAATAAAAAAAGATGTTAGTCTTAGATGAAATATCCAAACTTAAATATATTTTGACACTGGTCCATGATCGTTGAATGGCCCCTCTGCACTACTTATTGCACCTTTAAGTAGAGGTGGAGTCATTTAAGAGATATACAATGCTCAGAATTGATGTTAAAAACTCATGACACTAACATCATGATTGTGATGATAAGATAACCTTTCTGAAATTGAATGTGCTTCAAACATTTTAGGGTGGATTCTTTCATCCCAGTATTGACTTTGGAATCACACCCTTTGACCCAGTAGCTGATGTTTATTGGCCAATTCCTAAAGATGCCTCCGCAATTATTTCTGAGAAAGATGAAAAAGCTTTACCTGCTAAGGTTGAAGGAGGAGTTCTACCCAAACGTACCAGAGTCCTCATCATAGGGGCATCTGGGCAAGGTATTTTGCATATTTACATATTCATACAACGATAACAGTGCTTTTCAGGATTTTTCCTCAAGTGGGACCAATATTGTCATTTCCTAAAATCTGATCATTTCTTTAAAATATTCATTTTGAAATGATTGCATTTTGTTGTCAGTCTGTCTTTGAAATCTTTTTTGAGACAGTGGCTGCAGTTCGAATCAACATTTATAGATATAAATGCAGACTTATTATCACAAGTCAAATATCAGTTAATTGGTGTTCGAGTTAAACCAGCATGAAAAAACTTGGACAGAGATTTACTGCAATAAATGTACTTACCTAAAAGAATAAATTCCAGTAAATCAATATAATTTAATCCATTACAATTTATTGCTTGATAAACAACTCAAATGTATGGCTGTATTGATTTTGCATTTTAAATATTTGTATGTACCATACTCATACTCTGAGTACACTGTTAAACATCAATAGTTATAGGGGAGCAGAATTAATTTTGATAGGGGAGGTGGAAAGTATGATTTTGTTCATTAAGATTGTTGATTTATTGGGAAAAAGTAAATTCAATTGCAAATTGATATTTCCTAATATTGGGGGTGGGGGACGAATTATCCACACTGAAATTAACATTGTCACTGGGGATGAACTGGAAACGAGGGAGGTTTTGCCTCGTATCAAAATGGCGGCGCGTGAAAAAATTTCATTCGGTAAGATTTTTTTTTTTACAATTTTCGTGCTTTTATCCTTCAAATTAAAACTTAATATTTGGCAAGTAAATAGTTTATAAGTTCCGGTTTTATAATATGATTGCAAATTAGAAATCAATACAGACATTGCTGAGATATTTACATTTCAATTCTCTCACTTAGGAAACGAGGCACCTGTCTACATTTTGTAACAATGAAACGAGGCAATGTTTGACTTGCAACGAGGCAACTATTCTTTCTGTGATAGTGTCTACATTTAATGATCTTATTTCCACCGTTCTGGTCACATACGACCGATTACGTTTTACACGATATACTTAGGTGGTTCAAAAAGTTTTGCATTTGATGTCATAACTTCAAGGAAAATAGAATTATTGCAATGAAACTTGGTACACATATGTGTTATATATTTATACATTATATGGTAAAATTTGGGACCTCAATTTTGATTGGTTCTTGAGATATGGTTGCTATGGTAACCAGAGTGGTGGGTACCATGTTCAACCCGAAATTACGTTTTTCCAAACAGTTTTCTTGCTTGAATAAACTCTTTGTAAAATGGCAATTAGCAGGTGTAAGTGTCTTTGGGTGGCTATTTTTCTTCAAATTCTTCAATTTTTCTAATTGTCTCTATGACATCACAATAGACAAGTGACACGATAAGTTCCTTTGTGATGTATACTGTCCAAAACGCATTTCGTTCGGACTTTTCACGCGAATTACGTATATGTCACGCATTCCGTTCGAAATTTTTCGTACCTAAATATTTCGAAAACGTTAAATAGCATTGTTTTGAGTGTCAATTCCAATAAACGAGCCAGCTATCTGAGCTATCAATGGTAGCGCATATATCGTCAAAATGTTCTCTCAAATAAGAAAAATCTTGTTCAAAGAAGTGCTATTTTAATAGGGAGCTTAAGCTACACGTATTTTAGAAGTGGTGAACGTAAACGTGAAATGACCCCTGGGAACTATAGTTCCGTTCTGGATTGACTTATACAAAGACCCAATTAAAACAGTTTAACTGATACTTTTGTAATCATTCATGCAAATAAAGACATTGAAGACAAGAACTAGTTCTCTGAAGATTGCAATTTTACACGTTTACGTACACTTCTCTTTAAAACATGTGTCGTTAAACCTCCCTACTAATCGTACGCAAATGGGGCATTGTTGTTGCTCGAGATGGCTATATTTGATAGAATATAATTCCAGATACGATAAAAAAAGAATGACCATGGTAATAATTAAATGACTCGCCTATATTACAAAAATAGCAGTGTCAAGGAGCACACTGGCATTGTCTCATTGGTGTACATTGGATTTTACTGTTTGTATTCTTTAATGTCTGTATGTTCCTTATTATGTCACTATCAATTATGTTATTCTGCATATAGTCCAACGAAATGTGGAAATGTTCGGCGTCTGACGTCTGGAGTTGGGCGTCTGGCGTTTTGCGTCAATAGCAAATTCTTTAGCAATTTTAGCAACTTTCAAAAACTGAACAAATGCGTACCGCTTAGACTGACATCATATTTTACTGTGAACAATTATAAACTTATTATGACTTTCAAGTATTTCTTAGAACATATGTTACCATGGTAGCAGATAAATGGACTTATTTGTTATTACTAAGTTACAACACGTGTCATATGTTAATGCCTTGTATTTTCTTAAATGCTAGAAATGGTAATGCATTTGTAAATGAAATATTCATAAATTTTCTAGATTATTAGCCATATGAAAAATGTTAATGGTCGATGGCATAAATATTATGATGTCGCTAGCGTGAATTAAAATAAATGATGTTTCAAGGTAGAATAAAAGCAAGCTTTGTTCACAACTGTCTATATCTGCTTCCCTATTCAACATAACATTTTTGCTTTTTAGGAAGCTTCAACATAACAATATCAGCAACGTTGTCGTTTCCTGTTACAGAAATAGCATTTGAACAGGGATGCTTCTTTTTGTAGGCCCCGTTCTGTAATAAAAACAAAACATTTTTAATTAAATATGGTTGCCTCGTTTCATTCTTAAGAATGCTATATAGCTGCCTCGTTTCCTTGAGAAACATGCCTCGTTTCCTAAGTGAGAGAATTGATATGTAAATATCTCAGCAATGCCAGTATTGATTTCTAATTTGTAATCATATTATAAAACCGGAACTTATTATGAACTATTTACTTGCCAAATATTAAGTTTTAATTTGAAGGATAAAAGCACGAAAATTGTAAAAAACAAAAATCTTACCGAATGAAATTTTTTCACGCGCCGCCATTTTGATACGAGGAAAAACCTCCCTCGTTTCCAGTTCATCCCCAGTGATTGTGACATGGTCCCTAGCTAGCAATTATTCAACAGAAACTTTTGTTAGCCTGTGTAAGACTGATAAATGCCACATGTAGGTAGCAGTTACCTACATGTCACAAATCATATCAACCAATGAAGTCAATGTTTTTTTATAATTCTAAAATATACAACTTGTACAATATATATATATTGCAAAATATATTTTACTCATTTGCTTTTTCAGTGATCTCCCTTGAATTCAAGCAAGTTGGTACTGCGCCCACTTGTGATTTTATCAATACACTTTCACCCACCTGAGAATCCATCTGCACCCACATTAAAATGTGAAGAAATCACAAAAATTCCAGCCATATTTTGACCAGAGGACTAAATTGTGAAAATAAGAACTTCTACCCACTCCAGAAAAATTCCTGAGGAAAAATACTTTAATTCAATTGAAAACATATACATGATCATTAACCTGTGTGCAGAGTGATCATGATCATCATATACATGTATCATGTGACATGATGCCCTGTGATAGGAATATGTGAACTTTAATTCTGTCATGCACTCCTGGTATAAGTAGCTTCCAATGCAATATATGGGTATAGTACAATAGTACGTCTGGCATGGTACAAAAGTTTTGTGGTCTGATATTATAGAACTGTTATGGACTGGTTCATTTTTTCCTATGAAGGATTATTGTAAACTTCATGTACAGGGTGGTCAAAAAAAATGGAAACCCTGCATTTTCCTAATATCTTTGTCATTTTAAGGAATTACTCCCTGATATTTCACACATTTGTACATCATTCAATTTCCTACCACCCTACCAAATTTTATGACCATCAGACTGATAGTCACAATTTTACAGCACTTTGAATAACATGCTTCAAGTTTGGCCGTCATCGCGCTGTAGGCAAACCTGCACAGTTGTCAATGGGCCGAATGCACTCCTCAGCAGGTATGGCCTGAATGATACGGATGGTCTCACTTTTGAGGTTTGTGATTGTCCTGAGGTCATTCTTATACACTTTTTCCTTGCCATATCCCTACAGGTAGGGACATTTTGGACGGCCAGTGCAGGTGGCCCTACAGCGCAATAGTGGCCACTAGGGCATGTTCTGTAAAGTGCTGTAACATTGTGACTATCAATCAGATGGTCATGATATAAAGTAGGCTGGTAGGAAATTGAATGATGTACAAATGTGCAAAATATCAGGGAGTTATGTCTTAAAATGACAAATATATGAGGAAAATAGTGTAAGGGTTTCCATTTTTTGACCACCCTGTACAATGGTGGAAATACTGTAACCATATTTAAAAGTACAAGGTAAAATAATGATGAGGTCATAAAATACTAGTATTTTATTTTACAATTGTTATAAAAACATATCCTTACCGACTGTTTTCTCTTATAGTTGGTGGGGCTTTGAAAGAAGCTGTTGCTAAGCGGCCAGATATGGTTTCCATAGGAACCTGTGGGGAACATCCTCAAGAATGCCTTATACCTTTTGATATGGAAAAAGCAGCAAGGTAACTAAATATTGTGGATTTGTACCACAAAATTGTGACACCAAGACTTTTTATAACTCAATTGCCTTCATAGTTAATTGAGATCAATAGAATTACTAATCAGGTAGTCTAATAATAGACTACTAGAATAGGGCACTAGAATAGGTCACAACAATAGGTCAGTAAAATGAAATAGGTAAGCGTTATGTATTTCTGTGTATAAACCTATGATGAATGCATTTTTATTTTTCCAACTTGCATTTTCTGATTGCAGTGACCCAAGCATCATAGATACCCTTTTCACAGCCTGTAGACCAGCTATCGTTTGTATATGTGCCGCTTTCTCATGGGTTGATGGAAATGAAAAATTCCCAGAAAAAGTGAGAATGACATTTAGTATAAGATTCATGCCATAATGTTAGCAATGAAAAGATCAATTCACCATATTGTTTCAGAACAGTAAATTGAATTTACCTTAGAAAATTTCATATTTACTGTAACTTATTTGAAATTGTTTATATTGTACATTGCAGTGGGTTAGAGTTTTATCAGCAAGTACACATATCTCATAATAATTTCAGTTTGTCCTTCACCTCTCAGGTATAGACAAATCCCATATATGCTTCCTCTGAAAGGTTCACTATGGTTCCAATGGACGTATGGAGGATTTCCTGTCCCTGAAACTTTGGCAATACTGTTATCTGCCCACCATTTTATACTGCATGTTTTATTGAATGACAGACCATGTAGTTCATTTTTATGTTTTAGGCCAAAACAATAAATCTTACTACTTGTTTTATTTTGAAGTTAACATGACTGTGTAGCTCCTTTTTGTTTTAGGCCAAGGCAATTAATCTTACTGCTGTAACAAAACTTACTGAAGCTGCTAAAGCCATCGGAGCTAAGACTGTTTTCTACTCATCTGATTATGTATTTGATGGAGCAACAAAGCAGAATGGATTAGCCTCAGGGATGGCAGAAATATATGGTAAGAATGTCTGAAATAGGCCAATATTATTAGATATAAAATCTAATGGAGAATATTCTTGATTAATTTTGGATTCTTGATTACCAGTTCACAACAGCACATGTTGTAAGCTTGCTTAATGTAATCAACATTGAACTTTAGCATTAATTTAGTACCACAAGTACAGTACAACATATTTTATTAATGGACTACTAATAAATTGTGCAACAGATGTTAATGGTCGTCTGGCGGCTAGATTTTCCTTTCCATGTACAAGGTGGTTCTAGGAATGGAACCGTTTTTTCTTACATGCTTGATTAGATAAAAATGTGCTCATAGTTTCTGGTCATCCTGTGCCAACCAAACAGCGTAGTGTGTGTGTCCTAGTAAACATTGCCATTGCCATGGTGATTGCTTCATATAACAGAACAAAGCATTACCTTAATTTAAGATTTTGTTTGGGTCTATGCATTATTGTTTTACTATGTGGTCCACCAAGGTCTTTATTTCTTTGGACTTTACTAGCAACACTATCACATTGACTAGCGATGTCTCTGTGTAGTCCTAGTCTACTAGCAACGCTATCACATTGACTAGCGATGTCTCTGTGTAGTCCTAGTCTACTAGCAACGCTATCACATTGACTAGCGATGTCTCTGTGTAGTCCTAGTCTACTAGCAATGCTATCACATTGACTAGCGATGTCTCTGTGTAGTCCTAGTCTACTAGCAACTCTATCACATTGACTAGCGATGTCTCTGTGTAGTCCTAGTCTACTAGCAACACTATCACATTGACTAGCGATGTCTCTGTGTAGTCCTAGTCTACTAGCAACACTATCACATTGACTAGCGATGTCTCTGTGTAGACCTTGTCTACTAGCAACACTATCACATTGACTAGCGATGTCTCTGTGTAGTCCTAGTCTACTAGCAACACTATCACATTGACTAGCGATGTCTCTGTGTAGTCCTAGTCTACTAGCAACACTATCACATTGACAAGCGATGTCCCTGAGTAGTACTAGTCTACTAGCAACACTATCACATTGACTAGCGATGTCTCTGTGTAGTCCTAGTCTACTAGCAACACTATCACATTGACTAGCGATGTCTCTGTGTAGTCCTAGTCTACTAGCAACACTATCACATTGACTAGTGATGTCTCTGTAGTCCTAGTCTACTAGCAACACTATCACATTGACCAGTGATGTCTCTGTGTAGTCCTAGTCTACTAGCAACACTATCACATTGACCAGTGATGTCTCTGTGTAGTCCTAGTCTACTAGCAACACTATCACATTGATTAGTGATGTCTCTGTAGTCCTAGTCTACTAGCAACAGTATCACATTGATCAGTGATGTCTCTGTGTAGTCCTAGTCTACTAGCAACACTATCGGATTAACCAGTGATGTCTCCGTGTAGTCCTAGTCTACTAGCAACACTATCACATTGACTAGTGATGTCTCTGTAGTCCTAGTCTACTAGCAACACTATCACATTGACCAGTGATGTCTCTGTGTAGTCATAGTCTACTAGCAACACTATCACATTGACTAGTGATGTCTCTTTGTAGTCCTAGTCTACTAGCAACACTATCACATTGACCAGTGATGTCTCTTTGTAGTCCTAGTCTACTAGCAACACTATCACATTGACCAGTGATGTCTCTTTGTAGTCCTAGTCTACTAGCAACACTATCACATTGACCAGTGATGTCTCTTTGTAGTCCTAGTCTACTAGCAACACTATCACATTGACCAGTGATGTCTCTTTGTAGTCCTAGTCTACAAGCGATGTCTCTTTGTAGTCCTAGTCTACTAGCAACATTATCACATCGACCAGTGATGTCTCTTTGTAGTCCTAGTCTACTAGCAACACTATCACATTGATCAGTGATGTCTCTTTGTAGTCCTAGTCTACTAGCAACACTATCACATTGACCAGTGATGTCTCTTTGTAGTCCTAGTCTACTAGCAACACTATCACATTGACCAGTGATGTCTCTTTGTAGTCCTAGTCTACTAGCAACACTATCACATTGACCAGTGATGTCTCTTTGCAGTCCTAGTCTACTAGCAACACTATCACATTGACCAGTGATGTCTCTTTGTAGTCCTAGTCTACTAGCAACACTATCACATTGACCAGTGATGTCTCTTTGTAGTCCTAGTCTACTAGCAACACTATCACATTGACTAGCGATGTCTCTGTGTAGTCCTAGTCTACTAGCAACACTATCACATTGACCAGTGATGTCTCTTTGTAGTCCTAGTCTACTAGCAACACTATTACATTGACTAGTGATGTCTCTGTGTAGTTCTAGTCTTAAGCATTGTTGTTATGATATATTGAAATACAGAAAACACAAACTAGTCTAAAAACAAGTCTTGTCAATTTCAGCTAATAGTCTAGGATACAGTGAGACAGATACCGCTAATCCTCTTAATAATTATGGCAGTTATAAACTTGATGCTGAGAAAGCTGTTCTAGCCACTGATCCATCAGCTTTGGTTCTTAGAATATCTGTGAGTATTAACTTATTTACTGAAATATGTGATCTCCACAATATCAAAGCAAGTGGACACTATTAAATAAATCCTTGAACCATATATCATGGTATTTTAGACTCATGAATGAAACTCAAGTTACACCAAAATGTAATGCACCAATAGCAGATGTATGACTGAAGGCATATAATATACAGACTGAATGTCAACCCAAATAGACCCATATCCACAATTTGTATTGTGGCTGGTTGATGGAATCAAGGTTATAGAGTTATTTGAATTACTTATTTCAGAGGGTTTATGGACCAGAGGTGCAAGGCAAGAACTTTGTGTTTCAACTGACGAATAACATTCAGGCTGGCAAGTCTCTCAATTGTCTCACTGATGAGGTAAGTAGAATGTACCATAATTGCAGTATGGGATTGAATATGTGTTTTATAATGACTGAGGAAGTGTCACAACCAAGAACCAATGGTTAGTTTTGTGAGTTATATCAATAGATGCAAAAAGAAGGGGAATACTGCATTTTGAACTTAATCTCACTCAATACTATTAACTAAATACTCGTCCTATGAAAATCCTTTTACTTTGTATGTCAGGGATGTAGTTTTTATTACAGGTTGCTCTCCAGAGCAAAAGCTAAACACTCTATTTGTTTTGCATCTACAGGACAAATAACGCTTTTTCCAGTCGAGGTCGTGTCATAATTATACTAATTATGAATATTACAACAAAGAAACCATAAAACTATATTCTGTACTCCAGCTTAACTTAACATGCGCATTGCTGACGAAAAAACATTCAAATTTTTGACTGAGTTACATAGTCATAATTTTGGATATTTTCACCTTGTCGCTTTTTTCCTGGCGACGCCACTGCTGTATCACTTATAAATATATTTTCTTCAAATTCATCTTGCAGATCTCATGTCCTACTTATAACAGAGATATAGCAGAGGCCACACTTGAACTCGCAAGGAAAGACCTCAGTGGCTTGTTCCACTGTACTGGACCTCAGGCACTTAGCAAACTGCAATGGGGAATTGAAGTTGTGAGTAATGTAAACTTTTGCCTGGAGATTTGTTACATTTGAGCACCAGATTTAAGGTGAATTTGAGTTGGGATGCAATGCAATCTTTACAGTTTTTCAAATGTCCAGACTTTCATATTGATTTGATTGAATGTAAATTTGGCCTCAAATGTAACAGGTTAAATTGAACTTATAAAATTCATGGCTTTTTGGAATTAACATTTCTAGCATTTCTTAAAATATATTGATATACCTGTATACTTCTTTTACTTAAAGAAACAAAATTGATTTCATATCTAGTTATCTACATAATTACATGCGTGATTCTGAGAACTTATATTTAACATTTATTTCAGTGCAAATATTTCAACCTGGACTCTGGAAAGTTGAACCCCATTGAAGGTCAACAACAAGGCACAGCCAACAGGCCTAAAGTTGCAGTAATGTCTTCGCAGAAACTCAGGTAAAATTGATGCAATATGAAAATTTGCTCCCTGGGAAAATTTGGAGTTTTCCAAAATTCTGGTAAACTTCCCGAAGCTGTGTTTTCCATTGAGATAACTCATGTTATACATTGCCAATGGCTTTATTCATTTAAAAAGGCCTAAAAGGATGTAGCAAGGGAAATACTTTGTTCAGTCTTTTCAATAAAATAGCCAATGTGAAACTTTCAGTATGTTACCTTTTCAGAATTATTGATATAGTAAATAACCCAAAAGCTCAAAGCATCTTCATCAATTAAATTAAATTCATATATCTTGAAGTTTAGAGAATTAAAGAATGATGAGAACAAAAGATATTGAAAAACTCTAATAACTTTTAAAGCAATTTCACTCAACTCGAATCTCTCTGTAAATCATAATTCTTATTCGAACTAGGATTTAACCAATAAGGCAGTAGTTTTGTTACGATTTCAATAAAGTAAATAAAAACACTCTGTATCCACCTTGTGACACGGAATATGGTATTCTCTTAGTTTAGGTGATAATTTACGCCTAACTGTATGCAATTGTAGAACACTAATTTACAGGCTATGATTTTTATCTTGGTGACTTTGCATTTCAGTGCTGCTATACCAGACGTGAAGTTCCATACAATATCGGAAGCCTTGAAAGATTGGCAGGAGAATCCACGTGGAAAACTACTTAACCTTTAGAGATAAACTGGAGTTACAATATCATGGCATATCACATAGAAAGATCTGAAATGACTCAAAAATCGTGAAATCTTTATTTTGTCTGTTAATTTATTTTCTCAATGAATGCATGTAAACATTACAGTATGATATTAATAGGACAGAAACATTGCTTAAAAATACTTGCTCAAGTTCCGGGCCATCGGTCTATAGTATATATCTCTTCACATTCCAATTTATATGGTGTTTTTTCAAGAATTCATGCTGATAAGTTGAACAATTAATTTTCTTTTATTGCACAAACTGTTTCTACTTATCTTAAAACACTTGATGCAATATCTGAATACAGGATGAAAGCATGTTAGCATGTAGTAGCACTGTTAGGTAATTACTCAAAATCTTTTTTTGGACATGAATCTCAATTCATAATTTTTTATCGCTATAGACATGAGGGTATTTCTAAATTGTTATAGAATAAGGATTCAAAATTACATGATATCCTGTACATCTATTTACACTTGTTGAGATTATAACTCATTATTATTTATTTATATAGAACAAATTAAACATTCCACATGCACGTATGACACAAATGTAAAATGTATTCAAGATATACAGAATTGTACTCCATTACAAAAGTTTGTGTCACGTTTACCTAACTTTTGGAGGAGAGTGTTGTATTTTTCAGGGTTTATACACTTTTTGTGGGCAGTGTACCATTTTGAATCTTTTACATCTGTAAGGAAAAATATTAAAAGTAGGATATATATAAGGGATGTACCTCAGTGAAATGACATTCTAATATTCATGATTATTCTTGACTATTTGATGAATATTCAAGTAACTCTGTACTTGAATATCCCCATTTCAGGTAGTTAAAATGATTGAATATTCTTGAATAGTAGCGAACTGCAATTTGGACAATTCATGAAAATGATTCAAGAAATATGAGATGAATATCCCTCAAAATGACAGTTCATAAATATTCATCATCAATAAGTATTCTTCAGTTCATGAATATTCAAGAAATTAAACTCCACAACTGGTGATGTTTGTTATGATATTAAAAGTAGGATATTATATTTTTGCAAAATATGAATAAGGGAAGAGTGCTTTGTATTTAATCATGCATTATTCACGATTTGAGTATTTTATTATAATAAGGCTTTTTTAACCTTAAAGTGAATTAAATTCATGAACATATTTTTGCTTTTAGTTCATCATGTTTAGATGAGTTTTTCTAGGGTTAGTAGTTTGTACATGCATAATGTGAAGTGAAAACCGAATCTCAATGCCATAAGTATTTGCATAATGTTAAGGCTCCAAACAAGGACGATTGGAAGCCAGGGTTCCAACTCGATATACTTTAATCTCCAATTGATGCGGTGGTTTCCAATCCTGCATGTATATTTCTACTGCTGCAAGGAGAATGGCCGATATTCTTGATTAAATTTTGTATTCATAATATGACTAAGTGATACCCATATATGGAACAGAATATCGATTGGCATCCCTGGGAGTCAATCCTCCTTGGGCTCCAAATGTTGACAGTTGTTGGAAAAGTTAATTTAGACAAAGATATTTATTTTGAGTTCTATTTATTTTGAGGACAATTATTTCACATAGACACCATTGGGCATATATGTGTGGTAGGATAATTTAACTTGATATCTGAAGGCAGAAACAACCCCCCCCCTGTATTAATCTGACATGACCTGATTGATCTGTTTACTTGAAAATCAACATTTTCCACTGGAAATATCTTGGAGAGATTCCATTTTTCCACAACTGTTTACAATTGGTCACAATCCATTACTAGTATTTAAAGTATTTATAATCAAAATTTATGCACGGTCAGTTTTAATACTCACTTTCCCCTGCACACCATTTATAGATGCAGTGAAAATTGATTAATATTACAGTTCCTCTCGTAGTCTTGCTTCAAACCTTTATGATCCCACACCCCCACACACCCCCTCTGCCAAGTAGATAGGGGAAAGGGATCTAAAGATTTCCTGCAAGACTATTACATATGGAATGTTGGGTATATGACAGTATTTTACTTATCACATTTACATGTATGTAAATAATTGGGGGAAAATAAATATAAAATAATAATAAAAAACAACCACAATAATTATTTGTTCAAAATGTTTTGTATTTTCATTATGGTATCATAAGATATTGTTAGGTTTTGTTCTCGAGACCTCTGAAGTATCAATACATTTATGCCATAGAAAATAATTCCAAAAACATTTTACATTTCTTTTATTTTAAAGAAGTAAGATGGGTTCAGCAGATAGAATTCTGAGCCTGCATGATATGACATGACAAATGCTAAAGGTCACTAGGCAAACCAACAAGCTCCAGAAGACCAAAATTAACAAAATCATAGCATAACCTTCTTTTCTGATAATATCAAAATTACTTTTGATTTCCAAGTCAGCAATAAGAGAAAAAATGAAAATCTAGTGAATCTCATTAAACTTTTATATCCTACAAAGTGGAAAGTTTGCTCACTAGGTGAACTTTTCTTTTAGCCTTTGATTTACAGAAAGTAAAGGAGTGGTATCGATATGGAGAACTGAATTCAACAATTATTTTTCAAATTATATTGTTACCATTCAAAAGATGATCATTAAATTGACGATGTGTAAAATTTTAAGATTTTTTTTGACAGGTTTAAGAAAAACGTGTGTTCAAAAAGTTCTCCATATCAATACCACTCCTTTGGATTGGGGTCTACACAAAGTATATCATTTTGAATAATACTTGGCGGTTGAACCAGCTCCCTCAAATTAGTTATCTGCCTGATAAGAGTTGCTTATAACCCTACTTATTTTTTCGTGAAGCCACTCAGTAAAATTACGATTTCTCTGCATCCTGATGTCCAATCAAGATCATTCGAGTATCTATGTGTTCCTGACACATTTGGGCATCCGGGAATGACAATGTCTACCCAAAATTTGCATGCTATGTAGACGTTATTCATGATAGGCCACTTTAAAAGCACTGTTATTGTTAATGAACAAATAAATAACTAAAGATGACATACCATAACAATCAAGTCTCTCATTCTCTTTCTGCATATCAAGTTTTATTTACATGAAATATTTGGCCTGTCATATTTTATTTCATAGTTATGCAGTCATGTTTTTGGAATAATGTACATGTACTGTGCTCATTTTCTATATTGTCATATAGACTTCTTCATGGTCATAGATGTATTCATTTCTCTTGCTTACCACCTTCGTTTGTTCGAATTTTCACTGGCAAGTTTTCAAATACTATGATACTATAAAAAGCTATGATATTGGTTAACCCGCCAGAGAAGAACAACATTATTCGATGGTCATCTCAATACAGGTTTACATTATAAGCGTACGTCATCTTTGAACTCAGGGGTTAATCCCCCTGATATTTAAATATTACAAATCGATTTCCATGCCATCTTTATTTAGAAATTATTTCTATCGACCTTAGCCTATGAAATTACCAATAGCATTTGTAGGTTCACTTTTTGTTCAACTTCTAATCACAACACTTGGTGCTAGGGCCAACCTGCAGTGCCCGCACAAACCTGCACTAGAATTATTTATTAGAGTACAGAGTACAGTGGCACCAATGTCTGATTATGAATTTGGTCTGGTGATGCTATCTTTGTGTCATACCATCATGGGTTCTCCCCAGATAAAATGTCTGTTTGCTATTAGATTGTCTTTAAGAACTTAGTTGCATTAATGTATATGCGCTTGGTACATAAGTTTGTACTGCCATCTTATTTCTAGAACTTAATAAAAAGGTTCTACTGACCTCATTAAAAATAACATAACCACTTTAAGTGTGACATAATAGTCATATTCAGAATGTATGGGAAAATAATAACTCAAGGCAACTCTGTTAGCCAATTTTGACTATATAATCGTATTAACATAGCTGAGCACCTAAATATGAAATACATGTAGTCTCTCTCTATATCAACACTTTTCAGTCTTTCCTTTATGTTACTAAACACACCAAAATATTAACTTTGTCTAAATACCACAACAACAGTGTTTAGTATCATCGTTATTGTCTCCGTATACCAGAGTATTGATGTCTGTCTCTAATCTCCATAGCAACACTGTTGTCTCATGTTATTTACATTGGCATTATGAGCCTTCAGCTTTTTATTATATTGTATTGTATTGTATTGTCATTGATGCTATGAGTCCAAAGTACCTGGAAATATAGATGAATTTATGAATGACAATGTTTTCTGTAGTTTACTAAAAAAAAGTAAAATGATCGAGATGATCAGAATGGAAAATTACAAGACACATGTTTCCGCAAAACAATGTCAAGAATGCTAGTAGCATAAATATTGTAAACCTAAATATTTGCCAAAATAAAAAACACTGGATGTGAAAAATTAGAATAGGCCTCCAGTAACTAAACTAGCAATTACTACTGGGTTTCTTGTTTCTAGATTTTCAGAAATGAATGAATGAACAATACATTACATGTAATTATATGGATTTTCTGGACTAAATAGAAATACAGAATTTAATCCATACAGAACAAGGCCATTGTATACTCACCTTCTAAGAATGCAAATTCATCTGTAACATCTATTGCATTATCTGAAACCATACACGACAATGAGAATTACTCTGTAAATGATTATATCGATATCTAGACATTCTACCAGTCGGAGAGATGATTGTGAATGACTTGAGGAGAATGACTACATTACTAATATACATCTTCATTCAATTCAATCTATGTAAATCAATCATGTTTCAGATATTAACTATGTTTCAGCCATACTTAATTGTGTATTATCCCAAAAACTAAAGCCATTAGGTGGTAACAGACTCAATTTGTAAGCATAAGTGCCAGATGGGGAAACCAAAAATTATAAAAACCAAGGTATACATAAGAAACATAAAATTGATAACACTAACATTATTGATACTTTCATTTTTAAACATTAGGTGAAATAAATATTTATGCAAATTATTAAGTAAGCAATTTTTGGAATATTGTTTTGCAGTAAAGTAGGTTCATTTATCTCATGGTTGAATATCACGTGAAAATATATTTGATATGTGGATAAAGATATGTTTTCGCAAATATTCCCAAACAATCAAATATCACTTCTTAAAAAGTGATATCCACTGAATACCACTTCTCCAAAAGTGATATTCAGTGGTTTCAAAAGTGATATTTGTTGGTTTCAATTTTTTTAATTATTTTTTTTTATTAATTTTCCAAAACAATTTACCTATTGTGTAACATTATCACATGTATGTACCTGCAATTTTCACATTTATGCCAGAATCTGGCTATGAAGTATTAGGAGTCAATTCAGTCACTCATGCTGATAAATTATATGTCTGGATCAATAACTTTAATTGAGTTATCAACTGCACATTTCAGAAGGCATACAATCTGTTAACACATTTTTCTTTAAAAAAAATTCAATAAAAAGAAATATAACATTTTCCTTACCTATATCTTTTTTCTGTACAGTTTTCCTTTTCCCCTGAAGAGTGAAAGAATAGGATTCTTTTGCCATGGCACCAATGAAAAATTCCTGGAAAATACACCCTTTTGTAAAAATCAGGCATTATAATTTGGGAGGTTAATTGTATGTACATCAGTGGCCATATCTCAGTGCCATGAGGCAAATTAACCTCCATTCCTTTTATCATTCAAGTTTTTTAGTGCAACAGAAAGTCACTGGTTAATTAGAAAATGAAATTTTGACCATTTCTGACATCCTCTAAGCTACACAATAATTGTTTTATTTTGACTCTATTTGTATGTATGTATGTATGAAAGTGGTGACACTTGCTTAGTGCAAGTCTATTGGCTTGGATACACCTGTCAAAACTAAGATGCACCCGTCAAATAGACGCGAGTAGAAATAATCTTGATTTACGTCATTAATTATTCAAAATTCAGTCAAGTGATGTCATATTTGAAATCTACTTGTAAAAGTGCATCTAGAAATATAGTTTCAAAAATTGTTTATCAACTTAGAAAATTTAATTTTTTTGAAAATGTGACATCTAGTTTGGGGAGATTCCCCATAGATCCCATGTTATAAAATCACAAAAAGTGAAATATCTTTTCTTGTATTGGACAGATAATATTTCCTTTACTGGACATATTTTAATTTGCATAACTATTAGATACATAAGGGTTATATGAAAATTCAACCACTAAAACAGATGTAATTTAAAGGGTGACACATATCGTTTAGCGTTCATCATGTTTAGGGTCATTCTTACCATAGCCATTGTGATCCTGGGTCATGTAAATGATATTTGGAATTAGTTAAACTGACTGTAGGTCAAAACAGAACTCTGATATCTTGGTTCAAAAAATGTTTGAAAACTACCATGGCACCTTAAACAAGATACATGTACCACCAGAGAGACTGAAGTCATGGACTTTAATTTTAAGATGATCGTGATGAGATGATATCATCAGAAATACACCTTCCGGTAAACATAGTAAAGGTTGCAAGTGGAGGGAAACCCCCAGAGCATATAAATGGAACATATAATTGGCAGGTTCTTTTAGTACCCGCTACAATGGCTGGTGTCATATATGCATAAAATGCCGTGGTGTACTCTCAAAAATATATTGATTTTATACTGAATTGCCCCATATTGGATATTCTGATAAAATGGCCAATAATTTACATTTTATTGGTCTATATTAGTCGGAATTTCAGAATCTTAAAATGTCGCAGAACGCTTCAAATACAATCTCATTTTTAAATTTTCTTGGGGGAAAGCCCCCCATACCAAACCCCCCTCAAAGCTTGTTCTCTTCACTAATCCGTGGCATACACTCACAAAATACCCATGCTACACCACTAGGCTATAGAAGACAAATCTTAAGTGGAGGACACCCCATTGGTCCAAATCCAATTCATTCGTAACCTAATGTTACAAAATTTAACAATTGTTGACATGGACGTAGCGCCCGGTATGCTGGGTACGCACAGGTAACATGCGGTGACGGTTGTACCAGGCATAAGTCTTGCGATAGGGTCTCGGCCAATGGAATTCCGACCATAGAGATCTGGACCTATGGGATTGGGACAATTGAGTTTCGAACCAATGGGCACCCAAATCTTCCGCTTCCATCTTCAGAATCAGATCCTGTGAAAACAACTCTTACTCTCTTTCAGCTTTAGGACCAATGATCAGACAGTTAGCATCAACAGATGTTGGTCAGATCCTTGTTGACTACAGATCCTTGTAGTAGGATCTCATAGGCTCAAAGAATAAAATTATTCTTTGAGCTTCTGATCCTACTACAAAAGAATTTGGCGGGGATCTGCATCTGTCTGATTACTGATTCATGGTACGCTGACTCTCTGCAAGGTGCAAATAGAAACTCACTGTTGCTTTTGCTATGAGGGCAACTGCTTCTTGACTGGCTAAATTCACATCGGGATCTTGCTTCATAATTGTTTTGATGCGAGTAATAGGAAACCTTACAATTCTTTCCGTCTTTTCAACCTCTTCTGTTTCTGGTTCAGGACCATCTGGGTCAGTAGGCTCCTCTTCAAAAGGTTGTACATTTTGTTGATTTTCCATGTCTGCCATCTTTGTTTTTCGCGGCAAATTTCATAGCACACGCGAAATAGTTTACATAGGATACAACTGTCGCAATTTTAAATATGACTAACTTGTACTCACTTTTCACAAAAACGATAATATTTGCTGTTTTTTATATCCTTTAAAATCATTATTATTTGTTCTTTCAAAATTTGGGTGATAATTTCTCTAAAGTTCTATACAAAATAACTGCGTAAATCTAATGTTTTGTCCCCGGGAAAGACGAGGTCAAGGCCAACATTATATTCGAAATCATAAATCTAATGTTCATGTGTAGTTCTCTCTTTCCTGACTACACTACTCCTCCCACACGTTAGACAAGCTACTTGGTACACTGTTAGGCAGGCTGTAAGGTAAGTGTTTATGCACTTAGATAAAGTTAGAATGCTCTGTTTCAGATTTAGCTGCAGGCATATTTCCAAGTTTGGGGGTTTGTGTAAAAAACCGGGCGACGGGTATAACCGTGTATCCGGGAGACGGGGTACCTAATCTTCCTACCAGTGAATCCCGCATCTGTTTTGTTATTATCCCATCGAACGAAGTTTGCAGCGATATAGGGAACTCCTCCGTCCGTCCGTTTAAATACCGTTGGCCCGATTTTGTTCATATTTTGTACACATATAGAGTCTCTACGTCTATTCCGTGTAGTTGAATCAACAATTGTCTGGGTTTATCAGCAGAACAAAGAAATTTTCATTTTTGATCGCAATATTTGCGTGTAATATTTAACTTATTTCAACCCTCAAATTCCTCCATAATTGTTAGATATCTACTTCCGAACTCCCATGCAGTGATATATCACTGCGGCGGGCAGGTATCTCACCGTAAGCATGGTAACATCGTAATAAACAACTGACGTGATTGGTTCTAGTCCCATGCTCAGGTCGCGTGATTGTAAAATTTAGACAATTTCATTGGTTGAATTGCGCGTATTAACTTATAAACAACACGTGCGGTAAACTTTTATCAACACAACTTTTACTCAGAATTCCTTCCGCGGGGATTTCCTCTTATATTTCATTGATTTTGGAATATTTCGACAAAATAATTATTGGTGAACATAAAAGAACATATATTTTTTAAGTTGTGTGAAAAACAAGTACATCTGTGAGAAAAAGGGGGACTATCTTTCCCAAATTTTGGGGATTCCATAATCTGCCCGCCGCAGTGTCTATACCGAGACACTGCATAGGAGTTCGATCTACTTCTTTTAAATCCAACTGCAATCTTGAAAAGTGATGGAATCTCTCTCGATGAAAAAGAAAAATGTTCCCGTTCTGCCGATATACCCAGACAATTGTGGATTCAACTACACGAAAAGAATATGCTAAAATACCAAGGAATCTATTGAAGTAGGTATATTAGTGTAAGAAGCGTAGAAAATCCTCCCATATCGTACAGGCAAAAGAATAAGACGTTCACAGGACTATAGTCCTGGCAGGGGATCACATATACCCTATGGTGGTAGAAGTTCTGCTCGAAAGCCTATTTTCAAAATGGCCTCTCATTTAAAAATGGCGGCCATTTTAGTGCCGATTTTACAGTAGTTTAGGTGCAATATGTAAAACTGAAATAGCAATATGTTTTAAATGTAAAAAAATTATATAGGACATAATAAAGCTAGAAATGTAGATATTAAAGAAGCACATGGCAGTCATCTTGAAAAATGGCGGCCTTTACTCGTTATTTTACGATTTTTGCTGTAACTCGAAAAGTAGTGGAGCGATTTTGTTCATACTTGGTATGTGGATGCTATAAGCATAGCACACTGTCTAATGACACTTTTGGTAGAAGGCGGCCATTTTGAAAAATGGCAGCCATTTTAACGTATTTTACTGTAACTCGAAAAGTAGTGGAGCGATTTTGTTCATATTTAGTATGTAAATACTATAAGCATGGCACACTGTCTAATGACACTTTTGGTAGAAGGTGGCCATTTTGAAAAATAGCCACCTTTTTACCATATTTTACTGTAACTCGAAAAGTAGTGAAGCAACTACAGTGTATGTTCATATTTGGTATGTGAATACTGTAAGCATGACGCACTGTCTAATGATACTTTTGGTAGAAGGTGGCCATTTTGAAAAATGGCTGCCATTTTTTGCTTAAATGTTTGTAAAAATACCAGCCATGGCTGTTGGATGGGATTTGCTACACTTTGGCGTTGCTGTTCTCTATACAAGTACACACCACAGCCTTTTTACGAGTTGCAAGCAAATCAATTATTGCCTGAACCGGGGATCGAATTCGGGACCTATTGCGTAAGAGGTACATGCTCTACTGCTGAACTTTATGGGTTAAATCATAGATTAATAAAACAATGATATAATAATTATATACATTTGAAAGAATTTAATAATATCAAGTATCATTCAAAATTGTGGATTTATATTTGCTAATAGATGTCATTAGAATTGAAAATTGTTGCGCAGGAGTGCCCCCGCAATACTTTATTTACACTGAATGAGATAAATAGTTCCCACTCTATTTTCTGACATTACATTAATCTATAATGTGTGATTTTATGTTTCAATATTCTCTCGGCCTTAGAGCAACTGTGTACTACACTCTTGAAAATCTAAAAACTATGTGCCACATTGTTGAAAAGATGTTTGCTCCCTGCCTTAAATTTAAGTATTCCTGAATCAATCATTGTAACCATGGATATAATGACATCATATGATAGACAACAATGGACAAATAGAATTCTTTAACAACTTTAACAAGTTCCTGATAATAACCCCCTTGATCCTAGTAATTATGATTGATCCTAAGCATAAGGGGTATGCTACAGTATTTCCTGATCTCAGGTTAACTCCAGCGCAGTAGGAGTATTTCACATTAGCAAGCTTTTTGAATATCAACGTCAAGAACTGATTAGTTTTTGGGCATTCTGGGTAAATTTTAAGGTGGCCATTTTGGATTTTCCGTCCTAAAATCTTTACTTTCAAGACTTGTCTACAGGTTTCCAGCCAAACCGTTCAAATTTTTACATATGTTACACAGTGATAAGTTCTAGAGCTGATTAACTTTTCTGCGGCCATCTTGCTTTCTTGGTCAACAAGACCACAATGCTGTGTTTTAGGTACGATATTGTTCACGTCTGTGCCTTGTTTAGGGTGGGGAACCTGCTTGATCTATTGATTGCTTAATTGCATGCTGCACAATAGATGAACTCGCATAAAAGAGTCTACGGGTACGCTAATTATTTTTAAGTGATATGCAAACATCAATGCTAAATACGAATAAATTCTACAGTTCATAACAATTATATCTAGACAACGCCACTGATGATTTTTATTGATTTCAAAATATTATTCAATGCCTTAATTTTTAATTCACACATATTTAAGCAAGATGTGTCCAATTTCAGCCAATCAGAACACTCTATTTCATATTAGTACAATGCATTATATAACCAACAATCCACCCAAGAAGATTGCGGTAATTTTCCTCGGGAAATTAGATATCGTTCAGTGTGTACGATTTTCTTGCTGTTTCAGTCCTGGTCATTAACGGTGGTAATAATACTAATGATATTGCCCTTCGAAATGACGCTATTGTACTACTATTATTTCCATGCCGTAATACTCGTTCTCTCATTGGTCAATTAGATACCATGTGACTAAAAATATATAGAGGTACTCCATGTCTCCCTGCTTAGAAAACGTGTGAAGGGTGTATACACCGGCAGTGACGTCATTTTTAGTGAATACCACTATATATTCAATTAAAATGACATCACGTCACTTAATTCCCGGGAATTTAGTAAAAATTAAATTTTCAACTGATATGATAGACGGTGAAGTTGTATCAGGAAGTCCTCCCAATAAAAGGTTCAATACTGTGTAACAAACGTGGGATAATGATTTTACAAATGTATTCAAAATGTCAACTAATCAAAGCACAAAGACTATGGACTTTAACATGGAAGATCCGAAAAAATTTGAAAAAATTTTGTTTGAAAAGAATTTAAGCCCAAGACTCCATGCTTCGTGACCGATTCATTCATTCATTCATTCATTCATTCAGATGTTGTTTCCTAGACTTAACACTCCATGCTACATATCTTGTGCAAAGTTTGAAACAAAAACATCAATTTCCTCCTCAAAACTGGACTCAGTCCAACTAAATAACCGAATGTGATACCTCAATATAGTATTCCTAATGTATTTATTGATTGCTTGAATTTGTTTTAGTAGGTTTATTGACAATTATCAATGAAAATATTCACTTTCTGTTCGTTCATGTCGTAAATTATGAATGTATTATTTTTGTTTCTGTTGTGTATGATGATGCTATTACTGACTGATCAACCCTGTGATTAGTAACAGAGTTGTTCAATTTTGAACACCTGTGAAATATTTTTTTGAATCCTTCCTGGTACCTTTTATTCATTAGTCCATAAATAATAGGGTTGTATGCGCTATTTGCGTAGCCTAGAATCAGTGTAGTAATATCTGCAGTCCTTGATACATTCTCGCCAGAGAAAACTGAGATGAACATGGTTATGCAAAAAGGAAGCCATGATATGATGAATGTTACTATGACAACCAGAAGTGAAATTGCCAATTTTATCTCATCTTCTTGTTTCTTATCTTTCTTGTCCTTTGCTATTTTGTCTTTATTTCTGGTATGTGCAGCTTTGTGGTTATCAACGGGAACATTAAGTGTATTGTTCTTATCAAATGCTGTTTCCTTATTTGATTTAGTGAATTGTGAAGTGTGCAATCTAGTACCTGGTAAGTCAGTTTTTGTACCTGTTTCCATTCTTTTTCTACTTTTTCGAACTTCTAATAGAAGCCTTACATAGCAGATTGACATGATGGAACAAGGTCCTCCAAAACACACTGCTACCATAAATAATGTGTAAGATATTGATACTTTCCAATCACAGAAGCACATAGACTGGGTTGGAATATATGTGTATACTCCCCATCCTAATACTGGAGGACATGAGATGCAAGCAGAGAAAATCCATATACCTATAAATATAAAAAATATTTAATGCTTATTTCTGTAGAATTAATTCAATCAAATATGGTCATGATTAGGGATGTCACGGAACAAAAGTATTTAGGGACGGGACGGGAATTATCCATTTCGGGATGGGACATTTAGGATGGGACATAACCAATACAACGGGACGGGACAATATCAGGAAACTGTGACATCCCTTGTCATGAAACACCACTCTCTCTCATTGCAAAAATTTTTTGTTAAAAATGCACTCCAAAAACAACTTTCAATTCACACATCAATTTTACCAGAAACAAGAATTCCGATAGCTAAGGTAGTACTAGTCATGATACCGGGTCATGATATGTCACATTCATAAATAGGTTGTCTCAATGATTAGAGATTTCCCTCATATATAAAAGTATAACTTGCATTTATATGTTATGTTATAAGTATATTAAGTGAATTGAAATTTTAGACAAATATTTTTGTCCATCAATTCTTATATTTTTTCACCGAAAATGAATAGTTTTCTTCTCTAAATTTCTAAATGCGGATTGGATAATTATTATGTCACCACCAAAAAGTGGTGATATATTGTTATGGTCTCCATTTTTTATGTCACCACCTAAAAGTGGTGACATATTGTTATGGTCTCTGTTTTTTGTGACGGCCGTTGGTGGTTGGCCTCTGTAACAAATTTTTAACTGGCAATAATTTAACAAATACTGTTTATGGACTGACTTCAATTTTTTTCAAAATCATCTATAAGTTTTCAGAAGTTCAAATCTGACTTTAAACTTAAGATTTGACCTTCATTGACCTTTTTGAGGTCAAAAAAGGTTTACGATTGGTGGGTGGCGTCTGTAACAAATGCTTAAAGCTTCCAATGACATAACAAATACTGTTTAGACTGACTTCAATTTTTTCCAAAAAGTTTTCAGAAGTTCAAAGCTGATTTAAGATTTGACCTTCAATGACCTTAAGAAGGTCAAAAGGGTTAATAAGGTTTTAAGGTTTTAATAGAAGGTAAATGAACTCACCTAATATCATGAATAAAGTGTTTTTCTTGTTATATACTTTGTTGTATCTCTGTGTACTGCAAATCATGATGTAACGATTGATACTTATATTGCATAGAGAGAGGACACTCCCAACCAGTGTCAACATGTTGACAAATCCAGATATCATACACATCTCATCTCCAAATGTCCAAACTCCTGTAACGATGGCAACAATTGTCATTGGTATGTTAAATATTCCCACAAAGATATCTGCGATACAAAGGCACAAAACAAAGGTATTTGCATATGTTTGTAACCCTTTGTTTATTAATATGATCATAACAATTGTAAAATTCCCGAAAACAGCTAGTGAACAAATAAAACTTAATACTATGATTTCTATTCCTTTTTCTTCATTTGATATATAAGAAACCATTTTAATGTCAGAGCCTCTTGAGTTCACAACTTTCCGCAAGTCAAATAAAACTGTAGATGGTGTATTAAACCGGAATGCTCATAATAGTGATATAGATCCATAAATAGTTCATGAATAGACCAGTTCATGTTTTCATTTCCTTCTCAGTGGCTTCCTTCAAGTCTTTACATTGATTATCTAATTGCCAATACAGTATATCGTATTGTTACCATTGTTGTTCCTTCCTATATTCAACATGTTTGTCCATCTTATTAATTGATTAATGATTTTCTCTCTAGATCAATAGTGTCATTTTACTTGTATCACAGGCTGGTATCATGCTGTGAGCATCATACTCCAAAATGTACCATTTCTTTTATTTCTTTTTTTAATGTTATTGTGATAATGTATTGTATTATAATAGCTTAGACCTAGTGTAGTGTAGTGTAGTACAATGTTTTTATTTTGTAATGACTAATATGTCAGAGCATGACATCTAAAGAGTCAATAAAAGATATATATATTCCGAATGATGGAGTGGCAGTTAGACACTGTTTCTTTATATGTTAGATCATTTTTTGGGATATTGGGATTTGAATCTTTTATATTTTTATCTTTTATATGAATCTTTGTACCTTTCAATGAACTTTTGTCTGTGTTCTTACTTCTTTTTGTTGGTCATATCCAAACAAATGAAATTTGCTAGGGATATAGTGAAGCCCTCCGTCCGTCAGTCCCGCCATCCTTCTGGAAGATGAATCAATACCCTGCCATGTTATTTCCCCTGAATCAGCCAACTGGTGGCGAAACTGGTAATTACCTCCTCACATCTGAGTAATTGTGGTATTGTTTTCTGATTTGTGCCTTAGAATGGCTGCCTAGAGCAGGAATTCACAATTTCTTACAGATGGTTACATTAGGGGAGGCATCAAAAGTTTGATGTCGGATAGAAAACTAAATAAATCTAGTTAGGGGGGAGGGGGTTCAAACCCATTTCAGTTTGCTATCCGACAAATTTCAACATTTTTGGCAATTTCGACCCAGAATACCTTGGAATGGTTTAAAAATAAAGATTTTACCTGATGCTTTCTTCATCAAGATCGTTCCAATGGATTCTATTCTATCAGTAGTTGTTGAAAGCAGCAAATTACGATAGGAATTAACAAAAACTAGATCGTGTTTAGCAATAATTTTTCAAATTCTCAAACCGGAAGTCAGCGATCAACTTTCATAGTATTTAGTTTTGGGGGGGGAGGGGGGGGGGGGTCAGAGTCAAAACTAGATTTATTTAGTTTCCGATCTGACATCGAACTTTTGATGCCTCCCCTTACTAGTATACTATGTTGGAACTCAGGTATTGTATTGTCTTAATGATTTGTGCCTTTGGGACTCAAATCCTTAAATCAATGGAAATTCTGATCTCCAATGTATGTCTTTTATAATATCTGCCAATTTAATCAAGGGTAGAGTAGATGGTAAACAAAACTTTCATTGACATAATGCACATTCAAAGATATTATAGTGCTCGTTGGAATTTGCTACTCCCTGGAGTTGCCAATTTTTAGTTATACCCTGGCACATGTGCTTTGATATTTGCAATTAGTTACATCAAACTATGAGCATATTTTATAAAAATGATGTACATGTAGCAATTGATGTTCACGAATCCTTTGAAACATTACATAATTTATCTTTTTTCTAGTTCATCTGGGTCTAAGAAGAATTCATTATTTAAATTTCTCTTTTTTAATTATGGCTGGTCCTGAAAAGGACCTTTGGTTTGCGAACTGTAGACTCTGCTTCTCAACATCTCCTCATATCAGGCTCTGTGGCGTTCATGTCTATGATGGATATGGCAGCCTGTAGTTGCTCCCTCATCTCCATTACAGCCACATTGTCAAGCTCCTCTTTGATCTTAGCTATGTATTGTGGATTGCTTTGTCTATGCTCAGCTCTTGCAATCAATTTGATGAGCTTCAATTTTTTCTTTTGTTGATCCCGTAGTTGTTTTTTCAGGAGCTTGATGCGATTGATGTGTTCTTGCTGTTCAATTGTGATCTCTTTCTTTACTTTAGTCTTGGTGGTTTTCTTTTTGTTTGCCCTGGGTGCCATTGCTGATTATGTGCTTTCTTAGTATTCAATGTAGAATACTGTTCATACTTTGATGGTTGATTTTTATAAGGTGCTCTATCAAATCCCAGAACCAATCAGAATGAAGCAACAGTTCTGACATTTTGAGCAATGCAACACTGAGAAGATTTGACATTTTGACATTTTGAGCAATGCAACAACAGATTTAACATCTTGAGCCGCTTGAGTCAGTTAATCTGACTTTGAGTAGTGCTATGTCACTTGACTTATAAGCCTTGAGTGCTGGACTTAGCTGCTTACCAAAATGACGGTATTATCTTTCTAATTAATCCAATTGTTTCGATTAAGGGAATAATAAATGCTCAAGTAATAATCTACTTAAATGGGACTCAAACGTGACATATTATCCGGGATTAATTGATAATCAGTTTGTTTATAAAATAATTTGTTTACATCTGTCTCAAAACTTTCAAAATTTGCAGCCCAAGATGACAGGATTATCTTTCTTATTAATCCTAGTGTTTAAACTCAGGGATTATCAACAAATTTTGATAAGTTTAAAAACTATTATTTATTAATGAGTGTATAATTTATTGCATATGTCCATACACATGTATGTGCATCCGTCTGGGAAATAACTCAAATCAATGTATCAAACATTTCCCCTCCCTAATCTCTATGTTATGATGACTTCTATATGGATGGATATGTTATCAATTTATATTTTATGAAATCAGCAAAAACTTACATCTTTAGTACACATTATTTTATATTTTTCAGTTGACTTGGACAATTTTGGCAACATGGGCCCGAATTAGACTTATTGCAGAGCAAGCTTACTTGATTGGCTGATAGAGGGGGCTGTCTGCAATGACACACAATGAAGAAAGGGCCCATTGGGTCAAGGAGGGAATGATTGGTCTAGGAGGTAATGGACATTGAATGTCTAACAGGAGTTGATTCAGGTTTTAGTTTGACATTCTACATTTGTTAATTTACTTTATGGGAGGATTAGGCCAACCATCTAGGCCATTCTAGGGTGTGCGCATGGTTCCAAAAATTTAAAAAGTTTGTAAATATCTAGGGTTATGGTTGCTATGGCAACATTATTACAGCACCCCTTTCAACATTCCAATGCAGTTTCAGAATTTTCAGAGACCCCTGGTTTTTCAAAAAATGTAAAGTTTGTAACGGCATTCAAATTACATGCAAAATCGAAGTATACATAGATGAAATATGTAATGTTCAAGTTAATAGCAAAAGGCTTATGCTTTTAGCTAGAGTCAATCAATCTCCTCATCTACTCAAGTTATGTGCTTTTGAAAATGATTATATTAGGTAGATACAAAAGAATAGAAAAAGAACATTTGATAAAACAACCGGCCATCAAGAAACAACCCCAAGCATCCCAAACAATAATCTAATGTGGAGAAAAATTGATATTTTGACCAAGACCTTTGTGTTTCTGTTGCAGTGGGTGTGTTATATGGGACAACCAGTGTATGTGTAGGACATCCTTTTGACACTATCAAGACAAAGATGCAGGCACAATCAGGCTTTGAAAAGGCAGGCATGTTCAAAGCATTCAGCAAGACTCTAAGGACACAAGGCATTATAGGCCTGTATAGGTGAGACAATTTTTCTAAGAGCTGAGTAAGTAAATTATAGATAATTAACCACTTTCACATCTAGTGATCTGACAAAATGGATGGAGGGGGAGTAGACGATTTCTGCAAGAAAATTCAACAAAATTTATTTTTTCAAGAGAAATCGCCTAAATGACCATCCATCTATTTTGTCCGATCACCGGGTGCGACTTTAACATGACAAACATTCACAATTGATACAAAAATATTGAAAAATCTGTAAAAGGTCATTTAGTGAATCCATGTTATAAGATTTTGATGATGTCATATATCATTTGACCTTGATTTGTTCTGACTTAGAAGTAAAGCCTTTAAACTTATCATGTTTTATTTTCAGAGGCTGCATACCTCCACTTTGGGGATCTGGAATATTTCGTTCAACTCAGTTTGCCGTATTTGAAGCTGTGTAAGTAGCAGTAATGTTTATGTGAGGGGTCTGGCTGTTAGTTGTACATACCTGTATAAAAATGGGAAAAATCTGATGTTTTGTTCATAGATGTCAGCAAAAATACAATTTTGAGTAGAACCATAAGCTCAATAAATATTCCACAAGATGAGATACCAATGATATTTGGACAGACAAGAGCCCCGGAACAAGAGTAGGTGTCTCATCTTGTGGAATATTTATTGAGCGTCTGATTCTACTACAAATCAGAATTTTGCTGACATCTATGGTTTTGTTTGTCAAAATTGTACTTACTGAACACATTACTGTACATGTATGATAGTTATATCTATACTTAGAACATGAACATGATGCCACACTTGCAATTTCAATGTAACAAGTGACTGTTTGCGTCATTTGGTACACATGCTATCATGCATATTATTAAACCCTTGTTTAGATCACAATTGGTCTACTGAGTCTAGTATTTATATGGAATATATTTAATATTTTAGTGGAAATTATCTGTTTGCTCTGTCATGTTTTATGACTCGAGTTTAAGCCAACTGGTGGTGAACTAGTAACTGAATACTGACACCCACTGACACCAAGGCCTTTGCTGGCTAACTATGCAACTGCAATATAACTGGGATTAACCATGTACCAAATGAAGAAATTCTCCAGATTTATAGTTATAATGAATTTCAAATAAAATCCTACTTCGATCTTGATTAAAAAATTGCATAAATTTGTTTTTCTTACAGATACACAATGATGGATACATCGTTTGGGAGATCAGAGATTCCTGGAACATTTGGACTCCAAACGTAAGTGTCGATATTATTAAGAATCTGTCAACATGCAATAAAGCCACAGAATTTACACCTTTTTTACATCCATAGACATAGTTGGGCCTAATACCATGTGCTCTAAATTCTATTGACTAAATCACATACAGTAGTCTTGCATTAAGCTCTGTGTGATCTCTTCCTCCTACTTATCTCACCTCCACACCTCATGAAGTAAATAAAGGATAGCTAAGATATGGGATGAGAGGTCCACAGACTTGTTGCGAGACTAATTCCAAAATTGTTTACCCAAAGTGATTTTATTTTTTGTTTCAATGCAGCCGTGTTGTACTAGCTGGCTGCTGTGGTTCTACAGCCAGGGCTATAATAGAATGTCCCTTGGAATATGCCAAAGTACGCAGACAAACCAACCAAACCTGGAAGTTTAGGAGCCTTTATACGGTATGGAATTATTGAGTAAATCTGGAGGGAGTTAAAACGACAGTGCCTATAGTGCATCTTAGAATTCACTTGTATGACCACCAAGTTGAGTATCCAGTGACTTTCCTTAATTGTAAAGATCTGATGAAACTCATAGTCACTTACACTTCTACTATGATGTTATATTGTCAAAGTGAGTTATATTAGAAGAAAGTCAATGTTACTGACCCGGGGGGTTCACTGTGTACAAAATTTGGCGGGGGTCCTAGGCTGAACCCTCGGATATCAATATATTCCCATACCCATATGTCAAATTTGGATGTGTTCCCATACCAACTGATATAGTGCCCAAAAGCCATACCAAATGCCCAAATATGAAACCAATGCCATACCAAATGTCAAAATATAGGACCAATGCCATACCAATACATGACTGGTCCAAAGTAGAATATATCCCAGGAAAAAAAGCTATTTATTTAAACTGAAGAAGGTCCCAGGAAGAAGGCGATCTTTGAGGAAAACGAACCAAAACAACCTCATATTAGGATATGTGTATCTACTAGACCAATTCCATACCATAATTGTGAGATAACATATTTTCCATGACCATTCTCATACAAGAAAGTTGAAAATCTGACCGTTCCCATCCCTCAAAAGTCATAATGAGGGGGCATTCTCATACCACATCCTAAAATTTGGGTCCATTGCCATACCAAATGTCAAAAATGGTACCCCATGTGTGCCGAGGATCCCCTTCAAGGTTTATATACAGTGAACCCCCCGGGGTTACCGACAGCATATTTATTTTTTAAAAGGCACTTTATTTTACAAGAAGACATTATTAACAGGACAAAATGTGTCCGCCTTTTAAGTCTCTGCAAATGGTAACTAAAGTGTAACAATTGTTACAGACATCAAACACCAACTGTCATTCCAACTTTTATTCCAGGGTTTTGGAGTAACATGGTGCAGGACCATGGGGCTCATGACAACTTACTTTATACTAGTTGATACCGGGAGAAGACATTTTGCTGAACATTTTCAAAGGCCATTCCTGGGTCCATTCCTGACATCTGGAATAGCAGCAACTTTAGCATGGTGGCTGGTGTGGCCATTAGAGTACATGAAGTCACAGGTCCAAACTGGATATGGCAAGTAAGTTCAATCAATAAATCAATACTTTTTACAAGAGGAATGACTAATTTGTCTACTCTCTTGAATTGAGAAACTTCTGATCTTCCCTAAATCAAATCAGAATATATGTGCAGTGTATTAATCTTAATCACCATCTTCTGCATACATATTTAGGGGAGTCATCAAAAGTTCGATGTCGGATCGGAAACTAAATAAATCTAGTTTTGACTCTGACCCCCCTGCCCCCAAAACTAAATACCATGAAAGTTGATCGCTGACTTCCAGTTTGAGAAATTGAAAAGTTATTGCTAAAAAAACGATCTAGTTTTTGTTAATTCCTATCGCAATTTGCGGCTTTTAGCAACTATTGATAGAATAGAATCCATTGGAATGATCTTGATGAGGAAAGCATCAGGTAAAATCTTTATTTTTAAACCATTCCAAGTCAAATTTTTTTGCAAACTGAAATGGGTTTGAACCCCCTCCCCCTAACTAGATTTATTTAGTTTTCTATCCGACATCAAACTTTTGATGCCTCCCCTTACAGGAATAGTAGTTCACATTCATTTCACATTCAGACTTACAGATCCATTTGAGTTTAGTAAGATCTTAGAATTCCAATCACTTGTAATAGTCAGAAGATAGTGTGACTTGCCAATGAGAATTCAGGGTAAGATTAGTTATACAAGTATAGCTGAAGTTTTATTAAAAACTAAATCTTATTGTGTATATACAATTTTTGAATATATTTAAAACTGTCATTCTAAAACCTGTGAGCTCTCTTATACCCTTCTGGTATTTGGCCCTATTGAACCTGTCTGGCTCTCTTAAAAATGTCTGGTTCACTGAATCTGTCTTGCTTTCCTTAACTCTACGACCTATTAGAACTGGCCAAGTTAAACATGTCTAGAGTCCTTTGAAGCTTATCTGACCCTCTTTATCTCTATAGATTTTTGCATATTTGTACAGCAGGTATGTAGTACAGAGGATATAGCAAACACAGAAAATGCTTGATCATCAGTTTATATAAGCCCTTATATTATTCAGTCTCATCATCATAAAAAAAAGATTTTGAAGAATTTTGAGTCAACTTGTCCCATTTTCAGAGAGATGTCTACCCTCCAGCGTATGAGACTAGTCATCAGGGAAAGAGGTGGTTTCTTTGGCTTGTATCGTGGTCTTGGTCCTGGCACAATTAGGAGTTTTCTCTCTAATGGATGTAGCATGGTTGTCATGAGCTGGGCACAGAGGAAGGTCTCTGAGATGGGATTAAGGGATAACTAATCAATATGAGGAAATGTTGAATTGACTGGAATGTAACCCTACCCAGTAAATCCAGTAAATATTCTGGAGGCCTCGTATCATGTATGGTAATGTAAGCCATAAGGACAATACTGTATTAACCAAAAGGGCTACTTTATAGAAAAACTGAAATATGCATATATGAGCAGTTTCAAATTGTTTAGATACTTCTCATGAAGTAAAGGTGGTTGATATTGACTCACTGAGCACTACCAGTGATTGAATGTGCCTTTATATATGCTGTGTAAAGATCCGGTGCTAGGGTGTGAAAGGATCCCAATTTTTGCTTTTGCTTTTTAGCTTATATGACTCATTTCAAGTTACATTACTATTATAGTATTTATATTTTATTTAGTTGTGGTACCAATAAGTACCAAAAGTGATATTAGTGCCAAAGTATTAGATTGAAAACTCAGTGTAGTTTTATAATAGAATCATTTTAGTCTTTCCATGGTTCCTCCAGTCAGGAAAAAACAAAATGACTCCCAACAATGTGATATTTTTATTTTATTTATGTATTATACAATCATGGATCAGGCATAACAATGAATAATCATGGAAAGGTTTTTTTCGTTGATATATATTTTTGATGTAGCAGATATATAAACTTGTAAAGTGATACAGGAGAAAATCAGTAGTGCATGAGGGTATCGTAACATTGAAAGGGCTTTCAGAAAAGGGCTTTCAGAATATTTTCACTGAAAAAACCTCTATCCCCTATCGAAGCCCAAAAAAGTTTCAGCACCAAAAATATATACAGTCAGAAAAAAATTGTCTTACTAGTCCAACATACACATATTTTTCTTCAGAGAGTCAGATCCAGAGTATTTTTCTGAACAAGGTTAGGTCCCTTATATCTACTGGTTTGCCCCTTGTATGTTTTTCATGGTATCATGAATCGCTCGTTTTAGTGCAAGCAATACGTATACACCAATATGTGATACTTTCAAACAGAGACTCTTCCAGTGTTAGAAAGGACAGAGATATCATGAGTATCAAAATGCATATAGATGTTAAATGTAAGATGAAAAAGTATGAAACCTTCAAAGGCAGCTAGCTATTCATACAAACAGCATTTATCTCTCAGCATATAAGTACATGTATATCACAAGTGGAGACATATTGTTATAGTTTCCAACTTTTATATAATGGTGCCTGGCACTCAGAGTCTGATGTTGGAGTCTGTAACACATGGCAGGTGGTGACATTTTGCATGTTAATGCCTTGTTTGAATATACAAAACTATAGTTTGTAGTCTTGCATGCATGTGCACCCTCCCCCACATATATCATATGTCATTCTATATGCTACAAGGTCTGTAAGGAGGTAAGTTATGCACATGCTGTCATCTAGAACACAAATCATCAGAACACATCTTAGATCATATCTAACAAATAATATTTATTTTTTACAATTTTTTTTTTCGAAAAATAGATTCGATGAGGCATTAACATACAAGTTAAATAAATGTGCAGGTATCTTCAAACTTTTGTTATGTTAAGTTCTTGATGGATGTGATTTGAGAACAGACAGTCAGTAAGGGGGCTGGGTGGTGGTGGGGGGATGCAGAGAGAGGGTTGCTGCAAGACTTACAATTATGCACAATGGAATTGTTGCATTTTGCCCGCAACATCATATTTTATATAGAATATATGAAAAAAACTGTATGCTTTGAATTATGTTTGTTTATTGAAGATAAGTAGACATGATTGAATGTAAAACACAACCATATCATACATTGTACTTTTGTTGCCAGGTCTTGCTAAGAGGAATTCAGAAACTCCAGTGGTGTTTAAATTTGACAATTTGGCCCAAATCACTCGAAAAGTGCTCAAAATGGTGAAAAATTGCATGATTTGAAAGAAATTTTGGCCAGGCTGAAAAACTGCATGATTTGAAAGAAATTTTGGCCGGGCTATGCTGGATGAAACCATAAGATTTACTACATAATGCAACATGATATGTTTATTCCCCAGTGGTACATTTTCTTAAATTCAAAAGATTTGTTTGATAATCTTGACTGATCTGACTTTCATATTAGCTTACTGGGCATGTCATTCCTTATGTAAATTAGTTTTCCATATTTGGTATGGATAATCCAGATCAATGACATTGGTTATCAGCACTCATATTTAAGCTTTTGGCCTTTAAAATCGCAGATAGTGTCACAACATTGCCTTAAGAGATGACTTGTGACGTCTTTTCCTGATAAGAATACTACTATTTTTAATTTATTTTTTTCATCATCGGCGGTATCATGCGATTTCAACATAGCACGAATAGTTTAAATATTTGTGACGCTGGTCCAAAAGGGATCTGAAAAATGATTACATTTCATGTTTACATCTTTACTGGATAAATAGTTGGAATTGATTCATTGTTTATTTAACTTTTGTCGGAAATAATTGAAATGTCACATGTGTAAACATGTTGCCATATATGGACTTTTTTATGCACTGAATGTTTACTAGGTTAGTATTAATCTTTGTTTTGACTCAAGGGTTTACCTCAAAAAGTTAAAAACATTTATTACTTCTTTTTTATCTTATACAATTTTTCATGTATTTTTTATTTATCATTTGAAAATGAATTAAAGATATACTCTAGCAAGGAGGAGAAAGCAAAATGCAGAAAGTAAAAAAAAAAGTTGAAATAAAAGTAATTTATTCTGACATACATACCAAACAAAAAAGGCCATTCATATTTAAGACTTTATTGTTTTCACTTCAGTTGTTCTCAAAGCAATCAGAGCTACCAAACTAATGCTTGTTGAAAATCGTCAAAGGAGGAAGTTTAAAGTGCATATTGGCTACATTCTCAAACATTTTTGTTGACCCGACTGCATTTTGTCAACACCAAACCACAGAAAAATACAGTAAACATTCATGGCTGCTAGTCATTGGGCAATAAAGTTCCCTTTTAAATTCTTAAAGTCTGAGTAAAACTGCACATCCTCTACAATTATATTTCATTGAAAGATACTTGAACATTCAATCAATTGACAGTAAATCACTTTTTTATAATTTGCTTCAAAAGCTGTATTGACATGTATGATATTTTAGAGTGAGTGAAGTATATAAAAAGTGATACCAATCTTAACTACTAACTTAGGGAGTGTTTGGCTGGTAGCCCAAATGTTTATAAAAAGTCTTATAATATTTATTTTGGCATTTCTACATTGAACATTGAATTGAATGGAATAGATGCGCATCTTTAAGTGAATGTTTCAGAATCAAACTATAGCAACATATAACAGGATCTATTGAACATTTTCAAATTCATGGTCAACATTTACATGTGCATGTCTATGAAAAGGAGTTAACTTCATGTGGATTTATGGATGCTCACTGAATGGGAGATCAGGCCTCATCATACTGACCACATGGTCATTACATGTATATGATCTGAATCAGTTCACAGTTTGAAAGAACTAAAGGTTGATTGGATTTTGCTTGCAGCAACGTTGACTTTCATTACATGTAATTTGAAGCAGGCTTCAGGTAATTGTATGTTCTATATATGTTTTATTTTAACATTGAAAATACATTTTAGGCAAAACCTTAATATATGTAATAACTAATTACATGTGTAGAATGGTGGCTAATATAGGCTTATTTCATGAATGTACACATTGATATATATTTATTTACATACATGACATGGAAGTTATTTGAGATAATGGGGTATTATGGGATTTGAGATTATGGGACAATCCGCAAACTCATTAAGTAAGTACTAAGTAGTTGCAATAATATATATGTTAACATTTTATTTATATGTGTAATTGGGTAAGAACTTGAAATAATATATTTGTTAACATGTTATTGATGTGTACATTGTAATATGAAATAAGAAGTTGCAATAATATATGTTAAAAATATATTTTCAAGTCTGTTTAATATAAGTACTTTGATATACCCTTTGGTGTAACTGTTGAATGATGTACTTATTTCATTACTTATGTCTAAAAAATGTGAAAAATACACCCATTTCATTAATTAATTCACTGTTATTACTGATTTAATTGAAGATTTCGTAAAAATTCCCATTGTGCTGATCTACCTTAACATTATATTAATTTCTGTTTTATTTTATACAAGATTAAGATGAACATTCCTGGTAAGATGAACATTCCTGAATGTCAATATACTCTGGGGCCTTTTGTGGTTTATTATTATTAAATAAGGGTTGGTTGGATTGGCAATAATCCAGTCACCAAGGAAACTTCAGTATTAAGTAGAATGTATTTTCTGAATAACCAGTTTATATGACAATACTGAAATCTTTTTTTCAGTTAGAAATAAAAGTGATTGGGCCTCTCGGATGAGTGTCATACTTGTATGCTTGAACGATTGAATCTCCAAATTCAGAGATTAACGAGAATTAATTCAGAAATTAACGAGGATTAATCACCTAAGATGTCGAGACGAATTTCACATAGACAAAGACGGGAGAGTGAAGCGTATAACAAAGACACAGAAAGACACACTCTCCGTATCAAGCGAACAATAGAGAGACTGAAAACGCACGAGTTTCCCTTTGAGAATCTCGTTTTAGAAGGGGGTGGTGTTAAGACTACTGCATATCCAGGTGCTCTACAGGTATACCATTTTAATTATTTCTGACCAGCTTGTACAATTAGTGTCAGTGAAATCTCTGAAGATATCTGTGATATATAAAAACACTATGTTATTCCTAAATTAAAAAAAGTTATTTACAGTGTAAGAATTTGTTTAGAGAGGATCTGGAACAACATGGAGCCAGCAATAGGTTAGAGTCCCATTCGATCCCAACACAAATCAAAATATTACTCTGTGGTTAAGATATTTATTACATAGCAATTTTCAATGATAAAAAAGTTAAGGGGAGAACAGATTTATTTGACGCCCTGTAAATGTCCATAATACAATGAATAACATGAGTGAACCATATTAAGAATGCATATTTATGAAAATAGGGGTACAAAAATTCAATAGCTATATCAAAACATAGATATAAGACATGGAATAAACTCATTAAATCTGACATTCATGATGTTTTTATTCTATCTTTAGAAAGAAACTTTTATATTGATAAATGTCAACATGTTTTAGGTGGCCAATTAAACTTTTGGGAGCCTGGACTTTTTCAGAGGAAAAATACCCTGGTACAGCAGTACTATTAAATATTGATGCAGAAAATTATTTCATTGCTTAAAGTTTTCTGAGTTAGTTAGAAATAAATTCCATATCCCTCAAATATAATGATTCAATGGGTACAAAGTTTAGAAGGTTTAAAATTAGTCTTGCTTAAAAGACCCTGTACTCCCCCCCCCCTTTTATCCTTCTCTCTATATATTATATATTGCCAGATAATGAGAGTGAAGGTGGGGGGGGGGGGTGGATACAGTCTTTGAGCAATACTAGTTTAAAATCTTTTCTCAATTAGTTTGGTTTTTTTTAACAATGAAATTGGATAGCCTAGTGAAATAATTTTCTATATAGGACTAATATGGGCCTCATTTTGAAATTGAAGTTAGGCCTTTATTTTTGAAATAACTGACCTCCCCGATCAATTCCCTTGTCTACCTCTAGTCGTTCTGTAGTTCTTGTTTGAACTGTATATGGTAAGTTAGAAAAGACAATTTGGGCTTTGATGACAAGAAAAAGCCTTGAAAAAATATTTGGTCCTTATATTTCCTGTGAGAGAAAACTGACCTTGGCACTTGGGAAAAAGTTTAAGCTGAATTTAATGATCCAACCCTAGGCTGCAAAGCTTTGAAGTTTTAAGCCATTCTCAAATAGTTTGGCTAATTCAAATATGATGAAAGTGTGACAGTTGCTATCTGTCCTCGTAGATTTTTTACTATTATAACAGAATGTTTTGAAAATACCTGAGTAAACAAGGCTATGATTTGCCTGTCATATTCTTAGGATTAATTGAAAAATGTAGTATCATATCAACACTTATTCAGAGTCAATAGCTTCTGGGCCCATTCTAGACCTCACTTGAAATGTTGCCATTTAGATATTATCAATCATTAATTGTGAAATTGAAAAATTGTTGTTTGCCTACACAGTATTTTACCATTTCATTTTATGTGTGACACTGAATTAAAATTGGAAAAAACCCTCTAGATATGAATTTTTCCATTTTCCTGGTTTTTATGTCACCACCACATAGTCTTCAAGTGTTTTTTGTGGATGGTGGTTGGTGGTCAGAGTTTGATGGTCAGTGTCTATAACAAATGACATAGTGTCTGTAACAAATGGCAGGTGGTGATATTTTGCATGTTAATGCCCTGTTACATTTTGTTAGAGTTTTCAAAAGAGAGCCTTATCTGAAGTCAGTCTTTTAATGAAACCTTGGCAACTAACTGCACAGACTTTTTATTCTGAGATACTCGTACCAGTATTTCAAATATTGCACAACTTGCCCAAAATTGCATTATGTCTTGTTTGACGAAAGTAACTTTTTTGCACCATTTTGCTTTCCCTTTATAATGAGAAATTAAAAAGAGATCCTTACATAATTTGCCATGAACCTATTGCTTTGTATAAAACAGTATATGCTTGAAATTCTAAGTTGATGCACAGAATGCTATTGCTATTTTGTCGTATATCCCTTTAGTACATTAATCCCAAGTTAACTAGTGAAACCTTCATAATATACAGTATTTACCTCTGAAAAGTGTTCTATTTAATTTAAGTCAGTTGGAACTCTGAAAAGTGCTCCACTAACAGAAGTTCCACTTCTGGAGCTGTTCAACTTAAAGGAATGTTCCACTTTACAGAGTCAACTGAATATAATTCTATATACATGTACAATAGTATCACAATTAGTCTAAGATGGTCAATCATTGTAGGTGCTTGAAGATGTGGGTATCCTCCAGAACATCACTAGGTTCTGTGGCAGTAGTGGTGGGGCGATTATAGCTATGTGCCTTGCCCTCAGGTACACCCCCAAGGAGATAGGTGACATGTTGAGGAATATGGACCAGAAAGCTCTTTTTATGGGTGAGGAAAATGGGTGTTTTTGCTTTTATAATGTGATATTTATGAATTTATGGATATGATTATATTATGAATGAATGAATGATTCCAGTACATGTACAATGAGTATTATGCCCAATACATTTCACAGAACATTTTTAAGATGCTTTGTACATAATTAAAGTTAATTCTCCAGATTTTTTTAATCAAGAAAAATCTTTCCAGATGCTACATTTGGGATATTTGCATTTCTTCCGAACATGTTCCGAAAGTTTGGCTGGCATCCTGCAGAAAAACTTGTTAATTACGGTAGAGAGGCCATAAGGAGAAAATCGGGCAAGCCAGATTTAACATTCAAAGAGGTTAGTGACATTATACTCACTCTCATTGGTTAAACAGGAGGGAAAAATAGATTTAAATTGGATGAGCAAAATGTAAATCTCATATTCCCCTGAGCTTAGTAAATTATAATTCAAATAATCCATTTGAAGCCTCCAACATTTCAATAATCTGTTTCTTTTCTCTTGTAGTTTTCACTTTTCAAAACAATAAGCACAGCAATAAAGTCCTACATTTTTTTGCTCTTGGAGCAAGAGAACTGAATTTATACAGGCTGCTTTATGGGTCACGGTGACCTTTAGGCTACATATTTTTATCAAATTATCAAAGTATTATTAATTTATTTGTAAAAGTTTATTTGAGAAACAAACATCAGCATATCAAACCAAATCTACAGTTTATTCTTATTTCATTTTCATTTCAAGATTTGATTGACAGTTCTATTTTTACACAGAGTGAAATTGATGGCCTATACATGTACACATCAAAGGTCAGGCTGACCAGGTCACTCTCTAAGCCATTTAAAAATCAGATTTATTGCTAAAAGTGGTCAGTTCTATCCTTTATTTCTCAGCCATAACACAATTCTAGCAAAAATGACCTTTCAAACCATTTTAGGAAATCTAATATCAGATGGATCAAGAACTTTTTATCAAAACTTGTATTTGATTAAAAGGAGTATTTTAATGAAATTCTAGGGGCTATTTTGTCAAAGAATTCTCTGGATATAATGATTGACCATTTTTGGGAGTCATGATCTTTTATAGTTTTTATTGAATTTTCAATGAATGATGAAGCGATTTTCTATATTGGAGACTTAAGAAGTCAAGGAATATCTTGGTGTTGGATTGTTATAAATAATTTTGAATAAAGAAAATGTATTTAACAGCAGAAAAGTGCGATATTATGTGCCATGATTTCTATCACACTACCCTACCACGTGACCACATTTAAAAAAGGATACAGGGTACAGTTAAGTTGCAAATGGAGTGGGTATTCTCTATATTTGTCCATTGGGCTTTTCTGGTAATAATACGTTGCAAACTGCTCGATGAATCTATAAAATGTATAGTAGAACACTTGGAATATATTTAAAATCTAGTATAACTTCAGAACTATGGAAATAAACAAACGACCTCCATTTGCAACTTCGCTGTCACCTGTATTTCTTTTAAAGGAATACAGGATACAGTATGGGGGTATAGTAGTGTGTCTATATTCTGTGATAACTAACTTTCTTGATTTCAAAAATTGAATATATTATTAATGTAAATATTATAATAGTCAGTTTTGGATATACTACAGGGTTCATCTTTCAAGAAATGTTATCCCTCTGATAAAGCCTTTTTCCAAACCCTCTTGTTTTCAGTCTCATTGACTAACTGTTACTTACCCTTTGCATTCGTTCGACTTCACTTATTAAAGGAGAGCTTCGTCTTCACTCTTTCAGTTTACAATAAATCTCTGATCTCACCGAGCCAATCAGAGTTTGTAAAATGTTTGGTTTTTCATTTTTGTTGTTTCTAGTGTTATGAGCAATTTGGAACAGAGCTAGTCATGACAGCTACAAATCTGACAACTACATCATTGGAGTATTTCCATATGAAGACCAGTCCTGATATGCCTATAATCACTGCTTGTAGAATGTCTTTATCCATCCCAGGTAAGAACTCCTTAACATGATATTGTACCAAAGGACAACATTATTTTCATCTTTTACCGACTAGGGTCATTGGTCCATAGTAGTTGGCATATAGATTAGTAACTGGCATACAAAGATAAAATGTTATATTTCAGAATAGAGGATGAGTACACGAGGGCAAGAAATTTGAAAATATTTTTTTTGGTCTTTCATATATGGTGTCATTTTGCTATTTGTTTATCTTTCAACACTAAAAAATAAAAATTAAACTTGACACTTTGTTACAGGACAATTTATAATTTTTTCATCATCATACTATATGTGTTTTTATTCTCAATTGGATACTATCACTGACTATAATTACATAAAAAGATTGCAACAGAGTATCTTATACTTGAGTGGGTTTGGGGCAGATATCACCTGGGAATATATATCATATCTGACTCAGTATAACTTGGCAAAGTGTAAAGAAAAAAATGTGTTAAAACGGTAAAACCTACTATTATATAGAGACTTTACACACTGTACTGTGTTATTACTATATGTATTAAAATACTAAAGTATACACAGTGCTTTTGGCTTGTTCATAACCACATACTTCAGCTTCTTTAATGTTATGTAATGTAATGTTTTCCTTTATTCAATGTACTTAATTTCTATTCTCATGGCAGAGTAATGTGGGCAGATTTGACTGTCTTTGGGGCATCTGCAGATATTTTATTTAGTCATTCAAATGATTTCATTCATAATGTCTATAATAGTTTGCTAATAGTCTTAATTGCAGTGTAGGCTTTAATATGCTAGTTTTGAATCCAATCGTTATTGTTATATCATATCCTCCTCCTACCTGCATTACTAATTAATAACAGGGGGGATGATTAAAGATGCAGTCCGTTGGCCAAACTTAACAATTTACCTTAATTTTGAATATTTTCAGGTATTCTCCAGCCAGTGAAGTATGTGAAAAATGGTTTAACAAATTACTACATTGATGGGGGTCTTCTCAATAATTATCCTATTAAGGCATTTGATGGTAAGTTGCTACACAAGTACAGGCCCATAACCAGTACACAGCCAATATAATGAAACGGCATCGAAAAAATTCGGCACTGTTCCGGCACCGTTTCGACACCGTTCGGGCACCGAAATATTTCGACACCAAAATTTGCTACCGGACTAGTCAGTCCATTTGGTGCCAGAACGGCACCAAAATTTGGCACCGAAACGGTGTCGAAAATCAGATTGCATTTTGGGGTGTAGGTCTACTTTGAATTGAAATTTAAAGAAGCAAATGGGATAAAGATGAGATGAGAGTAAATTTGAAACATTTTTTGGTTTCATTGTTCCATGTCATGCCTAGTTCCTTAAGATGAAGAAAAACTTTATAGCAAGACAATCTTTTTAAGGTTTTGGACATGTCTCCATCTTAAATCCTTTAATAACTTCTATGTACATTTGATCAGATATTTCAATTCCTTTTTCAGAAAACAAAATAGATTTTAAGGGAATAATTGATATAATAATTGTATATCTCAATTCTTTTCTCAGAAAATGAAACAAGGATTAAGAGAAACATTGGCATACTTTTCAAAATGAAATAACTTTTGTGAATTATTGCAAAGGGCCTAACTATGTACTCTACCTGGAATTGCTTCGGATTGATTTTTAATTTATATATTGATGTGTTTTCCCAATATTATTTTAGTGTTTTAGTATTTATTTTGGCAGATTAAAAGTAACCTGTCAGTTCAACACTGAACACAGCTTTTCATTTAATCTAAAATTTGAAAATGATCACATGCAGTCATTGAAATACCTTTAAATAACTACATAATGACATATGGCCTTTTCAGCATGTTATAAAGGGCAGTTACATGTGAAAATCATATACTGCATGAACCCTTGGCATGTTATTACATAAAGTGTCGGCAAGCAAATGATATGGGCAGGCCCGTAGCCAGAGGGGGTTCGCATGGTTCGGGCAAACCCCCCCCCCTGGCCAAAAATTCTTTAAAAATCATGCAGTTTTTCACCATTTTGAGCACTTTTCAAGTGATTTTAGTCATATTTGGGCCAAAATTGTCAAATGTGAACCCCCCCCCCTGGAAATTTTTAAAAACTGAACCCCCCTTGGCAAATCCTGGCTACGGGCCTGAAGGGTGAAGCAATCATTGTGATAAAAACATGCTAAATTTGCTAATGGGTTTAGTTCCTTGTGATCTCACTTGATATCGGATTATATGAGATATCTATCAAAAAAAGGTTTAATTGACAAGTAATATAATACTGTAGAAACTGCTAAATGGAACACCTCTGTAAGTGGAACACCTTACAATACAAGTGGAAGGGGTTTTTAAAGTCCCGCTGTCCATTGACTCCATGATAATGAACCTTATGTTGATGATCTTAAAAAGCGAGAGATTTCTACAGAGTAAAGTCAGAACCTCAAGGAATGCTGTGTACAAAAAACCGAGACAATTTTCGAAAAGTTACCCTCGCTCAACTTGTCTCTTTGTTAACTAATTGACATTAAAAAAATATTTAAATAATTTCAGGATGGTTTCTGTCAATGAAAAGCCAGGATTCATTCTTCCAAAAGCTTGGGACGGAGGAAGAATTCTTTGAGACGTATAACCCCAAGACACTTGGTCTTCTTGTGGTGAGTGCCCAACTTCATACAGGGGTCATGTTAAATCTTTAATGTCTGTTTTTGTATGCAAATTGTGTTTTGAACCCCTTCCCACCACGAAATGTTAAAAAATGTATTTAGACTTGTCATACCTTGGTATATTGTCTGATGATATTGTACTCCCAACCAAAACTTTTTTTATTGGAAAATAATAGACCACAGGTTTAAACGCTATGCAATGAAATGACTGTTAAGAGCTCAGGACTTCTTCTAAATACTGAACATTTATTGTGTTTTTCAGTTCTCTGCATTTGAGAGTGATTTCTTGAGAGGCAAATTACTGAACAGAGACTTTGAGTTTGCTACACCCAGCAGACCAAAATCTAAGCTAGCAAAGTAAGTCATTCATGTACTGTGTTTCAAGGGTACCTATTTCAATGCACTGTTAGTGAAATGCCTTTAAATAATTAGCTTCTCTTGGGTGGATCCATTTATTTCCAGTTGAGGTGTGTACGCATCCATTGAACAAATGGGTGAAGGCTGACCCATTATGGGCACTGAATGAAATAAAATTAAGAATTTGTGATATTATAACAGAAATATTTTCTTCACTTAGGGTAATGCAATAGCATTTGGAAATCATTGCCTTGGGTTGCCTTATGGCCAATGGCAATCACTTTTTACATTGTTAATCAAAGTATGATGGTTTGAGAATTTTTATTTGTGTTGTCATGAATAGATTTAATTCTTCGAGTACTCATTTTTCCAGAGCGAAGGAAAAATCGTGCCAGAAAAGAATGACAGATAGTGCACGTAAATTCCACACCTTTCAAGCCATCAAAAGATTCATGGCTGTTGTTAAAGAGAATGATATTGACCAGGATGGTATCATAGGAATAGAGGAGCTTGAAAAAGTCTTTGAGAGGGCACAAGAGGATCCTGTCTTGAGGAGAGATATGCAGATACTCTTTGGGGAGAGGTGCACCTTTACTGAAATGGTAAGCACTTAGTAGTTAGGCCTCTGTAGTCTGTATGTTATTTGCCCATGTAATATTTTTCAAAACGTACATTTCTTAAACACTTGGCTTTTCTAAAAAACACATGTGATGATCAAATTGATTTAAATGCATTTGTAATATATATCTTTGTTTAATCACTGTTTCAGTTGAAAGAACTCGACCGAGATGGAGATAAGCAGATAACATTTAATGAGTTCATGGACTTTGTGGAACGCAAGGGGATACCATCTCAAACCTACCTGCAGTCAGCCACACATGTTGAGTTTGACTCTGCAGGAGCTTTCTTCGGATCAATCATAGACACCATTGATGTGCATATGAAGTCCATCAGTTTACAGGTAAATATTCTCTATTAGTACTATCTACATACCTATGTAAAACCAGAGAAACTGTATTGACTAAGTTTAGAACTATAGTGAAGTCAAAATATGTAATAATATATTTTATCATTTAACATGAAAGGTCCAGATATCGTCCTGGACAAATATCCCTTGATCAAATAAACAATATATATTTGCAGTCTGCAGACTTTAACAGGACAGTTGGAATCCACACTGACTATGTTGGCACATTGGATCAACTTGCACCAGCAGATTGTGACTTCGTTACTGCTGTAAGTAAACAGGGTGGGCCATGAATATCAAGTTTCGAGGGGCCTGGTATTTTGCCTAAACATTGCTTTTAAACTGTAAGAATTCACATACATAAAGAGCGAAGTCATATTGGTCATTCAAGAAATGATTGGCTTCAAAACTGAGAAAATTACCACTGAAACTTTGATGAATAATCTTTTTTTCTACTCCCTGTTTTGTCCATCAACATTTAGTTATTAATTTAGTGGATATAATAGTATTAGTGAAGGGGTGAACAATTTTAATAGAACCATATTGTGGAGAGACAAACTTTCTAAAAACCAATGGGTCAATGTTATTTATTTGATATTGCAGCAAGGTCGAGATGCAACTGTGGCCTACCTCACAAAGTATCTCAAAATGAACAACATGGGATCGGGAACACCAGGAGGCTCTCTTGGGGGTTCATTGGGAGGCTCCCTAGGGGGAACACCAAATGGCACCCTAGAGAGGCCTCGTTCTGGATCAGCTGTGCAGGCTAAAATACAAGCAAAACTTGTGAAGGAGAGATTGAGTAATGGAAATGGACTCCATCTCTCAATTAATAACGGGCATGTTCCTGAAGGTGATGACAATAAACATGTACAAACTGAATGCAGCTCAACAAATTATGATACTGTCAATGAGTTAGCGAGAAGTCCAGAAATACTAATGGAGTTAGTGAGTGGTGTGGCGGGAGGGATTCAAGAGAACATTGCTGATCCATTTAAACATAAAGGAGAAATGACCAGCGACACAGTTAGTGAGGAAAGGGCTAGGCAAATGGGAAGTGATACAGTCTTTGATGAAACAGTTGATGGTAATGGACCAAATGTTGCTGAAAAACTGAATGATGTTGGTGAACAGGATATTCCTGCTACATCAGAGGATACTAGGCAAATGGCTAGTGACACAGTCTTTACAGAAAGTCTGCATGGCAATACTGAAGATAAAATTCAATCTTTAGAAGCAACTAGATTATGATGATCCATAGATTGTGAGTAAGATACTCAATATAGTTTGAGTAAATTTCGATGTTCAGTATACTGTGAATGCTCAATACATGTGTAATATGAGTAAATTGTGATGCTCAATTGAACATGAGTCATTTAGATTGCTGATTATATTGGGAGTGTATTGAGATGCTCAATTTAATGTGAGAAGATCGATATGCACATTTGAATGTGAACAAATTGTTACATTCATTTGAGTATGTGTAGGTTATGATGTTTATTTGTGAGTAGATTGTGGTACACAATATACAATATTGTGAGTATATTATTTGTGATACTCAATATATTATGAGTCAGTTGTGATGCTTAATATAGCATGATCTTGAGTATATTGTGATACTCAATATATTGCATTATAGTCGAAAGAAAGATCTATTATTAAAGGAACAAATGAACAGAATGAGTTTATATCAATATTTGTATGAGTGAGCATAGCGATTGAGCAAGATATTGATATACTTATAGAAGAGCAAATAAGGATGTTCTGCACTTTTATTTGAAAATGAGTATTTTCTCTATTTACTGTATATACGTGAATAGACATGTAAGTTTAGAATCAATACAAATTCTCTAATCCAGCAATAGTTATTCAATCTTTATATAGCATATTAAAAATATTGAATCTGATTTGCTTTAATTCAAGGAAGGTTGGCTCCCAGACCTCCATCTCAATATTCAACATTGATCGACTAGAATATTGAAAATGCCGCTATTTTCTGACATTATGACTAACTTCATAATCAGCGATCCAAAAGATTTGAACTGATATTTTGATCACTTCTCATGTATTTTGAAATTTTTTGTGTGGAAATAACATAAGACCAAAAGTCGCAATTGAAATTCTGAAGGAAAAAATTTGGCAGCTGGTTGATTTCAGATTTTTAATATGACATGACTCCATATAGGCAGAATATTGAGAATGAACCCTGGGAGCCAATCCTCCTTGGCTTTTATTTGTAAAATAATCAATCTAGGCCATTTATATTTTTTGAGAAGTAGATGATGTCAATTGGAAATGATGTTAACCATGTTCATTATGTTTTTGAACAACATTGAAATATTGACCTGGTAGTAACAACATGATAGGTATCTTGTTAGTCTTATTTGTCAAAAGGAGAACATACTTAGAATTTAAAAAGGACTTTCACTTTATTTTTACAGCATTTGATTCAATGTTTCTCTCACAATGACCATTGTATGTTGTATCTAGGATGGTTGTATATAAAAACAATAAAGTATTAATGCATATACAGAATTAAGTATAAAAATCAAATTTTGTGTTGAATCCAAAAGTTCATTCAAGAGATACGGCCGGATGACATCATTATACAAGATCTGTGACACTACATTAAATGCAATTATTAAAGCACACATTTTCAACAGCACAACTTTGAAGCACTTTAGGGAGTATAAATGTTTATATTAATCTTATTTTTGTGAGAGGGGTTAATTTTACTAGTCCAGTGAAACCTGCATATCCGAGCACCTCTCAGTTTAAACATTTTTTCTTGGTCTCAAAGTTATCTCCCTTTGATTCACATGTTTATAAAATCTTGAAATGTGAACACCTGCTAATCTAAACACTTTTTGCTGACATGTTTGGATCATGAGAAAGGTTTTACTGTATATATATTAATATTCTTTTAGGATACAAAGATTTAGATAAGAAATAATCCAATTGAAAGAAGTCAATAAATGTTAGTTATTTTTGGGAAATGGGTTAGTTTGAAAAGTGATGAGATATGTTTTGGGAAATCATTGACCTGGATCCTTATTCCCTTGTAATTTTACCACTTATAAGTTGGAATATTTCCATAGAGAATGAGAACTATGGTCCCTATGTTTTCATTTGTGGACAGGACATGTGATAAACAAATTGAATTCTACATCTTGCCACTGTACAATGCTGCCATCTTTTAATCTTTATTACTGATAAATCAACACATCGTACCTCTATTTCCTCAGCATGTTGAAACATGTGCAATGAATATTAATAATGCTTGTTTAGTAAACCTTTAACTAGAGAAAACCAGAATTGTCAATGGAGACATGCCATATTAAACCTGATATAGTGCTTGTATTTCTCTATTCAATATTCTCAATAGCTTATGATGACAGGGAATCCATATTACTAATACATATCATTATCATCATCAGTATTGTCCACGTTTGTCATTATGTTAGCATAATACTAAGAGGGGTGTCATGCTAAAACATGGGCTTTTAACTGTAATTGAAAGCCCATTGTTAAAATAATCATTTTGCTATGTATTACGTCTTAATCTAAACATTTCTCATGAAATACAGAAAATATTGGCATTTCATAAATTACTTCATCTTTATTTCCCCTGAATATAGTGTTGGGGTGTTATGGCATCCTTCTTCAAAGGACTTCATTTATGCTTAAATATAACTTGTAAAATACCCTTGCAGCAAGGATGGTGTTATTGTACTTTTCACAATTCAAAACATCTGGATCCTAATCAAATACAATGCATTGTAGTGTGATGAAATCAAAGAAATTGGAGTATGCATAGAATAAAGGGATTGAACATTGAACAAAAACTCTTAAAATCATATTCAAGATTTGATTATTGTTCTAATTAATCTACATGTACATTAATTAAATGAATGTGTTTTTATAACATCTCTCATCCTCTTTAAAACTTGTGGGGTTTCAAGTCCATAACAGATTATGGAAATTATAAAAACAAATAATTTTATATAATTAATGGTGTAATTCATATACAGTCTACAGCATAATAAAGCATAGTTTAGAAATCTGTTAATTCCATCTGTACAAGATAATTTACAATTATCAATGTTTTATAGATAAAAAGTCACTGGTCATAGGATAAATTAGTTATCTGATGTTTGGTTCTGGAGGTATATCCCTTCATGAAATATGATACACTTCATAATTAATTAACTAAACAACATGTAATACAATATATTAATATATGGTCATTTCAGTCTTAGTTTTTCAGATGGTTAGAACTTACCAAGAATGGAGGAACCAGGGTGGCAAAAGTTACAATGACAATTCTAATGCTAATATACATAATATAAATGTGGTTACAATACAAAACAAGTTTCCAAATGAAATACAAACATTCAGACACAGTATAAAATGTCAAAAATATTTCTGATGAGATATTGTTCATCTATAATATCCTTGGAATATCAGGCTGCCATTTGATAAAATATGTAGATGTCATCATGGGCTTTCAAATTAGAGCCCATGATGTCATTTAACATTTAAACCTGCATAAGGTCATGGATGCTTCGTTTGAGATTGTTAAGATCAGCATCAAAACAGTAAACATCATTTGTAATAGGCAAAGTAGTGAGGCTAGTTTATGTAATTTCAGAGTAATATATGAGTTGCAAGGTTACAATGTTATTAGAAGGTGTGGATGATTATAGTTTACAGCATATTTCCATTAAGAAAATCATGATGACAGTAATCTATTAGGTTATCTGGACATCAGATAGTTTACTTAATCTTCAGTGATACTAATAAATCCAAAAATAAATGCATACAAGGTACCTAAATATACAGTATGTACGTACAATTCACACCTAGGAATGCATAAGATACTTTGTTTGTCCAATTGTATTGTTTAGTATATATTTGAAAGTGCCTTAGTAACATCTAACATTCAACCGATAAACCATTCATAAGGAATGGACACATAAAAACAAATACAAAATCATGACTCATAAGCCAAATGGGTTGCTCATGAACACCAAATGCAAGGTATAGTGGAGTGAATTGGTCTACCAGTAAATTGCTGTTCCTGAGTTAAGTGATTATTCCTGATGTTGTGTTCTTGATAAAGAAGAATCTTTATCATAGATGCATGTTTATATAGGAGAGAATGAAAGATTGAATTATTTTCTTCATTAAGAAATCAACATCTTGCACCTGAGATTTATCTAGGTAGTAAGTGTTGATCCAGAAATGGCTGTTTAATTTATTCCAGTGAATGTCTATTTTTAATAATTGTCTGTTCCATTCAGATTCTACGACTTTATATAAGTCTCATTTATGATTGAGACCTAGTAGTTCTTGAAGTAATCGAGGGAGAAGACCATCACGAAGCAGATGCCAAACTTGTGCAAGGCATGGATGAGGAAGCGGGTAAGATCACGTTGATGCCATAAATGATGAGGGGACTCAAGACAGATATAAAGACATCCTAACCAGATGGATAGCCATACAGCATCCTCGATGTTACGGACTGACCAGTGTTGCCTGGAAACAATTAAAATGCCATTTTATAATACATGTATATGCAATCTCGTACATGAACAACCTGGGTGAACACACACAGGGTGCGACATTAACAATCGTTCAGCTGCATTTGGAACCAGTGAGTGTTACCTTGACGAAATGATTTTTTCAAACTGTCTCACCCTGTTTCATTAATATTTATGGTAATTAATTCGTCTTACTCATCCCTTTCGCTGGAGTGAATGCTACATCTGATTAAGTATTACCACAGCACATATGATAATAATGTAACTATAATTATCATTCACAATTTTCCATCATGTATATCTATCTTTTTTTTAATTGATATTTCACACAAAACTGCACTTGGATCAATGATAATATAATCAATACCTCATAAAAAGGGATCATGTCAACATTTTGAAATGTCCAAAAATGTTAGACTGACCTCCTCCCATCCCTCAGAAATGTATTGAGCATTTTTTAAAATCAAAGTTCCTAATTTTGAGAATTTGATGTATGCCAACAAAGATTTTGTGGGCATAAAGAGATATTGACCCTATAAACCTGTAACATGTTTTGCACCTACCCCATAATATGATTCAGGATGAATGCGAGGCCAACATCAGCTAGGATGGCCATTATGAGGTTACGTTCCCCATAGTCTCTCCTGAAGAGCAGATTGTACCAAATGAGACTGAACAACTCTCCAAGGACAACTGCCGCAACCATTGCAATGCTGAAACTCAGTCTGATGTCTGCCATATTTGACTGGAATAAGATCATACTGTTAAAAAAATGAATAAACATGATGAATATATTAAATGAGAGAGATATTGACACATACAGGTTGGTCAAAGTGCTGTACCATTGTGACTATCAATCTGATGGTCATGAAATATGGTTAGCTGGTAGGGAACTGAATGATGTACAAATGTTTCAAATATCAGGGAGTTATTTGAGTAATTACCTAAAATGACAAAGATATAAGAAAAATGCAGGGTTTCCATTTTTTGACCACCCTGTAATTAGGCAAGGTGTGTCCGATTCCAACCAATCAGAACACGCTATTTCATGTAACTGCAATATATTCCTTTATATAACCAATAATGAACTCAAGTCACTAATAAATGATTGTCATAGAAATGAGTGGACTCTACAGATTGAAACTGATACTTTGCCAGCTTGACCCTTGCAAAAAGTTTCATCAAAAATATTTTGCAGTGTGTGAAGACTCAATGCATTGTATTATGTATTATTCTTTTCAGGCGTTGCAACATTGTTTACTAAAATTAACACTTGATGCTCCGCATCTCGTGCAAATTTTGGAAAGCAACACCTTCAAGGAATAGTCAATCCACATTGCACTGAGGGTACTGAGTTCAGGGCTTAAATCCTTAAGCATCATTTGTTTTAATAGAGCCTTTATATGGGATTCCTTATCATGACATTGCCCTCTGAGATGACCATCACCTAGAAATGTGACCTGAGTTTCAAATTACATGTACTGATATAATAATATCAATTGTTAAAATTGATGAACATGATGAAGCCTAGAAGATGGAACTAACATATATCTCATCCGTTGTTCTCATCAACAGACTAATATTCAAGTTTATTCTATATATGTTACTTTGTATGAACTATTATGTATAAGGTCTACATATACTGCATTCCTGCCCCCCCCCTTACCGTTGTACCTATACTTATAACATGTATAAAGGTAAAATGAGGGGATCATTGACTTACTCCCCTTGGATTTCCTAAAATCATATGTTATCAGGTTATGTATTAGAGCAACTTACCTCTTGCTGTGTTGTAGTATAACTGTATGAAATATTTGGTTTGGTCAATTTCCAAGTTTACAGCATGCAATGCTCAAGTACGTATGCAGCTTTATCCCTTTATTTGATAAGGGCACAATATTGACAAATATACTTACTGTACTACAGTTGTGAATACCTTAATTGCGTTAAGTAAACACAACGTTGTTCAGAATCCAAATGGAGGGGTGTATGAACCCTTGTACAACTTGTGAATATTGGATTTCCTCCCAGGTCAAATGTACCTTTAATACTGTACATTATTGAGTGACAAAATATTGCAAGCAACATGTGCATTTGACCTACCAATCTATTCCTCACCATCTCAAATACAAAATCTCCCAAAAGATCCATCATATCATTGTTATAAATTGGTGTTATTAGGAGTTAGAAGTTGTTAGGATTCAAAGTGCAAAAGTGGTGGAAAACAAAAATCCCCCAAAATAATAAGAATGGTAACCATAATTATAGAAAAATAAATACATTATTGTAAAAATCTTTAGTTTTCCTATCTAAAATATGCACTTTGAGGAATTTTAGAAAGTAGACATATGGCCAGATGATTTGAGTCAAAAATAATCTTAAATTGAACGAATTTTTGTTTAGCTTGTTTGCTCTAATCTCCCTTTAGGTAACTCCACACTTTCACATGTTTTCAACCTATATTCCCTGTAAAACCCCAGCCTTTGTTGGTGTTGGCTGGTGTTGATCAGAGCCCATCAGAATGTAGAACTGTTTGCTTATCTGAATACGATGTCAACCCACTCAAAACAAAGAGTACTTAGTCACCCCAATCCTCTTTATGTTTGAACACATGTAGAAATGAGTTACTTCTTCTGAATCTTACCTTTTATATCAGTTATGACACTTCTATTTAGTTAGTAGTTCCTCCCTCAGTTAGTAACTATCCAACTAGATGCTTGCTCACTAGATATCCAGGTGCGAGTGTTGTGTTGGGCTGTATTCAAAATTTGCAAAGCTTCATTGACCTTCGACATAGCTTTACACATGGATAGGTTAGGTCAATGGTCTGTTGTTGTGGGAATATTTGTTGATTCGGATTTGGATTTATAAAAATACATCTCAAAATGAAAGTAATGGTTTGGAAAAACCAGTAAAGCAAAGCTAAGTGGAAATAATTTGTAAGGGTATGTATCAAAACCAACAGATGCACATCATGATGCCACCTCATATTACTATTAAAGTATCAATTGACCTTAAAGGCCCCCTTCAACTTTAACCTCTTGAATGCCAGGCTGTTCAAATTAATATGCAGCAATATAGGCAATTTCAATGTGACTTTGTGAACAAGATTGGGGCTATTCAAAGTAAACTTAAATATACATATAAATGTATATAAAGTGCCAATGTCGTATTCATACAGATCAAAAAAATATATAGGTGAAGTGACTTTATGATTCTATCTTAATCCTTTTACAATTGATTCAAAATTTTGACGAACCTGATTCTAATAACAAAACAAAAAACGAGTCCGATGATTTGACATTAAGATGTTTCAAATAAGTTAACAGAGAACAGTTTCAAATGAGTTAACATAGAATGGTTTCAAATGAGTTAACATAGAACGGTTTCAAATGGGTTAACATAGAATGGTTTCAAATGGGTTAACATAGAACGGTTTCAAATGGGTTAACATAGACTGGTTCCAAATGAGTTAACATAGAATGGTTTCAAATGAGTTAACATAGAACGGTTTCAAATGGGTTAACATAGACTGGTTCCAAATGAGTTAACATGGAATGGTTTCAAATGGGTTAACATAGAACAGTTTCAAATGAGTTAACATAGAATGGTTTCAAATGAGTTAACATAGAACGGTTTCAAATGGGTTAACAATATAGAATGGTTTCAAATGGGTTAACATAGAACGGTTTCAAATGGGTTAACATAGACTGGTTCCAAATGAGTTAACATAGAATGGTTTCAAATGAGTTAACATAGAACGGTTTCAAATGGGTTAACATAGACTGGTTCCAAATGAGTTAACATGGAATGGTTTCAAATGGGTTAACATAGAACAGTTTCAAATGAGTTAACATAGAATGGTTTCAAATGAGTTAACATAGAACGGTTTCAAATGGGTTAACATAGAACAGTTTCAAATGAGTTAACATGGAATGGTTTCAAATGGGTTAACATAGACTGGTTCCAAATGAGTTAACATGGAATGGTTTCAAATGGGTTAACATAGAACAGTTTCAAATGGGTTAACATAGACTGGTTCCAAATGAGTTAACATGGAATGGTTTCAAATGGGTTAACATAGAATGGTTTCAAATGGGTTAACATAGAACGGTTTCAAATGGGTTAACATAGACTGGTTCCAAATGAGTTAACATAGAATGGTTTCAAATGAGTTAACATAGAACGGTTTCAAATGGGTTAACATAGACTGGTTCCAAATGAGTTAACATGGAATGGTTTCAAATGGGTTAACATAGAACAGTTTCAAATGAGTTAACATAGAATGGTTTCAAATGAGTTAACATAGAACGGTTTCAAATGGGTTAACAATATAGAATGGTTTCAAATGGGTTAACATAGAACGGTTTCAAATGGGTTAACATAGACTGGTTCCAAATGAGTTAACATGGAATGGTTTCAAATGGGTTAACATAGACTGGTTTCAAATGAGTTAACATAGGACAGTTTCAAATGGGTTATCATAGAACGGTTTCAAATGAGTTAACACAGAACAGTTTCAAATGAGTTAACACAGAATGGTTTTAAATGAGTTAACATAGAACATTTTCAAATGAGTTAACATAGAATGGTTTCAAATAAGTTAACATAAAACAGTTCCAAATGGGTTAACATACACTGGTTTCAAATGAGTTAACATGGAACAATGTTTCAAATAGGTTAAAACATACGCTGGTTTCAAATGGTTCACATTTTTCACTCAACATAAAGCAGCATGTAGCATTCCATACATTTATTTATCAATATTTAACAATTCTGCACCATGCATCTCTACTCGGTGTTTCGTAATGACCGCCCCTTTATGAATTGCCAATCCCAGATGGCATACCCCCATATGTTATACATCATATGAAAGCAAACGGACAAACCCGGGACAAACACCTTCTCAACATTCCTTCTAGAACATCATTTGGTGGGATAATAAACATGAATATGATATATAGATTACGAGGCCATGTAATATAGGATTGGCTTTGGATGGGATATTATGAAACACCCTGTATAACTATCTCATACTTGGAACGGTTTGGATTAGATAACTCCCAAGAATATGTGTGATATCTGAAGAGAAGGATGGACATATTCTATATCTACCACTTAATACAATGGCAGATTATAAGCAAATGGACTGAATGAAAAATAGCAACATAGTTTCAGACATCATCCATAACATTCCTTCCAAGTATGAGTTACACTATTTTTTAGATATAGGATTTGCCCCTCTTGAAATTATACACATCTCCTCAATCCATCAGGGACATGTAGGTTTATTCCTTGGATAAATCCCATACTTAAACCCTCAGGATTCACTCCATATCTTCTCTACATAATATTGTTTAAACGCTTAAACCTGTTTAAAGCCTGACCTTCCATCAAAACGCAATATTTGGACATATATTATTACATTTTCATACAACTGTCGAGATTATAAATGATTTTTAATCAATGTGGTTAGGCCTGTTAATTTTTTCTGCATTACATAGACTTAAAGTAACAACAAAAATGTTGAACGAGGAATCAAACCACAGTCAGCCGCATCATACGTGAGGATCCTTCCAATAGAGCATCGTTGGTCATTCTATATAAATTTTGCAGGAGTAATTGAAAATGAATCATTTTAAACGTTGTAATTTATTAGTCATGTGATATTCTGAACCAAAAAAATCTTTGACAAATCGCATGCTGACGACCAATGGTGAGCAAACGAATGAATTCTCATAATGACACCTTTATCGTGAGTATTTGTACACAACATTCCACTATTTATTCATCATTGTATATTCCCTCATTGTAGCTAAAAATAATATTACTTGTAGCCTACCTCGGAACTACCCACAATTGCTTTTAAATGGAAGGACAGACTTTAATTACATACATTTTTTTGCTGTACAGCACCACCATATAAAGCATAGTGTTCCTTGAAACTTTAATATTTAGTATTTAAAACAATGCTGATATTTTGGAAAAGTAAGTTTGTATAATAATACTACTAATGATTTAAATAGAACAAAAGAGTTACATCAAAATATTGTTCAATTTGTTGTTGCACTTCAAAATAAATTAAAAATAAATTTGAGCTCGATGATCTCTTTTGAAACTCAGAAAGCATCATTAACTGTGGAAATGAACTTTTTCTATGGTAGACCCTCATTTTTTTAATCATAAAAGCAGGATTACATTTTTGTCATAAGGTACAGATTTTCCAAATACATGTAATACAATCTCCATCTTTTGTTTAGGACTTTTAGCGACAACTCGAAATCTAGTCCAGATGGGTCAATGAAATCAGTTTCCACAGCAGAAAGTGCTTTCTCAATGCTTTTGGACTATCTAAAATAACCAGACATTAGAAATCGAACAAAATATTGTGTGATATATAGTGTTACTGAATATGATGTGTTTAAAATATAATAATCAGTGCTTTGATGTTAAGCATGTACAGGATACAACAAAAACACTAAATACAACATTTTATTATTTCCATGCGGTGATACTTGTTCTCTCATTGGTCAATCAGGTACCATGTGACTAAAAATAAATAGCGGTATTCCATCCACATGCTTAAAAAGACTTATTCATCAATGAATACCAGGCCATATTCAACGCTTTTGAAGCCACAAATCAAATCCCTGGGAAAATAATTAAGTATCCATTAATTTATTTTTTGTATATCTTGGACTTCATATCAGACAGAAATAAACATAAGATTACTAAAAAATAAAGATTTTAATAATGGATGGTTAGGAAAGATTATTATGATCCTTGTAATGTGCACAAAAATCAATAACTCAATTCAAAACATGAAGGCGTTAACAGAATTTTATATGAAATATTCGAATCTAATTTTTATCCATTGGCTCTGATGTAAGTCGTGATTTTCAACAGAATATCTGCAAATGTGATAAGAATTAGTCCATGGTTGAAACTAAACCTCTTATAAATATCATGTACTACCTGTGGATAATGGGGAAATGATAAAACAAATACTGAATGATGTGATCGTTTAATATCTGTTTATACTTCTGTGAGGGATGTATTCTACTCGCCCTCCAGGCATCGTTGGATGCACCCTCAGAAATATATACACTCCACACCATTCAATATTTGTATAACATTTTGTGTTATGTCAATAAATCATTTCCCTCTACACCTCTAGGCACTACCCCTTTCATTTAAATAAACTACCAGTTAGACAGGAAAATTGAATAATCTACCAAGTACCTACCCAACATTTGCCTGACCTTAAATCACTGTTTTAGGCTCGATCATTTTGAAGTTACCAGTAAGTGCTTGGATATTATTTATCTACATTTCATGTTCCTTTAAATTGGTCAACCTTTATCATGTTTATCAGCTCTGATAATAAATTGATCCAAACTAAAAATCGAAATGGGCATCAATCCATTACACAAGCTTGAACACACACGGATTGATAATATTGCATTCATGACAAAACAAATGCGCAGACACAGAGATGATACTTATACAAGAAACAACATTTAATGTGGTTCTAGCCACTTAAATTCAAAGATATATTCTTTGTCCATTTTCAAGGGTGAAAGAGTTTGCCACACATCCGACCTTCAACAATTCAAGTGGACAGACATGTCATTGTATATCCTTCCAGCCTTTTTAAAAAAGTTTAAGAAGATTACTTAAACTCTACATCTACACTGAATCTGTTTTGGTCATTTCTAGCTCCATAGCTGATCCGGTAGGACTGTTAGAAGAGAAAAGGAGCTCAAATGTCTCCCCCATAGAGGTATCCTGACATATGGAATCAGACGATGAACTGTCAAAGTTTTTGTCATTCTGACCCATCATCTCATGTTCACAAACAGAACCAGAGGATGAGCTAGTCTTATCCTGATCCATATGGAGTAGACCTCCACTCTGTTCTTGTTCTTGGAGCATTTCATTCTCATCCACATTCTTCTCATTCTCATTGTCCACAGCATCAACACGATTTGATTTATGCTTTTTCTTTTTCATTTTCTGTCTCATATCTGCCCTTGCTTCTTTCAGCACACAATGTATTTGCTGCTGTATCATGTCTGAATGCTTAAACATCTCTAGCTTCATTTTATCGGACTCCAAAACAGCTTCAATATTTGAGGGTGGAGTCATTTGGTAGCGGAGACCGACTCTCTCGTCCATTGGTTCCCCTACCTCCTCCCAAATGGGTCTGCCTCTCTTTACTACACCTGGTATGTTAGAGGGGGTATCATATTCAAGATAAATTGTAGGATTTGAAACAAATAATGCATTATATGGTAGAAATTTGGTCTGTGGGAACTTTCCTTCTGTGGCACCTGAAGCAGATTGTCCTTGGTCAGGGATAGGGGATTCGTCCCCTTTACTCGAATTTGAACCATCGGATTCTTTGTTAGAACTTTGCGCTTCTTCAAAACTTTGACCATCGCTTGGGGTAATAGTGCTACTACATACTGATATACTCTGGATACCTGAGTTTGAGCTGTTATCCCCACGATTGTCACTGTTTACTGAACACACCTCATTGGAGCCTTCGTGAGACCCTGTATCGCTTACACTGACTTCTTTTTCCAGTAACATCTCTTGCTTTTCAATAATTTCAATAGTTTCATTGCCAACATCTGTCTTAGCTTTATCAGGAGACAGTAAATCATCATTTATGTTTCCATCATTTGTGCTCTCTGATTTTACCGTCTCCGGACTGCTAACTGTTTCTAACTTGATTTGGACAGGGGCTGTTATCAAGTCCTTTGTTTTTTCTTCTTGAATATTCATGGGTTCATCATTATGACCCAGATTTTCATTTTCTTTACCAGTATCACTGTTCGCTATTTTGTCAGTATCCACATTAATGTTGTTCAAGTCTGATTCATTAGCTTTAATACTGTCATTTAGTTCACTTTCTAGGTGCTTAGGCTCAGATTGGGATCTGTTGTCAATGTTATCATTCCTAATGCTATCTGGGAGGTCACTGTTTGAGAGTTGTGATGTGCTTTCAGGACCATTTCCAAATGGAGCCTCGTCATCTTCAAATAGATAGAACAGATCATCAGCCTCCTCATCCTGAAAAACACAATGTTACAATATTCATATGTCTTGTATATCAGTTTCTAAATATACATGTATACAGTAAAACCTGTCTTAGTGAACACCTTTCTCTCATGAAAGCCTCTTCTCAGCACACACTTCACTGAGTTCAGTATAAAATTGCCTCTCCGTAGTGCACACCTACCTATGGTGAACATATTTTGGCTCCATAGGTGTTCACTGTAGTATAGGTTTTACTGTAGATTATTACTCCATTGCTTCACTACCACTATCTGGTAATCTATAATTTGCTCCAAAAGCCAAAATAAGCTTTGAATCATTTCAATAATTCGATATCAATTGAGCTGTTTCTGTGCACAATGCTGTTACAGACGTGTCTCCAGAACTTAAAACTATAAAATGATGAGTTAAAAGCTATAATGAACGTTAATTCTGATCAAAGCGATCTCAGTCACAATTTGAAACTCAAAGTGCATCATGGGAGTTTCCGATCCAGAAATATTTCTCCATCCTTCCCACACAAACAAACATTCATTCCTTGATACATGTGTAGTAGTTCTATATGAATATAAATAACTATGAAGAAGTCGGTGACAGAAAGCCTTTAGATTTTGACTCGGGTATCATCATAGTTTCCAAAATGGCAGTCTGCTCGAAGAAACAGGAGAGTCAACATTTTCATTGATTTTGACATAATGTAAGTGGATTAACTCACGAAAGATATTCAGCCGATCAATAAATGCATGAGAAAAACAATGACGTATGACACTATGTTATCTAGTTGGAGCGAGTTCAGTTTCAAAGAGGAAAATCATGAAATACCCTATAATTGCCCATATATATATGTACCGTTTAAAATCCCTGAGGATTTTTCAATTTGAGACATATCCTCCATGAGAATTTGGAAGACGCATTGTGTGGTTATTAGAACAAATACGGTAAAGGCACTAACCACAGGAGCTGTACTGGAGTTCGTGATCTCTAATGTAACTTCTTTCAGTTGGTCCAGTAAGAGCTCCTCTTGGTTCATATGGCGTAGTTTCCTCTTGTTCTCCATCAGTAGCGATGTACCATGCGGCATCTGATATTTAAACTCACAATCCTTTGTCCAATTGGCCGCCATCATCCAGAATGGCTTACTAGGCAGCAGTTCTTGAATCTTTTTCTTATTCTTTTTCTAAAACAAAAGTAATCTTTTGAGAGATGAACTTAGTTGTAAATATAATACTACTATCTGAATATCAGAGAAATATCCTCTGCAATGGTCATTCAAGATGAAGGCATTAAGTTCTTGTTTAACCTCTTGAATCCCCGGCTCTAAAATTGGTTGAAACCAGAAATTTTTCAATTTTTGCCACCATTTAACTACATACCTATACAACTTTAGGTGCTTAACTTAGTAAAATTAGATGGCAGAGATCATTTCTTTCTTTTGAAACAACTTTTTGTGTAAATTGGATGAAAATTGATCAAATAAGAGCAATTTTAGTGAAAAGATATATGTGACAGATTTTCTTGTCACCTCAGGTAGTCAAGAGGTTAAGAGATGTGGTGATCTAACATAAGGATTCACTAAGGTGTTAATTAGCTCAATGACTGCTGTTTGAAACATATCATGCAAACTCTAAAAAGAATTAAATAAGTTTTTTTGTTTTGCAGAGTGGAAAATTAGACATGGCTGTTGCAAAAGACCAGTGTGTCTTTCAATAATTTTTACAGGAAAAAATATGGGAATTGAAGTAATAAAGTTATTAAGTTAATATGAAAACGGGTCTTACCCCCTCATTGATGAGAGTGTCACACTCTGAACTATAACCCATGCTGCTGTCTAGAAGATAATTTATCGATGATGTTGTATCTTGTTGAGATGAATTCATTTCATCGTTACTTGTTTTACTGGGACTTCCTTCTCCATCACTAGCTGTCTCTGCTGAGCCTTTCTGAGCGCATGTTGCCACTCTTCCAGCCTGAATAAAACAAATACATATTATTAGTTGGTTTCGATGAACATCATTCGATTTTGTGAATATTATGACTGTTATATGCAAATATAAATCCAAAAACAAAAGGAACCATCAATAAACTAATTATCAATTGAAAAATATCTAATATAGGACTTACACTCAAAATAGATACGCAGCTATTTTTCAATATGTGGCCACTATATAAAAATATAATATATGACTTACACTCAATGGAATAGTTAAACAGCTACTTGTGAAACTAGATGTTGAGTATGTTGAAGGATTAAGGCCCTGATTGTACTGGGAAACAATCGGTTGGAAATAGCCTGTAGTCGGATGGTAGAATCCATTTATAATTTGAGGCATGAAAGACAGCCCTGAAAATATTAAACCGATACATGTACTTATATTTGTTTCTTGTAATTGAGATATTTCTTGTAATTGAGACATATATGTATAAATATATCCTTATTTTTATTTCTGTTTACTTTTGATGAGAGGTACTACATCATTAATGAAATGTCCATTATCAGAATATTAAGATGGACTTACAGAACCAGAGCTCCATTTTTCATTTTTCAAAAATGTTTTTCATTGATCACTTACCACTTTGGGGATAGCAAGGCCATGTTATATTGGAGCTATGCTGCTGCTGTATTACAGATATTGGGAAAGCAGTTTTTGTCTCCCTCTGATTTTGGCTATTTGGTAATGAGGGGGTCCCTTTGCTGTTATATCCAGAGGTGGTGACGACACTTGAAGTGTGGAGACTCACTGAATTGGATTCAGATAATCCCTCCTTTGAAGAAGACAATTTCTTCCATGCTTTGCCAGCCTTACTCTTCAGCCTCGACTTGAAGGTTGATTTTGGTAGCACCTGGTCCATCATTTGGTCAGACCCACTTGAATTACCACTACGGATCTTCTGCTTCTTACGACTCCCCTGGGAATAGGGAGCGTGCGGTCGTTTAAATCGCTGCCCAGGGATATCCTGGTTTCTGCCATCTATGTCTGAAGATGGCACAAAACCTATCATTTGCTTATCTTTTTTCAAGCTGTGCAGGTACTGGCGTTCCTGCATACGTGTGTGGATGTCTAACATCTCTGATGTAAGAGACACTGGCTTATAGCTTGCATTCTGTTGTTTCTCCTCAAACTGAGGACTTGGGTCAATTAGCTCAAGCTCTGGCTGGTCGTATTCTGATACAAGTGCCTGAAACAGTTAAAACCAAAAATATATCTCAAGATTAGAGACAAATACATTTTTATTATTTATCTAAATCCAAATGAATTCTGCATTTCTAAATATTTTAATCACATTTTCCGTATCTAATGGAGATGAGCCAATATCCAAAAAGCACGAAATTACATGCACTTTTCAAAGTTGTGTTATTCGCTACTAATAATCTCAGATAACTAAATTTGAAAAATGTTAATGACAAAAAATTGTTAATATTCGAGAAATATCAGAAATAACATTACCTTTGTACTACTGCGACTACCAAAGCTAGGAGGCTTAGGAATTGGGATAATACTTGTCAAGTCATCAGGTAGATCTTCACTTTCATCTAAAAAGTACATTATAAATATACAGCATTAACATGACATAAAAAACTAGATAACAACAATGCCAAGGTGTAGCAAATCCCACCAAACAACTATGGCTGCCATTTTTACAAAATCCCTCCACTCTTTTTCAGTTATAGCAAAAATTGTAAGATAACAAACATAAAAATGGCCACCATTTTTCAAAAAGAGTAGCTTACTAGCCAAAGTGTCATAAGAAAGCTACATCATTTTTGAGTTATTGTACAAGGGAATTATGTGGGAAAAGGGAATTATGTGGATGGGTTAAGACATCAAGATTCATAATATATATAAAGTTACAAAGTGTGAGGTTCAAGTCATAAAAACTTTGGGTGCAAGACATTTGAAGAACCTCAAGCAAAGTCCCTTAAGAGCATCATAATTCAGAAAACCAAAAAACACTAATGAGGTCAAAGTTCCAAAGTTAAAAACATAAACAGCAATACTGATGCACATTGCTTACCAGTAAGATCATCTGGAGAAACGCTGCTATTTTTCTGGGAGCTTGCACTGGAGCTTGCTTTTGAGCAGCTGATGAGGAACTGACGTATCATTTGCACATAGTTCAGCTGCTTGTAGGCAAAGTGCGTTTGCAGGTCTGGTCTAGCAGATGAAGTAGATTCAGATAGTTTCTCACTATTATTGTAGACTAGGGTTTCTAGACTTCCTCCCCTACCTTCATCTTCTGGAACAGAACCATGAATCAATCAAAGTTTCTCTAAACAATCAAGTGACCAATCCTCTTCTTCTGATTGATTCTTTGTCTATTTAAGATATGTATACAGGGCGATGATTTATTTTACTTGATACATTTCCTCATTCCCCTATACTGTATACTTAAATACTCTGCATACTATTTCACTCAATATAAAACATTACTACAACGCAAATGTTTTTCGTGAACAGTCCATTTTGTTTTGTTTATTATTTTCATGATTTCCTTATTATAGGCAAATTGGATTGGAATTAGACCGATGGGGTAGCTTATGTATTAAAATATGAAATAGATAACTAATATATATGTTATATTATATGTATTGAGCATACCTTCAGTTTTAGACTGTACATCTTCAGAGAATTTCACTTTTGAGTCCTTTGGGGCAGGGCAAGAAGTCAGAGGCTAAAAGTACATAAGAACAAATGACCATTAAACATAAATGTGTATGAGGTCATAATGTCACATACTGTAAAGGTGGTATTTAATCTGAGTGGTTAATTTTCCGAATGGTCAAATTTCATCATTTTCCTAATTTTAATTTTCCTAATGAGATGAAACCTCCCATTGGATAACATTATAAAGACAATATTTCCTACATTTAATCTTCCGAACCAGGCAAAAATTAGGAAATAGGCAAATTAAATGATTAGGCAAAATTACCACTTATACAGTATATGGCAGATCATAAGAGAGTTGAGCTTCATATCCTTTCTTATCAGGGCATTTGTAAAGAGAGCTATTAAACAACTTCATTTATCAATATAAAAAAAATAAAAACAAAAACACAGATATCATGTAGATATTTACCTTTTGGAGGAGGTTCTTTATCTGTTGCTGAATTTTAACATTTTCCAGGCTCTGTTCTTTATTCATACTGAATGGTTTACAATCCAGACCTTGGTCCTCAAATACATTGATATTCTTAGGTCCCCTTTAAAACAAGCATATACAAATATGAGATCCTTTGAACAAGTATACAACAGTGTCAGACATATCAAAACTGATACCAGAACGTGTATTATAATATTAAAAATATCTCCACTTTTTTGAAACTTGACATGTATATGTATTATCCAAGCTTGTCTTGCACCAAGCCAAGGTTTGCTAGATTCCCCCCTCAGTTCTTGATTCTCTGACATTACAAAGGAAAATACATATTGATGGATAGGTAGGACTATATTCAAATACTTTTAACAAGCTACTTTAGACATCAACATGGATCAGAGAAGATCCAATTACTTTAAGAATAGCATTTAATTCTAAAACAGACCCTTGTTTATATTCGTCTGATATGACTCTCTTACTGAAATACTAAATTACTTACTGGATGACAGTGTGCTGTCCGAGGATGAACTCGATATGTTTGGTCCAAGGGTTGGAGAAGCTGGACCATTCTGTTTCCACCATGATATAGTCACCATTCTTCAGCTTTAACCTGAAAGGGTGACTCTTGAACCGATCCCCATGAAGCGCTATAACTGAAATACAAGATGCAAGGAGTGAAATACAAGATGCAAGGAGTGAAATACAAGAAGCAAGGAGTGAAACTGTGATGAAGCTCATCAGTAGGGAACATTGACAATCTAACTCTTAATAAAAACATACTGCATATGATCAAATAAGCCATATGCCTGATGGTCCAATATATTTCTTATTTTCTGAATTCTGATTTACAAAAAAAGGTTTAAAATTACACATATAAAAAATGGGTGACTTATTGAAATTGAGACAATGTGTCATACTTCAAGTACTTTCACTCGTCACCATGTAATTAACCTAGCACGTCCAGAACCTTAACAGTTGTTGGCACTAATCTCATATTAAGTCGAACGGACAAGCGGTTTTCTTAATAGACAGTACATAAATGCCCATCATTTTTCCAATGACAGAATGAAAGGCAGTGTGTCAAAAAAATGTGCCCTGCTTTAACCTTTAGCAGACCACCGGCGACCGCGTCCGCCCATTCAAAATTACCGCCAGAATCCACCGGCGGATCCGGACGACACAAATCTAACTTTTGAAAACTTTACTTTTTCCCGCCGTTCTTATGATCCAATTAGATTGCCCGATTTATTCAGTCCTTAGTAGGTGACTTCCTGTTGACCTAGAAATGGCGATGTTTCGAAAAATATTTCTCAATTCAACAATTTAAACAGTGTTTAAGTCGTTTGTAGTGAACAAATCGTACAAAATGACGGCCAAATACGATCACAACGAAAATGTGGAGGAAATGGATTGCGATTTCAAGCTCTTTAGGCTCTTGGAAGCCGATAATGGTCATCGAAACTAGAAACTAGAATATTTTCTGAACTGAAAACAAGAACATTCGATCGCTGCAAATTCAGTTTTGGATTCTGACCAGACGTTGAATCTCACGAGGGGCGAAACAGCGGATTCTGAAGGAGTATTCATGGTATATTTATGCCCAGTCGTGTTTATGTATGAAAAAAATTCATGAGAACATTTTTCTCATGAGCCACGCTAGTGTATCTTCCCTTTGTGAAAATTTTATCCAGATTCATTCAGTAGTTATTGAGATATTAATTATTTAGTCCAGGCATATCATTTTTGAAAAATAAGTCAGATGCGTGGGATATATTTGCTGAAATAAGTCAGAGTGCAGAAGGTTAAAGTATTTACAAAATTTATGAACATCACTCCACTTACTACAGCACACTTTTATTTGATCTTGTCTTACCTTTCTTATATATATCATGCATGGTGGCAATATCATCGGGGTGGTACAGGTCAAACACTGACACTCCTTTCAAGTCCTGTGGGAGAAATCCAAGTAATGGAATGGAACTAAATAAAAAACATATTCACAATTAATTCTTTATCAATTCCAGCCAACAAGACTGCAAATTTTGCAAATTGTTAACATGTTATTTTTACATGTAGTTTACATTTTATTGAATAGAAACAAACAATAGTTTTGAGATAATAGTCCACAAAAAATCCACAACTGTCAGCTTTTATATAAATTCATATCAAACTGATATCAACAAAAATGTGTTCTTCAGTCTTCTATATGATATAATAGCAGATTTTTACGATCGACATATAAGTATTTAATTTGTCATTCATAATGGCACATGATAATGACAAAGTCTTACTGTTAACACTGATGATTTCATTTTTAAGCTTCGTTTACTTAACAAACAATATCTGTACGTACAAGCGCAAAATATAAGCTGTAAATACCTTGGGTGAATATAGCTGAAGTTGCAATAAACTGTGTGCCTTGTTGAGAATGTATTGTTCACTGGAGTCTGTCCCGGGGTCTTATAAGCCGAGTGAAGTTCCTCAAGATCAAGATGTATATACTGCTGAGCTTGATTGTCTGTACTCGATGATCCAGTATTACTTTCTCCCACTGATCTCAGTGAAGGCACCAATTTGAAAACTACATACTTTGTTAATCTATTACCAAACCCATCGTCCAGGCTACAGTACTGTCTGAAAAGGTAAGATCACAAAACGTAGAACTCAAATACTATATTAAGTAGTATTATCACTCGTATAAGTGTCAATTAGTCAATAATTGAGCCAGGCCACAGGAAAAGGGGTATTATCACAGATTTTCTATATTTTGATTTTTTGTTTATCTTAAAAAACATAAAAAGACGTTTCAAATGAGCCGTTACTTGTGTCTTAACGATTTTTCCTTGCATATATAGACCAAAAAGTCGGTTTTTAATTAAGCACATTTTCCTCTTAATCTTGGGCACATTTTTGGCTCTGTTGCACAATTTTAATTTTTGTGATAAGATCGGTTTTCCTATGGCCAGGCTCAATTCATAAAACCATTCTAACGTGAGAATATCTGAAGTTTAATAAATGATTCAAAGCAAATCAGGACTGGACCTTTATAACTTGAAAACAAACAGTTATGTATATTTGGTATCAGACATACAAATTACATTTCAGTGTTTGTGCCATTTTTTTAATTGAATTCAATATATAAATAAAATGTTGTTATGATATTTTTTCTAGTTGTTACACATTTTTTTGGTTGCAATACATTTACTTAGATAATATTATGATGTAACATATATGAAATTCAAGGATGAATGGTAGAGGTTTGGAATTGGTTATAAATCAATAACAGTATGCTTTGATTAATGCTTAATTCCAACTCATAACTGATTTGTGATCATGTGGACCGAACATAAGCAATAATACAAACATGCTCCAAAAAACACATTTTACCTTAAACGAATGTAGGCAGCATTACTATTGACATCAACATTATCGGCTGTATCACTGAAGTTTCCCAAAACATTCTTTAGCACTGATAAACAGTGAAGAAATGGCACAATGTCTCGTTCATGGATAAAATCTAATATCTCTCTGTCTATGATCATCTTGCAAGGGAATTTGATGATACTCTGTAGACCATCTGACATGTTCAATACTTTGGACCCATGGTCTAATGACAGAGCCATACAACATTTACTCTGAAAAAACAAACAAATATAAACTAAACGGTTGTCCAAAAACTAGTATTTACATACTTTGAACATTAATCAATGTAGCAAGTTTCCTGGGCATTTTCTCATTACTTTTCCTTTACTTTCCAAGATGTATCTAAAACTTGCCTAAAAACTGGATTCAAATAATGAATTGGAAAAACTAGCTGCTTATTTTCATCTCATTTTTTGTACAGCAATAATAGTAAATAGGGTGTTAGGCCTACAGCATAAATTTTAGCCCAACTCATTTAATTTTACAGTCAATTTTCATAGTTCTGAATACATGGTTCAAATAAAAGTAACCAACTGACCTGATCAAAATCAATCCCATCACTGCCTGTAGTGCTTATGAAGCCGGCATCTACTTCGGACTTTTTGCTCCATTTTTGACTGCCTGGAACACAAATCAAAAAAAAATTAAAAATTCATAAAATAATGGTAAAGAATTATTTAACACATGATAAATAATTCTTTTCAACTTGATAGACATTCATTGATTAATCTTAAAAGTTCATTATTTTATTTCAACTTGCATTTAAAGCCAAAGCCAAAACCTGTAGATGAACGTTTATGTAATATTTGTGGTATTTTAGAAGATGAACAACACTTCATCATGATTTGTAAGAAAAACACTACAGAAAGAAAAATTTTGTTTGACACCCTTACACGATTTAATTTTGTAGGCAGTCCTGACATTATTTTTAAAAAACTAATGTCTCACAAAAATTCTTATGTAATTTTACATTTAGCAAAGTTCATCTATCATTCACTCAAAAAATTGGATTAATGTGTCAACGATGCATCACACTGATATTTAAATTTCTGTCAAGTTATATTTGTATTTTACAATTATCTTGTATTCTGTATTTTACATTTGATGATGTAATTAGAATTGTATTTGACAACAACTTTATTTTTGTATTCAATAGTTAGTTTAGTCTTAGGTCAGTTTTGTAGATTGTACTTTTAAGTGACTAATATGTCATTGTAATGACATCAGAGAGTCAATAAAAGATATATATATATAATTATTTAACACATGATAAATAATTCTTTTCAACTTGATAGACATTCATTGATTAATCTTGAAAGTTCATTATTTTATTTAAACTTGCAGAAAAGAGGGAAGAGTGCATAATAAATAGAGTTTTGGGGAGATTTTGAAATTCTGATTTTGAGGTTTCCATATCCAGAACTCAATATCTCCTGCCATATCTCCCACTCTAGGGCATATCTTCTCACTTCCAGTAATTTCACTTCAACTGCGGTGTATTATTGCAGCGGTCATATGATAACTTTACTGGGTATAGGATATATGGTCCCTCAGGTAGATATACATATCTTCCTCTGAATAAATCCCATATCCAAAACCTCCCGATATATAACTCCTATATATCCTCTGTCTTGAGTAACAATCAATTTAAATTCAAATTACTTACTTTTAATTTTCTTGAATTCACCAACAACATACTTTAGTGCTGATAATGTGTCTGCTTTACTACCGTGCGCATCTCTCGAAACGAGACCTTTCAATTCTTTAATATAGTCTTTCACTTTCTCCTTGCGAACCTGGCGATTCTTGACCATCTTGTTATTTTCACTACTGCAAACATGAATAAACAATTGTTATTGGAATATTTGTACAATTTCCTGCTAAGGATGGAAAGGGGTAGGGCTTCACTTGGGTTGAAGTATACATCTTCAAGTTTCTAACATATATAGTGTAATTTTGAAGTTTGGAAGATTGAATTTAATTATATACCCTAACATTAAAGTTGGACATAAAGTATATTCTATTAATTTAGGATGACTACAGCTAATAGTCTGTATAAGTGATATTTAATCTGAGTGGTTAATTTGCCAAATGGTCAAATTCTATCATTTTCCTATTTTAATTTGCCTAATGACAAGAAACTTCCCATTGGATAACATTATGAAAATAATATTTACGACATTATATTTTCTGAACCTGGCGGAAATAAGCCAATAGGCAAATTAAATGATTAGGCAAAGATACCACTTATACAATAGTCCTTTAAATTGGTAAAATGCTATGTGTTTACCTGCAACCACTTGTTGAAGGCTCTACTAAATAATCTCCACTGTCAGTGGATAAACTGAGGCTGCTGCTGCAAAAGACAAGAAACAAAGGATTCTTAACTAAATTGTGCTTGAATAATTGAATTTAAGAAAATGTACTCATGTCTGAAAGGCTGACAAAATTTTTGCAAGAAAAGTCCAAATGTTAAAATATGAATTTTCTTAACTTATATGCTTCAAAGGTATGAGATCTTAAAAGGCACAATGTCACCAGTATGCAAGTAAAACTTTTGGCTATAAATCAAGCAGTCAAAGTCTACATGAGAAGGTGATCACATGGACAGAAGGATTCAATATTGATATGGACCTTTTTCAATAAGTTTAAGGATTCACTATGTGTTTGCTCATCAAAAGGTGCCGTTTTTATCTATTGAAGGAATCTATCAAATAATGCATGCACATAAAGAGAAAACACACGACGCATACGCAAAGAAAAAACAAATCCCATAACAACCCCTAAAAAGCATATAAGCTGATGAAATTGTGGAAATGAGAAATTTGCAACCACTTGAGAAAAAAATCCTGTGGCGATCACTGAAAATTATAATATTATCTCATGGGTTAGCTGCAAATAGCTGATGGCAATAGCAGTGTTCATGGGGGTATTTCCTAATTGGGTCATTAATTAGAGACTTTTGGTCTCTTGGTACACAATTAGTACATATCAATTATCATATTTTGTAAAAGGATTCTACAGCATTATGGCATGACTGACAAAGAAACAAACCTTCTTGTTCATTTTAACCAACCTAAATAAAAGAAGCAAGACACATTTTCAAATACCGCAAAAATAAACAGCCGCAAAATTTCAAAAAACTGTCCGTTTTAAGTGATTTGAGAACGATCATATTGGGTCCAGTAATCATGAACGAAAAATCAATACTGTTAAACACAATATTTTGCATATATAAAAGATATATTTATCTATGCAAATGTAAAAATGTATGACCAACTTTTGTAGGTTTTAAAAGTAATGTGCAACAATACTTTCAACTTGATGTAAAGTTGGAGAAAGGGGACAAGTGGGGAGAGATCAAACACTTATTATCATTATAGCAGAATGAATTTACTTGAATTTGTCTAGGAGGATCTTGTATATATATCCAAATAATCTACATGAAATGTAACAACAACTGAATACTCTATCTATTGGTGGTGCTCTTGGCAGAAATACCTGCGATTTAATGTAAAATTAATGTAGAACCTTTTTATATTGAATATTTGTATTTATTAAATTGAAATGCTGCTAAACTTGAAATAAAAATCAATTAAAAAAAAAAAAATTTCAAAAAACTAAAAATTAGTGAAATACAATATCCGTTAAATTTCACTTTTGTAGTGGATGGCCCACTTTTGAAAATATTTCACTCTGCCATGACATGATTTATTAGAGACATATCTGAACTCTGTGAAGCACTGTAAAACTTATGAATTTACCTTGTTGTGCTGTCCTTCTGTGATGATGTGCTCATGTAATCTGAAACTCCCGCTTCATCATCCATGTTCTTCTATAACAAGGGACTTGGAAAACCACTGAAAAACACAAATGTTGCAGATGAACAGAACATATATATATTTTTCTCTAGGATCTCTTATCATCATCATCATCAATAATCGTGTGATGAGATCTCACAAAGGACAAGGTTTGTTTCAATTTCAATCAATTAATTTCAATAAAGGTAATGATGGAAGGAAAACACTTTTGAAAAATTGCAATACATGCATATTTTATTTTCTGGTATAAAATAAAGTATGAAGGCATTCATGAATTTCCTTGCTTTTTCAGGAAAGCATCATTACATTGTCTTCTTTTAGTGAACCTGGTAAGAGGTCAATGGTAACTCCAGGAAATGCTGATATTTCATGTTTTCTAATTTTTATAGTTTCTGGACAACAATGGAGTTACCATTGGGCTCCATGTAAACCCAAGAAGAAGTACTTACTGTACTCCGGGAATTGTTCGCGTGCGATTTAATTTTGATTTGTTCGCGAATGTAGTAAAATCGCGAACATCTATCGTCGCGAAATTTGTCTTTTAAATCTTCGGGGATTTGACCTGGGACTTTTGATATGTTTCGCTCAGTGTAAAACGTTTCGTCCAGTGTTGTTGGGCAATAATTCAAAATAGGCCTAAAATGAGTAACATTTTGAATTGGCCTATAAGGCCAACAAAGGCAAGAACTGTTGACGACAATGATATCCTACAAATCGAAGTTGAAAAAGCCATTCAAGAATATTCAAATAAATGCACTAAAAGTGGGAATTAAAGACAAACATTATAAGATCATGCATATGTAAAAAGGCATGTGAGTATATTAAAAGTGTCATTAGACGGTGTAGCTGCCATGCTTATAGTATTCACATACCAAATATGAACAAAATCGCTCCAATACTTTTCGAGTTAGAGTAAAATACATTAATTGGCTTCTATGGTCATTTGATTGCTTATTTTTTACGTAAAGGCTAGAGTACCGACAATTGTCGGTACTCTAGACTCTGATGTGGTGGCACGCTAGAGGACCGACAAATAAATTGTCGGTACGGGAGATATGCTGTGTTTACACGCTAGAGGACCGACAAATATTGATTTTCGATTTTTCTGGCGCATGCGCAATGCGCGGGGGGATATTTCAGATATCATACGGATATTTTGGGAACAAGTGCAAAACCCGGGGAGGGCATTAGCCCCGATTACCCGGGGATTACCAAACCCAGTCAAAAAATGGTAGCCCGGCAACTGGGAATTGTAGTAAACGTTGAAAGGCCCAATAAAAAACATGAACAAGTAAGACGTTAGAGAGCTATTAATGCAGAGTAAACGGCTATATATATTCTAAACAGACAGGATATTTCTCCTGAGCCGATCAGGCGTAGAAAGGGGAGTTTGCTACCCATTTAGATAGCTAGAAGAAAATAGCTAGAATGTTTTTTATCTGAAGCTTATGGTATGAGGTTCCATATCCATCCGCCAAAAGGTATGACCCCTATATAGTCCATTTAAAAACCGGTGGTATCGTTCTAAATAACCCATAGTTGGCTTCTAGGGTACCTAGTATGCCACTATTTGGTATCAAAATAAAGAGGAGTTCAACTTTCATTTGAATTACGAAAATAGCGATGTAGGTCAAAATAGTTCCGAACGTGAGCATGTTTACTACGCGTTTGCCCGTCATATCAGAATTGAGGAAGTGGTAGCAAACGCGAGTTACAATAAACGGACGCTGATATCTCAAAAAAGTAACCTGACTCCCTATAATTTGATGTAGGTCAATCGAACCCCTATATGGACAGGTGCATTTTGATATATAACACTATGGTGGGTAAGCGTTTTATAGTTGATCACGAACGCCATATGTGCAAAGTATTGTTATGAATTTTCGAATTTGGTGTTGGATTACGGTACTCATACCTTATAGCACAATTTTTGATGCATTTGGCTCCCTTAGTTAATGGCCACGATTCCATCTCACATGAGAGAGCTACCAAACGCAAAGTAAACAGTGATATATTCGAAATGAGATATTTCTCCTGTGCCATGGCGTAGTAAGGGTAGAGAGTGACGGGGGCGAAAGCATCCCCTCCCCTAACTGTATATATCGACCCATTAGATAGAACAAGAAAAGAGCTTTAAAATGTTTTTTAATTGAAGCTTGTAGGACAATTTTGATGGAAGTTGAATCAATTTTAGTCGAAATAAATTATGGCTCACTACAAGTTAATGCCTGTACGATTCCATACTGCAAAAGAAGCACTATGCCCCCCCTCAAAAGAAAAAAAGAAGATCTTGCCGGGATTCAAACTCGGGACCAAGTGTGTTGGAGTCGGGCTCGCTAACCACTAGACTACCAGTGATAAGGTTATTTCTAAAAGTAAAAGTAGTGTATTTATTTATGAAATTGTCGGCTCTCTAGCAAAAACACGTAGCAGCCACTTGCGTACCGACAATTGTCGGTTCTCTATCTGGCACTACTAGTTGACGATAGAGCGCCGACAATTGTCGGTACCCCAGCAAATACCCCTGGACAGTCTCCAGTACCGACAATTGTCGGTCCTGGAGCCACTCCGTATTTTTTAAATTCAAAGTAGTCACAAACATTTCTATTTTGACTGTACGACCGTGTATGCAAAGAAAATAATAAAAAATAAATATTCAAATAAGAACAAGGAACATCGAAGAACAGCATACATCTGTCGGATTTATGACTAAAATTCCATGACGAAAAAATAAAACATCGACTTTTTTGAGAAAGCTTACCTCATCAAAAACGGGGAAAATCCTGAACTGGATGAATAAGTCGGTTAGTAACTTAATCGATTCTGATACACATTAGCAGTGTTGTTCCCTCAATCTTCATAACTGACTTGTTTAGAAGGCCGAAAACCTGACCAAAATAATAACAAATAAAAATACAAAATGGTCGCTGGTAAATCTCATCCGGTAAATGGGAAAAAAAACACTGAACGAAGTAAAATATATTCAATATTCCCGGGGCCTTAGAAGAATATACATCAATAAGTAAGCAGTGGCGGATCCAGGGGGAGGGGCCATGGAGCACCCAAGGGGGGCCAGAAAAAAGTTTTGTAAAAAGAAAATTAAGCCCCAAATTTTGGCAGGGCCTCAAATTATTGGGCCCTTTTGGGCACTTTGCCTTATTTGCCCTCCCCCGCCAGTGATGGTATCTCTTTTGTGCTATATTTGTGTATTTCACTTCGCTCACAATGACGGTTGGTATTCGAAAAAGCACGGACATGAGCTGGTAAATTTTCAAACAAACGAAGGTGGTGAGCAAGAGACGAAATGTGTCATCTTCTAAGCTCATGGGGTTTCCCTCCTCTTATTGCGTATCCCGAATGCGATTTAGTGACAAACAATGTAACGTGAGGGACCTTCACCGTTGTAACTCGTCCAATTATGCCTATTTTCACTTATATGATTACCATCGCCATTATAAGTTTCATCATCAGAAAACAATAGAATATCCTACATGAATATAAACCATTAACATAATTTTCAAATGAACAGAATTCTCAATACGATCGCCAACTAAAAAGCAGAATGATAGGTCTTCATGAGGAGACTTGCGAAAATCTCGACATATATTCTGTTCTGAAAAAGCGAACGAAAGTATTCCACCGGTTTCAGACTTTTGTTTTCCACCACAGTAACCACTGTTTGAGAAAAATACTCTAGCGTAGCCAGGATGAGGTCGCTTTTCAACATTCTTTGAGAAATAGTCCTTTAATGAAGTTGTAAATTAAGGCCAGGGTGCATGTTCGGAATTTTGCTGCATTCATCAATTGAGTCACATAAGAGGGGAGATATCCCCGATTGGCCAAGGGAAAGATCAATACCCGGTGATTTCAGCGGGAAGTGGCGTTTCGTTCATTGGATGAGCTGCGCGCGCACGCATAAATGTGATTATCCAATATAATTAGGGGAGGGCTATTTGAAGTAGTTTTTGGTCTCAGGCGCGACCCAGGGCTGTTGTCTTAAGGACATTTCGTTGAAAATGAGCCATTCGGCTGATAATTGGTAACAGTTTGCGATCTTATAATGTATAACTGTTACTCAGACTAGTGTTGTCGCGATTAATCGATACATCGCGATATACATCGCCAAAGCTGGTTCTGGCGATGCATCGATGTCTGAAACAAAACATCGATGTTTTTAAAAAATTTTAATTTGCTAAAAATCGCCCTTTCTTATCTTATTTTGACGCAAATTGCTTACCTTTATTCATGTATTATTTCATTTTCAAATGTTTTCTGATATTCTTTCGCTTTAAAACTGTTATAGCTAGTCGAAATGAACCATAAATCTAAAAAATTACTTTACTTTCATTTCACCATGTTCCCGGATGTACCAGCGTACTCTTATTAATTTGTTCTGTTCGATATTTTAGTGCATTAATGTTCGGTATTTCAGTGCACTTTTCTCGAACTTTTTCTCGATGTACATCGCGATGTGCATCGATGTTTACTACTGAAAATTGCCGATGCATCGATGTACGATTATGGCACATCGCGACAACACTAACTCAGACACATATTTTGACACGATTCTGTTGGAAATAAGCTTTGAACCGAGAGATATTCACGATTGATATGCACATTTTTGATTGTGCCATTGCTTTTCTATTGCACAACCCATGTATTGATAGAAGAAACATTAATAATACAGATTGGTTTACCTTCAATACATGGCAGACACTACATATCGGTCTATTAATACCAGTTTGTGCCTTAAATAGTTTTATATTTCCATCCACGGCCTGGAGCCTGGGTGTGTTTGTCTCTTATGTGTATGCTTGTGCATGGACTTCTAATCACTAGCAGAATTTAACATGATGCAAACTCGACATTATAACTCATGCTGTAACATTTTGACTTCGCTGGAAAACAATAGGAATTATTTTTCTTGCCAATCAATCATGAATCACAATCAAAATTTCAGAATGATCAATCAGGCAATGATCCAAATCAAGTTATAACATTATATGATATTCAGCAAGAAGTCCGGTAGAAATACAGAATATTTAAACATCAAAGCTGAAAGTTAAAAGCTAATCTGTCAATTTTCTGTCTGCAAAAGAGCGTCCCAAGAGCGTTTACATTTGACACAATAACAGATTGAGGCCTTGAAATCTAGGATTCCCCAGGAAAATATGACGTCATACTAATTAGCATAAGGATTTCCCTATTGGGGTGGGTCGAGCCTTGTTCGAAAACACAATCCATAAATACATGCTAATTTCTAAGGAGATAGGAAGTGTATAACGTGTTTATCGATTTTGTTTAAAGATTTAATCAATTATCAAATTGTTTAAGTGGATAAAGTGGTCACACTTGCTTCAATTCATAGCGAAATCGACGGATAGAAACTGACCGAATTCCCGATATCCTACCCCGTATTACTGTAGGCTATAAGCACAGTGACCTACAGAGGGCGCTATCACAAACAAGTACTGGACGAACCGATAAATTCCCGGGTATTGTAACGCCCTTGGATTGGCAATCATTCATACAATAAGACTATATGATTAGGAATATACACGTATCATGATTATTCAATTAAATGGTTTATTATGTTTCTAATAAAAAAGGGAATAAAAAAATACATGAAGAACAGTTTTAAATGTCATCTTTTTCCGTCAAGTTATGTCCTCTTTCATATGATACCAAGGATGTTTTATTTTCCTCCACAGATGATTTAGAATGAGGGATTTAAGTGACCATGTCAGAAATGGGTTCGTAACATAGTGATAAGCAACAACAAACATCGGGATATTACTCTTTTAGCCCTTTTAAATCCCAAAGTCCATTCAAAGTTGTTTTAACCCCAGTGTCCTTCAACATGACCTCCATGTCTTTCAATGCAAATGTCTGCCTTAGATCTCACCGCACGTACTGCATCCCCGATGATGTTAGATTGCTCCGTTATCGGATGGAACTTCAGAAACGGTTAAGATTAAGATCTGGCAAGATAAGTAAAAGAGACAGACTTGGGCAAGGCTACCTTGTTTCGTTTACGCAATAATAGTGATCGAGGTATATCAATGTTTCTGTCGTCCTCTGATTTGTTCGCTTAACCAAGGGCGTTACAATACCCGGGAATTTATCGGTTCGTGCAGTACTTGTTTGTGATAGCGCCCTCTGTAGGTCACTGTGCTTATAGCCTACAGTAATACTGAGGATATCGGGGAATTCGGTCAGTTTCTATCCGTCGATTTCGCTATGAATTGAAGCAAGTGTGACCACTTTATCCACTTAAACAATTTGATAATTGATTAAATCTTTAAACAAAATCGATAAACACGTTATACACTTCCTATCTCCTTAAAAATTAGCATGTATTTATGGATTGTGTTTTCGAACAAGGCTCGACCCAGACCAATAGGGAAATCCTTATGCTAGTTAGTATGACGTCATATTTTCCTGGGGAATCCTAGATTTCAAAGCCTCAGTCTGTTATTGTGTCAAATGTAAACGCTCTTTTGCAGACAGAAAATTGACAGATTAGCTTTTAACTTTCAGCTTTGATGTTTAAATATTCTGTATTTCTACCGGACTTCTTGCTGAATATCATATAATGTTATAACTTGATTTGGATCATTGCCTGATTGCTCATTCTGAAATTTTGATTGTGATTCATGATTGATTGGCAAGAAAAATAATTCCTATTGTTTTCCAGCGAAGTCAAAATGTTACAGCATGAGTTATAATGTCGAGTTTGCATCATGTTAAATTCTGCTAGTGATTAGAAGTCCATGCACAAGCATACAAATAAGAGACAAACACACCCAGGCTCCAGGCCGTGGATGGAAATATAAAACTATTTAAGGCACAAACTGGTATTAATAGACCGATATGTAGTGTCTGCCATGTATTGAAGGTAAAACAATCTGCATTATTAATGTTTCTTCTATCAATACATGGATTGTGCAATCGAAAAGCAATGGCACAATCAAAAATGGGCATATCAATCGTGAATATCTCTCTGTTCAAAGCTTATTTCCAACAGAATCGTGTCAAAATATGTGTCTGAGTAACAGTTATACATTATAAGATCGCAAACTCTTACCAATTATTATCAGCCGAATGGCTCATTTTCAACGAAATATCCTTAAGACAACAGCCCTGGGTCGCGCCTGAGACCAAAAACTATTTCAAATAGCCCTCCCCTAATTATATGCGTGCGCGCGCAGCTCATCCACTGAACGAAACGCCACTTCCCGCTGAAAACACCGGGTATTGATCTTTCCCTTGGCTTAACGTGTTGGTTTTCTTAAAGATATGATACCGACATACGTTTATAATAAAAAACGTCGGGTAATTTTGCCTATAACTCGTGAAATGAGGAAAGAAAAATCGTACCTTCGAGGTTGCGACACTCTGTTAGTGAAACGAATCCGTGCGTTTTAATAACTAATTTGGAAACTGCAATTTCCAGTGCGTAACTTTGGGTATGTGTTCACCTTGATTTGGTAACGAAATGTGCGGCTAGATATTATAATATTCCAGTTACAGAGTTACGTACATAAAGGTTGTGTACTGGGAGGTATTTGATACGGTTTATTCCGAGGGAAATATTTATATATTCCGCCTTCTGTACGATGTATCGAGGGAAATGGATAGTTTCAGATCTTTAACAGTTCTCCTTTCTTCCTCTTCCAACTCATTATCAATATTTGACTTTGATATCGCATGTCTTGCATGGTATTGACTGATCATTCTGCTATTCTAATAATGATTTCTTGAGAATTCGGCGGTTCCATATATTGTTTTTCCCCTTGGCGAATATAATATATCTAGGCTATGTTGGAGGCCCCAACCCGTGGGTGGATACATTATATTAGCATTAGGACCCGGTATAAAAGGGTAGGAGGTCCTATCAAATTATGGTCCTACTTTCCATTGATTTACATGGTGACCTAAATACAACTCTTTCCCTTATTATCGTATCCTCATTTAATCAGGGCAAGTAAGGGCCTTTAAGGGGACCATAATCCCCAGGGGACTATAATTTCTTTTACACCGGGCATTACGATAATCCCGTATTAGCATAAGGATAAACCCTATATCTCAACAAGTGTTTATAACTGATCATTATGAATCTGATTTTGAGGGGTTTTCATAATCCCCAGCAAGACTGCCATTTCCGAATACAGTATGGAATTCACTTTTTGTTGCTACAGTAAGTCTGATCACAATATAAGTTTGTTGTAGGCCTAAGTCCCATAACAATAAACAAATTGGAAAATGAAATTGTATTGCTAGATCTAATAGTAATCACAGGATGTGTATGTTTCAGGCGTGACAATGAATTATAGAAATGCGATTTCAAAACATAAAGAACATCACTGTTAAAAAACAGGAAAAAATCGGGTTCAAAAAGGAGAGATACTTTTTGCAAATGCGGCAGAATTACGTCATTTTTCCGGATTGTTCAATTTTTTTCCGGGCTGTTAACCTTTTTCCGGGTTTTACAGCTTTTTATTCGAGTTGCTGGGTAATTACCTGCATTATTAATGCAGGTGATTTTCACAATATCCCACCAACTAAAATGATAAGATAAAACAATTGCAGTGCACGTTCATCGAAAACTGGCCAATTAATTGATGTCAGTTACGTAATGTGAGAATTGACAAAATTAAAAAATGCATACCAAAAAATTCAATATCAGAACTACGCAATAAGACCTTTATAGTGTTTGTGCCCCAGGTAATTCGCCAATCAATTTTAGCCTCAAAAAAGCTTGTCTTTGAGTCAGGTTTATTGATTTGCTTGAATGTTCTCTGTTTCCAAAATACGTTCTTTCCAAAATTTCAGTTTGGATACAACGGGCGATCCATATGATAAAAATGCTCTCATTTTGTGATTTTTTTTCACATATCCATATCATTTTTTTCAGAACATGTAGATTATGTAATTACACATACAATGCTACAATATTATACATTTTGCCATATACAAGTTGTATATGGCAAAATGTTTCTAGTTTCCTGGTGAATGACGAGTCTCGTATCATACAAATGTACTTTAGGCGATCTGTCTGCATGGGGGTGTATTTATAGCACTTGCTAATGAATGATATATAGTTCCTTCAGTTTATAGAAAATTTCAGAGAATTCGGCTCATCTATAGCTAAAAAAATACCTGTCAAAGAGTGGTTCAATTTTTGGGACACCCCATATCGTTTATATTTTATAAACACAAGCGTTTGTTCGAATGAATATTTATTACCCATCACATTTTCAAAGAAAAATCAATCCATAGCGAAAAAAATAGTTTTATTTTTTTCAGATGGACTCCACTCATCTTAGAGATTATTAAGTTTAAATTCTTATTGATTCAGTGTATTTACTCTCCATTATCCCGGATAGATACAAGTATGTCAGAATCTAGATTGTAAATGTTACGAACACAATAGTGGAAGACTAGATATTTGTCTCCCCGACTTTTTTGCCCCGCCGACGATATTTTGCCTCATTGAAAGTAAACATTTGCCTTATTGATAAAACTCACTGCATCCCCTGTGAAATCCTAGTTATGAAACTGCTTTATAACAGAGTAAATACCAGGTTCCATGCTAACGCCGAAGAGTTGAAATACTGGTGGAATTGGTTGCAACACAGCATGTCTTGTCACAACTACCCCTCCATAGCATTAAAATTGCGTTGTGCCTCACAGGAATCAGTGTCTTGAGAGATAAATGGATCGTAACGACCAATGGGACCGAGTTGGAATTTGTGCTTGTTGCGACACATCGGAACAAGTGGGGATTCCATCCTTCTTCAAAGGACTTCATTAATGCTTAAAATATACCATTGCTCCAAGGATGGGGGGGGGGCGGATTCCTCCATACGCTGTATCTGCTTTTATAGATTCGGACACAATCTTTATCCTTCCCAAGATCTCACGTCACTTTGTAATGAACATTTTAATATCAACAGGTGCACTCGGGTACACACTCTTGATATAGTCGGGATATTTAGATAAAGATTGACAAATCAGAATAAAGGGAATTGGTCAACCCATAATGGATACCACCCACCGTGACCATAGGTAGGCCAAAAACGTATGTTCCCTCCTCCAAGGCTTGTAGTTTCCACCGTGCCGCTGGTTACCATTCAGTATGAAAGCTAAAGCCTTTAGAATATAATCCCAAAACTGGCAAAACATATTGGAGCATAGATTTAACCTATGTAACACAGAATATTGATATTACAAATAACACAATTGTAACGTATATGTACAGACAGCATTTTCAATAGCACAACCGGTCACAACCTAAGTTTCTACCTTACCTTTAATGGTGTGTGTATCAACATAGTGTCCATATATATCTGCAGATCATACTTGAAATATCCAAATTGGTGTGTTTTAACGCCTTTTCGCTGTGAAGATAGTTGATAATGAAAATCAATTCACAGGGATAAAATAATTCACATGGAATAACATGTGAGGGGATGCTACATCGTAAATAAACTTGTTTTCGACTGCCATCTTTTGAACTACGAATGCACAATAAAATATTACCCAATCGATTGTAGTAAGAATAGGTTTTATGAATAAATAAAGATGGCATTGTGGTCTTTATACAAAACCCCGCTAAGCTAACCCGAGTGGTAATTCGAATGATATTGGGCACCGGACCTTTCTCTACATTATTTTAGTATATTTTCCTCTCACCTTTATTGTTTTAAAATATTTCAATATACTTTTTCAAATTCGTATAAAATAAACTTTCATCAAAACAAATCATCTTTAAAAAATAGTATCGTGTAGGTTCTTTCAATAAAATTTCGGGCTCGGGAGAACACCCTCTCTCGTTAGCAATGTTAATTAACACTTATAAAAACATCATTTCCCATTTATATGTTTTTAACAAGTGTTTAAACAAACTGTAAATTGCTGAATTGAAATGTTCAATCAAGGCCTGCATTGAAGTATTTATAATTGAAACTGTCTAAATATGTTTCATTGCATACAAGACATGAGAGTAAGTCAACCTCTCCCTCTTATATTCTCTATATTAAAATACGTTTATTTTATATAAGAGACTTAACTTCCCTTGATACGAAAACACTTCCAAAAAATAATATTATATCTAAGGTCAGATTTGAACCCCAAGGAACTTTTAAATTTTTTTCCCAAAAATTGGTAGATTTGAAGTATGTCGAAAAATCCAAAATAGCCGATTTACCAGTTTACTCAAAATTCAAAATGGCCACCATGTAATTCAGTCTGAACGGATAAGTGGTTTTGCTCGAATTTTGATGACAAGTTAATGGTAAAATTGTAATGGCCATCAAGTTATTTTAACCAAAATGCCCTAAATGTAGTAATCAAATTTTGGCATCAGTCTACTCTTGCATCAGTAAAATTTCAAGTTGACAGAAAACAGTTTTTCGTGGAATTTTGACAAGATTCATAAGGCGCCCACCCGCACATCGGCACAAGACGACAGCAACAGGAGGCGTTAATCAGTGACGAGATGTTTTTACTTAGTGATGGAATTTTAAATCTTAATCAAATGTTTTTTATGCCAGTGCTATGGTTCACCATTGGTTAGTATCAAGCGAAAGTAACGGTCGTAACATTCGCATCTAAAATGGCGGACGGCAATTGTCGATTTCGATATTTTTAGTTTTCATTGAATTAAACTACTTTATTGTTGAAGTTATGCTTTGATATTTGAACCAAAAAGGCTTATATGACATGGGAACTCTGGATTATGATAATATGTCCATATATCGTACGTGGGCGCCACAGTTCAACGATAATGTTCCACCGCTTAAGGGAAGGTAATTGGAAATGTATGATGCGGTAATGGTCATGTTATTTTTCAATACTGTAACTGGACATCATAGCTCTCATACAATACCACATCACTGCATATCAGTTATCTTATCATCTGTAAATCCAAAATCCTAGTTACCTTCCCTTAAGTGGAAGATATCGTTGAACTGTGGTGCCTGCGAAGGTTACGGCCGTTACCTTCGCTTGATACTGACCAGTGGTTCATGGGCTTTCAAGTCCATTAATATGGCATTATGGAAAATCTGAGAGTAAGATGAAAGCATACGATTCCTATTCTTCAAATCTAAGATGATCTTATGTCAACTGTACGTTTTATTGTGGCACAGCTTCAGTAGCAATGTAGTCAATCTACTAAAATCTAATTCATCTATTCATACATTTTTTGTTCATGTACACACTGTACAAATATTTTACAAAGAATCACTGTTCACTTTTTCAATACACTACATCATATCAACGTGTCACTGTGAATTGAGTAATTAATTCTATTATCTACAAATTGAATAATTTCCTAGTTGGCACTTATGTTATTTAACCATTGGTGGAGTATATGTGGAAGAGTCCTTTATGGATTTATAGATCGGTTCATCAGAACTAGTGTGTCCTTTTGCTATTTGATCTTGCTGCCAGTGAACTTTCTTCTCGTGACCAGTAAGTGCATCTTTAACCCTTTCATCAATCATTTTCTCTGTCACCAGACCGTTTTCCGATGCATATGCAGTTGCCTGGAAATAATGAAAAAAAAAATCCTGAATTACGAATTGATTATGGAGAATTTTTGTGGATGTTTTCATTTTTAATATTATGTATAGTATTATACATTGTTCATTATTATCTAATTTCTATGAGTTGCATCAAACTCTAATTCAGCATTGGTTACTACCCACTTCAGGTATTTTTCAATATATTTATATATTTCAAGATGTCAAAAGTGTTTTTTCTTGACTACAATAAACTAAATGTATCTTAATTATGTCACATTATGTCAAGTGGACTTTATTTTCACTTTTCCATAAAAAGTATAAAAATCAAACAAAAATGTTCCCTACCTGCCAAGCTACTCCTAACTTGGAGATTTCTCTGCCAGAGAGACCTTCTGTTTTCTCTGCTATCTCAGAACATTTTGCAATCCAGTCAAATTCATCTACACGCAGACGACTAAAACGATAAACAATTTAATGTGCAATTAAATCACAAGATTTCGTGGAACTTAAAGCCTGTTTACCATCATTGATATTGATTAATTTTTTAAGTTTTTTATTTCCAAATTTATTTTATTACAAAATATCACAAACTAGAAAGGCCTGGGTAAGTGCATAACATTCTATCATATGCATTGACCGTTAGAACAATATCCAGCAAATTTTACTGGGGGTCAGCTGATTATTTACAACTAGTACTAAATTCAATTCAGTTTTGACCTTTAACTTTCAGAATTCGTAAAACAAACCATAATCTCTAGATACAATAGAGAGCATGCTTATAGAAATCACACCTACATGATTGTAAATCAACATACCCCTTTTTGGCCATTGCAGGTTGAAGTATATACTTCTCGAAGTAAAGCCGCACCATTCTGTCACGCTCCTCCTTGTTGGGAATATCAAACTCCACCAATTCATCAAGTCTGTCATTGATAGCCCAGTCAAACTGCTCTGGTTGGTTACTTGCCAGTACAAGCATAAATCTGAGCAATAAAACACATTACATTTACATGAGGCATGGCTACAATTTAAAGTACATTAAAACCTGTCTAACGAAACACCTCTTTGTGAGGAACACCTCTCTAAATAAAAAATTATTCAAAAACAAACAAGTGTCATTACCTTTAATAGTAATGCATCTTTTTGAGTAGCATTGTAATGACTACAAGTCTACAAGGAAAGTGTTGGCTATATAATACAAGATTTATTGTATGTACTACATAAGGTTACATTGTGCCATAATTCTGTGACAAAATGCCTCTAGAAACACTGTTCTCTAATATGTTTCTCAATTTGGTATTCAGTCCATTCTAAAGAGCTACAATGGCTTACTTGTTAGATTGTTCCCCTGTTCTGTACAGGAATGCATTCAATGTTGCTCTTAGATCCTCACTGATCACCTCCTATGCAAATAAAATATATACATGTAGATGAAATTTAATCAAATAGTTGAGAAGGGTCGTACCAGGTTACATGTTCAAATCTAAGTCTTAATTTCTGTTCTTTAAAACACTTGATATTAATGGACGTGTAAAACTTCTAAATCCATAATAATCATTGCATTAAAAGACACATGCATATAGTCATACATGTAAATGTTCATATGTAATGGCATTTTTCTTTTAAAAAGGAAAAATGTGGACATATAAGTTGCTAAGGAAAGTATTTTGTTAGCTGAGCAGAGGCTAACAATTTGATAAGCTGCTAAACATTTCTGGTAAAAACAATCAAAAAATACTAAATCTCTATAAGAAATGAAGAAGCATTTATCCCCTCCTCCATGCCAAATAAAATAGTTGCTATACCTGGCTACGTTTCCTGAGAAAGGCATCTGCTTCATCCACAAACAGCAGCACTCTGAAACAAACGATCAGACCTGATTATGCAAATGAATTGAAATAAAATTGATTGATTGATTGATAAAATTGTCTTTGGCTGAGCCTTCAGATATATCTATGTCCCCATACAAACCAATTTGTACGATTTAAGTAGGAATGAGGCATAAGGAACACCCTAAAGCCACAACAAAATTCACACATGGGGCCAATGCCACACCAAATGTCCAAAAGGCTAATTTTCAAATGAAGGGAGAACTTTGCAGATGAGATAAAAAACAACCTCAATTTCTCCCATCTCGTTTTAAGTTTGGTTAGAAATATAAGAGCAACAACGTGGTCTGCCTTTGTCTCATCTGCATTAATGCAATCGAATGCTCTGATTAATTGAAATATAGGCGCATTTGTATTATAAACTTTTACCTGATAAACCCTGATTGGAATTTGATAACATTGGATTACATTCAGGCAGTATCATACATGTCATAAGGATTTTGGACCAAATAATGATCAAAATTACTATTTTCCTAAAATCAACTTGTCCTAATTGAAATGATCTAGCTGCAATCCTTTTGGTTTGTACTTATGTCACCTCTTGAAATTGATCACTTAGTGGCTTACCCTCTTCTACTACTGGAAGCCCAGTCAAAAACTTTGTGCATGGCAGTTACTCCCTCCCGGCCCATGGGAGCCACATCACCACCAGTCATAATAGCATAGTCCATTCCTGAGTGCATTGCTAAACTCTATAAAGAAATAGAATCAAATATTTTACATTATAGTGGCTCAATTCAACAGATATAACTAACTGGGTACATTGCTAAAGCTTTTTAAGAAGTGGAATAATAAATACTGTCCATTATGAATGAATCAGATATTGCTGAACAATAATTCTATTATTTTGAACTTTTTATGGTACTCAGGCAGGCTAAGATGTTTTTGTTTTCATCTACGATCAAATCATTTCCTCTTCCCAAAGTTTGTGTTTCATTATACTCCATTGAGATGAGAGGGAATGGAAAAGGGTCGAAACCAAGATTTAACAATAACCTTATGCATGTATTAGGAAAAGCTCACCTTGGCAAACATGGTCTTTCCAGTACCTGGTGGACCATGCATTAGAATATTTCTGTAATAACCTTTGTTTTTCTTTGTATGTCTTGTGGCTATTGCAACTTCTCTAAGTCTGGCTTCCAATGTAGGCTGTAAGATGAATGTAAAAAAAACATGTATGATAAAATGTAACCACTTGGTAATCCCAAATGGTGGAAGAAAGTAACAATTTGTTACAGGCACATTTCTGGGTGGTGACATAAGAAACATAAATACAGTTGAATAATTGAGGGGTATGCTTAATCGAGAAAATAAGAGGTAAGTCTGTGTTTGAAAGATTTAAGACTTTGTAATCCACTACAATATAACATCCTAAAACAGGTATTCAAGTTTTTGAAAATGACATTTCCATGAAAAATGGCAACCGCTTTGAGATGAAACCCCCAAGGCATCAGCATATAAAATTTGAACCAAATTCATTAACTGATATTTATTTTATGAAATATCCTATTTCACCAAAAAATGGTGGATGTTTTGATATTCATGTAAATATGTTAGGTAAGTGATCAATACAAATGTCTATTAAGAATTTTTCTAATTTAAGTTTCATCTATATCCCAAAGAGCTTTCTAGATTGATGGGAAATACTGAAACAGGCAAACCTTGCCGAACTAACATTTACTAGTAGTTACTTACTTTTAATACTATTCCCTGCAGAGCATCTGTAGGTTTGCTGTAGATACGTTTCGCTGTCTGTAATAAATTGCAAAGAAAAAATTACACAAGTAAAAAGCAGATGAATAATTCAAGGTTGTACTAAGGGATTTAAGTCCTGGACCATGCCCGGTGATCAGAAGAAATCAACAGAGAGAATGAGTAGCTGATTTTCGCTAGAAAATTCAACAAATCTGGAATATTTACTTTTTTCAAGAGAATGGACGCACGACAAGAGGAAATATGTCAGAATGGAACGAATTCTTGTTTTGATACAATAAATTGAATTCTATCAGACCAACAATTACCTTGATAGGATGCTTGACTGCTTCAAATACACTGAGACGTGACGTGTCTCTGACTAGTGATGGTTTGCCTAGCCTGGCCTCTATATACCTCGCACCTACTCCTGTACCAAACTTAGCAGCATACACTCCCACAGCTAATAGGGTCAAACCAGCTGCCTACAATCATAAAATTTTGAGAGTTTTTTTTGAGAGTACCTTTCCCTTAAGGAGCTTTTAGTGCAGCTAGCTATACTAGTATAGTTACTGTAATGCTCAGATTGTGGACATTTCTGGCTTTGAATATAGATGTGTTTTATAGGCCCATGCATTATCTCCACGTAAAATATACATATACATGATATATTCAAGTCAGTTGTTCTTTATTAATGAATGGACGATTTAAGCTGGGAGTACTACCCAACTGGCTCCTTTATTCACCCTCCAAATCATGATCTTTCCTTGTTACTAATTCAAAGTAAAATTATTTTAGCATTCAAAGCAATCAGCAATGAATAAAGCATTTTGGTTTCAATATAATCTTAAAAGCTTACAGTGGCTGAGACTTTATCCCAGTCAGCAATGAAAGCCTGAAATCCTGTCCCTAGCACTGATCCAGCAGTTCTGAAATATAGAGCACATCATGTTATATTGTAATATATCACAAAATAATGTTCACATTAATGTACAGTTCATGAAAAGAGACGGAAATTAAATTGTATCTAATTGATATATTGACATAGTCCCCGTTGGTTAATAGTAACTCATCACTGACCAACCCAGAGATATTTCGACTATGATGTCATGATCTTATCTGACCAACCCCTAGATATTTCGGGGTGCTGTCCAACAATTGTCACACAATTTGTACCAACAATCTTACCAAATGATGTAAGGGTCAGTAGGGGAATATTGGGTGCATTTGAAATATATTGTCATTGGCTTTTCAATGGCATAACACATAGCACAGAGGGTGTGTGATACAGTCCATTTCATGCTAATACAAAAACATACAATTTTGCTCAAATTCTCATCAAAATGGCCAGTCACCTGCAGAAAACCTCCAAAATAGCTCTGGCCACCAATGAATTAATATACAGGGTGTCCCGAAAGTATGGGGCCCCCCCTAGGCAGACATATTCCAGTGTCCTCAAAGTATGTGTCATATATCATTTTAAAGCTTGTCCAAAGTTACATTGATTTGCCAAGTATCATGGTTTAACTCCCAAATGGGAAAAAGTTACAGTCATTTTAAAAGTTAGTGTTTTGTCAAAATAAAGTTCAATTTTACACCACATCAGTAGTCAATGTGTCCCCCCCCTGACCGTGTTAACAGCGGCAATTATTTTCAGATATGACCTTAAAAGTCCTTCAAATAGGAGTGTGGAACTTTATAACCCTCTTAAAACCTGTTAAGGGACTTTAGAAGAGTTTCCTTAGAGTTTCTACCCTCACCGTTCTCTTTTTCCAACTCAATATCCATCCAATCCGAAAAGAATTGCTGCTGTTAAGATGGCCCGGGAGAACACATTGACTAGTGATTTGGTGTAAAATTGAACTTAAGTTTGGCCAAACACTAAATTTTTAAATACCTGTAATTTTTTCACATTTGAAAGTTGAACCATGATACTTGGTGAATCAATGTAACTTTGGATAAGCTTTAAAATGATATATGACACATACTATGACGACACTGGTATATGTCTGCCTAGGGGGGACCCCATACTTTCGGGACACCCTGTACATGTACATATGTAACTCACTTAATAGATTCCATTACAGTTTGTCTTTTCTCTGCAGCCTGTAGACGAATCTGTTCTAAGCGTAAATCATGGTTCTCTCTCTCAATTTGAGCCTGGCCCTTTAATTCTGCTTCAACTTTGGCCATTTCTGTCTTCTGCCTGAGCTCTGCTTCATATTCCAATGTCTCTGTAGCATAGAAAACACAGATGTATTATTCATTTAATCATAATGTTGACAACTTGACTTTCTTGGTTGAAAATATGTCAAGAGGTAGGTCAAGACACAGAATCAGACTGAACAAAAACTTTATTGAAGTGTTAGATCTCTTCCAAAAGTAGACTTCTAGTTTGATAGATTATGAAATTAAAACAAATTCTGAAAATTTCTGAAATTAAAACAAAATTAACCATCATGGAATGAGCATTGGTCCCATCCATAGCGACTTAATTTTATTAAAGATTAGTTGTTTTACTTTATAAAAAGCTTACAATTTATTAATTGTTCAAAACAACCATTCCAAATTTTGAAAATTCAAACCTCTTACTTTTACGCATAGATTCCTGTTTGGCAAGTGACTGTTCTTGTTTCTGCAAGTTTTCCTCTTGCATTCTTCTCTGCAATTAAATAATGAAAATATCACTTGTAATTTTCAATACTGTAATCGTAGAATGGACTTGAAATCATTGTGTACCATTAACATACATACTATTTCATAGGAATATCAACAGGGACCAAGATATTTCACCATGAAAAAGTGCTCCTTTTGTTTGGTCAAGTATTAAAATACATATGAAAAGTTACTAAATTCCACTTTTTATAACACCTGCAGTGTAGGCCAATAGCATAGCACCTGAAAACCTATAACACATAATGAAGGCCTGTGACACCTATTGCACCTGAAAGTGTATGACACCTCTACCAAGATAGGGTCTATGACAACTACAGCAACAAAAGGCCTAATGACACATACAGCACCTAAGGGCCTACAGTACAACTTCCTAACCTGTTGTTCTAGTTGATCTTGATATCTGTTTCGAGAAAGTCTATCTTCATAGTCTGCCCTTAGTTTTTGTTGCTTACTTTCCTCTTCCATATTTTTCCTTCTTTCTTCTTGTGAGACCCTAATCTGTTCAATCTTCATTTGTTCTATTTGGGCCTCCATTTCCTAAAAAACGATATGCTTAAGGATTTAAGCCCTGGACTCAGTGCAATGAGGAATCCAAAATTTGCACAAGATGTGCCAGCATTGAGTGTTAATTTTAGGAAACAATGTCTGAAAGGAATGGTCATTCCACAATGCATTGAGTATTGATACTCATGAATTCTGATACTCATAACATATTTTTGTTTCACCAGAAATATTTCAAGGCTGAGAAGAAATGAGATGTCATGGTTTATCATTATGGGAAAAATCATTGGATCGGAGAAAGATTTCTTAAAGTAAACTGGAACAGACACAAATCAAAGTATAAATGTACATACCTTCATTTTCTTTTGATTATCAGTCTGCAACGTCTCTTCTTGTTTCTTTGCCAAGTCCAATGCATCTTTGGCATGGGCTGAAAATCATAGATCAACCCAGTCAAGTGATATAGTGGGAATAAAGCTGTCTCAAGGTAACTCATAACTTAATCAAAAAATCCAAGATGGCCGAAACCAGGAAGCACATGGCATTTGAGTATAATCTGACCATCAAAATCAACTGTCTTTTGGTTGGATTTTCTCTCAATTTTTTAGTTCCACTTATCATTTATATAACCAGGCTCACAGTGGTAATGCAAATAGAAACAGTAAACATTTTGGAATGGGAATTTGAGTCCTCTGAAAATGTGACAGAAAAATTGACAAAAAGAGTAGCACAGCAAAGGTCCCTGAACATTTTTTTTCTAATTTCTCTGAAACATCCCTTTAATATAGCCCAAAATGGAAGGAGCTTTAGAATTTTGAAATCTCTCATACAAATTAAAAAAAAATAGAAAAAAAACAATTTGAGAAGTGTACTTTTTTCCTTATTTTGATCCCAATTTTTTTTATCGGGTAATTTTTCAAATTTCCGTTGCTCCTTCGTTTTTGATATATGTTTGAAGTATATTTTCTGAAATGTTCAGATATTTTGAATCAGCGGTTTTTCACGTCCTAGAAAAAAATCTTCTCAAATTCTTTAAACGGCACTTTTTTTTCTCAAACTAAAGTTTTTTGTTGTTCTTTGATGTCTTTGTAATGATTACAGTGCACAAGCATATGTGAAATAATAAAAACGACTTCACAGGAAGAGTTTGAAAATTTCAAGATTGTAAAATTTTCAATTTTTTCTGAAAATCGATTAAGGTGCTATGAAAGTTAACAGGAAATGACAAAACAGGAAATGACAATTTTTTTTGCATTTTTAGATATTTTTTGAATAAAGATAACAGAGTTCTGGTTTGACCTCCAGTCAATTTAACTATTTCACATATTATTTACATGACCAGGATCACAATGTGCATGGTCAGAATGACCCTAAACATGATGAAATAACCTTTTTAGCCCTTTGAAAGTGTGACTGAAAAAAAGCTAAAAGTAGGAGCGTAGGGAAGGTCACTGAACAGAATCTTTTGAATTTTTCAGAAAATGTGCCCAATATATTGCTCTAAATGATACAATCTTTGAAAATTTGATATCATTCATAGAAAAAGAAAAAAAATGAAAAAACCGATTTGAAAAGCGATCTATTTTCCTTTTTATGACCGCCATTTTTGTTTAAGACAATTTTCTAAAAAGATTGTACTAGTTAGAGCATTATATTGGGCACATTTTCTGAAAAATTCAAAAGATTCTGTTCAGTGACTATCCCTACGCTCCTACTTTTAGCTTTTTTTCAGTCACACTTTCAAAGGGCTAAAAAGGTTATTTCATCATGTTTAGGGTCATTCTGACCATGCACATTGTGATCCTGGTCATGTAAATGATATGTGGAAATAGTTAAATTGACTGGAGGTCAAACCAGAACTCTGTTATCTTTATTCAAAAAATATCTAAAAATGCAAAAAAAAATTATCACTTCCTGTTTTGTCATTTCCTGTTAACTTCCATAGCACCTTAAGTTAACAGTCACCTTAAAAGTCAGAATTTCTGAAAATTTGTATTTGTGTAGCAAGATTTGACGTTTGAAGCAAGTGATTTGATTGGTTTCGGCCAACTGCCATTAGTGACACACTTTCAACTTGCCCCACAAATGCAGCTATCTACAGTTGTTGTTTTCTATGCAGTATTATCAAAGAGTTAGGGTAAAGATTTGAAATAATCAACGATATACATTTCAGAAACACTTTGGAGAATATAATATCATTCGATACCTGTAAGGAGAACTCGTACCAAGAGGGCAAGTTTTTGAAAAAATTTCAGTCGGTCTTGTCAACCTTTTTTTAGATTCAGTTTGCAAATACTTTTATCTGTACCTATGGTCAGGTGGAAGACTTGGCTCAGGTAGAAGACTTGGCTAACATTACTAAATCTTGTTGAAAACTTTGCTTACTTTTCAATAGTCCAACAACATTAGACCTAGCCCGGGCCTCGTTTCTTATCTGACATGTGTTATGGCCCGGCTAGGTCTAACCTCCATGACCATTTTGCCTTTGATGCGTTAATTTAATCGTTCAGGAGGTTTCGACAAGCGGAACAAATTAAACCCTGAAAACATGGCAATATTACACAAAGAATGTGATTCAAACATGCATACATACCTTATAAACACATACACCCCGTCCCGTATCCCCCTTAGACCCTATTGATGCATAATTACGAAAATATTGGAGACAGGTTTGGAAATGACGAAAATGTCGGTCAGTTTCGGTAACATCGAAATTGCAAATCGTTTCAGGAATTAACCGTCATCACGGCACTGCATTAACGAACAGTGGGTTTGTAGTTAATTTTACGATCCGGGACACTCAGACGAACAGACACAATGACGGACATGCGGAATGTCACTTTAGAGATTGGTAAGTGTAGCCTCATTTTACTCGTATAAATGAACATTTAACACAAAAATATTGTGTTAAATCGCTTGATGTTATGTGTTTTTATATTATTGTCAAGTATCAGTTGCACGTTATCGCGGAAAAATGGTTTCGATGGATTCAGAACTTGCATCAAAGGAAAGAATAGTAAGGAGGTTAAACTCAATAATGGCCCCAAGAAAATTCCTAATAATAAAGAATGCCGTTATTGAGTTTAACGACGTTGAACTAGATCTAACTTTTCAAATGACCATTTATCTACTCTAGATCTAGACTGTTCAGAGATCGACATGCAACAAAAAATAATATGTATAATGGCTAGCTATTGAAACTGTATACATACGTGAATTTTCAAGATCTTTTGCAGCTTTTGCAGCTCTTTCCAGGGCCGTTGAGTCGAACCGGTAAGCATCCATTTTTCCTCCCTTGCCATCATCTTTGCTATCACCGCCTGATCCATCGGACGGCGGGAGAGGAATCTGTGGAAAATTAGGTATTTCCTGGCCCTTCCCACCCATTCCAAATAACCACGACATATTATTATGTGTTAAATATTCCAGAAAAGTCCTTGAAAATTGTAAAATAATTTTCTGATGAAAAAGGTCGGAACATGTGCAAACGGTGCTGCCCTCTTTTATCAGTGACTTCTAAGCGCACAATCTTTGCATTTTTCAATAATATCCGAAATATCTGGATTGAACAATATAAATTGATTTATATTGAATAGTATGAAATCAATTTTTATGATTGGATTCATTATAACACCCAGGAATAAAGTAAATAATCAGTGCTAATTGTTGACTGATTAGTTTACATTTTCTTGCAAACCATCTAAAATACGCTACAATCTAAGTCGATCTAGCGAAATAAATAGGGCGCCTTTGGAAGTCTCTGTTTACTATTGTATTAATAAACGCTGACGGGAATCCTCGGTTCACAATCGTAGGTTACCTTTTGCAAACAATTGGTATGGCAGTGGACCAACAATTTAGGAGTTGGTATGTGAATGCCCCCCCCCCAAAAAAATGGGAACAACTAGAAAAGCGTGTAACGATTCTTCGACTTCCGACTGAAAGAGCAACTGAAACCTTTTTTATTTAATTTTTTATTTCAGAGAAGAAAAAAACATGATAAAGCAATTACAAAATACAAATTAAAACTTGTGAATCAAGATGTTGTGAACGTCACTGGAGAGTGTGACAATGTAAGGCAAAATTTTAGTAAATGTATACAAGTTTACATTAACAGAATGCCGCACAAAACTATCGGCTATAAATAGAGAATGCAAAATGTTTCCTTTCAGTGAGAGAGAATGTTTAGATTCTACCACCGCTGCCGTCTTTATTTCGGTCCAAAATCTATGCTTCCTGCTACATGTTATCATAAGGTGCCTCTTTAAATGTCTAATATCATAGATTCTAGGCCATTAAGTCGCCTAAGGTATTGCTTTAGCATGGAAAATGTTTATGTGTGGACAGGGAGATGGGTTTGACCCCCCCCCTTACTAAAAGCTGGCTACGGGCGTGTTGCTCATATTGCATGTGAAGTATTTAAGATTGCAATGGATGCAATCATTTTCATTGGAATCGATATAAAAGTATTCTGGCACTTACAATGACTAAGATGTGCTAGCAACATTTATCATTTCTGGTAAAGGCCTAACATTCATCATAGGGAACGACACGACATTCAAAAATATAATATCATTAAAAAACACGCAGCGTGGGTAATGAGGGAATGAGAAACATCATTCAAAGTTGTATTATATGGTTATGTGTCGGTCATGGGAATAAAAAGAATGCATAGCATGTTCTTGGTTTGGCAATGACTCATTCTTTGCTGTAATTTAAAGATAAACATAAAAATATGAATACAACTAACTTTTGATTGTACGTTTGTTTATATTTCACATAATTTTAAAGTCATTTTGTATCCTCCAACACATGCTTAATAAAGTTTTACAAAGACAATTCAAATAATTAAAAAATTAAAAAATGATGATCTCAACACTTTTATTAAGTACTTTCATTTTTCAAAATAATAATCTAAAAATATTTTTTTCCCACAGATGATATTTTAATGTTTGGAGGATACAAAATATTGGACAGCCTCATCTAGACAACTTGAATTCACGACAGGAATACCACTCAATCATGTATCTCCATTGTCTGCAATCGAAGATATGTCATCAAAATGTACCTTGTGGCATAGCTTTCACCAAAATAATGCATCAATAGTGTATATTAATATGGCCGATGTGTTGGAGGATACAAATATTTGACAAATCGTATACATAAAGTAAAACATACTTAATTATGTGACTAAGACATATCAAACATCCCGCTTTCAAGAGTTGGTAGCACATACGTATACATTTTATTAACATGCTCAAAAATATCAACGCAATCGATACATTTTATATTAAGAAATCCGAGTTTACATTTGCCGAAAAAATAAAATTATTCTCAATTGTCTAAAAATCCATCATTAAAGTGATATTTTTTAAAAAGATAAGCAATATTCCAAACAGGTACCTTGTGGTAATGATTGCTTAAAGTCTGCTCAACAAAAAATAACACATTGCATGTCCATGAAATCAACATATATGTCGCAGTCTCTAGTACAACAACAGATTTTTAAAATATCAATTATCGTAAATTGTCCCATATACTCATATTGAAATGAATTGGTCATAAAATAGTAGGTTAACCCGTCAGCCGGCAGTTGAATCGCGAATACAAGGCTAGATTAGGGAGTTTAAGCTTGCAATGTTTTTCACAACCGAAACGCGAACTGAAAATATTTAAGCGATGCATTTGTATGGGCGATTGGTCATACGTAAAGGTTGGCGTTTCAACAAAACAAATTCCAACCCGGAGATACATTTTTTTCAAAAAGACTATATTCTCTGGTTTTGAGCCAAACTATAATCTGCATGCGCATCTTGACTTGAAAGTATAGGTTTGCGAAAACCAAAAATTTTACCGAATTCGAACTTAGACACGGGTTCCTCCATTTTGTTACAGTGACGTTACGTTAACATACGTTATTTTCAGATCTTTTGATTTTCCTTTGATTTACAGAAACTAAAAACTAAACTTTCATCAAAGGCCTTGATATTATTTGATTATTTCTTTACAGTGACGACTGAATACATAACTCCAAAAATTAACCTCCATAGTGCTAACATAGTGCTAGCCCCAGCATCATAGGAAACCATTGCCTTCTATATTAGTTCCCTGGGTTAGTTCTTTACCAGGAAAACAGAAAGATGCGATAAGTATCAGAATGCAGGCCCAGTGTCCCTGGCAAATCTTTTCTAATATAATAACAGTGTATAATTGTATCTTCCGAATCATCTTGACATACCTTCCTTCTCAGTCTCCGAGGCTAAAATCAGCGCCCTATCCCTATTTTCTTTCAAAAATTTCAAAATATTAAATAAACTTGAAGCTTTTAAGACGTGTATATATCATCCTCATTTTCACTCATGGGGAGAAAAAATATTAAACGGTCTGCATTTTTTCGAAAAGACTGCGTCGGATTTGGGATTTTAGAAAATGTGACTTGTGAGAATTAATATGTGAAAATTATATTTTCAAAGTTTTCATTCGGCTGTTTAATCATCAGTATGATCTGCCCATGATTTGTGTAGGCCTATATGAGTGTATTTATAAATGGTTCAACCCACATCTCTCATAATTATGGAACATTCTGAATGAGCAGTAAACACAAATGCTATAATCTCATTGTCTCTCGAAAGAGAAGCCTATATTTTGTAAATAACGCATTATTATTTTTCACCACATCATATTAAACGTCGAAGTCGAATTAATAAAATATAGTTTTACAATCATATTTGTATTATATTTTTTATGTCGAATTCAACAAATATTGTCGAGTTTCATATATTTGAATTTTATTGTAAACTCCTTAGTTGCAATAATCAATATTGCCAGACGATTTTTTCTAAATTATTTTTCGTTAATGAATCATGTAGCAGTTGAACTTGATATTCGAACAAATAACACGATCGATGTTTTTGTTAAGTCCGTTCTCACTCAGCATATAATCCATAAACTAGTCCTACGACGTACAGTGAATTGGTTTTATGGGAGTGTTCCACAAAACTGTCAAGTTTATCGTTCCAAAGAGACCGACTGGTAAGCGCAATAGATGCTTTAAAATCCATTTCATTCTGTCCTAAATAAACCAATACTATAGTCTTGTATCTTGTCTTTCGTAGTTGTTTCACTTTATGTTTAATAATGTCAGCTAACTCCTTTGCTTTAACGTTGGAAGTTTCGGCGTTATATTTGACTCCATCAAGTTCTGTCGTGAAGACATCCTTTATAACCTGCTTCACCTCTGTCAAGGGGAAACGTTTATCATTGTCTGGTTCTAATTTATATGTTGGTTCCAAAGGTATCTTGTGGTGGGCTGAAAGTATCGGCTTTTCGGCCTCCACCCCTCCTGGCGTGGCGTTTGGTCGCATTGAACGCATTGGCGTAAGCGTATCTCTTTCCTTCCCGGTAATAATCAAGGTAGATGTATTCTGATGATTTGCTCTTTTGCCGTTCGCTGTCGACGGTGCGCTCCTAATAGTTCTAGACGTACCGGCACTTGCCATGGCTACGATGTTTTGAATTGAACCAGGCGTTCCTTTACAACCCTTTTATTGATATCCACTTGTTTTTTGCGATACCTGGATAATGTTGTAGGCTATTGACTGTGTTGCTTTTTTTTGTTACTCAAACTGTTCTCGACCCTTTGATTCTATTCGTGTTAAACAATTAGCCGCACAATTGTTTCATGGATATCATGACCTCTATTCATTCTTCCTTTAGAAATATCGATCTCTGTGGTTCACGAAGGAGCTCTTGGTAAGAGCAACATTCCTCGGCAAACGATTTCTCTATTGAACCCCGATTAACTACTTGATATTTTGCACGTATTTAGTCTCACGTACTTTATTGTTTAGCAGGTTCTTACACTTACAAATCTTAAAATTATTGTTTGATTAATTCTCCGGCTTCGTCATAAATGATGTTAGTCTTTCTAATCCCATTGTCTGATAGGCCATTGATAGAATGAACAGAACAAATAAACTGCTTGGTGACATGACTCGGAGTTCTATGTTTTTGTAATCCCCCCGCTAAGCAACAATAGAAGTTTGGTGTTACGTGGGTCAATACTGACTGTATTACCTGTATCAACCTGTGTTGCGAAAAAAATTGTTTCCTAATAAACATTTCAATTTTGCTAATTTAATTCCTGCGTATGTGATACCCTGACTCAAATAAATCCACTGATAGTAATTAGTAGACGAAGCTCTAATTAAAACCAAAGTCAAACTCACGATCGATCGATCGATCAAACCTGAAAAGGGTACTTGATTGACATTGACATTTCATTGTGTTAAATTTATTTGCTTTCTATCATATTCTCTAAGGTCAATATCCTATCATCCCATTGCCCTATGATAGGCTGAAATTAGCAGCTAATGCGAACCTTTAACAATTGTTTTTATTCAAATAGTTTTAGATTATTTTAAATAGTTTTTTAGATTATTCTTCAAATTAAAAACTCTGCAAATCTAATTGATTTTGAAAGTCACAAAATCTCACCCATTTCGGCACTGATTACCCGATCCTTAAATTTTTATGGATTCAGATATCAGACTCATATATTATATTTACGATAGGTTCAAGAGACAGCTTAAAGAAGCATTGTCATATTGGATTGATTACTTAGGCATGACGTTTTCATTTACAATGAATTCTTTGGTTAAAAATCAAATTGGTAAGCGAGTCTTTGGCTGCCCTGGGCACAGTCTAATTATGAAGACGAATGAAGTTCATCGTTTTTAAGTCGCTAAGTCGATCGAATGCATTATGCATTGAATTTAGGGTAGTATGGGGCACTGTTTAGGGGTGATATAATTCTTGTATTCTTGATATTTTTACATTGGAAGGCGAGATTTCATGCTGATTGCTCGACGGATCATTTGTTGACAGTATAGGGCTAAATTTTTCTTTCATTTTGGGATGGTGTCAAATTAATTATCAACAGAAAGAACAAAGTTAATTTCCTTATGGGAACACATTTAAAAATTTAGGATTTCCTGGATTTAGGACTTCCTGGAATATACTCTGAAATCGACTCTGCAAATAAATTCACTAAAAAGAATAAATTTGATTGATTGTCTCGGAGCCTCACTTTCAGCACAGATTTACAAACTATTAATAACATTCTTTCATCTACAAGGCCTTGACAGACGAACATATTCACGTGAAAGCCACGCGACAAAGTTGTGGTGTTGCTTTTAATTGGTAGAAATTGTAATGTCTTATGATGATATAATACAAACGATAGTATGAGGCCCCGGGGGCCCGCGGGGGATCCCATATGGCTATTATGGGACGTGCCGCTAATGTGGCACTGATTTTTTCTCCGAAAAATTCCTAGATGTGGGTCCTAATTTGAAGAACAATCCCTAGAAATGGGTCCTCTTTTTGAAAGTCTTGTAAAAAATCACCGGAATTGGGTCTCAGAGTTTTTCGAAAAATTACCTCGAAGTGGGTCTTTTTGAAAGATAACCCCTAGATGTGGTTCCATTTTAGAGAGAAAAATTCCTAGATGTGGGGGAATATTTGGAATGTCAACGACACCCCCGTGTACAAAAAGTTGACCAGTAACTCTCCCGGATATTAGGCCTACATGAGGTTTCCAGCTCAATGGACAGGGGCGACGCCTGTTCATCAGTACATCCCGTTGCCTGAGAGTAGGGTATGTAGGTGGATAATTAACCCACCGAACGAAGTTCGTGAGGGATATAGGAAAGCCGTCCGTCCGTTAGCTTTGCCAAAGTCGGTATTTTCTTACTTATCCTGATCTTGACTTATTACCGGTTGTAATAATAGAAATCAAGATAAGTAAAAGAGACCGACTTGGGCAAGGCTATCCGTCCGTCAGTTCGTTCGTCTGTCCGGGCGATAACTCAAATAGCGGTTGACAGTTTTGATTCAAATTTTATTGGCTTATGCCTTAGGGGTATAGGACCTCTGCTCGAGAAGGAATTTTCAATATGGCCGCTCAATTCAAAATGGCCGCCATTTTTTCGTAAAATGTAACCTTTAATTACTCGAGTACTAGTGGTTGGATTTCGCTCGTGTATGCTGACGCCCTGAGACAATGGAGCTCTGGTCAAGAAGATGGCCACTGAATTTTAAAATGGCCGCCTTTTTCGTAAAAAACGAAAGCTTTGATAACTGAAATACCAGTGAATGGATAATATCTTTCAGGACGATAGGCTCCTTTTGGCACCATTATTTATGTTTATATAGATCGATGAGATGATAATATCTCCAGTTCTATTTAGTATTTTTACACCAAATTTTGACAAGTTGCTCTAATTTGATAATGCTTACTAAAAATTGTATTTCAGTGATAAAATTGAAGGTATGAGTCTCAGGGTATATATAATTTGCAGTTTTCCCCTAAAAACTACTCTTACTTATCCGTCACCAGGCCAACATTTTCCTCTTATATCCACTTCAGGAAAGGGTTAAAAAGAATTTTCAAGATGGCGGCTAAATTTCAAAATGGCCGCCATTTTTCGTAAAAGAACATAATCTTTAATAACTCACATGCCAATTTGACGAATTTGGTTCAAATTTTATATGTTGATGCCAAGGTACAAAGAAACTGCTAAATAATAATTTTTTAAGATGGCCACTGAATTTCAAAATGGCCGCCATTTTTCATAAAAAGAACTTAGCCTTGGTGATAACTCAAATACCAGTGGACTTATATGGTTCAGATTTGTTGATGCCTATGTACAATTGAGCTCTGCTCAAGAAGAAATTTTCAAGATGGCTGTTGAATTTTAAAATGGCTGCCATTTTTTGTTAAAAAACGTTATCTTTGATAACTCAAATATCAGTGGATGGATTTGGTTCAAATTGTATATGCTGATGCCTAGGGACAAAGAAAATCTGGCTGAGAGGAATTTTTCAAGATGACAGCTGAAATTCAAAATGGCTGCCATTTTTCATAAAAAATGTTATATTTAAAATTTTGACAAATCAAATACCAGTGAATGGATTTGGTTTATATGCTGATGCTTATAAAGGTGGTCTGGTCAAGAAGTCATTTTCAAGATGGCCACTATTTATCAAAATGGCTGCCATTTGTCGTTAAAAATGTGATAATACCAGTTGAAAGATTTGGTTCAAATTTTATATCCTGCAACTTAGGGACAAAGGAGCTCTACTCGAGAAGAAATTTTCAAGATGGCCACTTATTATCAAAATATGTTCGGTGGGGATTTTGAAGTTGCTGTTTCTCTAGTTACAATTGTCTTCAGTGGATTTATTACTGGCCGAAATAACTATATAATTATAATGTTGTCTCGATTCAGTCTTTCAAGAGTTGTTCTTCCTGTGAAATTAATTCGTTGGAAGATCCGTACGTAACGGACGGATAATGGCAGTTACAACAAAATTAAGACAAATTTTCTGCTAAAATCATACGTGGATTTATCTCCTTTGTTAACGCCTATGTGCCAACTTTTCAACAGCGGGTTTGCACCACACCCAACGGCAACGCTTGCCAGCTGACAAACGACAAGCGCTAATGCCATCTTTAAATTAATTGAGAACTAAAAGTTGAGATTTCTCAGTCAAGCAAGTTCTGTTCAGGTTTAAAACGTGTAATGTGGATTTACATTACATGTGTAAAACGTTTAAAACTAAAGGTGCAATAGCGGAGTCAGTCAGATGTCCCCTTTTTGTTCGTCCTTTTCAAGAAAGCAACAAACTTGGCACAGATAGATGATCTGAGTGAAAATGATTTCAGGACAAATGATTTGGGGTGGTCTTCCTGGATTTTTCAGCTTCTGACCCCTCACCCCTACCAGACTGGGAGGAGGTATATTACTAAAAATATGGATTTAATGTATTTGTATTTTTTGAGAAGAAAATTATCGAATTCTATTTAAGCGCTTGCGACTCAGTGGTAACCATATTTTACCTTAATAATTTTTAAAATATGCAATGTATGCTTCGCATATGAGCTCAAAATGGTGCATCTAGTCTTGTTATAATCATATCATATTCATAATCATATTATTGCTAATAAGATGTAAAAAAATGATTGGACATTTTTTTAAAATATAAAGTTTCCCATACGGCTACATAGCCCAGAGCAAATCAGATATGCTTTCAAACATTTGCATCTGTTTCTTTAACACTCCTTACAGGAACACCAAACAAGTTTAAATGTTAAAACGACATCATCAAGCCTTTTAACCTTTCGTGGTTCGCTCTTTTATCGAAAATGATTTTGTCTTCATCATGATGATATCTCTTACAAAAATCAGATAGGACAATTAAGTGAAGTTTGGGCACCATCTTTACTATTTGACATCAAAATAAGATCATCAGCCCATAAGATGTTGTGGAGTGTGTGTAATGGTGGCATGAGGGCTTGAAGCATTGACCTGCTCAATTTGCGTAAGACTAAAAAACAGTCGCCGACTATTGAAATCGGTTTCCAATAGCATTAGGTTTTATAAGCAAATAAATCCCAAGGTGAATCAGATATAGCACGTCTCGAGGTGAAAGAACATATATGTTATTGTTGCGAATCAAAAGCGTAGTATTACCTAAAAATATCAAAGATGCCATACTCACAAAAAATGGACACTGAATCACGGGGAAGTTCTTTCTTCAAAGGATTTGCTGCTATAGCTGGTACTGTAGTTGCATCAGTGGCATTGCGAGGTATGTTCATTGAGTATTCAAAATAGATATAGGTACAATATTAGCAGAGCTAGGACTAGATCTAATAAATTCTGATTTACTAGAGCCCCCTTTTATATAATAGTATTTGAGAGAGACACAACGTCTGCGTATTCCAAGGGCTCTTCCAAGGGATGGTAAAGGCTGGAGTTCCAAAAATGGATGTAGTACTATTAATGTTGTTAGTTATAGGTTTACCACAATGTGCAACTTTTTTAGCGTTTAATTTTGTAACTTGAACCTGTACCATCATAAACTTTGTTACAAACGTATTTGTTTCTGTAAATATCAAATTTTTCGATTTTTTGTGAATTTATCACCTTAAAGTTGCATATATGAGACGCTCACAAATATTTGATAGAAATTGAGGCCCATTTTTGCAAATTGAAATATTTAGAAGATATTTATCACGCATTGGTGTTTGGAGACTACAGAAGCGGATTTGGAATTTATTTTGAAATGTTGGTCCCTTTTTGATTTTTCACTTCTAAAAGAGAGCTTCATTTACAAAGCCCATTTGCTACGTTTTGACAAAATTCATCGCAGATACAAGTATCGGAATTAATTGGTCCTACTTATGTTTTTGAAAAAAATACTATTGACCCTTTTCTACTGAATGTTATTGTATTTGTTATTGATTGGTACGCTTGCACTTATTACTAACATAAACAAGATATTTCAAAGGTGCGATTGTACGGAACTAGTGCAACCTATTTAGTGCCCTTGTACTCAAGAAGCTGTTGTACTAAAATAAGACAGGTGCGTGTTTTATACTCTAAACCAGACATTACGAACTATATCTAATCTAAAACACCGATCGGTCATGATAGCCATTTATTAGGGACCTCATTTATTAGAATTATGTCAATAAGTATGAGCCAATTCTATATAATTGAATTTAAAGTATTAATTTTGTGAACCATAAAGCTACACTTGTTTTTCTTGAAGGCAACACATACATATCTGAACACCTCTGTAATCCGAACACCGCACAATTAATAGGTTATAGAAAACACTTATCTCCTATATAATACCCATAGACTCCCTTGAAACCTGAATGTGGGAAAACTTGGTATTCTGAACATGTTGGCCAGTCCATGTGGCGTTCGAATAGACAAGTATAACTGTATACATCTTTTTCTCTATTTTAGGGGAACTATTGCTAATAGTTGCACACATACTGAAACTTCTGGGACATGTTCCAAAAGTGAACGACGAAAATCTTCCCATTCAATCTAAAGATGTCGCCAACGCATCCATTCTCAATAACCAGTCGAGTGAAATCGAACAAAAAGGGATGTTCAATAACTTCGGGTATTACTGGATGATATCTGTAGGGATCTCCCTTGTTAGTTACTTTACAATGTCTGGATACTATCAATGGGCGTATTATATCCGACAGAAGGACTGCGTAAGTATGCCGGCATGTCATACGTGTGCTAAATTTGGGAACAGTATTCCAAATACCTCAACCCGGAATAGCCTGACAACGGTAAAGTCAGATACCGTTGTCACAAATGGCGGACATAACCGTCGCTTCAATTAGGTTTTCATGAACTGTATGTTTAATAGAGCACATAGACTAAATTCTTTTGGAACACAATCAATCAAAGTGTCTTAATACTCATTGCATTCGTGTCAACAGTGTCCCAGTATCTCCCAAAAGGAGAAGCCTCCCATCCAGATTCCACCCCATATCATTCACTTGATACTATTTTTAGCCGGAGAAGTGGAAATGCCAGCCTGACAGGTGGTTGAGTGCGTACAATGAAAAACATGCTGTTGTCATGGGTACCATCAATATGTTTATAGGGGGCACACAATCATCAATCCTTGTGTGTTACATCATGAATGGTAGTAAGTACTTTCGAACAATATTCATTTGAGATTGTATTTTACAAATAACTAAATGACTTAATATGTAATTTTGATTTGACCATTGTTATGATGCTGATACTTTTAATAATGAAATGAACTGCTGATAAACTAAGATTTATCATTACGCTTTGATTTTTCAAGGAGAGACGGCGCTTTACTACACATTGGGTCAGCATGGCTGGTTGTGGGAGATTGTTTCAGTTCCACTTCTCTTCCTGACCATGGACATGTTTTTGTTCTATTCGCATAAAACTCTCCATCACCCTCTTCCATATAAGTATATCCACAAATGGCACCACAGGTACGGTCACGGAGCGTTCATTGTTTATTCAATATAAGTATATCATATGATGGTCCAGGCCCGTAGCCAGAATTTTCCCAAAAAATCTAGGGTGGGGGGTTCACTTTGGCAATTTGGCCAAAAATCACTCAAAAAATAGTCAGAATGGTGAAAAAATGCATGATTTTGAAAGAACCCCCCGAACCCCCCCCCCTGGCTACGGGCCTGTGGTTCCTTCATTTGTCGTCTTGGTAAGTAATAAAGAATCATTAGCACACAAATTAGAACAATGTTAACACTTATATAATATTAGTAACTTTAGAATTCAAGTTTAACATTTTGTATTATGCTTTATAAAGGTATCACTCACCAACGGCATTTTCAGCTCTAGCGATGCACCCGATTGAGATGATTATGCACAGCACGGCATTGGAGAGTCCGGCGTTCCTAATCCCTACCCACGCAGGTAGGTTAAGTAAGACAAATCAGCCATAGACGCAACCAGGCATCAGGCAGGCGAGGCAACGGCCTCACCTAATTCTTACAGGAATATATTCATTCTCCAGGCGTTTTCAAACTGAAACGGGAAATGCAACTGTATTTGTATATTTTGATATCATTGTAAAATGATTTATGACATTTGAAAACAAGTTGCAAGATTGCGCTGTGTTTCACATTTTGATTTTTAGAAGTAGCCATGCCATGAAAAATGGATTTTTATACACTGCTGGCGAGATTTTGAGACTTTTATTTATATTCGATAAGTTTATTTCTTTATTCTCAAGTAATTATTCTCAGCAAGAATTTATTGTTTTTGAGAATATACTAATGATATGAAAATGATAATTCCCAATTTTATCCCTTGATGTCAAAAGAATGAAATAACTAACGCTGTACCTAAATAATATTATCAGATTCATAACTTAAAGCTTTCCAACGGTGTATTTAAACCTTAGAGCAAATTGCGTCTCTTTAAAAATTGGATCATTTTTAACTGAGACCCGAGAGTTTTTTTATTTACATTTGGTCATACTCTTTTGATTTCAGGAACATTTATATTCTGTCTCCTTTACGTGTATTACTATGGAATAATATCACACTCGGGCATTATGATTGAATCTATATGGCCATGGCAACCGCACTCAATCTTCCATGACGACCACCATAAGTAAGTTCTTCATTGGGCTACACTATTCAGATAATCCTTAGTAAGGTGTCGAGTTAAATCCACACTTTCTAATAATTTATGTTCGCTTCTTCAAAAGAGGGCTTCATCAACAGCGACTCCTAATCGTATATACAGCTAGTTTTGTGGTGGTGTACACGTATCTCCTCGGCATTACAACTTCACTTTTATTTGTCCTATTAAAGCACGATTCGGAGGGTGGTAATTGCTTCTTGCCTTTACCCATTGAGTGATTCATTAATACTTTTATTTCACTATCATTAACATCATAATGTTTTTCAGATATTTTCATTGTAATTTTGGATTCAACACAAAATTATTCGACTGGCTTCATGGAACAATAAGAAGAACAGATCGTCTTTATACGGAAGACACGTTTGGAGGACAAGGCAAGATACCAGTTGAAAATTCGAAAGAAGACAAGAAAAGTGAATAATAATATTTGATGCAATGTATATTGCGCAGCAAAAATAACTTTGATATGCCAATGCAATTTAGAGTTGAATATTTCAGTTCAACATGAATTTATAAGTTTAGAACTGTAGAATGGACATTTTGAAAAATTAATTGTATTTTGTGTGGCAAGGTTTAATATAGATATGTATTTTATACCATGTAAAAGTATTAAGCCTCCCTCATCAACATGAGACAGTTTAGAATGGGAGAGAGGTCTAAAATATATTCTTATTGACAACGAACCGGTGAATATCTAGCGATTTTTCAGATCCCAGGAATTTAGAAAACGAATTTTTTGTCGTCCATCTTAAAATTTATCAATGTTGAAATTATGAATAAATCAGACTGATGATCTAATATAACAATAAAAACAAATATTTCATTCTGTTTTCGCTGAATACCTGGCACAAGTTTATATTTCACTGAAACTCTATATCCTCAAATTATGATACACCCATTGCATGTCCATACTCGTTTCCCAGTTTGATTTTCAATCATGAACACATACCTTGGAAATCCAAGATGTTGCATAAGATCTGGAGTAGGCTATATTCTAAAAGGAACATTTCTGTCGGGTGTAATTGCAATAATAGAATAGGATAGTTTCTAAATAGCAGAAAAAGCAATGAAATCTAGTGCTGCCATCTTTTATTCAGCTTTTAATTTGGGCTAGAGTTCCATTCACTTACATGCTAAAATCTTGGAAAAGTGGCTTAATTTCATGATTTATCAAAGAGTGTTAGTTGAATCTGTATAAAACTTGAATGATATACCACATGATGACCCTGTTTATGTACATGTTGTGATTAAACATGCAAATGTTGGTTGACATACAAATAATCCAAGGTTTTAAAGAATTTTAGCATTACATCTATGGAGATTTGGCCCAAGCTTTTTTATTTAAATTGTCATAGAAAATTATTTAAATTACATATTGTGATTGTATGTATAGTTTTAGTTTTTATTTTATCATGTTTATTTGCTGTACACTTACCCGAAAGGGATTTTTAGTACAATAAAGCATTGAATAATAACTGTGTAAATCAAAGCTATTGTAGGAGAAAACATTTCACTGAATTCAAATATGCAATTTAAAAGAATGGCTCATGGCGGGCAAATCGACTGTGTCAATCATTGTGGAAACACACTGTCGTCCCATGTTATCTTGTTCCAACACCATCCTCTTCGTTTCCGTAGAGATAGTTTTGGAACGAGTGGACTTTCAACTGAAGCCCATGATCGTCCTGATATAAGTTCTAAATTCTTCGATGTTGTCGATATGACACGATAACTCTAAAGATGCCACAAAAATTGTTTAAGGACTTTGATAACGGCTGTGACAAGTGAAGGTTGTCATAAATATAAATGGATTGACACTTGAAGGTATGTGATTTTTTTAGTGGGCCCCCCTTTAGTATGTTGTATCTCTGGCGTAATACTATTTTTCATCAAAAGGAAAAATAGATGTCACAGCCTACTCGATTTCATGAACTGTCCATTTAAAATACACTAACGCCGCCTACTTTACCATATAAGGCATGTATCACCTTATGGGTAAACCTCGAAGGGATTTAAATCACGTGACCAAGTACATTATGGGTCACATGACCGAGTACACAATACAGAATTTGGGACAGCTATCAATCGTTCATTTAGCTGAAAAGGTAGGTCAACTTGGTCTTACATTTTTCTCGGTCTGTTTTCCAATTTTCATTCCACTTGAGCATTATCTACAGCCTCTGTACCTCTATGGGATGGTTCATAAATCGAATTACATGTCCAAGGACATCTTACGAACACGTCTATGGATAACCATGATTTAGCGTGAATAATAGAGTGTCTATTAGAGAAAACGTGAGAAAGAAAAACATGGATACAAATTTGTAAAGGCAAGTCATAGAGAATCATTGACTCAAGTATAACACATTTTTATTGAATTGAAATGAATGAGAAAGGCAAACTCATGTGGAATTAACATTTTTGTACTTATATATGAGTCACCTATTATAAACATTGAATACAAACAATGGAGATAAACACAGGTAAATTCAGGTAACATCAAAGGGTAATTGATACACAGGTAAAAAATGCAAGGATTTCAATAGTAAATCTCTCACTTCCTACTTAGTGAATTTGCTCATTGGATCATAACATTGACAAATTGAGTCATTTTAGTTTTTTCTCAGACACTTTCTTAAACAGACTAATAGACAGGTTCCAATTTCAGAATATCTCAAGGGAAAGGGTTTTTGAGGCATTTTTTAGAAAAAGCAACAGACCTATTTCTTCTGGATCAGTTTTTCATGCTGATAAAGATATTAAAAGATGACAGCTCAACGGGGTGGTCACGACACTGAATTTTAGCGTTTTTACCTCCCTAGTAAAATATTCTAGGGGGTACTATGAAACTAGTTCATAACTCAAAGGATATATAAACTATTGTTCTGAGTTCTACAGCATACATTGTTAGTACAAAGATGAATACTACCCTAAAGTTATAGGTTGATATCTTTGTTGGTTTTGGAAAAATACAATTAATTAGAAAAAAATATGCAATTTTTGTTATTTTTTTTCTTGCTTATTTTATATTTGTAGCTTCAAGCAAAATATGATAACTTAAACAGCTCAAAGTAGTATTCTAACAACATTCCCAAGCTATGTGTGATATTGTAATACATCTATTATAGTGATGAAGTACTATTTTGTAATTTTAATATGACTTTATAGTGCCCTACCCCTGGTAAATAGAAGAAAGTTGGTGTGTTTTTTTCTGGTTTTATAACATTTTACTGTCTTCTTAGTTGAAGATACAATCAATTCTGTCAGTTAACCATGAGAAGCTTTACAATGGTTAACTATTACCATGAATAGAGGGTTGGGACCTCAAAAATACTGTTAAGTGGCATCCTTGGGCAACCCTCTTCAGAGCATTTTCCTTATACTCCGATAAAATCTGCAGGAGATACTATAAGAAACCTATATATCTAAAATACTAATGAAGATACTGAATTCAAATTTTCAGGATTTGGTCCTGGTATGATAGGTAATCTGTATGACAAAAATGAAAAAAAAGAAAAAACTCTGTTGCCATAGTAACAAGAATACGACACTATTTGTTTCCTAAGAAATGTGTTTTAAGAGGTTTTGTCATTCTCTTCATATTTTTAATTCTAAATATGTCTACAATGTGGGATGATTAAAATTATGGTAAAGTAATCTTTTCTATTGTTCTATTGTTCTCTAAAACAGAAGTTGCTAGGGCAACACATAGATCATAGAAAAAATCCTGAGATGATCGCTCTATTTGTCAGGAACAAACTAAAAATGAGTTTCTTCCTACTGAATAGCAATTTGGTAGACCATGGCTGACACGCACAAGAGAAAACGTCTATCAGTTCTATGACATTTTGTTGTTATTTTTATTATTTATTTATCGTGCTCTGGGACTTATAACACCTAATGCCGAATCTTTTCCAACTGCAAAGGAAGGCAAGATTTTAATAATGAACATTCATATATCTCAACAAATATGGCCTAAGATTTGGACAATGATGATGAAACTCTGAGGGAAAATTAGACGAAACATTAATGTGAGTGGTCCAAAAATAACACTTACATGGTTTGAAAAAGTTATGCTCTCGGGTGAATCAGTGCTCATTTAAGGATAGTCTGAATCAGGTGAATTTTTTAACCTAATTGTACCCCTCCCCCAGAACCCCCAAATTTTGACAATTGTCGACAATTGTCGAAAAGTGGCAAACAACAATTAAACAAACATCATTAAAGTTCAATATGGCTATTTCGCTTCTATGTCATAAAGATGTGGTATGATCTCAGGTCAATCAATAAATCTCACAAGTGACACTCTATCTTATGAAGAAAATATTATCGTATTTGAAGACATGTCAAAAATTTGGTGGAAATAATTTTGTCACTCCTGATTTGACCTGGAAAGGTTCAGGTAAGTAATCACAAACAATTTCAGACAGTTATATCTTTGATTATGACTATTTTCTGACCATGAAGACAGGTATACAGGGATAATAAAGTCAATCGGACTCAGAGATATTTCACTAGCAATCAACCCATCAATATATTTTTTCAAAGTTGTTGACCTCATTTCACCAAAAATGCCATCATTTTAACAATGTTAACAATTTGGTGTCTTTAAAGTCCCTGGAGCAATCCACTTTTCCTCTTAGGAAATAGAACATGTCTCAAAGCATATTCTAATTATGCATTCAACAATATAATTAAAGGTTGCATCTTTGGTAATTAGGTCAACATTTTTAGTAAAAAGTATGTTGATTGGGCCATTCCCTTTAATATCACTTAGGTCTGATTTCAATCATTATATTTACTTTTCTTGAAGATAATGAATAGATCTAAAAGATATACCCATGTTCATGGTCAGAAAATATTCATAATTCAAGTTAGAATTGTCTGGAGTTGTTTGCAATAACCTACATGCTCCTTTATAACATTATTATGTAAATACAGTAGAACCTGTGTAAGTGGAACACTCTCCATTCTGCCACAAAGCGTTCCACTTAGAAGGTGTTCCACTTATGGAGGTTTTGGGTTCGCAGGGAACATACAAGATCAAATATAGGATTAATATGTATCATTGGAAATATGATTCTCCCTTCATTACAGGGCAGGTATATACCATTAATAATCTATTTATTTTACTCAAAAAGGTATCTGACATTCTTAATCCTCCTCATTCTGCCAAAAATGTTTTCTGACATTCTTAATCCTCCTAATTGTGCCAGTCTCAGGTACAACGATTATCACATTACATCACATGTTGACCTCTACAGGAGGTTAATCCATTAAAATCCATTAAAGTCCTAATTTGCCAATTATCACAGTATTACCTGTTTTCATACCCAGATATCATTGAAGGAGATTAATTCTGTTTACATATATCAATATTGAAATCTATGGAAATTGACTGTTCCACTTAGCAGGTTAATTTTTCAATATGTATGGTTCACTGTTCAAGTTTGGAGGTGTTCCACTTACAGAGGTTCAATTAACATTAAGTCAATGGGTTTTTAAAACGGGACTTTGAAAAGGCGTTCCACTTGGGAGGTGTTCCACTTACAGAGGTGTTCCACTTAGCAGGTTCTACTGTACATTACTTGTGCATGATGACCACCATAGTCTAGTTGCTCAAATGAGATCAATTGATGATTATAATGTTTAGACTTTATGTCAATGTCCAGACTGTATGCCAACCTCTCTAGTATGTGATTACACTAGATTTCATTATGATACATGTACTAAATTGAAAACTTACATATAAAATATCTTAAGTCCTATATTCTAGTAATAAATGAATTAGAATGTCACCTTACATTTGATGATGGTATGAATTTATTGATTTGGTGTCTATCAATACATGTTTCTAACTTAATGCTGCAAAATGATAAAATTCACCACATCCACTTTCTTCAATTTTCCAGGGGTAGGGCACTATAAAGTCATATTAAAATTACAAAATAGTACTGCATAACTAAAAAAGATGTATTACAATACCACACATAGCTTGGAAATGTTTTTAGAATACTACTATGAGCTGTTAAAGCTGTCATATTGTGCTTGAAGCTACAAATATGAAATTGGCAAGACAAAAATTGCGTATCTTTTTCCTGTTTTTTGTATTTTTCTGAGACCAATAAGGGTATCAACCTATAACTTTAGGATAGTATTCGTATTTGTACTAGCAATGTATGGTGTACAACTCAGAACAATAGCTCATATATCCTTTGAGTTATGAACTAGTTTCATAGTACCCCCTAGATTATTTTCCTAGGGGGGTAAAAATGCCAAAATTTAGTGTCGTGACCACCCCGTTGAGCTGTCATCTTTTAATATCTTTATCAGCATGAAAAACTTATCTAGTAAAAATAGGTCTGTTGCTTTTTCTAAAAAATGCCTCAAAAACTTGAATTATTTGAATTGGAACCTGTCTATAAAGCATTTTAGCAGACAAACTGATGATAAAGACTTTTAAAATCAAGATAAGACATTTCTGTAAATGGTTCTATTTTAGAATTTGTTAAAGCCATTATTTCAATTTGTAGACGGTCCAAGTTAGGTTATAACGTTCTTCTCATCTGCTGTCATATAAAATTTCAGAAATCCTTTTATCTGATAGGATATGCCATGACATAAGAGAGGAGAGGATTGCCACACTTGTAAAGCAGGACTAACCTGAGGATATCTTCGTGGAAAACCTTTGAGGATATCTTGGAGGGAACCCTTAGAACAGTCTAAGTGAACAATTTGTTTTAAGTTATATAATGCTGAGCACAGTCACAAAAGCCACAAGACAAGTGACCTTACATGTGAAAGATATCGTGAATGATAAAGGAAAGATGAAAAATAAGGAAAACATGAAAGATCCTAGAATATATGATGTGAAGGACCCATCTGCCTTTATATTTAATCCTACTACGAGTACCACATATATGAAAGGCAAATTACTTGGAAAGGTGAGATGATTTTCTTATGTATGCTCAATTGACATATTTTTAGAAATGTGTATTATTTTTATTAATTGGAAGGATAAGATGATCTTTATATGTATGTTCAACATTGGCATCTAGAAAATGACATGTATTATTTTAAGGAAATTATGCTGATCAGTGTATTGAATAATGAAATAAGACAGGATCGATGTGTAGACATATCAATTTGAGACATATGTAAACCTCTAGATACTTAGTACATATGGGAAGATGACAAATTTCTTGTGCTCCTCAAATTAAGTATGGAGTAATTATAACAATCGATATGTGGCACTACATTGTATTTTAGCTATATTACAAGCATTTACAAAAAGTACCATTGATTATAATTTTGGGTCCCTGATATAGATTTAGGTTTGTTATCATTGTCAAGGAGTAGCTGATATTTATCATTCTGATACTCGTAGCATTTTTTTGTTTCACCTGAAACATGGGCTGAGAAGAGATGAGATGTCATGGTTTATCATGATGGATATTTAGCTATTGAGGGAAAACTGAATAAGTGTTTCATACTATTTTCTTGCCCTTTTGTCTCTTTGCTCTTTTCACCATTATTTGCTCCTCTCACACTGGATTAATCTTGTTTTGTCTTATTCTTTCCAATGAAGGTTCATTACATGCAAAGGGTGACTTTGTTGGGTTCTGTAGATTGGTATTTGGGAAACTTAAGCTGTGATAAATGCTCCAAGCTTTTATTACATCTATCTGGATTGAGTTTCATTGGGCCCATCTGCCAAATGGATCTAGTTAAGGATCAATATGTCAGATAAAGTTACAAACTACCAGAAGCAGAATTCAGAGAGACATTTGTTTGTTTTTCTCTAGTTCATAAAAAACATGCCCTTTCCATAAGTCAGTAATGTACATTTATACAAGGTACTCGTGAGATGGGAGTTTTCATAATGCATTTACCAACCTTTATTTTGGGTTTTAAACATGCAAGAATATATGTTGTTTTATGTTTTCACCAAGTCAACTTTTGTGTTGAGAAATTTTGCCATATTTTCTATTATTAAAATAGTAATTTCTAATATTTTTTCACCTGTATTTTTTCTTGCGTTGTCCGAAAATTTATATGAACTTACATCACATGATTGATCCCCTGTAATTATATATTCATATCATCATGTTTCTAACAAGCTTACATGTAATTTATGTAATGTTAAGCATTCTGTTCAGTCTATGTAAGCTTATTGTCTCAAAATAGAAATCATGAATACTCGTAGTGTCATCATTACCAGCTTAAAATGTCACTTTCCCTACTTTGTACTCACAATATATTCCCAAGGCAGATATAGTCCTCATTTAAATGACATATAGTATTTGAGCAATTATCGTGATTGCATAGAGTCCATTTCACTGTTAAAGTGCGTCAGTAAAAGCTATAAAATAAGAAATCCAAATATCATTTTGCAATAATATATGGAAAAATATATTCATATTGAACATGAATGACATTTGTATATCTTGGATTGCTTCTAGTTTGGCTTATAAAGTGTGTGGCCTCTTATATTTGGATGCTTCTCTGCCATGTTATTTTCAATAAGATTAACATGCCTGAAATTCTTCAAATTACAAGACGGCACAGGGTTATTGCACAAAAAACTAAAAAATCTGAAATATACAAATGTCATTCATGTACATTATGAATATACTTTTCCATATATTATTGCACAATGGTCTCCCAATTTCTTATTTTTGCCGTTCTACTGACGCACTGAAGCAGTGAAATGGACTCTAGATGAAGTGTAGTAGTCAAATTATCGCTTGTGACATCTTGTCATTATAAAACACTAGATAATTATCATGCTGCTTTTTACATGAAATTATTTGTTAAAACACACATGTTATGATAAAGATGTTTCCATTCAGGGTAAAAATTTAGAAAACTAAAAAATGTTATGTTACTTATTCCCCTGATGGCCATATCGCTATTACGAGATTGATCCATTCTTGTAACATTTTCGTTGGTCCTGGGGACCAGTGCTATTATGTCTAGTTCAGTGGTTACATCCCTGGGGTCACATGGTCAAAAAAGTTTAGATGACCAAAACAGGCAAATCATTCAAGTACGAGCAAAGGTATTACATTATGGGAAATAATTTTAGGAAAATACCTGAAAACTGATCGTTGATAACATTCTTCATCCTATTTGCTTATAAACACAGGAGTAACCTGCTTAATCCTATACTGGCTTATATAGAACTGGTTAATATTTATACTAGGTATACTATGTATTCCATGTAAACTATTTCATTTGCTAGTCCATTATTGACCTGTGTTGTGATCATACATGCAAAGCTTAATTTGTGTTGATACTGCCTGAAATGTATATGGGAATTCTGAGAATGGGTTTTGTAGTCAATATACAACATTGGAGCATTGGGGGAGGGGTCACTTGTTAGATAATATAGACTAATGTGTCATGCTTTGACAATTTTGTCAATAAAAGAAAAGAATGTGTCCCAGTTTAAGTTGAAGGTGGGCGAGGTAGCATTTTTCTGCCTTACACAGAAGATTTGCATCTCACCCCTGTATTCCCCCATTCTGTCTTTCAAAATGTCTTCCTTTCATCTTGCATCAAGCCCCTATATCCCCTCTATTAATTGCCTTTTTAAAGGCAAGAGGTGCAGCAGATATAGGGGCTTGGTGCAAGACTTACAGATGGAAAGAAATGGCAGACATGTCACAGTAGGAAAGAATGTTGTTAAGTGGAAGTAGGGACATACTGACAGCGACTTGTCTAATTACTATATCTCTCTTATCATGATCTAATGCCTGTAGTAACAACAAAAAACTAATAGGGGATATTAAAGGCTATTATCTCAAATAAGTTGAATGTTATAAACATTATTGCATGATATTTTTGAAAGGTACAACATGCATGTCCTTGGTCAAAGATAAGTGGCTTTTAAGTTGTGGAAACTTTACCCTGAATTCCTTCTAGTAAGTTAGTAACACTATGGCCTCTTATTATTACACATAATTTTCAGTAATGACCTTCACATAATCTTCAAATGTGGCTTTCCTGGCATGTTTTGGGAGTTGGGATGAGGGAGAAATGAAAGTTTGCTATGAAGGTATTATTAAGTCAGTTGGACTTGGGACTCTGAAAAGTGTTCTACTGACAGAAGTATTCTACTTCTAGAGGTGATCAACTTTATAGGTTTCATTGTACATGTACTAAATGATTTAATGACATTAATGACCAAAGAATTATCCCTTATTGTAGTTTTAAGAGTGAAGATGAAGCTTAACTATTGCACAGGGTAGTAAACAAAGACACTTATCCTTAAAATTGTTCTCAAGGATGTGGTTTATATCTAGTTACTTTCATCTTTATAATATTGTTTCCTATCTCCTATAATCTAAATTGCAACCCAGATATTTTGACCACATCATTCACAATAAAAATGCAATAAATTATTTAGATGACCATAATAAAACTGATATTTGTCTCATCTTGATTTGTCTTGGTTGTAAAGTTTCAGACTCTACTTCAGTACTGTCAACCCCCAAAGATTTTCTCGCGGGACAGATTTTTTAGACCCAGTGCCAAAAATTCGCGGGATTTTGCGGGACATCCACCTAAATTCGCGGGATTTCGCGGGACAATTAAGGGATTTGCGTGATTGCGCCAAATAGGTAAAATTTTGATCAAATTAGCGGGATTTCGCGGGACCATTCGAAAGACAAGCACGCTAATTGCGGAACAGTTAACGGGGTAACCACCAAAGACTTCATAGAGGGACAGATTTTTTAAGACAAAGTGCCCTAAATTCGCGGGATTTTGCGGGACATCCACCTTAATTTGCGGGATGCCACAGGACATTCAAGAGATTTGCGTGATTGGGGCTTAATGTAAAAGTACTCAAATCAACTTTCAGATACTGATTTATCAAATATAATGCACTTAACTTTAGTAAACGTCAACACAATTCTACACAATACGCATAGAAATATTATTAAACTATCAAAAAAACACGCTTTAGGTGTGACGTAATACTTTGCACTTATGGCGTTCGTGACCTACTATGAAACATTTACCAGGGGCGGATCTGGTAACCAACAAGGGGGGGGGGCAAACTTCTGGCCTGAGAAAAAAACTTCCGCGCTAGCGCGAAAAAAATTTTTGGGCCCCTAAAACCAAAATGTGGGCCCAAATTTTGAAAATTTGAGGCCCATTTTCTTCAAAATTTGGCCTAAAATTAAAAAATAAGGCCTTAGAAGGCCCATTTATGACCAAAAAGGCCCACTTTTTGCTGCAACAAGGCCTTTTTTGGCTCAAAAAATTTTTGGGCCCAATTTTTTTTTTCTGGGCCCACCCGAGGGGGGGGGCCCGGGCCCCTGGCCCCCCCCCCAGATCCGCCAGTGTTTACCCCCCCTCCCCCATAGTGTTATATATTAAAATGTACCTATTCATATAGGGGTTCGATTAATCTACATCAAATTATAGAGAGTCTGGTTTCTTTTCGAAATATCATTGTCCATTTATTGGAACTCGCGTTTGCTAACATTTGCTCCTGAGATGAAGGCTGTGACACGCGTAGTAAAAAGGTAGGCCAACGTTGGAACTATTCGTGACAAACATCCCAATTTTCGTAATTAAAATGAAAATGCACTCTCTTCCTCTTTATTTTGATACCAAATAACGGCATACTAGGTACTTGAGAAGCCAACTATGGTGTTATTTGGATCAAAATCACAGTTTTATGTATGCCCTTTCCAAAAGCAGTCTTCGATGATCGATGCACTAGGAGTTTGGCAGCACTTTTCATATTAGGTAAACTTTACTCCTCGAAAGCGAAAAAACTTAGCTTCTTATATCACAAGATAGTCACAATTATTTAGCCTCGGGGATTGTTACAATTTTGAAAATTCGCGGAGGTTAAAGCCGACATTCGCGGGACTTCGCGGGACATTGCGGGACACGCGAATTAGCCAAATTTTGATCAAATTCGCGGGAAAATCCCGCCATTCGCGGGACACTTGACAGCTCTGCTACTTGTAGCAGAAATGCGTTGTGCCCAGAGATGTTAGAATACAATCCCCTCCGTTTTTATCTAAATCAAGTTAGAGGTGGAATCCATGCATTATGTAAGAGCGTGGGAGCACTTTAGTTGAGTAATCAACTATTTGTTAGGTCAACAAGTGGCCAATTCACTCTGAGATTTACACATTGATTTCATTGCATTTGGACTTATCCATATCCTCATTCATATTTTCAGATTAATGAATTTATTTTACTGAAAAGCTTTGTATGGAATGTGTAAAATCTTTTTTACTTTTGAAGTTTCTCCAAAATATTTCATCCAAATGCACTTCACTTACTCGAGACATTGTATAGTGTATCACACCCATGTTGATATATGGTCGGTTTTAACCCTAGGGGTTCCTGTGGGAAAATCCTACTTTTACCTCAATATCAATCGAAAATCTCAGGTGTTAGTACTCAGGTCAGACAGGGGTTATAAACAAATTACTTTGAACTGACCCATCGCCAAGTAAGTCTCGGACACAACAGACTTGTGAGGATTCCCACGATAAAGGAACCAGGGTGCCATATCGGCCTTTTATGTCCCTCAATAGTGTACAGTAATTATCTTATACTTTTCAAGGTAGTTTCCGCACTATGGGTTGCATTCAATGAATATGGACTGGGGCATTGTTATGGACAATGATTTGGTTTCTGGTCATTTACCACATTTCGGAAACCTCAATTATCAGTTCTTATCATTTGGAATAACAACAATATCAGATATTTAAAAGCATCTTTGTCTCTATATTATACCCTTGGCAAGAATGTGATTACATCTTCACTCTTTGAATAAGAGATAATTCTTTGAGCTTTTACAATTACTTTGGGTGGGCCCAGGAAAAAAATTGGGGCCAAAAAAGGCCTTATGGCTCCAAAAAGTGGGCCTTTTTGGTCATTACTGGGCCTTATTTTTAATTTTAGGCCAAATTTTGAAGAGATTTTGCCAAATGAAATGTCTTGAAATGTAAACACTTTTTTCTAAATTTTAGTGCTACTTTGTCTCCCATGTTATCAGAATGTTATCCAGCTTTACATACCTCACCTTTATGGAATTATTTTCCCACACTACTTGGGGTCATCTTACCCTGAGCCTACAAGTAAAATACTATGCTCTTAAGATGTTGAATGAAATTATGATTTTGACAGGTGAGATGTCAAAAGCTTTCGTAAAGGGTAATACCAACTGGGTAATGCTTGTGCACCACACCTGGGTTTTAATTTCATAAATATTTTTCATTGTGAGAATATCACTGGTCAAACACAGAAATAAAGAGGTAATTTAAGGTAATGGTATTATTGTTGAAGGGTGGGAAATAATCTTAATCTTAATGATTAAGAGAGAAATTGTACATATTTCTATCATCTAACTGGCCATTTCAAACAATAATAACCACCGACACAAATTATAATCATCCTACTTTCTCCTATAATCTCCCCCCTCCATTGCTTTAGCTTTACCAGTGACTCAAAATATTGAATGTTGTATTGAATAAACAGCATATTTTTACAAAGCTTCGACAGGTATGTTTATATGGTATACATATCAAAATCTACAAATATTCAATATCCCTTGTATTGATATATGGATAAACCCCTTTCCTGTCCCGAGGGAGAGCTCATGTATTCATTTCCAAAAGTGTGCATTGGAATGTTTACTGAATCCTGTGAAAATACAGCAAGGTGTGAACTTAATGTATTTTTGTTTGGAGAGCCTTTGACCTATTGACCAGGTGAACTATTGAAGAAAGGGGCATCAAAATAATCGAATCTTACAGTAGAGGTGTCAGGAAATATGAACTTTTTTTGAAGAAATCAGTTTTTAATATTTTTTTCAGTAACCTTAGGCCTCATCTCAACATGTTGGTGGAATGCTTTCATATTTTCCTCTCTTCAAAAGAGCTCCTTTACATGTTCTTTTCCACAAGTCCATTTATTGTATTCAGCGTTTGAGCTTAGGGACCAAGGCTACCAAGATACATTTAAGATACCTGGGAATATATGAAATATATTTCTGAAAATATTGCCAAATGATTGCTTGCTTGCTTGATTATTTGATTGATTAATTGTCTCATTGATTGTTTATGTATTTTGTGTCATGTAATTTCAGGGTGGATTTGCTAAGTGCTATGAACTGACTGATCTCAAAACAGATAAAGTATATGCTGGGAAGATTATTGCCAAAACTAGAATAAGTAAACCTCACCAGAAAGAAAAGGTAGGCCTGCATCTTTTTTGTAATTTAATTTTTTAATTCAAGTTATGAGAATAGTATGGTTTATAATTTTAATGGTTAATATTTTCCTCAATGATTGCATGTAATAGGTTTAAAATATATACATGTACTGTCTTTAATTATACACATATCTTATCTAATACATTGTTATTTTTCAACGTCGATACAATTTCATTCATTCTGAATTCAATTTGAATAGAGAGTAGTAGATCATGCTAGCCTTTCAAGCATCAATTCTCCCCCTCCCCCTTCTGGGGCTTCCCTGTCACCATTGATTGACCCAAGCCCTGTCAATCTACTTATTAGTCTTGCATCAAGATCTTGTGAACCCCCCCCACTGACTTACATACTTACTTTCTTGTTGCATGTTTCTTGTGCATTAGATAATGATGGCTGACAAAAGATTTAATGCAAGATTACATGGAAAGATACTCAATTTATATATGTATTTCACACAATCCCACATTTTACAATAGTTACTCTGAAACCACCTGCTTTCAAAAAATTAAATTCTTTAAATGGTTAAATAACTCCTATTTGTATATGACACCATGTGTTTGTTACAGGTGTAACAAATACCAAATTATAAATTCCTAAATTAAACTGTTAGCCAGTAATTTAGTTTTCATATATATTTTCTGGGAAAAATGCTTTCAAAATACAAATTAAAATCTAATTTGTTTAAACCTAGAACTAGAAATGATTATACCAATACTGAAAAGTTTGACTGTAGTCTGTTACTTAGATGTGTCAGCTATAAACTGTGGATTATCTCCTCTTTTATTACTGTACAATGTACAAAAATTATAGTAAAAAACAAACAGTAGAATCAGAAATAATTCATGTGTCTTTTCTGAAAACTGTAATTCTGGATCCAGTCTCCAAGAATCTCATTCATTGATTGTATATGTGCCTCCCTCCCTCTGCCGATTAAATATCACAACTAAATCAAGAGCATGCAGAGAGGAAGGGAAACCACTGAACAAAACTGCTAGGAGAATGATCTGTACCAATCATTTCCAACAGCTTCATGCATTGATACATGACAGTTTCAAATGAAAAAAAGAGACAGAGTCTCATAGTAAGAAGTGAGGTTAAAGACTTGAAATCGGTGACACCATACAGAGTTTATCCTGGAAGTTGAAGGAAGGAAATCAAAATTCATAATTATAAGATGAGAATTCCACAACCTTGTAGTTTTAGTCACTTAGATTATCTTTTTTCCATCACCCCTCTCCTATCTCACTTACATTTAATGCCCTTGTTTTATAGCCTTGCATCAAGTCCTTCTCTACCCTCTACACTGGGCTTGATGCAAGAGTTGTTGTTAAATTTTAATTTTTGAATCATATTTTTTTTATCTAACTTTTGGAAAGTAATTTTTCAGAATTGTGTGTTTAACAATAGGGTAGAATACCCCAGGGACTTTAATGCTACAGGTGTCCAGAATAATTTGCTTTAATGAGCTTGAGAATGATGGTACCATCAAATGCCAACTTAGGCTGTTTTTAACAACCATTAAGTCTTTGTTATTCTCAATATGTGATAGAGGAAATGATAGAGGATTGGCAACATGTTTCATTTTCCTTTTGGTGTAACTAGATCTTAACGCAATAATTGAGAGACTATCCCTTGCTCCTATCCCCATCCTTCTACGATGTTACTCTGAATCTTTAGCCACAAGCTGTAATCCCCTCTGACTTATGATATTATGGATAGCTTTACAGTTTTGATATGGACAAGATCTTAACAATCATAAATGAAGCTTTCATAGCCTTTAATTTGAATTGAATAGTATTATGATTTTCTGATGTCCGATGACATATCCTGACTTCATATTTCTTTTGGGAATGGAGAATATTGTTTATGTGACTTATACTATACAATGTGACTTTACCCTAAGCTATAACATTGAAATTTTATGAAATCTACTTGGTTTCAATGTTGATATAAAATATCACTCTGACATCCATTGAGAACTTGTTCTCAGTAGTATAAGAATCAGACTTTAAAATAGGCTATTCAAACCAAGTTTGGTACATTGAACAGTGCTGGGGGCATTGTGATGCTAATTGGGTATCATACATTGGTTTGGGATATTGTTACCCTGGGTATTGAGCACATAGCTGGAACACTATACTCTGAATGACTGAGATCAGTTGTTTTATGGGTTGACAATGGGTCAATCAGCTCTTGCACTTTGGTGCCATGATATAAGTTTACTTATATTTGTTTTTTATAAACACGATATTCATTTCTTCAGAGAAGTCAATTTATTATTATCAAAATGTTCGACCTGTATCCACAGGTCTTTTTCAAGATTGAATTTAAAAAATCTATACACAAACAGCATAGAGCAATGAAAGATTTAATTATGTAACAAATAATCTTATCTTAAATATAGAAATCACCATGGTTAAGCACAATGGCAGGCTCTGGTTGGCTTGGTGTGTTCAGGGTTTTACTGCTAATGTAAAAATCAGTCAATTTTGCAAAGGGTAGAAATTTTGCGCTAATTTGAATGAAATATTTCAACTTGGACATACAACATTACTTCCAAAGATCAAATGAAGATGGCAACATATTAAGCTTTGAAGTTGATAATAATGACAGGTCATCCAGCTAATATGATCATTCAAAATTATAATAACTGATATATTATATGTCATATGGATAAATAAAATTTGGTACCTCCAGCAATTGGTATTTGAAACGTGTATGAATTGGAATAAGAGCACCACGGATATCATATTGTTTTTTATTACACGATATTATAAAAATGCTATCTTCAAATCTTAGAATGGATATATGGCCTTTTGAGAGTTTTTATCTGCTTTTTCATGTTTTATGATACTTTCAATTGTAGATAACCTAGTTTTGTTAAATGTTGGTAAAGTCCCAGGCCTTTCAGGTCTTGTTTATTTATTGATATAATAAAAGTAGTGAAATCAGTCAATTGATATATTGGATTAGTGACTTGAATTATTTTTTCATCTCATGAAAGGATTAACATACAATATTTGTATTTCATTTAATTCTTACTATAGTAGCCCATTATTTACAAATTGGATTTTATAATGGCTGTAGATGAATAATATATTTTGGAATAGTGCTTTAAATTGTAAAGGTGAATGAGATGGGAGGGGGTTCACAGATTTGCAAGAAAATCATGAGCATAAAAGAATTGAAACAAGATAAAGTTACGCTATATGTATTTTGGATTGTAGTCTATCATCAAACCCCTGTCTTACCCCAACTCTCATTCCTGTCTCACTTAACTCAATATACCCATTCAGATATTGGAAATAGGTTTGATCAAGGCCAATTAGAAACTTGCTTGGGATTTTTCAGAACTTTTGAGAGTGAACATTTTTTAAAAGGAGGAGGAAGTCAAATAAACTATATACTTAAAGTAATTTTTTATACTGTTTTTATTCCCATGAAAAAATACAGTTAATATTGAGTTATTGACGTAGTGGGCATAGGCTTTTCATTGAAAGCATTATTGGCCCCACTTTAGTGGCCCCCTCTAAAAGAATTCATAACATGATTAATGGAATTGGGATACTGTTATTGAATAAATATGAATGAGTTTCATTAAAAAATGACTGTAAAAATGCTACATATTTATGTGATGAATCACTGTGCCACACACAAAATGGAAACATATTTGATCATCAAAATCCCGAATGAATGTTGAATGAATGTCGGCACATAGAAGTCCCATTTAAATAATTTGTATGTACACACGCATTTAAAGGTCTACTATTATGAACATTCTGACTTGTCTATGGTATTTCAAATTTTAGAGAAGTGAAAAGGGCTTGGTATGTGTGAACAGAAAAAATGCTTATAACAGGAACATTCTTGCAGGACTTAACATTTTTGTAATGATGTTATCACATCTAGTATTGAACTTGAATGTGTGGTTTTTATTATGTCCAGGATCTAGTGTACATTGTATTGTTAAGCTATATACCTGATACATTAGTCATCGCAACACATGTAGACTTAATCGATTGGGAATGTAATACTCTGGAGTATGTACAATATACAAGTTCGAAAAATGTCTAAAAATCATTTTCAGTTTTTGTAGACGTTTATGTCTGTTGCATCACATTCTTCTGTTTTTCCATATGCATTGATACCGTTTGGATGTAATTCTGAGGATTTGAAACAATCATGCATTCTATTATTATTGAGCAGGTTATTATCTGTATGAGAAATCAGAGTCTCCATTGGGAACCGTGTACAGTCACTGTATATATATTGGAAATATCCCAGCAATTGATTACATTTACATGGCTGAATAGGGATGAAGAAGTCTGTCATTGAATACTTGAGATAACATCTCCTATTCCATTGGGGTCTTTAGGTGAATTCTTAAATCATTTCTTTGATCCAGCGCTTATAATCAGCTAAGTGCAAGCAAAATCCTAACCCTGGATCACCCAGCTGCAGTTAGCTCTGAATATTACATTTGATTTTAGTGTTCGTGTAGATCAGTGTTTTCCACAGGATTTTTTCTCATGTGGGTGCAAAATTCTCATTTTCATTATTTGGACCAAAATTGGTTCAAATATGCCAATTTTTCATGATTTTTCTCATTTTCAAGTGGATGCAAATGGATTTTCAGGTGGGTGCAAGCCTGTTTATAAAATCTCAGGTGGGTGCTGCATGCACCTGCTTCAGCGCTGGGGAGATCACTGTAGATCATGATCTTATCGATCCCAAATGTAGGTTTTATGGATGATTGAGTGTTAAATGAATTTGGGTTACTTATCGGTAGAAAATCCACTTTCATGATTTTCTAATTACATGTTTTGATAGGGCATAGACTAGATACCCATAATACACAGAGTGAAACTCTGCCAAGGGTGTACTTCATATTACCTTATGAGTCAATAAACTAAAAAATTTAAATCATGCAATGCCATGCCTGTTAGCATCGGAGCAAATTGCGAATTGTAGACTTGTACATACTTCAGACCAGATTAATGTTAAAATGCCAATAAGTCATATTAATGAGATGATAATGTCTATATTGTATGTATATACAAGGGATCAGAGTGAGATAAGAGACTTATGCTGTAATTCTAGATCATAAATATGTCAAAGTATACATGGATATATTTATTAAACTCGTTATTTATTGATACAGATACACCCTTTTATGTTTTATTTTTACAGTATAAGACCTGTACTACAATGTACTGTTGGTCAAACTCCTTACATTTATTTCCTTCTTTACTCTGTGCAAGTAATGGTAAACTGAGAATTCATTTTTGTTTGTGTTTTGTGTCTTCAGATTGTAAGAGAGATTGAGCTCCATAGAACACTGGACCATAAACATGTGGTAGGATTCCATAGCTTCTTTGAAGATGACGAGAATGTCTACATCATATTGGAGAAATGCTCTAAAAAGGTATGTTACCATTTGAAATACTTTCCACCCCTCAGGATCCTCCAATAGCAGGACTTCAACACCACTAAGAAGAAGGAATGAATTTTGAAGCCATGAAACACTGTCTCAAGATATACCTAGAAAATTCATCATGATAAACCATGACATTTCATTTCTATTCAGCCCTGTTTCAGGTGAACAGAAAGATGTTATGAGTATCAGAATGGGAAAATTTGGAAGGAAAGGATATTTGGGATTTGTAAAGAGAGCATATTTTTGGGATATAAGTCTTAAGCATTTATACACTGTATTTAAATAAAACAGAACATGTAGCTTGAGAAAAGCCTGAAGTAGGTAACAGTGTTGTGGAAAAATAGTTTATACCAATTTAACTGTTTTAGTTAAATGAAACATTTGATCCAAAACTGAAATAAATGCAATAATGTAATTTAATGCTTATTCTTGCGCCTGTATTTTGTAAATATTATTTCATTTACAAATTAAAGATAACTTAATATAGATTTCTGATCCTTTTATTTCAGTCTTTAGTTCATGTGATGAAGAACCGTTCTACAATCACCGAGCCAGAAGTTCGTTACTACATCCGTCGTTTGGTCTATGGCTGCCAATATATACACAGTCAACACATAATCCACAGAGACCTGAAACTGGGCAATATGCTACTCAATAGTAACATGGACATCAAAATTGGCGACTTTGGACTGGCAACTAAAGTGGACTATGAAGGAGAAAAGAAAATGTGAGTTCAATACTGGCGTAAAAATTTAATACACTTCAGGGAAAGATGTATGGCGTGATCAGGTACTTTTATCAGGGATGATTGTGCTGAGTTGATGGCTTGAATATAGCTTTCAAGTCAAGAATTGTTAAAGGAGGCTGTAAAAGTTGATGCATCCTGTCCCATTTTTCATTAATTGACCCATGGGATTCACCGATTCACTTGATCTGGAGCTTGAAGGTTGATATATTGGTCGACCTTGTTAACCAATCAGTCATGGCTGCTAGCATCGGTGCATGTATCATTTTACTCTCCAGTAATTTCATTAGAGTTAGGCATTTGTTTTTCTATGAATGATGTATTAGAATAGGAGACCTCAGAAATAGATTGATTCGATATAAAATATTTGGTTTCCTACTTCCTGTACATGATGCAACTTGCTGGAATAACAGTAATTGCAAATTTATTAAATCAATATTTGCAGTATGAAGGCGTTTCAGATTCAAATACGCTGTCAAATATTGATATATGATCTCTAATATCATTTAGGCTTTGCTACATCTAGAAACAAATTATTTTTTTGTCATTTATAATTGTATCTTGCTAAGTGGCAATTGGAATTTCGAATGACCCTTTTTCATCGGATGGATTGTTGTGCTAGAAAATTAATCAAGTAACGTTTATTGGTTCTGACAAATAATCGAGCTATAAAAATGAAATGATTCTGTTACACATATTGAGATTGCTGTTATATCCATGGAAACTTATTAATAAGTGTGAAATGCGCAACTTTCAATATCATCAAGAATTTTGTGTCGCGTTAAACAATAATTGATCAACTGGTTAACGTTAACAAATCTCTCAATTTTCCACATGATCAATACTCCCATCTTCCTAACTTAATTTCGCATCAAAGAATACAGTATTTCATGCTTGCTAATATAACGTATTCCTTACTTGCAGATATCTTGTTTGATTTAACATGACTTGAGGTAGAGCTTATTTGTAAGATGATTGCTTTATCATACTCAGGACTCCACAGGGGTTCCCTTTTCCAAAGCTTACTGAATAAGGATCTTGATCCATCAATTTATTACATACGATTGAAGGAATATACTGGTTTAACAGTATGCTCAAATAAGCTATAAGAGCTTTGTAATTTTTTGTGTCAGTAGATATAGTGTGGTTATTTCCATAGATGAATGTTGAAATTGCACAAAGCTATACTACATCTAGTCTTGCCAAGTCTAATGGCCACCCTCCCCTCTTATATGTATTTCCCGACCCAAATTCTGTGTCACCAAGACCCTTAGAGAATTGAGTGGGGGAGCCCACAGCCATTATGCAAGAGTACGTACTATCAATCCAGTGAAGCTTTTGTAGATTGTTTTCCTTACTGTAGTTTCGTAGTAATCATCTACTTTTCTGATACTATCGTTAATCATTCATTGTGTCTTCGAGGCTGGATCAAAATCTCAGTCAATGTTTTTCTCATGAAGTAGTTTCCTATATGCATCTTCAGTAGGGTAAAACAATGAAATTAACATAGGCAACATGTCAATTTGATATCCATTTAAAAACAATAGAGAAGAGGTGGTCTAATCCCTTGTTAAAGTTCTTTCAAGAGAAGAAGCATTCATATTTCGAACCATCCCATAAATCTGGGTGTAATATGATGGTATCTGGAATGTCTAATAGTAAATGATCGTATCAAAAATTGTTCCCTTGTCTACTATTAATGTCATCTTGTTTTCATAATAGTACATAGCCTTGATAGTTGAACATTTATGTTCTTTTCATAAATACTTGTATATCTATTGGGATATCATTGTCGTTAACTGCACTTCTACTGAATTGGTCGCAACTTATTTTGGTGGATTTGCTGTTTTGAACATTTGGCGACTATTTAATTTGGCGGACTTGCAATATTGAAATCTATATACACCATACTTTACGATTGAAATATGAAATATTGAATTTGCTGGCTACTTAATTTGGTGGACTTTAACAATTTAGCTGATCCGCCAAATTAAAACAGCTTCCAAATTAAGTAGAAGTACAGTAAATTGAGCAGGAATAATTCACTGTTTGGCTCAAGATTAATTTGTGCAATAAAGTTGTTTGACAATTCATCCATATATTATTTCAAGAACCAGCTACCTCTTCTAGTTTGCCTATCTGTGTTATGTATGAGTTACAAATAAGTAAAGAAAGAGAGCTCACTCGACTCGATCCCACAAACCTGAAGGCTGTATAGCTTGATGTCCCAGAGGCCCAGACTCCCTGCCCTAATCTCAATACCCCAAAACATGTTGATTAAATATTGTGGTTGTGTGCTTACAGGACTGTGTGTGGCACTCCAAACTATATAGCCCCTGAGGTATTACAGAAGAAAGGACATAGTTATGAGGCAGATATATGGGCCATCGGCTGTATTATGTAAGTCTTATATAAACTCAAAGCATATAAGTCATAGTTTTGTCCAAGCTTATTGAAGCTCATAAGGAGAAGCAATCCGTGAGCCAAGCGATATAGTGCAAGTTGAATTTGAATTGATTAAAAATCATATGTCATATTTACAAGTCACAATTCTTTTCCTTTCTAGGTATGCACTTTTAGTGGGCCGGCCACCATTTGAGACGGCAACATTGAAGGAAACCTACAACAGAATAACTCACAACAAATACTCCATTCCACCCCATCTCTCATTAGAGGCTAAAAAACTCATTAAGGCTCTGTTAAGTAATAACCCTGAAGACAGACCAACACTTGAAGAAATACCTCTCCATCCATTCTTCTTGAGCGGCTTTGAACCTAAACATCTCTCAGATTCAGCTTGTGTGTCTGCCCCAAAGTTCCCCATCACAAGTCTCATCTCTAGGTAAGTTTCCCGAAACTTCTCAAACATGCCTCATATTCAGAGTTCTCAGCATGCATGAAGTTTTGAAAAAATTGATTCTCTTCTCGAATTTAAAAATTCTATCTTTAAAAAAAACATTTTAGGCTATGCTCCAAAGATAATTTTTGTGCTAAATAATGATTTGAACACCGAACACACTCTGGAATTAAAATTATCCTTCGTCCATTTCCTTTGAAAGATCACTTTGTAATGTCTGATTTTGTTGTGATTCAACCAATAACTGATCTGGTTAGTGTGGCAGAATGGATGAGTAAACTAACAGATGTCTACATACTAGGGATTCATAAACTCTGTTATGCTGTTACAGAAATATGCCAGGTTCAATACATTATTAATCTAGTCCCTAGTGAGATTCATCAATTCAATCTATTATGATTACACATAACACAAAAGACCAGATCTGCCATGCTTGTGACATAACAAGATACATACATCATGAATGGAATCTTTTAATTAATATTAGAATCACAATTAATCCTCATAAATATTTTAGTTTATTTGTATCAGTAACAAACGCATGTACATTGTGGCTTGCTTAATTGATTAAATGAAAATAAATTGTAATAATTCCTATTAGTTTTATGTTGATGTGTGGGATTTATTTTGTGCAAGTATAAATTAAATGATCATAGGTGTTATTTATTTAGACTTATAACATAGTGTTCAGAAAAGATGAAAATATACAAGTATATATGCATATGATTAATACAATCCTGTTAATCGATATAACAAATGGCACACATTCTTATTCCTATTGGTTTTATATGTTTGGGTTAATGCGTGGGATTTATTTTGTGGAAGTATAATTGAGTGATCATAGGTGTTATTTATTTAGACTTATAACATAGTGTTCAGAAAAAATGAAAATATATTTACGTATATGATTAATACACCTGTTAATTGGTATAACAAATGGCACACATTCTTATTCCGTAACTTTCTTTATATTCTTTAGTAATCGACAAAAGTCCAATGCTGATCCTGCCAATCAAGATGGAGTTAACAAAATAACGTCATCACTTGCCGTGTTTCGTACACAATCGAGTAAGAAGGTGCTCAATAGTCAAACCAAGGTACGTTCAATTTAAACAGCTGATATTGCAGTATATTTTAATACTTTGAGGAAAGCTTAATTCGGGATCTGTTGTTTTACATTAAAGAAGGGTAAGAATATATTTTAAACAATGAATTTTCCCATATCCTAACTGTAACATTGTCATTCTAATCAACCAGAATCTGAGAATTTTCTTACATTAGCTATATAAGTGAGAATGATATTGTACCCAATGTGCTCACCCAGTCAGACCCATATTGATTGATGTGTCCATCCATCACTTCACCTTTTGCACTATGTTGTATTATTAATTAAATGCACTGTCAATGCTACCAGGTGTTCCAATCCCCTGTGTAGCGTTTGATTGTAATTACCTGTTCAGGTTTATACTTGTGCAAATTACCCAGATGCCAGTATGTGGTTAACAAGTTTCACCAGCAGTTGGCTTATTCGGGGCAGATATAGTAGAAAGTTTCCTTAATCTTGGATATTCATCAGTTTTAGTCGATCAATTTTCATATTCGCCTTACGTGTCTGATAATTATGAAATTGAAAATATGTGCAGTATAAGAAAATATCATCTGTCCAATGTAGTGTTATGGTCTCCAACTTTTTTGTTAAGTGGTTGGTGTTGGGCGTACAGAGTTTGGCATCTGTAACAAATGGCATGTAGTGACAGAAGTTTTTCAAGCAAATATTTTTTAAAAATTGTACAGAATCCTGATAATGAAATTAATATTAATTTAAAGAACTCATCAAATATGATTCCTATAGCAATATAAAGAGCATCAATGCGATGTTCCATTTTCGGAAATTATGTTTGTACTGTCATGCACTGTGATAAATCAAGGTTTGGCCCAATAATTGTTTGGCCGTCAAGTTTATATTAATGATATGTCTGCAGTGTGTATCCTGTCTTTACATTGGGTTATGACCCAATGTTAATATTTTGCTCCTTGGATCACATCGAGAGTAAAATAAGTGATATCTATAATTCCCCAGACATGAAACCCCCATTCATAAGGTGAACTCTTGTTTAAGTTGTTTTTCCTTTTTGGAGGAAATACTTGGTATGCATTTTCTGGTTTGTTGATTTCATGATTCAACAATCAACTGAGGTCATTGTTGTTCTCCCTGCTCATGTCAAAATTGTTACAATTGAATTTTGAAACTATTGGAATGGGAATATGAAGGGATAAATTATGCTATACGCTACTTGACTTTTACAGAATTGGAACAGTTTTAGATTTTTCATTGAAATGATTGAATTTGTTAATCGTAATTAGATAAACTTGAGCTTTTACCATTATATATTGAGCGCCCCAATTGAATAATGGAAGATTAGTGGAAGATCAGTTCCCAGTAAGACATTGATTGTAGTTTCTTGGAAATTATCAATGGCAGTCTCAAACATCTTCGCACGCTCGGTCTTCACTACGTTCATCCGACCGATGGGAGCCGAGTGAACGAAGATGAGTTTCAAAATCAATATTGGACTCTCATTTTATGATATACCCTCTGTGTTTTCATTAACGAGATCCTTTTGGGTTTTGAAATTTTAAATATGATTGCTGATTGCTGTAATTAGCCAACACATAATAACGCAAGGCATGACAGGAATTCCCTTTTGAGAAACCAATATTTCTAGCAGCGGAATGTTACAGTGACTCTATAAATTCTTTCCATGTTTTGAGCTGTTCTATGATTATAAACTTGACAAATTACTCACAAAGGAAAACATTAATCATAGTCACGTAGAATTGTACAACACATGGAAGTGAAAAATGACATTACTATTACACAAATAGGCTAATCACTGCAACAAAATGAACTTCGATTCAATCAGCACAAATTGAAGTTATTCTGAATGTTTACGGAAATTATGTTACTTTCAGACAAGCTAGAATTTTCCATTTTATTGACTTTATTGATTATTAATTTGATTTGTTGGAATTTAGAGGCTTAATTTTTTCTATACAGTTTGCCGTGAAAATGTTATTTCTTCAGGTCCAATAACTTATTTTGTTTTGGTATTAAGCATTATGATTTATGTTAAGTTGTTAATTTTGTTTATTTTATCAATCAAAGTTTATAAAAAATATTTTCTCACTTGTTATGTCCATGTATATGGACTCTTTTTTTTAATTCCAGGAAACCTTTGATGAATATTTTTTTCATTTTACAGCTTCTTAGGTGAAATACTTCATTCAATGATAAAATAAAAAAAACAATGGGATAGAAAACTGATTTATAATTAAGAAACATGTCAATGCTATATTTTTTGTAAATTCTATATCTTTTGTACATTAGGTAACTAGGAAACCCCCACAGGTGCCCCACAAAGACCCCACGTACCCTGCAGTAAATCCAGCAATACACCCTGCAATGCACAGTACCCTGTCTTCAAATTGCAATGGAGGTAAGGGACCTTTTTATTATTATAAATTATTTTATTGATAGTCGTTATTCCATTTTATATCAGCCAATCTAGTATTGAAATTAGTTTCATTGAACTGCTGCCCTTATTTAAGTTTCTTCATCAATCACACCCACTTAGCAATTGTTCTAAAATATAATGGCATGTAATAGTTCATACTTTTTATTTAATTACATGAATATCTGAAGCATTAACATGATCGTTGTGAAAACAGTGTTCATGAAATGAATTAGTTATAATTTGTCAAGATTGGATTAGTCCTGCTTCAAGTCTTTGGACCCCCTATCTGCCACCTGTGGTGGTGTGTGAAATATGGGGGGGGGGGTGTCAAAAGGGTTTTTGGACAATGATAGTTCTAAGGACGATTCTCGGTTTGGAGAACAGTCTCCTGGGCTAATAATTTTTTCATGAAAAATATAGAAATATTACCCAAATTAAACTATGAATATTCAAAAGAGGAATTTAAATCTACAAGATGTAAAAATAACAAATTGGTCTGGAGCAGGGATAACGCTCAATAAGACCGATTCAATAAAATACAAATCTCGATTTGGGGAAAGAAGTTCAAAGCAGTGCACTTAGCTAATATTTTTTTTGCGAAAAATCTAGAAATATTACCCAAATTAAATTATGACTATTCAAAAGAAGACATTCAAATCTATATTATGTAAAAAAAATCAAATAGAAGCAGGGATAATGCTCATTTAGATTGATGAACTTCGTTCTCCAAACTGAGAATCGTCCTTTTACCAACCTAGAAAAATAGAAACATTGCTCCTTTGGTGGAATGTCAAAGATTATTGTGTTTAATACATTGAGGATTATGCCTTTCATTACTGATTATTGGTTCATACTGCATAGTCATTTTTACTTTTGTGCTGAATTTTATGAATGTAATGTCAAATGTTTACCCTCGATTGTCCTTATTTAAGCTTATATAGTAAAGATAAACCACAATATTCTAATTTCGCCATGACTTCAATAATCATTAATCAATGTTTTATTGGACAGAGGGCTTAACAAGAAAAATAGTGTTTAGGCATCATGTGTGATACATTTTTATCTTTCTTACAGTAACCACCTTTAATGGTACAGGAAATGCTGTTGCACTCTGTCAAGTCTTAGAGGCCTTCATCAACAATGTTCGCCAAGGTGAGTCTCGTGTACTTTGTTTACAGTTTACTGGGTGGCCCAGAAATATAAACCCCCTGAACGTGATCATATAATCACAGTGTACATGCATTAGCTATTTTGTAGATGTATACCAGTTAAGAAGATCAATTGTACATTTATGTCAAATATCTTACAACCCTAGCTTTCTAGATTATTGAGAATACTTTTTGTTGAATTTTACTCTAGTTGCCCTAATTTGTCTAAGCTTTGGTTACTTCTTACATTTCTGCACAGTTTAGATAGCTCACTACACTTTAACTGGAGAGCCTAGAGGCATTCTGAACTTCAGTCATCCTGATTTGCTAGAATATATTCCATGTCCTCACAATGGTTTTTATGATTAAATTAGTACAATATATTGAAGTTCTGGCAATGACCTGAAGTGAAGATTGAAGTGGATGGTTAAAAATGTTTTAAGTATTCTTTGGATGGTGAATGTTGATCTTGGGAGACCTATTACAATTATGGTCTAAATCAGTGCCACCAGCATTGAATATCAATGAATTTGGAATCATTTGACAGAATAAACTTATATTTGTTTTTGTCCTTGGTTTACAATTCAATTGAGGCTAAAGTTAGTACTTGAACAAAATTGTATTATTTTTCATGTATGAATGGTCTGTAAATATGCCGACAATAAGTCTAACAGATATAAAGGACTTTTGTAGTGATTTGTTTTTTCTGCCATTGCTGTTAATGCTGTTGACACAGTGGTGTTAAAAGCCAGAAGTGTTTGATGCCTAAAGTCCCCAGCATTGACTCTTATTTTATAATGCAATTTCTAACATTGAACTACAACATCTGTGTAATATAATGCCGCATTGGGAATATCAGAGTTCCGGTTACTATTTTGTATTGTAAGATATTTTTGCACTAAGTGACACTTGATTGTTGTATCTTATATTGCATAGATGTTTGCATTAATGTTGACACTCAGTGCACTTCTATTGAATAGTAAGTAGAGCATTGTATTCTATATATCCTCCGAAAGTTGATTTAATCCATAGTGTGTATAAGATATAGAATTACACAATGAATTTTCTCCATCTTTTCAATTTCCAATAATCATCGACTTTTGAAGATCATGCCAGAGTGATCTTTAGGGAGCCACAACTGGTACATCACTTGGAGTGATTTTTAGCTCACATGGTGAGCTATTGTTATCGTTAAGTATTCGATGAAGAATGAACTTATCAGTAAATACTTTACTGATAAACTTTTCATCTATGACTAAAACATTACTATTAAAAATTATGACCCATGGAATATATACGTCCCTTGGGGTGTCTTTTTCATGTTATTGATGAAATGTTGTATGATGTAATTTTGAATGAATAAATTGAATTGAATTGAAATTAGAGGGACTTTATAAATCAATATGTTGTGTTAAAGTATTGCCCACCAGCAGTAGGCCCTTAAACTGTTCAAAGGATTGTGTGAATTCAGAATTACAATATTAAGAATGTACACAATGTACAATAAAACAAATGATTACATTATTGATTTGTCAAAATGTTAGTATGACCCAGTTTGTATCATTCTTAATATATTATTTCTTTGTGCGTTTGTTTTTAAATTAATTTCCCCCCAAAATTGAAAATTTATACAAATACGTCTTTATGAAGATGTTTCATTTGGCATCAGAAAATATCTATTACTTGTAAAATGACAAAATGTTCTTTGATCATTTGCTAGTTATTTTTATGAAATTGGAATAGTTGGTCACATAGACTATGGGTCCTTAAACAAATCTTTTTACAGCTTTCTTTAAATATCCAATTTGACACACCAAGATTTTATGGTATACTTCTTTCCTATGCAATAAGGCAATATTTCTCCATAAGGCCATTTTGGAAGCAATAAAAATACACCCTTCCAGGAAATATCCCTCCTTATTTATATTTTGAAATCCTCAAAAGGGACAATTTTTATCTTCAATCAAATTTTGAATTCAGAAATCCTTAATTTTTATAAACCTTTCAGTGAATGAATTTTCTTTTGTTTCCAACTTTTTAAGAGAAATATAATGATAAAGTGTGATAGTTCTGTGTGGGCATTGCAATAAATGTACACATCTAGTACCTTGTTGAATACAAATCAGATTTTTATTGTATTCAAACTGCTAAAGAAAATTAATTGGGTACAATGGTTCAATTAACATGCATCATTTTACTATACAAATGTCCCCCATCATAATGGGGATACATTCTTGTATAATATACAGCATTTAAAGAGTTGAATAAAAATTGTATGTTTTACTAAAATACCAGTTTCAAAGGTTGCAATCCTATGAGGTTTAGTCATTCTGATCGAGCTACCAGCCTTTTAAATGTCTCTGTTTTCATGAGGAAGAAGAAAAGGAGTGTGTCTGTCACAATGGGGTTGCTGAATGGATAATTGACTTGGAAATCTGTAGTTGTCTTGTGAATTACACTAGATCTTATTTCATTAGAGAAGGACCAGACACAAGGCACAAATCACAATTATCTTTAATTGTATCATTATTTCAGACTATATGTCTTCATAAAGAGAATGCTTGGTGTGTCTACTTTAGAATTACAAAGAACAACAGCACCAATATTTACATTATAAACCCCTTAATACAATTCAAAAAAGAATAACATTAAAGTACACGCTGGTGCACAATGAAACCTGTGTTTTTTGACCACCCCTATGAAGGGGACACCTTGAATGTGAATGATAATCAATCAATTTTTATTTATTTGATGTTTTGTTTTGCATCATGTCTCTGACTCTCTTCGTACCTATTACTGAACCCGAGAGAATGGGTTAGAAAGGGAAATATAGGGGCTTAATGCAAGATTTCTAGACATTTCCTCTTGACTGGCCCCAGGAGTCGAAAAATATTCTGAACACAAATTGAACAAGATATTTTGTTTGTGTTTTACAGATTGCCCTGACAATCCATCACCTCTTGTACAGAGTAATGTGCTATGGGTGACAAAATGGGTCGATTATTCCAACAAATATGGTTTCGGCTACCAACTCTCAGATCGTACCATAGGTGTTCTCTTCAATGATGGAAGTCGCATCTGCCGAAGTCCTGATGGAAGGTAAGACATTGTTTCTCATTTTCAGTATTTTTCTCACATAATGGGTGTTTCATTATGGTTTTGGAATGTGTGGGGAGGGGAGTTAGACAATTTGTACTTTTTATATTCCTTGTCTATCTGTGCTTCTTGGTCTACTGCCACCTCATGGCCTTTGTGCTAAAATTGCATATTTGTCAATGAATACAGGGGATAATACTCAGAGTCTCTCATGGTTCAGGAAGCATTATTCAGGCAGGTCGAAAAATTCTCATCTAAAGTACAGTTCTACTTCTTGAATTAAGAAGAAATAAATAATCATCAAAATGATTAAATCTAATATTAGACATGGTGTTTTCACAAAAGCATACCAACATTAAACAGACATTCATGGACAATATAAAAGCAATTTAAAACATTGACCCCAGAAAACAAATATAAATGTCCCAAACTGAAAAATGGATAAATGGAAATTGAACGTTCTTCTAGCATTTTTGGGAGGTGATTTAAAGTTCAAATCATTTCCACATCTAATGAAAAATAGTTCTTGGACAACAGGTTTATAATTGTGAAGTTTTGTGAAATTTAATATGCTATTTAAAACTACATGTATATTAAAAGCAAAATCAAATTTCAATTTAACTCAACTATTAACCATGCCTCTGTAAATCATGGAAACATCTGTTTTGATAATCAAACTATTGACAACACATGAAACCAAACAGGTATTGTATTTTTTTTATTTGATTTCCATACTTAAATTAATCAAATGAAAAATGTTTTGTTTAGAGATGACCTCATTTACTCAATTATTGTGAGCCATAATTACAATCTCCCTGGCAACTGACAGTTTGTTGTGTGTTGTTGAGTGCGAACCTCATGTTAGGGACCAGATCAGTGTGTCAATTAAATGTTTCGTCCTATCTTTTTGCATAAAGGACATGTTGGTTTTTGACCTGATCCCTTATTTGATTGATAAATCATTAAATTGATTCAAATTTAACTTTTCACACATTGAACAAAATGATTTATAGACATAGTTTCAACCCCTATTTACACCCCCCACATAATAGCATACACCCCTCTTATAACATATTCCCCATAACATATGCCTCCATCATAGCATACCCCTCCTCGCATAACACCCCCCCCCCATAACTTGAACATCCTCTGGTAGGGTAGTATATAATTTTGAGGCAAAACTTTGATGCTATATTCCAAAAAGTAACATTTTTCTTCATTTCATAAATTTCATAAATGAAGCTCATCTAACTGAATTGGTTTTGTACTGTAGCAGAGTTATCCTAGTGCGGTCAAGCAATAATCTAGAATAACGTGTTTAGCTGATAATGGCCTCAACTCTTCACCCCTGAGATTTGAACAGATCTATGGGGATTAGTATCCAAAGTCATTAAATCTAATCTATGGAAACCTGGCAGCTGTACCTCCTCATACAATCAACAGACCTGTTACTCTTAATCAAAGAAAAATCAATGTTGCCTTTTATGATATATGTGGATAATAATAAGGAGCCTTTATTTCCGTGTTTCATTCTTGTGATGTTATGACATAATCAGATTCAGCCATTTCATTATTCTTGTGTATGTATATTGAATAATGATTTAAAAAAATTATTGAATTTATGTAAGGGTTGAAATTATTAATTAGGAATTAGTACAGTAATTAGAGTCATTTCTTGGTTTTCAAATTAATGGCTGACAAAGATAAATTCTGCCCTCATATTGAGATAATTTCTAATATTCCATGTGACAATTAATGGACCTCTCTTGTCAACATGTTAGGATTAAACTGTACTAAACAGATGCCTTTGAAAGAGATCATTAAGATCGTATCTGTATCACAATTGTCAGACAATCTGTAACAGTCAGATCGTGGTGTGGCTAGTCCCTGGTAGTATACAAAATGATAAGAGTGATCTTGATTTAAGGGTGTCCATCCTTAGCCCTTGTTTTAAATTGATTGTGCTTTTATCCCAACTTTGTTATCAATCGTTGAACTTAGCATCTATTAACAATCATGATTCTTAAAAAGGCTTGAATATGTGAGAAATCATGGGTGCTCCAGATTCAGCCTCTGAATTTTACAGTTAACTCTGTGGATTATTCTTGAGTTGTAGTATTTGCTGCTTCAAGCACATGTGACCATTCCCTTACACCAATCTCCTCTTAATGAGATGGGGACCATAATATCTGTTGATATTATTGAGAACGTGTTGGTTCATAAATCACAAACATTTGTTGCAGTTTTCTTCCTGTATATGATGGAAGCAACCTTTAATAATAACCTATTCTTTTACTTTCCAGATCTGTACACTTTAATGATATGACGGGTAAGCTGTGTGGCTTCACTATGGATGCCCCACCATCCAACATGGAGAAACGAACAATACTTCTCTCTTACTTTGCTCAATATATGGAGGACAATCTCATTAAGGTAAAACTCTAAAATGCCAAAATGTATACGTAGAGGCTAGTAGGAATACTACAACAAACTATTGAAGGGGAGGGGGACCTTTGACTCCATATGGGAGGGGGTTAGATAGCTAGCAGATTATCTGCACATACCACCCTCCCAAGCACACTGACAAACATGAATAGTAAGGCGAGTGAGGGGTGGGGGGTCACAATGATATAGAGTGACAAGGTGTTTTCAAACAGATATTTTTTTTCTATATTAACAGACATGGATAAACCATCATTTATTTGTGACAAAAACGCATCAAAAAAGCATAACAAACACCTCAGTAACTGAGTGGGGGCCTCCTTTGGGGAACACTAAATATTACTATGTCAGAGACTATCCATTATATTGTGATCCAAGCGTAAAATATGCTTTCTAAATGTCAGTGCCTTTTCAGACTAAGGAAACAAGACATAGCTGATATTGTCCTGTATAATAAGTAATCTAGAGAGTTGCCCAAGATTTTACGTGCATGTTCCGCAGAATTTTACTGTATGTACAAAGTCTCTGCTCTTTTTGCATTATTTACAAATGGGCAGCACTTAACTGTCTTCAAACGCCTCGTTTGTTCAATTAATTTTCATTATTTTTGCTTCCTCATCGTGTTATTTTCTACATGGGTGTACACTAGTTATTCAACGCTTGGCAATTGATATGTGAGTCACTAATATTTTCTGCAATTTGCGGTATGGATGCTTCTCATGAATCGGTGAACGTTGCATTGTTTATACAATAGACAATGTTTTACTTCTGTCTATGCATTGTCAATGTATTTTCTGATAACATATTAACTAATAACAAAGTGGTTATGTCAGCATGACCTTTGGTAAAACATCCCTGTAGAATACAATCATCTCTTGTTATCTATTTAATATTTTTAACATCAGTGATCATTCAACCATTAGAGCAACTGAGTACTGAATCCTGTTCAAAATTTGATAACTACATGTTCATGCTTGCCATTTAGAAATTTGTTTTCACTCTGTCAAATAGTGAAGCATCCTCATAAGTAGGTATCCAGAATCTGTACCTCCTTCTTCCCCCTGCTATAACCAATTTGGAAGCGCTTGATTAAACTGAATCATGTGATCTAAATATGCGCAATGACCAAAATATAGAACATAGTAACCGGGCCCAGGATATCTCCCATATCCTCCTGATGATCTAATCATCCACACATTTTGTATTAAATGTTTATCTACAAACATATTATTTAGTGAATGGACTTTTGCCCTATTATTCATTTACAGATTTTAATTTTGATAAAGATTTAGAAATCTGCAAAAATGAAATATGAATTGATGGTAAAATAAAGGAGTATAAGAAATGAAATTGAACCACCTTCCAGATTTGTAATTAATGCCTGTCATTCATCAATGTTTACCATTCAGTATTCACTTCAATACAAATATATGCAACAGGCAAAATGAGGAATTCAATGCTAGAAATGAAAATAATGAATATGACAAATTATTCAGCTGAACTAAAATTGACCCATGCTATTATAAAGCTACCCTTTTCAATAATTTGAGTTTCGTCCTTCAAAAGAGAGCTTCAACTATGCTATTGTCCTCAGGGTATTGATAGGCCAAACCAGATGCAGGGTGTGAAATTCTATTTCATTATTAAGTAGGGTGTGTGATTTAAATTTGATTCACACGTTTTTACAAGTACTTTTATGCATAGCTTTTTAACATTTAGATAATAAAAGCATTTTGTTCATAGTGAGATTTTGTTGTTAGTTTTCCCGGGGTATTCATTTTTTTTATTTATTTTTTTTCGTAAAAAAGGATGTTTTTATATTTAGTTTAATGAATACTTTCATTCAGCATTTATTTTAGGTGAATGGATGAATTGAAAAGCTTCATTAAACCTTGCTGTGCTGTTAAAATTGACAAAAAGACACGCCAGTCTTCAAAATCTAAAAGTTCTCACCAAATTGATTGAAAAACTGAGAAAGCTTGTGTTGCCATCTATTTTTCTCTTGTAATTCATATAAGTAATTTAGTTGCATGTTGATGTTGCTTAGAATCTACCATATGATCTTAGTACTATGAATAACCTATTGCTCAATATTAAATATTGTTTTTTGTGTGTTTTAGGGAGGACACGATGACAACATGAACATGAATGAGAACTGGTGCTCAAATATCTTTATGAAGAAATGGTTTAGAACTTCCAAGGCAATAGTGATGTACCTTAACACAGGAACTTTACAGGTAAACACCTGCATTCTATGTATCCTTTAAGTGATGATTTTGATCACAATTGGCTTCCAGAAAAATCTGAATGGATCCTTAATGAATTAATGCATAATTTTGAAGAAAGGTCATTTTTTTAATATTTCATGTTAACCTCTTGAATCCCAGGCTCTAAAATTGGCATGAAACCAGAGAATTGTTCATTTTTTGCCACCTTTTGACATTTTATTACATACCTATACAACTTTAGATGCTCAGCTTAGGAAAATTGGACGGCAGAGATCAGTTCTACACGTTTTAAAACAATTTTTGTGTAAATTGGATGAAAATTGTTCAAATGAGAGCAATTTTTGTGAAAAATTTTGTGACGAATTTTCTCGTCCCTCTGGGCACCAGTCTTATTTCATTTGTGACGGATATATCCGTCACTCTGGGTATTCAAGAGGTTAATGGTCTTAGCTGAAAGTTACTTTATTCATTGACTTACTAGTAGTTTGCCTATGTTTGTTGTGAATGTCAAAATAAGAGTATACCTTTCATGTTTTTAGGGATGGCATCTCCTCACAATTCCAGTCTCGTATAAATCAATTGACCGAATTTATATATTTTAACCTCAAATTTACTCATTATTTTATGAAACGATTTTATAATTGAAACAAGAAGTTTCATTCATTGACTGAGCCCCATGTCTTTTTAATGCCTCAACGATCCAGTGTATCCACCAACTGTCAACTGTGTATAATTAACACCAGCTGATTAACACCTTTATTATAGTTTGAGCTCAAGCAGCATAAATACATCTATGTACACACACTATGTATTCCGTTTCTTAACCTTTCACTCGTTCTTTCAGATCAATTTCTTTGACGACCACACAAAGGTGATCATCACTCAAACCCCCCACAGTGAATACCTTGTCACGTATATTGACCAGGATCGCCAGTCATCTACATTCCGAATGGCTCAACTCCAATATCTCGGCTGTTCAAGTGAGATTGTTGATAGACTGTCCTATTCCAAAGAAATGCTGCTGAATATCATTGAGATTGAAGGTGAAGAAGTGTGAAATTTCAACATTTTTGTTTCCCCGAAATGCTTTTGGCGGCTATCACAAAATTGTGTGATTAACTGGTATGATTAAGTTGGATTTTGAGTTTATCATCTCAAACATTACAAAAGTGATGCTGCTAGCCACAGTGATTGGCAGATTGGAATGTGGACCAATAGATGGAGCCGTTTTAGGTTAAATAATGTGATCTCTTTACAAATTGATTTTTCATCCAACTCTAAGGATGAGGTTATTGACCAAATCAAAATGTGGTTCAAAATGGTCGTTAGTAAGATAAGTAGGAGTCTGTAGACCAGGGGGTTATTAACATCAGCTTTGTGTAGGTAAGGATTCCTAAAGTTCATTGTTCTCTTACTATGATGTCATTATATCCATGGTTACAACAATTTATTTAGGAATTTTTGAATTTACAAAGTTTCTGTTAATGACCCTCGCTCAGTTTAGTATGTGTTATGTTAAGAGCTTGTTAAGCATTAACCTTGGACAGAACTAAAACCTTAAAGGAATCAGATATTCTGCCTAAAAGCATTACATGGTGATGCATACTCTACACAGACAGACAGATACTAGCACGTTTCAGGGAAAAACTCAAAGAACATTCAAGTCATTGCAGTGAACTTGCATTATGTTAATAATCAGTTCAACTAAAAATCGCAATTTGAAATACAGCTGAACGAACATGCACTTGCACCAGGGTGCTTGCTTTATACTTTTGTACTTTAGACCTTTTGGTCAAAATTCAAAATGGTCTAGGTGTTATGTTATTTTGTACACATGCATTCAAATTACATCAAACTAACTGGCCCAAAGGGTAGCACTAATGTTATTCCCTGATCTGTCTCCTCAGATAAATCAGTGATATAAGATAAAAATGATATGAGAAATTATTAGGAGGATGCAATACTCAAACACAAGGCAATGCCACAAACAATGCACAAATAAGATGTACACAATTTAATAGCAATTGATATGTATGTTTCAAGTACGGGGTGTATATCCAATCAAAATGCTGATACATAGCGTTCAGTACAACATAGAATGTGTCAAAAAGAACACCCACTGTTTGCTTCTAAGTGAATAATATTTTTTGTTTAGAATGATTCGATAGCATGCTAAAAAGAAATTAGGGAGGTTAATGATCTTTTTTGACATGTTCTCTTACTCCTACCTAACTGTGGGGAAGAGGTTCCATTCCATAGTATTTTTGTGCCTTTTGGAATCAACAATTCAAGCATGTTCCTATATTTTTTACATTATATGAGACAAACCTGAATTCCAATTACATTGCAGTGAGCTCATTCCTCAAGGACGTATTCAGCAATTATCAAGGGGGTGCGATTTTTGGGGTGTTGCACACCTATCACCCCCTGGCTACGCCCATGTTCATTTTTGGGTTTGATTATTACCAATATGCATTGCATCGAACAATTTAAAAAGCAATATGTATTCAAAGCTACAATGTATTTACGCCTTGAATAACTTTATGAAAGCAATATGTATTTTACATGCATGCATTTTGTATTTGATTTGACATTCCACTGAAGATATATTCCACCACATTTAATAAAACTGGACACTCCACCCAGTGGATTTTTTTGAAATTTGGTATTGCTATTGGTGATATCTATTTTCAAATATGTTGCATTTTTATACCATTTTTATTTATAGCTGCGAGTGCAACATACAAAAGGTAAAGATCTGATACATGTACTTTTACGCACTTGCTAAATAAAAATCCATTCTTTATGTAGTTTTTTTGCTAAATAAGACTCATGGTTTGACATTAAGAATTGCAGCTTAAAGTAATGTGCAAAAGGTGCAAATGATATATTATGTTAGTTTTTTGCATCCTATGTTTTTCGAAATAGAATTCCAAAATATTTGGGATTCTATTGAGTGTTATTTTATTTCTGATATTAGGCTATATCACTCCTGAAGAAAGATTTTGATGAAATAGCCGTTATGTTTGTAAATTTTTGTATGACATGTATATTTTTGTTATAAAACTTTATATTCTGTATATATTGACTTAACATAAACAATCAGTTAAAATCAGAGAATAAACTTTATTATTCATACTTCAATATATCGTTTTTTGACATTTTGCTCGTGAATGTAAGTTCCATTACATGCAATTATTCCTCATATAACTGTAAAACAATCATACAGTATATCAACAATTTACACAAAGAAGGCCCAAAACTTTTTGAATGTCCACTAATATCAACCAAGTTTGCAAATTTTATAGTTCCATGGAACTTTTATAATAATAATACTGCATTCTCACTTGTCAACATACAAAAAATATATATTCATAAACAACGCTTAAGTTTTGTTTTCACAGTTAAATCAAACAATGCCTGTTGTTATGTTTGTGAAATAAAACAATACCTGTTGTTTTCTATTTGAAATAAAACAATGTTTGTTGCTTTGCACTTTGAATAAAACATTTTAACAATGTCTGCGTTTCCAAGTAGATGCTATATGAGATATGAATGTAGACAACATTGAAAATATTCTCTCATTTTTAAAGTTGAAATTTTAGAAATTTCAAACTTCGAATAAGCAAATATTGCACTTTTGTAATTAGAGCCTGTCTCTAGAGAGTTTGTTTATGATCAAATTGAATGAATCCTTAGTCGCAACATTTCAATGAAATTTCAATGCATCTCTTAATCGGTGTGCTCCGTAGCATAAACAATCTCATACAGCATCAACTAGAACACAATAAAAAATAATAAGTGATTTTTCAAAGCATTCCTTTGTACATACATATAATACAAGTTATACTCTTATTTACATGGAGTTAATAATTCTTTGATGAATATGGTATTTACAATGAAAAATAAGATGCGTGAAAAATACTACTCTAGTAGCTTTTCTACATACATGTACTTCCTGTAGAGTACTAGAAATACAATAGTTCACACTTTTCTTTTTATCACCAACTTAATCGATCATAAAAATTCCAAAGTCTCAGTCTATGATTAATATTAATCATGCTAATTCCAGAAAGTTCTTTAAATATACCCAGATTAATCAATCAAATATATCCAATGGTAGACTTTTGTGGCGCTACAAAATTTACTTAGTCATTACTGATTTATGACATCACAGTTGCCTATATAGTAGCTAACCCTTAAAAATAATATTCATTTATTCTACATTTTAAAATATTACAAAATAAATATATTCTTCTTATTGAAAATCTATTTCATTGGAATCTGAATCATAAATGCCCTGCTGTGTTTTAAATCACATATCCATGTTCATTGTTCAGCATACATTACACAAATACTGTACATTATTCATCATCAGTGACTGCAAATTATGTATCATTTTACAGGTGCTAATACGAGGTAATGGATCTAATAATATAGGTAAAGTTATGTATTTCAACTAAGTGAAACACGCTCTGGAGAGGATGTCCATATTATGGCCCATAATCAGTTAGTCATTGAGTTGGGCATTGGGCAATGACATACAAAATATTATATCACGACTACCAAGCACGCCCATTTTTGATTGGTCAAACCAGGGTCACATGACACAAAAGTACATGTGTGCAGTTTCCTCATGTGATACAATAAAACAAATATTTCATTCTATTTTTGGTGAATATCCGTGGCACACTCATAAAACATTTAAAATATGTAAAAGACATTCGCCTCAATAGAATGAAAACTTGCATATAAGTGAACATATACAGCTAATTGTATATTTACCATATTTACAATATACACATTAATATGGGAAATGAAGCAGGGATTGTCCTTGTAATCTGATACATGTACATAAATTCCCATGGTAGTATTTCAATAGATGAGGTTCACCAGTAATGACACAAATTACCTGCCTGAATCAGTATCTCTCTTAGAATTACAAGTTTAGTTTAATGTTCATTGTATTTGGGTCTGATAAGAATATTTCAATAATCTCATTCAAAGTCAAATCAAACTGAAAAATAAAAGATTAAAAAAAGTTGATCCGTTGAATAAGTGAATGAATATATAAAACCTCATTTTTTATTATGTGCTGACAGGTTCATCTGATACAGCATATTTTTGCTGTGCCCTTTGGTGTATAATTTTATAGACTAAGAAATATCAAATATACATTCGGCTTATTGTTTTAAATTGTGTTCCTTACAATCAAATCTAAGTTACATCTAGTATTATCTACAGTACATGTATGTAAGTAATTATAAAACTAAAATCCCTGGCATGAAAGGGTTAATAATGTTGAATCAAGTCAAGCTGTTATTCAGCCGAGAGTAAGGTAGACCATATACAATGAAATATCATACTCATATTTATACACTAGGCCTACCTTAGTTGAATATATAAGCCTGCTGCCATACATTACGTTTCAACCCTGTATGCAGAATCACAGTCAATAAGACTAAATACACAAATATCATTGGAAAAAGCGTCCACTCTTACAACTGCGCTTTCCTAATTACATAACTGGCAGCCTACTTTACAAGATAGCTGCCCTGATGACATGATAGGCTATCTTCATTACATGATAATTTACCATCATTACATAATAGGCTAATCTAGGATGATTGACACAAGATGACAAGGATATCCAAAGTATCTCATACATGAAATCCATATCTTGCGCTCCCAAGGTGCCAATGTTCTAGCCCAAACTGATCATGCTATGCAGCAAGCATATAGGGCCTACATGTAGCTGTTGGTCCATGGCCAGATCATCTCGTACAGATAAGATCATAATCTCAGTATGTACAGGAACATTACAACTAGTCTGTCATTCATTCAGGTGTAAAATTGTCACTTTCGTATATACATAGTATGGAGTATAACATGATTTCATTATCCAATCTTATTCCCATTCACAACAGATTAATTCATTCGAGCATATACAACCTCCTGAGATGCCAATACTGGATATGCTAATGTTACATCTAACTGGTCATTATGTTCAGCTAGTGACACCTGTTGGTAGTGAACCACTAAGTCTAGAAGTGTTTCGTGAATGCAGTATGGCTCAGTAAATCCAAACCCAGTCTCTGTTTTCTTTATAATACAATTCCCTATTTCACCACCTTGATGCCTGAAAATATATAAATAAAAAAATTATTTTAATTTTATTTTAGTGTTAGTTTTATTCAATTTTAATTAACACTACAATTATAAACATTGAAATGTAACCATGTAATATTTAAATATAGTCTATCATCTATGCATATCTATCTCTGCCGTGGTAACAGGCCTTCATATCTAAAAATGTTATTCTAATTGTGTAGTCAAAATAAGTCTAGACGTATTACGAAAAAAATGTATGTTTAATGAAGAAATAAATATATAATACCAATAACAAAAATTATGTTTATTTATATCAGTGTTATCTGATGAGTGCCAATACAATAATGTATAATGTAAGACTATGGCGACGAATTGACGTGATTCTAAAAAATGGCATATTTTTGAGGGAAGGATTTTGAGTTATCTTTATCATTTTGGGGTATTTACAGTGTTTAGTGCAATTTTAAACACTAAGAACTACATTTTTAATATTATTCGATTAATAGGTTTATTTTTTTCATTTCAAAGGGTTCATTTAGGACTGTTTGACAATGTAAATACTTACACAATAGACAGCGCAAAGCAGCCACGTTGAGTTTTACTTTTGCGTATTAAAAATGTTCCGTTTGGTTTCCGAGTGAGTAACTTTATTGCATCTTCTCGCCCGCATTCTACTAGCCATGTGCTCTGGTCGTAGTGGGGGAGGCGTTCAAGGGTGGTCTGGGGGGTGGACACAAGGTTCCTCTCCCCCTCATTGTAATTCTCCTCAAGGTGTTTATCTATCTCACTAGACCTAACACCATTGTCAATAAGCCATCTGAAAATAGAATTGTTAACATGTCTACTAATGTCATTCTCATTTAAACAATGGGGATTCTATCAAGCAGAAATTCCCATGTTTGAACCATACCTATACTGAATGATTAGAACAAATCAGCATAATTATATGCATCTGCATGGAAAATGCCATGTAATCTTGTCAATAGTATGCAATCGAAAAACTGAGTTTGGTGCCTGGGATAGAATTCTAAAAATAATTACTGTCGGCTTCTTTCCAACATGTTCAGCTAATTGAGTAAACAGTTAAAATCATTCAACAATCATTTATAAAATAAAACAATTTGAAGATTGTTATTTAGTAATTTTTGCAAAATCAAAAAATCTTATTTGCTTACTTTCTGTATTGCTCTCGTTTTTTATGTAGTCTTTTAATTTCAGGTTTTAAGCTGTTCATCTCTGCAATCAGCATACGTATTTCTGTTGTCTCGTTTTTTAAATCAATTTCAAGTCGCTTTTTACTCTCTATGATATCATTAAGCCGCGTTTGTAGTAACAGAAAATTATCCTGTAATCTGAAACAATAGGAATATTACATTTAATGAGGATAAACAATTCCATATTTAATATGAGTATTTTTCTTTAAATATAATTTTGTATAAAACTTATTATGATAAAGAACATTAAAACTTAATTAATGCATTAACCTTCATTGCATATTTTTGTTACTATGACACCTGGTGAATTTAATGGTTCATTTACCATGAAGTCTTGGGGGAAAGAAAATGGCCAAATATTTTAGATATTGTGGAATCAAATGTTCTTACATTATCATGTGTTTTCATGTGTCAAATTAGATACCATATTGTATAATAGTTTCCTAATATCTTTTTTGACATCTTATAAGATTAATGAACAATTTCGAAAATTCTTACTTTTGTATTTCATTAGGCGCAGCCTCTTTTTGGAATTGTTCGTGTAAGTTCATCTGATCTTGGAACACGGAGACAGTTTCCTTGAAGGCATCCAGAGCTTGGTGTTTCAACTGAAGCTCTTGAGTTGTTTTTGAATGCCGTTCAAAATGTTTATCATACTGATGAGTTTTTTCTAGGTAGCTTTCATTAATGTCAAGTATATTTTTAAACATATCCTCTATACTCTCTGGATTGACTTCATCACCCTGAAAATAGAACTATCTTTTTAAAATTCAAATATATTGTTTTTAGAAAAAACATAGAAACATTAAAAACATTACATTAATCAGAGACATCCCATTTCAGGGTATATTCTGTTTAATTTCAATTCATAATTGTACACGGACCAAAAAAAACAGAAACAATAAACTGATGTTACAAATGTCTGCTAATTGTAAATATTTCAATGGGCTCTAGACTACTATCTAAAATGTGCCAAAAAGGAATCAAATTGCTTATATACAGTGAATGCTCCCAGTTTGAGAATGATCTTAAATGAGCAAAAACATTGATTATTCAAATTGAACTAAAATATACTTTGAAACACACTTAAAAAACAAACGTAATCTTCTAATGACTTACCTTATCAAATCGTGAAATCGGATGTTGCAGAGTGACATCTAGTGTCTTGTTATATTGGGCCAACGAGTTGGACCTATAGTGATTAATCAAATCTACGACTGATTTGAATTCATAGGGCTCTACGAAACCATACCGTTGATTCGCGTGGAATATTTTTATCAGCTTGTTGCTCCCTCCTTTCCTGTAAAGAACATAATGTTTGCATTAGAATTATTTTCAATAACCTTTAAGCAATAATCCTGGAGAACAATATATGTTTTATATTCCATTAAAAATTGTTTAACATGTTTGTAAATGATACAAAATATGGAATGTGACATTACAAGTTATAAAAGCGCATTGAAATATTTTAAAGGAGGGATATCCATATCAAATTTATGATTACAAAGATTACTCATCAGAGGAAGTTTTCATTTGCTAAAAAGATGCTCTTCTATATTAGTAGACTGCTTCTTATGAGAATGAAAATAAAAATCGTAAATTATGATCACCTACCTTAAAGTCAAGGTGTAATCCCCATGAGCTTTTGTTGATGCATCTCTCACGAGAAAAGTTCCATCGGGCATATCTCGAAGCTTATCATTCACTTCCTCTCTGGATATATTTCCCCAATACCAATCTGCTTCACTGAGTGAAGCAGCACTACTGGTAGTAGCTGGCACAGGTGAGGGGGCATGGTCCAGTGGTCTAGGTTTAGGTGGTCTTGGTGGCACCGCTGAATTGAAATGTTTTTCCATGTTTGAGTAAGCTCTAAAATGTCTGATGTTACCAGGCTCTTATCATATATAACAAATCAAAAATAAAGTTGCTAATTTTATAAAATGGGAGTATCCTTATTATAAGAATTAGCACTCAAACTTATAACCAGGGTATTCTATTTAGGAGAATTGAATACAAATGCATTAAACTTGTTGCTATAGATATAAGTAAACAATATTGCCTACATTATTAATTATCAAAGCTGTTGCTATAGAAACAAGTAAACAATATCATATAATGTTATTTTTTATGTTCTTACTTGGTGCAGGCAGTTTCTCTCCCCAGTCTCCTCCTTGCAGAAGGTGTTCAAATATAGCAATATGCAGCTCTGTGTTGTACACAATCTCTCTGAAAATATTGCACCAATATAGAATATACAAAGGTTATGAACTGGAAGTTTTATTCAGATTTTATTCTGAGGGAAATGTTTGTATTTCTCAAGGAACTGCAGGGAATTTAATACTTTAATACTTAACATCTTGGAAATCTGAGAATTTAAGATGTTTCCAAATACCAAATAATCCAATACACCCTAATAATCATATTGACTGTAGTCTACATGATCTAGCTGTGAAAAAGTAATTATCTAGACAAAACTAGTTTAAACCAGTTCTTACATGATTTTCTCCCAACTAGGTCGAAGAAGGATATGACAGAAGACCTCTGCCAAGAATGTAAATGGTTTCTGTTGACGTATAGTCTCCTGGTGCTGGCAAATACGACAGAAATGTCCCATTAAGTAAGCTATTGTTGACTGATGATGAGGCGGTAGTTGACTGACTAAATCAACAAGGGACTTTCTACACTGCTCGGGGTCTGATAGTCCTGGAGAATAAAAAATATCAAAATTGTAAAATATATGATGAACATGGTTAGGGAGAAATAAATATATTCATAATATGAGACAAATAAAAACACAAGTACAATGTCCTAAAATGTATCATATAACCATAACATTCGACAAATCAAAATACTAAAAATGTATATGTACATGGTAAGTGACAACAATTACTTGATCAAGTACTCAATATACATTGAGACATCATAAAAATTTATATCGTAAACATAAATATGTACATGGTCAATAAACATTACTGCAGAGAGACACACTGACATGTGCCTGTTTATAAAGACAATACTGAACCACAAAAGAATTGTCTAGACATTTCATAATAAGGAAATTGATTGAATAAAACACGATTGAAATATAAGTCGAAGAAAACATCTTGAGTGTTCCCATTCTCAGTCAATAAACTCAATTGAACATCTCCAAGTTAAATGCTGACATCAAAATGCTGACACCCAGACTGACAACACAGGGGATGATGATATTGCAACAGTAGCATAAAAGAAAGAAATACACCACAGTATGCTCAATGAGTAACTAGAAGGATCAATAAATAAAAATAAATAAATTTCAATTGGCATGAAAAATAGCTTCATATAGTTCAGAATTTTAGTGTAAAGCCAAACATATTAAGGTGAGCTAACAACAATATGGGTCAATGGATCAATACAGAAAAACGTATCATGAAGCTTAGTTTGGTACAATCATGGTTAGTGACTGCTTTTCTCAAACGACGGTGAACCCAAGAGTTCATTTGGAAAAAGCAATAGCAACATTTTTTTTTCAAAGTAATGACTTTTATTTACATATCGCCTGAGATGAATCCATACTGGAAATCGTGTACCATAATATTTGGGAAATGTTATAGTTTATGACATGAACAGAATGTGTGTTGAGTGGAAACATTGTATTGAATCTGTACTTACTAGCAGCATGAATAAACTTGTCATAAAATATGACAGGTATCACCGGGCTGGGTAACTCTCTAAGGTACTTCTTTACTAATCCAGCAATACTTTGTAAGCTGAATCCCTCAAGGTTCAAATCTTCATTGTTTTCTGTAATGCAAAAATATATATAGTTTGGTCTTTGTATTATGAAAATCCAAACACATAGTACATGTATAGTACAATGTATTATAGGTTGAGCCACCTCGTAAAATATTATTATGTTTCAGCATAGTGAAAAAAATCAATTTAATATTATGGTATATGTCGTACTAATTTAATGATACTATTTAGTGATACTATTGATCCTTTAGACTTTTTTACAGAATAAGGAATACTTAGGTTTATGAGAGAGGACTTAAATACATGATTAACATGTGCCATCAAAGTGGGAGAAAATCATTTCAATGTCCACTTACTGAAGGGAGTATATGAGATATGGTTTTAATCTTGGAGTAAAACAATCCAGTAATAAAAACAGTTATATATGAACACCATACCTTCATTGAAGAGACTCTTCAACTGGTTGATCTTATCACTAGAAGCTGTGGCTTTATAAGCATTGAAAAGATCGTCTCCACTTTGTTTCCCTCTCTCCTCTATCTCTTGGGTACATCTGATGAGAACAGAAGGGGCACTTTGCGCCTCAACACTGAACTGCTGGTCCAATGTTATACCAAAGATTGAACCTGGAAATCCATTAAAGAAGGAATTAAATAGTAATTAAAAGCAACATGTACTGTATGTACATGTAAATCTATAATTGTAATCTTTGTTCTTTATCCTTCCACAACTGTTGATAACTGAGACAATTCCTGATTGTTATTACTGAACAAAGCTAAGACATCAATAATGATGAATTGATAGGTAACCTGGATAATTATTGATATGTCCAACTGCCAAACCAGATATTGAGTTTTATTCCATAGTTAGCATGATATTTATAGGATAACATGTGAAAATAAAAACGGTATTTTTGTAATCAGTGGTAAAATATGATATTTTTGACAGATTTTCACTTAACCATAACATACGGTTTTTTAGCCATGACATACGACGTCGTATGCGATGGTTTATGGATTTTTGCTACTTCAGACTCAAAACGAGGCTAAGTGTCAACATCGCCGGATCGTTTGGAAATTCGAATTAAATAACTTAATTTTCGACGATTCTGATGATGACTTTAACTATGGAATAAAAAGAACATCCTATGATTTACTCGTGATATGATTTTAATCCACTCATGGATATTGATATCTACACTCTCTCGCTACGCTCGCTCGTGCAGATATCATATCCATTCGTGGATAAAAATCATATCACTCATAAATCATAGGATATCCTCTATATAAATGGTGAATAGATTAAAGGTTATTTTTTATGGTAACTCAGGTAATTTTTCGTAAAATAAAAATGATAAATAAAAAAAAAACTGATATTTTCCAATTTTTTGTAAAAAATTTATAAAACAGTACTTCAGAATCATAAATGATTGTACTTACTGTAACTTAAGCTGTCCCGTCTGAGCTTCTCTGTTTTTTCACGACTGCATTCTGGGACTTGCTCTGCTGAGCACTGGCGGTGACAACACAAGCCACACTCTGAAATCATCAAATCACGCAAGTTATTTAAATTCTAAATCTATTTTCCCAGTTTGTCTTATTGGTAATTGCTCCCGGATTATATCATACTATTTTACAAAAATATAGCTATTTAAAGTGTTCTAAAAATATTTTTAATATAGTTACTGATTCAACAATTTCACATGTTATTTGCACATAAATTTTCCCATAGACCACAGCTTCATTTTACATTTCATATTTTATTTCTATTATTTTCAAATGTTCATAATGTGTCACATGACATCAATGATTTTTGTACTGTAACAACTAACAATTATAGGATACAAGAAACAACAAATATCATTTCTATCAATCTAAACAAAATAAAAATAATTTTATGGATTTTATGGATTAGATTTTATGGCGATGGTAGGCATTAAAAGTACATCAAGTACATGTACGAGTATATCCATTCTAGGGGGGTCATCATTGACTGTTGTATTAGTGCAAAAATTGATAAAATATCTTCTTACAAGTATGTTGTACAAGTACATCATCGACTCATTATTGTAAATCCATTGATAAACTTGACATTTAAAATGTAATTTTGGGTTTGATGTTTAAAGTATATTTGTATAACATGTAATTTCAGTTTCTGAATAATGATTTTGGTTTCCATGACTTTCCATTGACAATAAAAAAGTAATATCACGTAATAAATATTTAATGGTAACAAAAATTACGAACATCAAAAATAATTAATTTCTGCATATAACATACCTTGACACTGATAACCCTGGCGCATAAGGCCGAGTAAGAATTTCTCACATAGATGGCATTGTTGTAGGGAGGAGAAGCTGTATTCTACAAATGAGTGGTCTGTTGCAGGACAGCATGCTGGAATACACAATATCATGCATGTAATGACTGAATACACAATTTCATATATATAGTGAATATATACAATATCATATTTTCATTTGGAATACACATGTATTAATATGTAAGAAATACATAATATCATACATGTAATGATTGAATACACAATTTCATATATGGAGTGAATACAATACAAATATTGAGTGATGTTGAGTGTAATACCTGTATATATTTCTGAGGGTGTATTCCAGGCAGCCCGAAGGGCAAGTGGAATACATCCCCCAGAAATATATACGGGTATTGCACGAAACTGAATTCAATATTTGTTTTATTATTTCACTCATTTACTTGTATATCAAAATCTGAGTAGAAAAGAAGAAATACATATTACAGTTGAACAATATTCATTAATTAACTATATAGTGTCTCAAAAAATGAAAATTCGATAAATAATGCCATATGTTTTCAATAGCCTAGACATGTGATGTCACATTCATTGAATATCTGTATTTATTTATTTTAAAATACACCTTTCACATCGATGACTTATACATGGATGGAATACCTTGTGGTATTTTTAGTCACATGGTACATGACTGACCAATCACAAACTGATTATCACTACAGGGAAATAATAAATACAATTATCATACTTTTGTTGGGAATACACTTGAACATTTTTTCTTGCCAACCTGATTGGCCAGTCCCAGTTTTAGACCGCACTTTAGAAAGGTTTTAATGTACTTAACATAGATTTTACGATTCTTTGGATAGGTTTTACTGACTTTAAATAGGTTTTACAATACTTTAGAAAGTTTTTACGTACTTTAAATAGGTCTTACTGTACTTATCCATCAAAGAACCTTGAAAATTGCTTGACAAGCTGGATAATTCTTAGGGTCTATATTGATTTGTATTATAATATTAGACTGTAGACAGTGTGCATGCTCTCTATGACTGGGCCTCAAGGTTGCACTCTAATACTCAGTCTATGGCCAATATCAATATTTGACACCTATAGTACTTTGTGGTTACAGAAACAGCCCTTTCAACCACAAATCCCACAGTCAAAGAGGAATTTACATAGCTTTATATAACACATATACATGAACAATAGCCCCAATTGAAACAAATTTCTTAAGGCCAGGTGAACATAATGGTGGTAAGTCATAAGTGGAATGCACCAGTATACCTCTTGAGCAGAGAAATTTCCAGAATGCAGCTTGAAATCTGGGGTTCAGGAAATTGCCTATTTAGATAAGTTGAGATTTCAAAGAATGCTTTAGAGATGTTGGTTTAAAAGAAAGAGCCAATATTTAACAATGCTAAATATAGCCAAAATGAGTTATTTTTATCTGCCATTTGGCTCAACACCAAAAGGATCTGCCTAATTTGTCAGACAGATCAGCCTAGAATCATTAAGATTGACTTATTTTTCTTTGAGCTATACTCAAGTATATACAAAATAGACAGTATATACAAAATACCAAGCATTGCAGAAATGCTTTCATGAAGTTGAGAGAGCAAATAGTAAATTCTATATACGGGTATATGTGTTTTATTAACAAAAGCTAAGAGGCATTTTTTCTGGTTGTTTCACTAACATAGACCTGTTTTGAGGAATTTTGCTCGTGTTTCTGTGAAATCCAATAAAACACATGAAAAGGAATCTATTTGTTGAAAAATATGTTAACCCTCATATCAGCTATATCTTCACATGATATTCAATATTCAGCCTTACAATCATGGGATAAATTTCTATACCATGTGAGACTAATAAGTACTTTACAGATCGATGAAGAAAAGCTCCAAGAAAACTAGGTGAACTTTTCTATTCAGCAAATATTCAATAAAAATGGGTTAGGTTTTCCATAACAATAACATCCATGTTAATGTTGCAGTGGAATGATTTTCCATAAAAACATTCTCAGAACATACATAGACCGAGTATATTTTCAGTATTAAGTTATGCCATCAGAATTGCAATTCAATTAGATCTGGATGAAACATTACTAGGATATCCTGGCTGGAAAAATAATTCACTCAATAATATGACAGGTTTAGATACCTTGGAATGTTTCATCATCAATCAATTGATTTTAAAATGAATGTGAAGTATAGTGACTGATCACAAAAAGGTGCAATTTCATATAATCTGAACTCAATCGATAGGAAAACAATAGGTATCAATGTTTCAGCCATTGCTTTCTTCAAAGGAAATGTAACAGAAGTAGCTGTCCCAATGGAAAATGTCCTCCTCATAAATGGCCATGACAGAATGTAAACTAATAAGTGAAATTGATGTAATTTAGCCACTGCATCAACCAACGAAATTGGACACAATAAGTCCAAAAGATATAACCCTTATCATTTTACCAACAAAGATGAATTATTTATTTTCACATTTTTTCATGAATAAAATTGCTTAACACGACTTCTCTCCCATCCCACCCACAAACCTAACAAAATTTTAATGTAAAATTAAGAGTATGGTTTTTCTCTTATTCTTCAATTCATATCCTTACCTTCCCCAGCAGCTCCACGAGGTAAAGATGATCCGTAAGACTGCTGAAAAACACAAATCACAAAAATTGAATATTTACATAAATGGATAATGACATATTTTAGACAATTCTTCTAATCTTGAAAATTGTTACTGCCTTTTTACATCACACATGAATATTCTATAAATTCCTGGTTATTATTAATATCTATATTGTAAGCAAAATATACCTGGTAGAGTTACATATAAAACGAGGGGGCTAATACCAATTAAAGTGACATGTATATAAATACTATATAAATATTCAACATGAATATGCTTTCTACTTGACACCAATTTAGATACAGTATAATATAGACAATTGAGTACAAGGTAATTCCATGTAATCTATTAAAAGCCCATGATATAATTAAAGGTAAAAATATTGCCACATCTCAGAAATTTTGTATCCCTCTTTCATCAACTTAAGCTATTTTCTACAATGCAGAAGTCCTAATACTAACTTTTATAGGAACTTAATCAAACGATTAGAAAGTTTTTTTTCTCGAAAAATCACTTTAGATATGTATACCTTACCTAAGAGAAACACCTCAATGGCTACCTCTAGCTCTTAATAAAAGATAAATCATAGATCATTCTTCATTTTTCTAATGGTGATAAAGAACATATTATTTTGTTAATCTAAATGTTGATTGAAATTGACCTTTCGAACCTACAGAAAATGATATAAACTAGGTGGTATCTTCAATTTTTGCTAATACATCTATTGGATATGAGTATATTTAAGTCCCTGGGAATTAGCATATATAATCATGCTATCATCATCTTTATCAATGATATGTACCTGCATGATGTACAGAATTAATAATATCATATGCAATTATAATGCATGAAGCATAGCAAAGTGACGGCAATTATTATCATTTTAATATGTAAGGCAAATCTGTGTGGGCAATGTCAGTGTCTCATATTTGGATTGAATTTCTAATTGTATGTATTTGTGTTTTGTATCTCGTATCTGGATCGACTACATGATGCAATTGATGAGTTATAATCCTGGCTTGACATTCTGGAATGTGCTTTAGGGTTAATGTTGCATTTCTAGACAGAACTTGATTGGTGATGATCAGGATATACTGTCAACAACATGTACACAAACAAAAATAACTATGTGCTTATGTTTTCAGGATGGATAAAAACATTTTTCAGTTGATTTATTGATTTTTGAAAAATATTTAAATATTTATCATATTTTATCAGTTTATCATTGATTATAGATCCAGGACCAAATTAACAACTGGTTTAAGGCAGTGGCGTAGCCAGGATTTGTCAGGAGGGGGTTCTAATATTTTCTGCCAAATTTGCCAAATGTGCTTAAATTTTGCCAAATTTGCTTAAGTTTTGCCAAATTTGCTTAAATTTTGCCAAATTTGCTTAAATTTTGTTTCAATTTTACCAAATTAGCTTAAATCTTGCCAAATTTGCTTAAATTTTGCCAAATTTGCTTAAATTTTCCCAAATTTGCTTAAATTTTGCTAAATTTGCTGAAATTCTGCCAAATTTGCTGTATGTTTGCCAATTTACCTCAATTTTGCCAAATTTGCTTAAATTTTGCAGTTTTCTTAATTTTGGTCTAATTTAATTAATTTTTGACAAGTTTCTAAAATTATATTTAAATTTTGCCAATTTTACTTAAATGCAAATAATGGATAAATTTTGCCAAAGTTTCATTGTTGCCAAATTTTCATAATTTTTGCCCATTCGCTAAAATTTAAAATTTTACCAAATTTTCTCAAGTTTACCAAATCTCAAACAATTGCAAAAGCAAAAAATAGGTAAAATATCCCAAGACCAAGTTCATTTATTTGGGCAGATTTTTTTAAATTTGGACCCAACATACCACAAATTCACAGAAATTAGCAGACATAGAACCCCCTGCCCCTCCCCCCAATTTTAAATCGCTTGTACAACGAGCTTTATAAATAAATAGGAGCCAAAAATCAGTAAACAACTCTGTGTGAGTGATCTTTATACTTGCTCTCTGATCTAGCTACAGCATGAAAAAATAAGAACGTTGTAAGTAAGAATTTTCTAGCGTTCACAATTTTGGTGCATCACGGCCCAGTGTCACAACAAAATTCTCTGTAGATTTATATCAAAAATTATACCATTTTGACGTTATGTACAACAATCAGATAATTTCAACTTGGTAGGTATGCTTTGTTTGTGCATTGGAATTCATTTTGAAGATATTACTTCAGTATTTCAGGCCTAAAGTGCAAAGAGCATACCTATTATCGCCCATTATTGATAAGAAGTTTTTTGTTTTTATGTTTTTTTTAAAATCTTTTTTACTCAAAATGAAGCTATAAATCTCACATATTTCCATCTTCACATATAACTCAATTGTCTTTGGGTAATAAAAAACGATAAATTATTGAGACTGCAAAAATTTTACTCAAAGTTTGGAGGTTTGCATAATTGCCAGAAAGGGTGGGTTCGAATTTTTTTTAGGCAAGATTTGGGGGGGGGGGTTCGCACGAGCCCTACGAACCCCCTCTCCCTACGGCCCTGTAAGGTACACTTTGATGAAATTTCATGACCATGTCGGCAGTGCGCGAAATAGACGTCCGACATCGGCCATTGGCCTGACAAAATTATGGATGGCTTGTTTTGATAAAAACACCAAGACATTTTGGCCTGCTAGACATTTGTGGCATTCGTTAGATTGCCCATGAATAGAACTTACATATCAGTCCGGAAATCCTCCGAATTCCCTGCGTTTTCGGCTTATTTCATGACTTTTGTTGAAGATTGAAAAACATTTCAAAATATTTTTGTTTGGTACCGAAGCACAAGATATAACGTGACTTTCGATTGGCTGTTGTTGTTTGTTGAAATTACAGTGATTTTGATTGGCTATGAATGACTCATTTCTTAATTGTCGTTCGCAAATCGAGTGCATTATCAGTATGCCGGATGTAGGAAAGAAATTGAAAAATCGAGCCGGCATCTAAGTCGAAAAAGTCGGCAGTTTGGAAGTATTTTGGGACTCCGATATCACAAGGTAAACGAATTGGTGATAGTACACCATGCAGACTATGTGAAATGCCGATCACATTCGCGGCAGATGCTTTATGTTTGATTTAATTGACATATTTCTGAATGTGATTTTGAAAAGCATGAAAGTGAAAGTGAAAGTGAAACTGTCATCATCAGACGATTGTATCATTTTTAGTGTTCTGTCTGTCCCGTCCCGTCCCGAAAGTACCGTATCCCGAGACCATTTGTACCGATCCAAACCGTACCGAATTTTTTTGACCGTGACACCAATAATATATACCTTGAATTTTAGTGGAGTCTGTGTACATAATATGTGTTTTTGAATACCTTGAAGCTTCTGATTTCTGAGCAATTCTAAACCGACCAAAATCAGTACAATTTAGTTTGATCAATATGTACATGTTCCTCATGTTTTTGCAAGGTGAATCTAGGGGGGGGGGGATCAACACACTCAGGCTGTTGGTTAAGTCATCAAGTACGGTATAGTGAATGATACATGACATGCAATATGCAATTAGTTTTATCTTTGTTAATATTGTACTAAACTAAATCTCAATTTAGAGTGGTTGTGGAGAAATATGGTAAGTGAAATTGTTGGCCAGAGAAGGAAGAAACAGCCTGCCAAAAATTGGCCTGAGAAAAAATGATATGGCTTGTTAAAATCTGACAGGCCTGCCAAAATGTCTAGGTTAAAAAAATCCTTATTTCATGCACTGTGACATGTGCTATTTTTTTTCAGATAAACATAACTCATTCCACACATCATCTACATCTTTCATTCTTGCACAAAAGATGCATTGGTGTTCCTAGACTATTAATTGAGGGTTGATAATTCTTCAGAATGTTTGAATAACTAGAATATTCAGTGGTTTACTTTTCAAAATTAAAAAAAAATTCGAAAGTGCACTCTGGCCTTGAACAGTTTTTAATGGAAATATCTTCAATTATTTTTCTGATTACTGAAAGAATGTCAGGATACATAACACGTGAATGTAACATGTGAAAATGAATTCTATTCTTACCTGTTGGGGTATAAATACAATATCCTGGCAAGAATCATAAGACATATTATCCACTGATTCTAAATACGTTCATGCTCATATATCCTTTTCTATCCAGTAATTAGTTAATGAAATATTTTATACTGTACTGCATATTGGGCATGTTTAATAAATGTTTCATACTTCCGTCCAGTCTTTCTTATCACTCAACTCGTGCAACCTTTCTTCTGTCTGAAGAGTTCTGTTTGCAGACAGACTCCTACCCAATCATGGTGCAGAATCTATGACCTTTATAGATTATGTTCGACATACAATCGACTAAATACATACTGCATCAAGCAGAATTTAATAGAATCAATAGAGTCTTTCATTAGTTGCTCAATAGAACATTCGATTCTTTTCTTCACTGTTTAAATCTCCTGGACTCTTTGGTCTATTATAGGATATTGGGCAATACCTGGTTTTTCACCTAAAAGCCTTTCATACAATTGAGGGAGGTACCCAAATTTTAACCCCAGTAAGCTCATTATATGTTCACTAATTCCGATTGGTCCTCAACCTTGACAAATAATAACTTTATGAGATATTGCATAGTCACATTTACTGTTATAAAGAATGTTTAGCCGGTCTCCAGGAACCCAAATGAACTTATCCATGTAAGTTCAAGGACTACGACTGGACATTGATTGAGTTTGACAGAATGAATGCACTGGGGTTGATTAATCCTTTTGGGAGATTTATATATCAAAAAGGTAGCAGGCAGAAACGGATTTGAAATATAGAGACACTTAACTGATTTACAACAATCGACAATGAAATATATTAAATATATATCACTGTATGGATTAATATAAATCTTTATTCAGAATGCATGCTGAGTACATGATGAATGTGATTCCGAATGTGATGATGCCATGCCAGCAGTATGAGAGCATTCACCTTCTATTTAGTTCACTGATTTTAAGTCCCAAGGTGATTCTTTTGTGCCAAAACAGCTCACAAATTGGAAAAAGGCACCATTCATCGAGTTTACATGGTAAAAAGGGAATTATTTATATTATGTATGATTTAAAAGAAATTAGTAAAATATGGATGACGGATGCATTGGTGATTCTATAGGCTCACGATATAATCTAAAAAGTGTCATCAGGGGACTCTTTAATGAAACGTCTTATAACGATTTGTCTACATTGACTTAGGGGGCATTCTATAAATCTACAAAACTGTCAAAAAATATAAACTTTTGAACTTGCACAATGATATCTTATATTGATATTCATCTGTATCTCATTAATTAATCATCTTTCTGAACAATAAGTGGTGGCTTTTAATACTGATAATTAGATATTCACAATAAAAACATTATGATACCATCATGGGTTGTCATGATGTTCTCCAATGTTATGTATGCTTTAGTATATTCATAAACATAAACCATGAACATGAATTTAAAGACCCTGTGTACATTGTGGGATTCACATGGTGTTTGGATTTACAAGTTTTTCTATATTCTACAATTCTCCCAACTACATGAAAGAAATAATCTAACCTTTCCATTGTTCATTTAAAAGTTTTTAAAGACAACTTTTATCTTCATAATATTTTAAAAGTATCAATTACAACGCCCTATGCCAGAGGGGTCTTTTACAAGCCTACAAGTCAAATTTTGTTTTGAAAAGTGACATGACAGATATCAACATAGAATAATAAAAACAACCAATAAAAGAGGCAAAAATAGATTGAAAGAAAACACTGCAAATTAACCTAGTTTACACTATACAATTAACTGTAAAATCTTAAGAGAAAACTCAAATTTGGCTCAGTTTAATTTATTTTTGAAATAGCACCTGGTGTTTTGCTCTGGGGAAAACTCTTGACAGATGTTTTTTTTATCTTCTGACCTTGATCTAAAAAATCTGGCAGTATAGGTTATGGTAACTTAGCAACCATCAACTGCACTCAAGTTCTAGGCCAATGAATTTGAGAAATTCTACAAACATTTATCATTTAACACTTATAGAATTTCAAGAACCTTTTTTTAGAAATTGCAAACTGCATTGGCAAGCAGAAATAAAACTGATATTTTAAGCCCGAAAAAGCTCAAATCAAGGTGCTCCTATTTGTATCATGGCAAATATAGAGATTTCAGTATAAATACTTGTCAAGGCAAAGTAATATATCATTTAAATGTTGGCAACAAATTCAATGTTTCCATTATGTCTCTAACAAAAATTGTTATGTAAACAAAAATTGATGATTTCATTCCACTAGTTCTACCTAACAACAAAAACCTGTTGTCTAAAAAAGAAAACTGAATTCAGCTTTTATGACTGTACGCATAATTTACAGTCTGCCCAAAGTTATGAGAACATGGTCTTATAAATACTGAACAAAAAGAAATCTAATGAAAAAAACTTGAAGAGCACACTGCAAAGTCTTGGAATTGACCAACAGTGTTAATTTAACTGCATCACAGATTTTCATATCCATAAAACAGAATGCAAAAGCAATAAAGAGTTATACGAGTATAACAAGGCTCATTTTATCACGATTAAAAGCTAAAATTGTCCTAAGAAAACTCACCATTGATTGTCTTTTACTTAGTTCATCGACACACAGCATTATCGCTTTCCTGTCGTAGTCATCATGAATTTCCATATCCTGAAATACATAAATATCACATCACGACAAGTTTAAAATAAATTTATCCTGAGACTTCAAATGTCGTAAGTAAAAATGGCATATAATAATTAGGATAAGTTCAGATTTAAACAGCATCATCTTTCATATCATGAAGATTATTGTACAACTTGAAACTCACTATCTGTTCTTCTAAAAACATTGTTTCTGATTTTATGAAACACATATATATATTGTCATTTAATGGGAAGAGTTCCAACTGCCAGTAAATGTGATGTTTATCACCTAATTATTATTATTACATAATAGGCATTGTATTCTGTTGTCACTGTCATTAGATGTCATAACACAGGCACGGGTGATATAACCTCCATAAGTTTAATGATGCCTTATCAAAATTATACAAGGCATTAACTTGTAAAATGTCACCACCTGACATTTGTTACAAACGCCGACCACTGGACTCCAAACACCAAACACCATCCACACTCAGATCTGGAGACTATAACAATATGTCACCATTTCTGGTGGTGACATGAGTCTAAGGAATTGAGATGTCGTGGCAGTCATTCAAGTTTTAATGATGATTTCTACAGAATGTAAATGCGAAATAAATCCTATGGAAACACATTTCAAACATATAATTAAACTCTCAAATCAGAGTTCAATGAAAAAAAATAATAACAAGTTTTGACAAAGATCTGAAAGCCTGCTTATAAAAAGTAAGAAACCTCAAAGAAATTGCACCTAACAATTTAGCCATTTCTATTAAGTAGAATACATTTTCAATTACACCTCTAACATAGGGAGTAACAAGTTTGCTTTTATAAGTGTCCATCTAGTATTTCAAATGAATGTTAGAAAGGAATTACAATGATATTCAAAGAATAATGTGTATATTTAACCGCAACATCATCTGTGCTATTTAACATTTTTAATTCCAAAAAATAACTTTTAAAAAATATTTCAATTCTACAATGATTCATTGATGTAATAACCTTTTCATAATAAATTATCCCAGGGCTTGATAAACAACACGCACTCAACAAGGCACGTCTTAACCATTATTCTCTATTCATTTTGCATGCATGAAAACCACATTCATCTAACTAGCAGAGGTAGTGAGGCTCTAAATATACAGTTTTGCCACTACTTCACTTGACGACAGTTGACTTTCAGTTATTAACTAGATGACTTAAGCTAAAATGCCATTAGTAACAGACACATCAAACGCTGAACAACAACTGCAAAACACCAACTACCGCCAGAAAAAAGTTGGAAACTATAACAATATTTCACCACTTGCATAATTATCATTCTGAAGACATTTTTTCAATAATTTAGCAAAATAACATATCCTCTGTATCTGAATACACTGACATAATATACTTTGCAAAGTTGCTTAAGATATTTTCTAACATCAATTTTCTCTCGGATTTACAAAAATATATATACATACATACATACGAGCTAAAGTGCATCAACTGTTTGAATGATATGAGCAACATGGAGAAAGGTCAAGGTTCTTTATTATAACTATGGCTGAATTTCATATCTGACCAGATGGCAAAGATATGAACATGAACAACCATAATGATAAGTGATATATTGTACTTTTTGAGTACTTAAGGAGCATAGCTGGTCACAACCTGAAGAAATGACAAACATTTTCTCTTTGAATTTTTCCTGTGATATAAAAAAACATTCTTGCTTGAAACTGGAAAATAATATTAAATATAATGCACAAGCATTTGCATAAACAGCGGCAATTCTGATTTGATTTGATTTGAAAACTATATTTATTCTGGGTAGCTCTATCAGTACAAAAACTGGTCTTCCTAGAGGCCCAGTAATAATTTACAATTATTTACAATGTGTACAATAAATATAGAAACATACAAATAGATATATAGGACATATAGAACAATTTGATATATATGCATCTTCAAAGTATGCATTTACATGAAACATAGAGAACAACTTATAAGAGAATAACATAATAAATATAAGGAACAATGTCTTTAAAATGCATTTACATGATTTTCATTTTCTGATCTGATACACTTGTTTATATGCTTTCTTAAAAGAGTTTACAGAATCAGACTCTTTGACGGTCTTATCAAGCTTGTTCCAAAGATGTGAACCACTGTATGATATGCTTTTCTTAAATATTTCAAGTTTTGGTTTTGGTACATAAAGTGAATTTTCCACAACTGCTCTGGTGGCATAATTATGGACAGACTTTGTCTCTTTGAAACAGTTTTGAATATATGGGGGAGAGATGCATGAAATAGCCTGGTACATTAAAATTGATTTCCTATATCTAATCATTTCCTGAATTGGAGTCCAATTTAGAGACTGAAATAAAGTGACACTTGAAATATCGAAATTGGCTCTCAGTATAATTCGTGCTGCCATCTTTTGAAGTTTCTCTAGTCTAGTGCATTTATACAACAAAAATGGCATAGAATCTGAAGAATTTTCAAAGAGAATTTTTGATGACCGGAGTAGTTATTTATAATCAGTAATAAAGAACCATTCTATACATCTCTTACTTAAACACTATATGATCAGACAAAGACACTCCAGGGTATTTAACGTGGAATTTCATATCCAGACGTCATGTTATTCAAGAAATCAATTGCAGGGCCTCAGTTCTTTATAAGATTAAACAGAGCCAATATTATTGATGACGTTAGATATCTACTTTTAGTTAGCTCTTATCGCCAGACAAAATTACAATGGGATATGCTGCGTCAATGAAATTATCAATATATAGATGATGTAACAAGGTATTAACCCAAATATTGTGTTAACCTATATCCTATAATGTCAACACATATAGAAAATAAAATTCATTTCTTCATAGTTATTTGATACCATCCCCACCCCCTCATGAAGGAAGTCCAAAATCAATATTTACCCCCTGAAATCATGATTTACCCCCTCAAAGACTAGGTCAATATTCCGATGGTCTCCTAAATAATTAATTATATTTCACATTGATTCACTGTTGTCTCTGAAAAATATAATAAACCCTACTGATTTTTATCAAATTGAACATTTCTCCATTTTTTAAAAAAGGTTATGACTATTTACTTTCATTCCAAACATAAGTTGATTACGTTTGTGGATTTTTCATAAAAGTACATGGTGCTCTGTAAAAGAACATTACAAAGGTCAGATAGGCTTTACTCTAGTATATACTCATTACTTTGTACTATTAGATTATGATCAGGACTTATGAATTTATTCACTCTTTATGATCATCATTTGATTAATATTCTACTCATAAAATGAGTATCTATTTCTAAAGGACTCCAGCGTGACACAATCAATTTCATTTCTTGTTAGAGTTTCCTTCTCGTTGCAAACATGAAGATGTTAATGAACTAAGTTTATGCCTATTACATTCCTAACTGATATCTTAACCTGCAATATTATCTATATCCTTTTCCCATAAGATGAATGTTAAAAAATAAAAAATATGAGAAATTCAAATGATACACATATAAAAAGTGGTAAATAATCCGTATAATTTATTGAAATTTTGGAGACATTAAATCTAAATTCTTTTGGTTATCCTCAATTCTGGATACTAATTAGCCAATATCTGGGACATTCTGTCAATATATAATGCCACATTTCATGAGCAACAAATAAAGTATTCTAAGATAGAAATGTTGAACTATTACCTGGTTATAAAACATTGTCTCATATTCTGCTTGCTCCTGACTGAAACATTATAATCGTGAACTCCTTATGTTCTTACTCCTTGTAGGTGTAAAATTGCTATTTTTACAAACTCAAGTCAACTGTCATATGAGCTAACACTTGTAAGGCTCCTTGGACATCCATACAAAAGCTAATTCAATATTCTCTGGCGTTTATCATACTGGCATATACATATTATGCAATCCCATCAGGCCTAGTATCTTTCTCGCTTGCTCGCTATTAAATCGGCCGGGTATTTCACAATGATTACCCAGGCACATTTATCTCATAAACCTGATTCACCGAGCAGTCATTGGCTAATGCTTTTAAAGTACATCCACGTCTCTTTTTTCTTTTCATTGCCATTATACGGAACCTTTATAAATCATGAAAGTTTATTCACTTTCTACCACCCCATATTCAGCGCCATTAAAAAGAAAAGCGCACATCAACATTAATCATGTATACATGACCTAGTGTGAATACTGTCACATTTCCAGGGGATGTGTACACCTGTGAAAAACTGCATTATACCAGTATACATCTAACTGACATTGAAATAATTATTTTTTCATTATCATTCACCTTCATATTCCATTGGAATAATAACAACACTTGGATTCTTGTAAAAAAAACCTTGTCAACAGTGCGAAAAGACATATTCGCTTTTGGTTTTCAAAAACGTCATTCCTTAATAATCCAGGATGGCAAGGAAAGGGGTCATAAAAAACTTTCTTTGATGTGTTTCTTGGTTTATGTTTTTAAATCTTTTTTTCCTTAATGTGTTTCATTTAACTTCATCAATTCTACCTTAATTATGCTAAAGATTTGTCTAAATATTAATATTATCACCAGATTGAAAAATGAGTAAACAAGGACAAGGCAAAAATAAGATAAATTAATCAACATTGAGTTGCAATTAAAAGTGTAACTCGTTGTTAATGTGGGTTACTAAACAATTAAGGCTTATATCACATCATTTTTGGTTTTGAAAAAATAATATTTTAGATTTTCTTGAGGGTTTGAGACTAATGCTAAATAATCCCAAATGAATACCTTTTCTTTATTGGGGAGGGGGGGGGGTATACTGAAAAGGTAGACAAATTATATGCACCACAGTTAGTAACTGCAATTGACTGAGCATTTTCTCAAGTATAATTCCAATACAAGGTGTAGTCTTACTCACATAGTTCACTAGGTCGTATAAGGACACACTCTTTAATCAATAATATACTCCAGTCACTTTTTTATACCAATAAAGTGAAATTGATCTTCAATAAAAACCTGAGGTTTATATATTAAAGCCATCATATATCTGTATGTACTTTACTGCACTTTATAGCATTGTAATGTTCTATTTCCTATAGTCATTTAGTACTGTCGTTATACTTTTAATGATGAATATTCCAGTGGATGAATACTAAGGCAAATAAAATAAAAAATATCAAGAGACACAATTTTATCTCTACTGTATAACTTTGACTACCCTTTCCATTCATTGGACTTCACTTCTTAAAAGAGAGCTTCGTCTTCACTCTTTCAGTTTACAATAAATCACTCATCTCACCGAGCCAATCAGAGTTCGTCGTTGAAATATGGACAACTTTCTATATGGTCATTTCCTATGACATCACCGCATAGTTAATGAGCACGTATTTAGCATGCGGTCCTTCTACTTCGTTTATTGGTTGAGAAAGGGTCAGTGTGGTAGATTTGAAATGACCTGACCCGTCACAGGCACCAATATTTGGGGTGGGGCGGGGCTGCTAAACTGTAATATAGTCTATACTTAAGGCAGAGGGTAGTTTATAACTAAACTCTGCACGCAGGGTAAACTTTGACACTATATTTTTCACCAAAGAAGAACAATAGGGATTCAAATAACAATAAATCAACTTGATTATCACAAAAGTGTAAATTATTTGAAAATTATGATTTTTCATAATTCAACAATTACTTCACAGATATTTAACTCTCTACTTATTTTTCTGTTGAAGCACACTTGGCCTGTCCTTCAACCTCTGCACCGAGAACTTTTTCAAACACTGTTTTATTGATCATATTAAATAACACAATGAAAGAGAAGTATATCAGGAAATGGAGTTGATCACATGATACTTTTGTATTGTGTTCATCTTTCTCATATCCATAAAATTAAACTTAAAAGAATAATTGTTTAAAAAAATATTGATAAATAATTGTTTAAAAAGTATTGATATCTGTTGATAAATATATTATACATGTATGTATGAAATGAGACCACAAGCTCTTCATCAAATATCAGTATATTTATAAAATGCAAATGAAGTAAGGCAGACATGACCCGAGTTATTCAATGATTCAAAGTAAATATACAGACACAATATTTTCTGAATTCAATGAGAAAAATATAAGTTGTTCAACATAGACTTAGCTTGTATTCGCGAATGCAACTAACGACTGTCGGCTATCGGATTAACTTGCTATTTTATTGGCAACTCATTTAAATATGTATAGTACCTGCCACTATTCCATTTATATTATAAAATGAGTTAGGTTATGATAGGTTAATCCGGTAGCCGTAAGCTGCTATTTGCATTCGCGAATACAAGCTAAGTCTATGCCCCATGCCATTCTCCTCTTTAACATGTATTTTTCTGATTTTAGGCCATAGATATGATAATGTAGATATAAAACATAGAACGTAAACTGAAGGCTCACAAAGGTCAATGTACAGTGTAAATGCCATTGAAAATCCATTTCAATTTTGTATTAATCATTCATGAATGTAAAGATAAGTGTTCAGGTGATCTTGCTTGAAACATCATGTGTTTCTACACGTGGCTCATTTTGTATGATCAGAGTTCATCTTTATCCAAAGCATGTACTGTAATGAATTCTTGATAGAGCATGGGGTTTCAATAGCAGCAGGCAACAGGCGATTTTCCCCAGTTGTTTTCACAAAATCTCCTGTTGTTTTTAGGGACTTTTCAACTTTTCCCTGTTAAATTCATGATTTCCATTAATTTTGCCTGTTGGTTTCATTTATTTAGCCTGTTGTGAGAAATTCTAGTGAAACCGCTGCTTTAGTGTAGTTCTAGCTGATTAGTCATTTTTGTTCAGGTTCCATTGTCATCATTTGACATGTTATGACATATATTCTAACTAAAATTTGTCCTTACCTGCAGTTGTGCGTCATTGAGATTGAGTAATTGACTGCCTGTGATGCTATATTTGCTGAATACATGTGAGTACGGATAAAGATTGCAAGCAGCCATCCATTCAGTTACATTTGAGACGCTCCATTGTTCCAAAGGCTGAAAAAACACAAAATTTCACAAAACGTTTATATATACTAGTATTTTTAATATATCCTTGAATGTTTTCATTTCAATCAGACAAGAGATACTCATGTAATAAGTAGAATGATACACTAAATCAAAAAAATTAATGTAACACTATTTTTCAATATATACAAAAATATCTTAAAAATCTTAATTATTGCTCTATTTATGATTGTTTTAAAATAGATATTTTGGATTTTGAGATATTTCTCATAGAATTCCAATGAAAATTCTATGAGGCACCAACATGCAAAATGTCACCACCTGCCATTTGTTAGGTGAGGCATTAGGTATTATATGTTCTTCATATGTAATGTTGAGATATTGACTCATACACAAGATAATAAATGGTCTTCCTGAAGGAAAAGTACACACATACTTCAACACTTCTTACAAATTGATACAGGATAAATTGAACCTCAATTTGCCATAAATGTGCCAATCAAAAGCCCAGATCACGATTTCATTGCATGATTTCATAGTAAACAGGATCTTTGAAATATTAATATTAACAATTAATTAATAATTACATGTAAATAGTAATAAAAATACATGTTTTTGCCTCATGGTGCTGATTAAAAATAAAGTTGTCACCTTTTAAGAGTTATTGTTTTGGACACCTACAAGAAGTGTTGTTTTGACACGTGGAAGTGTCAATCTGATATTCTAGTCTTATCTTACTTTTGCGATAGAAGTTGTGAACGGTGTTATTTTGTTGTTTCGGTGTTTCACATAATCATAAAATTACAACCATTAATATTTCTATTGCTCATTGACCGATATTATCAAGATTCTTGTTTATTTTTGTACAGTTGTTATTTTCTGTATCTGATAAGGAAGTTTCATACTTCTAAGAGTAAGTAGTCATATCAGGTCTTTTGAAGTTTTTATTCATCTGCGTAAGAAATCCTATCTGAAATCATACTTGTTGATATCAAAATTGAAATACAGTAAAACCTGTATAGTCTGAATGCAACGGGACCAGTCATACGGGATTGGATTAGCAGGTATTCATATTTTGAAATTTTTAAGCATGGAAGTCTATGAAAGAAAAGATAATAACAAGGCATTAACATGCACAATATCATCACATGCCATTTGTTAAACACTGAGTGCTGAACACCAGCCACTGAACACCATCTACAAAAAAGTAACAGACCACAACAATATGTCACAACTCGTTACGATGACATAAAAATCTAACCAAATTGAGAGGTGTTCTGATTAGGAGTACAGCTATGCAGGTTTTACTGTATTGAGACCTTTCTCAAATAACATAATATACCTCACAAGCATATAGGATATCATATGATCTTCAGTGATATCTTATATATCCACAAGTTGATATTGATATCCGAATAAATGAGTGAAGCCAACTAGGGAGGGGGGGGGGGGAGTAGAGTAGAAACAAGGCATTAACATGCAAAATGTCACTACCTGCCATTTGTTACAGATGCAATGTCATTTGTTACAGACACAGACAACCAACTCCAAACACTAACCACCATCCACAAAAATGTTGGAGACTATAACAATGTCACCATTTCTAAAGCTGATATAAAATTGTTAGCTGCCGTTTCTAAAGTCAGTAGTTCAATCGAAGCCCTCCCCTTAGTCTTAAATAACCTTGACAGCCTTAGAATTATATTTTCTCGCTATTGATTTTTTTCTCGTCCTCTATGAAACATTTTTATTGCATCATTCACATGTGAACACAGTTGAATCAAACTGAACTTTTTTTAATTCAGATCACATCCCACGTCTTTAGACTTTTCTTGACATTTTCTAAACGATTTATAGTATAGCGTGATATGGGACTTGGTACTTAAGATAACATAAGTTGGTTATCAGTGATATATTTACTTTTAACCGCACTGCTCTACTTTAGTGGCATGTACAATATTTACCGTCTGAGATATCTAGTACGAATCGGTCCCAACAGGTGGCTACAAACTGTATTGCATATGAAGGTTAATCACCATACATTAATAATGTATGTTAAGCATGCGAATAATCCAATCTACATTCTAAATGAAGCAATTATGTTTGTACTATTAAATACTGCATACAGCCTCTGTATTTATCATGCAGAATGTAGGATCCAGGGCTTAATGCTGCTTTCAATTTCAATTACGGTAAATCTAGATGTTTAAATCATTGAGTATCAATTATATTTAAAATACAAAGCTATCTTTACAAGACTGGCTGAATCTATTATATTTCATTCTCCATTTTCATGCCAGACTTTAAATATCCCTTAAGATTATGCTCATACATGTTTAATGTTCATTAAATAAAAGAATTATATATTTTGAAATCAATTGAATTCAGATTGAGAAATATAAAAATTCCTGGGTTCTGTCATATTCTACAAATTGTTCAAGTCTTGAAAATACAGAAAAGTATCCATCTGTGAGTTTGTAATTTCAGTGCTTTTCTTTTGATATTTAACACTGGACTGCTTCAAAGAATTTCTTAACCCCTGAAACTCACTTTTTGTATTAATTACAACCACTTTTATAGCTTTTAGTTGATAAAAATCTAATAATAATAAAAAATCCTGAGTTCAAATATATCTCAGAACATTTCTAGCCTATTATACTCACCTTATCCAAAATGAATACATCCACTTTTCAAGTTTCTTAACAGTATATTCCTAAATTCTTTCTACAGTTATATTATTGCTATGATATGTTCTAATCCAAAGGATTAATGTCTGAACTTATCCTACAACACAGCCCCAAATGGCACCTCTCAATATGATCCAAAAAATTATAAATCCAATTGAAAAAATTCCAGACTCATGAACCTATGAATAGACCTGATCAAATATAAACTTGAATATATTCAATCTGCTTTATTAAGTGAAGCACATGCCAATAGATAGACTGGCAACTGATAAATGCTGAATTGAACACTGAACCTACTTGACATTTACTCTAAGGACAAGGTCTATTCAATGTACAAGATAATCATTCAGCTATATGCTGTGCTCAGAAAATAGTCGAAATCAAAAAAAAATTATCATGAAAATTAGGCTTGTGTACTCATCTCTTGCATGTATACCTTAGGGGTATCAAGTGATTGACCAGAGACACAAATATAATAGACATCTCTAATGTTTTCTGAGGACACTGGATTCAATGTTAAAACTGCTTCCTAGCTTGCCTAATTCTAGGTGCATGCACCTGTAGATCTGAGATATACTTAGAACCTACAGGTTCAGGTGCATATGCTGCCATGTTATTTTTGCAAAAGTTCAATGAGTGGAAAACTCTAGATTTGGAGGTTTTGCTTTTTCTCAGTGCTACTGTCATCTTAATCTGGAAAATTCTTGCACCACTGGATAGCTATAGTTTTTCTTCAAAATGATACTGGTTTTGCTAAATCATATTTTTTTAAGAAATCGATTAGGACTAAAGAATTGCATATAATATTCAGTTATTTTAAGTATTATATTAAAAGAAAATACATGTACCATGTACAAAATGTTCAATTTTTCTGAGTTTTGTCAAAATTAGACCAATTTCGCTTCTAAAAAGAGTTTCATTAATGGTGATAATTACTACCAGACTTTAGGTTCCTATGGCCCCAGTATCAATGCCTTGTAAATTAGGTTGACGAAGCTCTCTTTTAAATAAGCTAAATCAAGCCATTGGAAAGTGTACAGCTTTAGGGTAGACTGATTATATCATTCATTATATTGTAATCCACAAAAATACCATTTCCATTCTGACACTCTGAAAATCTAAAGGGAGGCCCAAAATTAAGAAACTACTTGCTCACAGAGGTCTGATAATGGTTTATAGAAAAGCCCACATTTTTGTTACTTGTGAAGTTTCTGTTTTCTTTGTTTACAGTCGTCAAACCATTATTTTTCAATACATAGTCTAAACAATGGTTTGTGTGTCAATTCTTGTCTTGTCTGTGTGGTATTAATAGATAAGGTGTCAAGGACATACAGTATTAACGACAACAATAGATAAATACCACGTCGTGTCATCTTTACCTGATACTAACTTAAAAAACTGCCTTTTTAAAATTCAATTTCCATATCTGAATAAATAACATAAAGGGTACCATTTGAACAGTAACTGGTCTTCTTAGAGGCAGTATTGTAAGTTGATAGGGATCTCAAATCATGACCTTGTTGTTACTTATGTACTAATGTATACTTATCTCCTCCAGTCAAGATTACATATCATATACATTTGTATCTGTCTGTTATATAATACTGTTACAAATTAGTAGAACTGAGATAACATAGTCATTTTACACAGTTTTGTTGCGATCACACCCATCGCACCCCCTCCCCGCCCCTGGCTCATACGCCTATGCATCTATAGTTAATCAAAGATAAATACGTAAGTTCAGTGAGTAACCCTTGTGCCCAAAGAAACTCAATGACAATGTGTCAATAGAACAAATCTAGGTTTTCATTTATTTTAGGCTGTTCAAGTAGAAACTCAGTAGAGTAATAGTAAACCCTGATAGAACCACTTTCCCCTGAGAGGGTTAATCATGTGACTACTTCAAACAGGGTTTGATAAGTTTCAAGGTCAACGTTAATCTACGAACTTCACCGTGTCTAATATTCCCAGTAGAAAGATTCTGACCTCTTTCTGAAAATTAAGTTTTTGACTGAATTTTGGCTTTCTTTGTTCAAAGTGATAAAATATACGCAAAAATTAACACAGAAAAATAAATCTCTTCGTGAAACCTGGCAAAGATGATGCATAATCCAAGGTTATTTCATTATGTATGTATAACTTTTTATAAGTTTTTGATTTCCTAGTTATTTCATATGTTCCAATATTGGAAAGTGAGCTTTCATTGAAGGATGGAACATGCAATCCATAACATGACAGATCAAGATAGCAAGTAGCATGTAGTACAGTGGTCATTTAGTTTATTTCAAACATATGTGCAACATATGAACCATATGCATGTGCCCTCAAGCCACTTTGGACACT